ACATTCTCCTTGATTGGTATAGTGATCTCAGATTCAGGCACGTTACAAAACGTTCCAGGCTTGATTCTCTGATTCTCATCAATAGCATCTTGGATGTTGCTCATATACTTATTCTCCTCAGCTTGGGATTCAAAGATTGATGCGGTTTCTGGATCAATAGAATGTTTAGTATCAAAATTGACATTTTCGAAATCGATGCTTTCAAGAAGCTCTGATTTCTCTTCCTCTGTAAGATGTCCAATATCAGCAAACTTGTGAGCAACGCCAGTTAGCCCAATTCTAAGTCGACTCAATGTGTCTACACCCAGTAGCACATCAAAATCGCCTAGGTCCTGAATAAAATTGGATAGCTCAAACGAGTGATCAAATGCAATGTCATTAAGATATCTTATCTTGATAGCTGGTGTTTTACCCAATCTCTTTACTGAATGACTCAGAAAGTTCAAATTGCCTTCAACAGAAATAATATCTTGGGAAGTGAATAGTAATTTATTGTGAAAAATGTTTTTATTTAAGAAGGTGGAATCTGATCCCGTATCTACTTTCGCGATCAAACGGACTGGTTTTCCTTCTTTGCTCTCTAAAATAATAGGAGTCAGTAACTGAAATGGATTGAAACTTTCAGGTACATTTTTCACATTAGACTTACAGTTGAGCGAGGCATCCTCTGCTTCAATCTCGTCCAAGCAAGCATCTATTTCCTCCATGGTGACATCTCCAACAGCATCACCAATGTCAGAATCAGTGCTACTTTCCATGGTAACATCGTTGGTCTCAGAACCAGAACCAGACTTGTTGTCCTTGCGAACAGTGGTTGTTTGTACAGTATGCACACCAATGTTCTTCCTTGATTCTCTCTCCTTCTTCCAGTCGTAGAACTCTTGACAACGATGACCGTAAGCACGGGGCTTACCACAAAAGTTGCAGGTTTTGGGATCAGAGGATGAGGAATTCATAGAATACGGAGCAGCAGTAGTAGCCCGGTTAGGCTTGTTGTCAGAGCCAAAGTGCTTCAATCTTGACTTACAGTCAATGGTGTTGTGGTTGGCATTGCTCCCGCCATGCTTCGCACAGAAATACCCAGTGGCAGATACCCTTGCCATCTTTGTTCTTGAACCAGAACCACCAGAACCACCCTTACGCTTACCTCTGATGTCGACCTCAACATCATCATCACCACGATTTTGCTCGTCAACAAGGAACAAAGGCAACACACACTCATAGATCTCGTTGATAGTCCATTTGTGGTTGAAACCATGCTTGACGGACATTTGGTTGACCATCATTTGCTGATTCTTGCGTAACAGCGTGAACTGATAGAACTTGGCTAACATGTTGCTGTTAGGAGGGAAGCCACAATCCTTGACGTACTTCATGAACTTATTCGTATAGTCCTGTAGAGTATCATTGTTCTTCATGCGCATGCTGAAGAGTTTGGCCATGGATTCCTCAGAGTTGATGGGAGCACCAAAATGTTTGCGGAACAATGCCTTGGCTTGATCCCAATCATTACATGCCAGAAGATCATTCTTGGTCCATGATTCGAAGTCAAATGGCAGTGAAACAGGCACGTGGCGTTTCCAAACCAAATTTACTTCATTACCGGATGCTCTGATGACGTTCTCAAAAGCACTGAAGAAATGATCGACTGTGGTGAATCGAGGATGGTCAGGCCAATGCTTAGCTTGTCCTACCACCTGGAAACGAGGGATCTCATTGAGATTGACAGGTCTTGCTTTGGAATCAGCCCTCTTAGTAATGGCACTGACTTGCTTGCTGAGCCATTCGACAGACGCAGATGCTTCATCAGCCGCCAAGCGTTCATCCTCAGTGTAAGTATCACCAGCGTTACGATGGATCTGATCCAAGCGAGCCTGAGCAGTGTCAATCTTCTTGAGAAGATGATCAACTGCAGAAAGTTGAGCGTGCTCATCCACTTGCATAGATGAGTCATAAGGAGAAGAAACACGGACAGAGTCTTGAGCAATATCCTCTTGAGTGTTTTCAGTAGCGTTGTATTGGTTGTGAGACATGATAAAAATAGTTTTTAAAGTAGAATAATAAAATGTAGAGTATAAGATAAAGTGTAAAAGTGATAACCTTTGAGTTGAAAAAAATGTGGAATTTGAGGCTTTACAGACTAAAATTCACGGAAAAAAAAGAATAAAAAAACAGTAATGTCAACTTGATAAATAAAGGTATATTTTATTATCAAACGGACAGGTGTAAAGTAAACTGAAGTCTCTCTACTGGCCAGGTAGATGATCCTTCTTATATACTATAACAATGGATAAAAGTTCTATTAATTAGATTGACAAATAAGTCAACTCAGATCAACTAATGTCTAATCATGCTAAAAGACAACTCCAGCAAGCTAATCATGATTTAGCTCTGTCTGGATGAATAATTAGACTCTCATCCGAAGTACCCTGATCTATCCTTTCCATAAGGATAATTAATATCGATCTAGTAGCATGTATCCGATAGGTACAGTCTTCTTAGTCTATATTAATAGTACATATCTGAGTGTATATCGCTAAGCATACATCTTTAGCATGTATCTGGATATATGGCATGTCTATAGCATATCGTATGCATGTCTATAGCATGTCTCATATATAGTACAAGTCTGTAGTACATAAAGTATCTGTAGCTAGTATCACGGATATAAGCATGTGTCTTATAGCGTGGATCATGAAGTGCACATCTGAAGCAACAAGCTCATATTGCATTAATCTTGGTGCCTATCCAGATATGGTAAACATCCGTAGTCAATGTCGGAATACAAGTATAAGTCTATAGTGCCATCCATGTCCGTGGTGCCATCTATAGCCTATATCTTATATAGTATGAATCTTATAGTACTAGCGTATCTGAAGTCCATATCTTCTCATGATCATAGTATAAATCGATATCGTACATCTAATCCAGTGTACATACAGTTTATATCTAAATCTGGTAACTGGATGAACTGTCGGAATGCAGATCATAGTGGATGTATTCCACAAATAGATCCAAATAGCATGAATTTGAATGAGTGCTATTTGTTGAATTTCGATTTTCAATCAAGTTGCGTTTGGGCGGCTATTTCATTACACTCTGGAATCCATCATTTTCATGTTCGCTCCTAAATTTCATCATTTGATTTCAACAAATAATTGAATTCAAGAGAGGGTTGTCTAATAAGACGAATAAAAACTCTTCTGATGAAACGAAAGCTTGCCACTTTAAATCAAGCTATTTGTGGTTGAACAAGAGTAAATATGAGTCTTCCTTCAATATATACAACGAAAGCCGAGACAAGGGTATAACATCACAAACAGTGCGGCCACTACCGTTTATATGACAGATATTACTATATTGCTTTATTAGCCAATTTATGGACTCTGCTACGACAATTCCATTGACTATAGAGGTTGTTCAGCGTTTGAGACTATTAATCGTGTAAGAACTCAAGAAGCGCGTCGAAACCAAGTGCTGAATTTTGCTCTATTACTACATTATACAAAGACATAGATTCCCGTCAGCAAAATATACATGCTACAAATTGCAAAAGCTGATTACCGCACAAAGGAGAAATTCAAGTATGGACAAGGCAATATTTCAAAAAGAACATTTCAAGCCTCAAAGTAAACCATCGCTGAATTACAGTATGGCAAAAACGGTGCTCACACAGAGCTTATCTACTAGCAGTATGCTATATACAATAAATTATTGTGCCATTCATCATACACGAGACTAGTGGTAGCTTAGCTTGACAAAGTACGAATGACTTTTGACTCATGACAAAGCAAGCGTGAATGCCTCTATGACTATGATTGCTACCTCAATTATATGACTATAGCCCACTTTGATCAGTTGTACTGAGAGCAATAGCAGCTAGGTACAAGTACTAAAAATATTTGTGTATGCAATAAAAGAACGTACCTTTATTGTTAAGAGGTGATAGTCAGGAGGAAGTGGAGGAAGAAGAGCTAAAGATAAAACCACTAGCTTGAATTGAGTTGCTTTATCAGTGTATTGATATGACTAGGAAGCAAATGAATTCAGTTATTGGAATATGAGGATGTCAACTATGAAACGATTCTACATACATCACAGTAGCTTTTTCATAATAGCGTTATAAATAGTATATAATTGTACGTCAAATTATCTACGAAATAGAAAACAAAAAAAGGAAGTACCTAGCAGCAAAAGTAATGTCAATGACGAGGTCCTGTTATAATACAACAGTGCTCTGTAATTCATAATCATATGTTGTATATATCTTGTTAGATAGCGTTAGTAGTCACTGTTGAAGCATAAAACAACAACAGCCGTTCGCTGTCGTTACAGTACCTGTTCTTAATCAAACGCGATGAATGACACAAGTGGCAAATGTATTCAATACTAGAAATGTTACTTCAAGTAAAGAGAAGCGTTGGAAACAGCTAATATTATTAATTCAATAATTTTAGAGCATTAGCACATTTTATTCTGTACCTACAAACTAAACAAAGCACAAAGCAAACAAAAAAACTTAGCATTACAGTAAGGTACCACATGGAAGCTTTCTGTGGCAAAGTGTACTCACTACATTAATATATTATATGATCCAGTTCCACAAATACGCCATTTAAAAGCTTTTTACCAATTTATTGCTGTATTATTGATATAATTTAATACGATGCTTTGTTGGGCTGACTGTATTAAAGATGATTCAGAAGATTCATAGTTTATTATTAGCTTATCATTAGTTTAAGTCAATATGATCACTGTTTCTACATTTCTGATGCATCGGAAATACCTTTGAGAAGCTAAAAATATTAGATTTATGATACTTTTACAAGAATACAATTAGTTTTGTATACATGTAAAGCTAGTAGACAATCAAGTTGATTCCCATCACGTGAGTAGTAGTACAAAATATTGTGATAACTATAGTATTATCTAGAATTTTTGAAATTTCTTAAATTTTTGCTTTGCGAAATGGTAACTTTCTGTCGACGGAACAGACAAGATTACGAGTTCAAGTCCCTGCATTCTCTTTTTTAGAGAAAATTGCCATTGTTAGTGTTTTGTAGCAATGTTCATTTAATTCAGGGGTAATATTGATATAGGAACATATATATGTTGAGATTTTTTCATACGATAAAGTTTTACTAGATAATATAAATATATAAAATAAAAAAATAGGCACTTGATGCTTTCTGATCCTTCCTCAATGTCTTGAAATGTGATTAGACTTTCGTCTTCTGGGTTTGGCTTACCGCCTTCACCAGGATCTGCATCGTCTGGATCACCGGCGTCAACCACATCATCCTCATTGTTGTCGTAAATTTCATTCTCGTCATCGCTAAAATTCACCTCAGGAAAAATAACGACATTGTTTAGCAAGTCAGAGGCATCTCTGCTTGCAAACAATACCGGAGGTTTGGATCGTGAAACATTTTTCAACAGTAACTTGGCACTGCGTTGACGGCGAGCAACGTCCAGAACTCTCATTCTGACAAAATCATTGTTCTGTTTTCCCCTCAACGATGACAACTCACCTTCGTAGTTGCCAAGAACCCTCTTTGCTTCACCCTTCATCGAAAAGTATCATTAGTATACATGCTTCTTATGCTATTGTGTTTACTCGAGCCTACTATAAAAATAGAAATTTCTTCGACGTTTCTTTTCAATATATGCCAGTTGTTCAAAGGGGTGGGCAAATCCAGACCATTTTCGGCAGCATACAGTCTGATCCGTTCCACTTCTTTTCCGACTGTCTTCTTCTTTCTTCTGTCGATCTCTGCCTGCGTACCTTCATACCATTATACACTAAGATATTGCTCTCGCTTGCGATTCAAAATTATAACTCACTGTATGAGGTTTCTACAAATTTGTATATCATCGAAATGATCGCCTCTGCTTTCTTCTTCAGTATTTCAAGCGACAAAATAACTCTGACCGCCTTTGCAGTGCCTATCATTTGGGTTAGAGTTCAATCTAAGGGAAGTTTTCGTTCTCACAAAAGGCCAAGCCATTACCAAATGAGCCAGGTTGAGATATCTTGTGCTCTTTCATCAGAATTGCAAACAAGAGGTGTTTTACAAATGTATTCATTACATTGTATTGAACTTCAATGATCCGTTCTCAATGTTCTTGCAAGGCTGGGTTATCTAGGCTGTTGATCATCGCATACCCATACACAGATTGTAATTGCTTGATTTGATCGACCAAAAAATTGCTTCTATTGATATCTTTCCTGGTAGTGATTTCAAATTTTCTTCCACTACATTTTAAAAATGGCTCAACAGTAATATTCCTCTATGCACATGTTTAAAAGTTGCCTTTCATCTCTCAAGTCATTCAACAGCAAATATTCAACGATTGAAGCGATTTGCTGTGCTCCAGAAGCGCTCTACACCTTCGCCATCTGATTAGTGAGTCAGTATTTTGTTCTCTCGCTTTTGTTGTTCATGCTTATTTACCGGTATTGCCACTGCCATTGACAACTCGTGGATGATGTTGGACTTAACAGTGCATGCTATGAGCATAGGTGTGGAACACTGTCACGAGATATAAAGGAGCCCTCTCCTTTAGCCCTGGTATACACGACTAATAGTTCGTTCTTGCGTTGGAATCGATGTATGCAGTCTCTGAATATGTATATGCTTACCTCTAATTTGCCCTTACACAGACAAATAATGTCATACATAATTAATAGTTTTTGAGAGTTACCCAATAAACTCATATGATGACTGATAGCCGCAAGTGCGTACTTACGCCTGTTACAATCATTTAGGGGAATCAGAAAGTTGTTAGTCTTTTTTTTTAGCATTACCAAGATCTACTTACCCTTCGCCATTATAAATATCGTATAATCGAATAGGCACGCCATGTCTCGCACAGTTCATAGAAAAAACTCCTTCTTCGTCAAAACGGTTACTCACCTTTCGATTTTTCTCTGAGCCAGCTTTGAACGTAGGGTTGTTGATGTTGTCTAGTTCTTCAAGACCACACTGGATGAAAATGTGATTAGTATGCACCATCAAGTACAAACATTTTAGTGTATCTGTATTGTCAATATGCTTACCAGTTCTTCTTTCGCATCATCTTTTTCATTAGCAAACTTTTCAACTTCACCTTCGACTTCCCACAACTGTGCAATGTCGTAGCTTGTTGAAAGGGTACTAGGATAGAGATCTACATCATCTCGGTTTCGCTTGTCCATCTTTCTTTTTGATTGGAAGTTGCCATCCATTACAACTCCAACGGTATCACCATCCTAAAGAAAGCCTGCATTGTTGCATACAAGCATGCATCTTAGGCTACATTCACTTTCTCCTCAAGCCACCTTTTACAGTGTAGCAGCATAGATGATGTTTATCGTATCACATCACATCTATGTTTACAAGTCCAGTCAATTGTGTGTGCACAGGTGCCTCAGGAACTACAATACATTCAATCTCCCCAATGTCAAAATATCGAGATCCACCTACACTACATGAAACATACCGACTTAGGTGGCCTCTCAACAAGCTATACCAACAATCCATAAGGCCCCAGTGGCCTGCTATTTATATACCATCTCAACGTAGTAGTCATTGACCAGGGATCTACCATATTTAAGCAAGCTAGATGCCCTGTAATAAAGAAGCTCTTTGCTTTCGTTTTAGATACAGTTGACAACTGATTATTATCATCGACTTATTATTACGAATTCATCATTTTTTTTAATCAAAACCTTGATTGTATCATTACTACTACTCTTACTACTACTACCTCTCAATTTTGTATACTCTGATGTCTGCTCAAAGTACCACCACACCCCCCAGTTCCGAATCTAAGCCTGCTGGAAACACTGAGCTGCGTCCTTCAGACGCCAGTGCCACCAAGGCTGTAGATATTACTGGCCCTTCTCAGTTTTTTCTCGCTGAAACGTCTCAGAAATTGGGTGGTCAAGCTGGCGAAGCTCCCACTACTACTGCTAGTGATGCGATGGACCTCGATCCCCCTTCCTCTGCTAGTTCATCTTCTAGTGATGTGGACCTTCAAGGTCGCACTGATCAGTTGAAGCTAATTGTTGACAATCAGCTCGCCGAAGTTCAGCTTCTCTCTACGACCTTGCTCCTCGAGCAAAGTGAGGAGGCCAGAGCCCAGGCCCTAGCTCGGTTGATCCAGTTGAATACGTCCATTCAAAGTATCATACAGATTCGAGATTGTTTGCTTGCATCCAAAGCTACTGCAAATGATAACCTCGTTTCTTCGGCTGCTGCTTCGTTTGGCTCATCCTCAGTCGATGGAGTCAAATCCAACAAGAGCGCCTCTGTACCGGTTTTCTTTCCCAACAACTTACCTGCATTTCAGTGGGTTGGTATGGATGAATTCGACCCCAAAAGCCCTATATTTCCTACAGTCGACGCTTGTCTGTTGAAGTTTGAGGATGTCATGTTCGCTTACAAGATGGATTTCGACAAGGAATATGCTCGCTTAGTACCACCTATGCTGTCTCCAGAACAACGTACTTGGTACGGCTCGTTCACTTCTGCTTGCACTGCTCCTGCATCGTGGAATGATTTCAAGTCGGCTATCAAGGCTCGTTATGGCATTAGCGTATTGGAAGAACGTCAACGTTGTGCGTCTGATTTGTTGAGCATTCAACTTTTGCCCGGTGAAAACGTGAAGGCCTTTCTTGATCGTTTTACTGACTTGCGTCGTCGATCCCTGGATCAAGCCCCATCCGATTACTTGTTGGCTAAGTTGTTCCTGGATGCCATTCCTTGGGTAGTCAAGGATAAGATCAACACCATCCGTCAATCCAAGGGCATCATTGATAGTTACGATGTTGACATTATCGTCAGTATCGCTCGTGAATCACTATCAACTATGACCGCAAATGAGATTGCTGCCATCTCAGCACCCGCTTTTGCTCGCACTGCTGCTGGATCTGCTGCATCACAATGGGCTCCAGTTGCGTCCCCCCGCCGCTCACATACCATGAAGGCATCATCCTCATCTGCTGATGGTCCTGCCGCTGTGTCTCGTGCTGGTGTCTCTTCTGGCCGCGTGGGCAAGCCTCACTTCAAGGCTACCAAGTCGTGCACTTTCCACCATGGAAAGCCTCACAACCATGACACCTCGGAATGTAAGCTCTTCTTGGAAGAGTTGAAAAACAAAGGTGGTGCCAACTCAATGCCAACCAGCAACCAAGCATCGGGTCGTCGTTACATGATGTCGCTTGCGGATGCCAAGGCATCAGATCGATGCCGTACTTGTGGTGCCCACAATTACTCTGCTGGTCCCCATGAGTGCAACACGGCTGTGCGTACTGGTGATGCTCCTACTAGTACTTTACATCGTTTTGGTATGCTGCGCCTTCAAGAGGGCGTGGTGTCGTCTGCTACCACCGCTGGTAGCACTGCTATTGCAACTGCTCCTGCTGTTGATCCTACTGTGGGCTCGTTGTCTGAGGCTGGTGGAGCCAAGTTCTGCAGATACCATCCAAATAGCAAGACCCATAGCACTGACGACTGTGTTGAGCTTTTGCAAGTGATCAAAAAGAACCCTCCGCGTTCTCAATCTCGTCTTGCTGTCGAGACCAATGGTGGCCGCAGTGCCGCATTGTTGTCATCGTCTATTTCGTCTCCTCAGGCCCAACCTACTACTGGTAATTCTGTTGTTGTTCAGGAAGATCAGCAAAGTAACAACAACTCGAGTGAATCTGGTTCCTCGTTGTTGGTGCCCGCTGCTGTTGCTAAACAGAGTCGTCACGATCAAAGTGATTGCCACTCGTCTGTTGAGCCTATGGACATTGATCTACATACTGCAGTTCATGCACACAAATGTAAGGATAATCAACGTTCCATCTTGCCTGTCAATAAGTCTAATTCACTTCTTATTCCGCTTGTCGTAGAATCGCACAAGGTATATGGTGTTTTAGATACGGGATGTACATTTTCAATTTGTTCCCCTCGTTTCGCCAACCAGCTTGGTGTTCAAATCAACCGCTCTGTTCATGGTCAGGTCCAGTTAGGCCATACAGACAGTGTTAAACCTCGTATTGGCACTTGCTCACTTAAAATCTCGTATAATAAACGCAGTTTTATTCACACATTTGAGATATTTGATTTCTTTACTGATTCGGATGATTGCCCCATGTTGCTTGGGTTGGATATCATGCCTGATCTACAGATTGGAATCACTGGCCTTGCTTCAACATGGTTTGAAGAGCTTGGACCCAGACTTCCCGACCCCATTGATCCTGACATCGAGCCTAATAACGATCCATACGGATCACCTGCTGAGCGTGCAAAGGCTTTCAAACCTATTGAACAGTTATTGGTAGAAAATGCTGCCATTGATCTTGCCACTACTCATTGTAACTTGCCTGGTGCGATTGTCCAACTCGAGACAATCCCTGGTAAGGTTGCCTATCGTGCTCCCTATCCTATTCCAGTTGTCTATAAGGAAGCTGTGTCTAAGCAGTTGATGGAGTGGGAACGAGATGGTGTCATTGAGCGCAGTCCAAGTCATAATGGCTGGAATTCTCCTTTGCTCGTCGTTGCCAAAAAGAATTCTAATGGTGAATATTCGTTTGACAAGCCACGTATTGTTGCTGACGTTCGCCTACTCAACCAAATCTTGGTCTCCACTGACAAGTACATTATGCCTCGCATTGATGAGATCCATGCTCGTCACAGCCGCGCTGTCATGACAAGTTCCATCGACATCAAAAGTTTCTTCACGAGTTTCTTGGTCGATCCACGTCATCGCCACAAGTTAACCTTTACCGATCCATTCACGCAAACGCAATGGGTCCACAGGAAGGTGTGCTTTGGAGTAAATTTCATGGGCAATTTAGCTATGCGCTTGATATCCAATTTGTTTACCGACATGCTTGATCAGGTGTCACTTTATATCGACGATTTAGGGTGCCTTACGTACACTGACTCTCTGGATGAGCACGTTGCGTTAGTCGCTGAGGTGATCCGTCGTCTGACCAAGGCTAATCTCCAAATTAACCAGGACAAGTTTGTGTTTGCTCAGCGCAGTACTCATGTGCTGGGTTGGAGCATCATTCAGAACCGCCTTGTGCCTGACGCTCGCAAATTGACCAATTTTCATCTGTGGCCTATACCTACCACTGGTAAGCAGCTGATGAAGTACTTGGGGTTTTGCAATTACTTTCGAAATGTCATCCCTGGATACAGCGAACTGGCAGCACCTCTCGATGCATTGCGCAATTGTAAATCCCTTTCTGGTTTGTGGACTGATGCGCACACCAAGGCATTCAAATCGTTGCAGGATGCTCTGTCATCTCCAGTCGCTCTCAGCCCAGTTGATTTTCGTTACAAGCTGCACGTCGCTACTGATGCCTCAGCTACTGCTATCGGTGGTATCATCTACTACATCAAGGATGGCGTGGTTCATTACGTTGTCATGGCGAGTCGTAAGCTTTCCCCTTCTGAAATGGCCTATTCTACCACCAAACGTGAGTTGCTTGCCATTGTCTACATGCTTACCAAATACCACAAATGGCTTTTCGGTATTGAGTTTGTCTTGCACACAGATCATCGCTCTTTAATCTGGCTTCAAACGCAAAGTACGCCCAACATGATGCTGTTGACGTGGTATGAAAAACTGTTCTTTGATTACAAGTATGAGCTGGTTCATATCCCTGGTACGCGTAACCTGTTACCTGATGCACTCAGTCGGTTATTCACCTCTGACGATGACGAGGGTGGCAATAACCTGGGTGGGGGTAATCGTTATAACAATCAAAGTATTATGCTACCTGAAAAAAAGCGTAAACCTACGCGAAAGAACAAACATGGCTTCACCAACGCCAAAGAGTCCCAAGTCACTCAATTTTCTCTTGCTAAGCCCAATCACTCCAATCGTACGCAGTTCAAACGCAAGAAGCAGTTCAACAATCAAAAGCAGTTGCAGCAGCTTTCCTTTGGGATGCCAACCGAATTGGATCCACACTATTATTCCAAGGAATTGAATGATAGCAATGTTGATATTTCTGATGCGAGCACCTACAACATGCCATCTGTCAGCGCTCAAGATTTAAAGAATCAACAGACTGCTGATGCCAAAAGTTCATACAATGGTTCATCTGGTGGACAGTCAGATTGTAATGCTCTTATTTCACGTGCTATGAAATATGCTGATTACATGACTCCTCCGAAGAAGGATCGTCTAGAGCTTGTTATGCGAGTGCATTTACTCGGTCATGTGGGCATCAATTCAATGGAAAAGATTTTGCACAATGATTACAAGGTACATTGGACCAACATGCGCAATGACATCGCCACAGTAACCAAGGATTGTCATGCTTGTCAATCGCATGGTATCTACCAAGTGGGATATCATCCTCCTCGTAGCGTGTTGCCAGACAATGTGTTCGATCATATAGCTATCGATTTAGGTGATTTCGCTACGACTTCCACCTCGGGCAATAACTTCCTGCTAGTCATTGTCGATTATTTCAGTCGATTCACCATTCTACGAGCTCTTCCTGATAAGAGTCCAATCACTGTTGCAAGAGCATTGCTTAGTGTATGTTGTCTATTTGGATTTCCCAAGCGACTCACTAGTGACAATGGCTCTGAATTTGTTGGAGCATTTATGAGAGAGTTCAGTCAGATTAGTGGCATGGATCGCTTGACCTCGTTGCCGTACGCTGCACAAGCTAATGGTGTTGTCGAAGCGTATGTGGGCATTTCAAAACGATCTATCATTAAATCATTGACACACGATGCTGCAGAACCTGAGGCATGGGATGAGTATCTCGATGTCATTCAGTATGCCATGAACATTCAATACGCTAGATTGCATCAATCGCAGCCGTTTGCTATCATGTTTGGGCGTGCCCCAAATCTCTTCCAGGATTACACTCAATTGCCTAATGCTGACCAGACACCCGAGGATCCTACCAAGGAAGTCATTGATGCCCGCTTACAGAACATTAAGGATGTGGTAATCCCTGCCATCCGTAAGCGTATCAAAGAAACACAATTGCGCGACCATGAGCGCTTCGAAAAGCATCACAAGATCATTGAAGAGAAGTATCCCATCAATTCAAAGGTCATGCTCTTCGACCCTGTCAGATCAACTAAACTTCACCCCAGATGGCTCGGTCCATATTTCATCAAGAACTATACTCGCAATGGTAGTTATACTTTAGCCGACATTACTGGTGAATTGCTGCCCCGTGATGTGCCTACCCAGCACATTCGCGTTGTCGATTTCTCGGACAATCATGTTACAAAAGGCTTACTTCCTCGCCACTATGAAGTGCAAGCCATCATCAATCATCGCGTTGAAAGAAAGACTGGTCGAATGAAGTTTCTTGTCAATTGGGTAGGTTATCCGTCCTCGAAGGACAATACCTGGCAATATGAAAGCGATTTTGATTCCAAACGACCTATTCGCGACTACTGGGATCGCATTGCACCGGATCACAAGAATCCCAATCGACTCCTTCCCAACACTGTCAATAAGCGCAAGATTTATAGTCGTCGTAAGCATGCAGGACCGTACGTCACATTGCATTATCCGTCGAGTCCAAACTCTCGTAACCACAACATTCAGCAATAGCCGTGATCTTTTTGTCCTTGATTTGTTTTTTTTGGCCTGAATATGGTTTTTTTTACAAGGTTTTTCTTCGATCTGCTATTCCCTTTGCTGCTATCATCTTCTGATAACCTCTCCTCGTATACCCCATGTATGTTGTTTTTTTTTGGCACCATCTCGGTTTTTTTTTACTTCATATTGGTTTCCATCGCTTTGCCTGTCTACCTGTTTGTATCGCCTTCTTGTTTCTTGGTTCTGTCTCTTCGTTCTGTGTTGTATCCTCGATTATTGCATTCGGCTCGTATGATATCCTAGTTTGTGGCTGGTCGAAAGCTGGGTGGGGGTAATGTTGCATACAAGCATGCATCTTAGGCTACATTCACTTTCTCCTCAAGCCACCTTTTACAGTGTAGCAGCATAGATGATGTTTATCGTATCACATCACATCTATGTTTACAAGTCCAGTCAATTGTGTGTGCACAGGTGCCTCAGGAACTACAATACATTCAATCTCCCCAATGTCAAGATATCGAGATCCACCTACACTACATGAAACATATCGACTTAGGTGGCCTCTCAACAAGCTATACCAACAATCCATAAGGTCCCAGTGGCCTGCTATTTATATACCATCTCAACGTAGTAGTCATTGACCAGGGATCTACCATATTTAAGCAAGCTAGATGCCCTGTAATAAAGAAGCTCTTTGCTTTCGTTTTAGATACAGTTGACAACTGATTATTATCATCGACTTATTATTACGAATTCATCAACTAGATCGATATTAATTATCCTTATAGATAGGATAGATCAGGGTACTTTGGATGAGAGTCTAATTATTCATCCAGACAGAGCTAAATCATGATTAGCTTGCTGGAGTTGTCTTTTAGCATGATTAGACATTAGTTGATCTGAGTTGACTTATTTGTCAATCTAATTAATAGAACTTTTATTCATTGTTATAGTATATAATAAGAAGGATTATCTACCTGGCCAGTAGAGAGACTTCAGTTTACTTTACACCTGTCAGTTTGATAATAAAACATACCTTTATCAAGTTGACTTTACTGTTTTTTTTATTCTTTTTTTCCGTGAATTATAGTCTATAAAGCCTCAAATTCCACAACTATCCCCACTACATACCATGTCTCCATCACCATCTCCTTCTACAGAATCGTCTTATTTGTCATCTCAGTCTACAGTATCGAATATAAGTAATGGTAATGCCGCAATCAATGAAACAGTCAGTGTTGATACAGATCTTGAACTGGATGAACGTGTATCAGAGCCAGAAAACACAGAAATGGTGCCAGGTCTTCGAAATGAACCTCATGTTGTTTCTCCTGCCAGCCCACCTTCCGTTATTCAAGCTACTCCAGAACCTGATTCCACTACTACTGTGAATTTTTTCCCTCCTGCTGCTACAAACCAAACTTCCATTGTACTTACTTCTTGTCCTGGGCCACCAAAAAGTACTTTTGTCTTCAAAACTTTTGCCATTCCAAAGATCCATACGCAAAACGAGACCACGCAACCTGCAAAAATCGTCGATCTCTCTTCTCACATGCCAAACACTGCCACTGGTTCATCAAGTTTAAGTGATGTTCAGGGTCGAACATTTGTCTCAAAGGGGGGTGATGTCAGGGTTGAAGGATATTCTGACAGTGATTTAGATCTGCAGGATATCATTGACAGACTAAACACAAACAAGAATAAGAAGCGCAGATTTAAAGCTAGAGCGCCAGCTACCAGGATCATTAAACAGCGATTAACCTGGATAGCTCACAACATTACACAAACTATATTGGATAAAATCAACGTTCAAATCTAATATTAATAAAGCACCTTTTTATCCATTCAACTAAAAGGCTATAACATCTTCCTGCACACTCTCAATAACTACTTCCATTTATATCTCGATCAGATCTCAGATTGCATATACTACCTCTACGTATTAGCATCTGACAATTCATGTTACGATGGTAAAAGGATTTTGTGGTGGTGCTGATTTCAAGAAGCGGTATCTGAACTCTGAGCCTATTAGAGTGCTGTTCCTGAACTGGTGTTCAAATCGATTATTCTTACATTTTTTTATTTTGACATATATACTTGAATCTATACAACACATTTGAAATAAATCGAACTTTCTTACGTTTAAATCTTTTGGGTACATAACTTTATATATACATTTAATCGCTGAGATACTGTCTACATCAAGGTTATTGCAACACATCAGCAACTTAAACAGCTTTAATTACTTGGTTTTGTCTCGGGATCAACTATTACTGCAAGATCTTCCACACATTTTGCTACACATTTCACAAAACCAGCACCGCAGAGTATCATTCAAGCATCTGCGGGTATAGCTCAGTTTAATATTGGATTTTATTTATTTACAATTGTAGTCAACTGCGGAATCGGTATGATCATATGTTGCAAGACTAACAGTGATTCGGCGGGAAAAAGCATGTTTAAATTAAAGGTTGAGGGAAGCTGCTAACGGGAGGGGACCAGTAATGAAAACGGCATCAAAACCCACCAGAGAAGAGGAGAAACAGAAGGAAGAATGGCAATGGCCACGCCGCAAGACGGGGGAGACGAACAGGACTCAAGGTAGAAACCGGCCAGACGCACCGCAGCACACCTAAACGTGCAAGCACAAATACCGAGTAACATGCCAGGTTAGAAAGGCGGAAAATATGGATGCGAAGGTGGGATTCGAACCCACGACCTCTCGGCATACTCACTGCTTCCGCATGAAGCTCTAACCAAGTGAGCCATTCAAGCATCCATGCGGGTATAGCTCAGTTTAAAGATTGTTTTTATTTATAAGAAATTTAATGGGCACTCGATGTGAGCATAGCCTAACTTCAAGAACAAATATAGAGCAAGTAACTAAAAAAACCCCTCCAGAGCACTTTCAAAGGAGAAAAAAATGCAGTGACAAGAGTACAGGACATGGAGACTAGTGGTGCTCACATTGAGGATCTCGAGGGACAACCAACGGATGGGAACTTTGATAATGACTTACCACCGAGGAGCCGCACGTAGAAAACAACAATGGAACATGTTCATCCCTGTCAGATCAACCAGTACTGGAGTACCAAAGAGACGCTGGATCTGGATCCGGAGCAATGACAGCCAGAGGATGCACAAGGCAATCGATAGCATACAGGAGGTTCAGTAGAGCAGGCCAGAAATCAGGAGGACCGGCAGAGGCATTAGTGGGCAAGCAATTAAGAGCATGGTCAATACGGTGCACACCAGGTGGAGCAGGCGGCAAGGCATCGATCAAGGCAGGATCAAGAGCACGACAGTACATAAAGTGATCACGAGAGATGTAGACACCTGCAGGTGACATACAGGGACACTCCTCACGCATGTTAGTAAAGCGGCCAAGACGCCAGCGGACCAAACGACTACGGGCAATACGACCAAGAGGCAGATAGAGTATGGGATCAGGCCTTGTGGTATCAGGACGACAAGCACGAAGCAAAGTATGACGACTAGTGACAGTAGCAGCAGAGAGTTGGAGATCAACCTGATCTTGCCAATAAGCAGCAAAGGTAGTACGCAAGCCAGCAGAAGAAGGAACAGGGTCAGGCAGCGACTGATACAGAGGGTTTTCACATATAAAACGATCCAACCTTGTATAGTGCAAATGGGCACGAAGCAGAACCAGCAGACAATCGTCAGGCAGAGTATCAGCACGCAGAGCAAAACGGGTAGCCAGGACATTGTAGCGATGTTTGATACTGGGAAGACAGGTAATGTGCTTGGCGACATTGACCCAAGTACTACCCACAAACATGCCAACAAGTCGGTTTTGCAGAGTATCCAGAGCAGTAAAATCACGAGCAGAGAGATGCGAGATGGCTAGACCGTATTCAAGCTTAGGACGAATAAATGTCCTGTACAAGCGAGAGGAGAGCAGCAAAGAGAAACCATTGCGGTTGACACCAACAGAGTTTAACAGAGCCATGGTCTTGACAGCACCAGCAGAACGCAGAGACAGAATACCAGGAGCATGCAGGCCTTTGTATCGGAATGGCATACCAAGGTATGTAAATTCGTCAACGACAGGCAGGGCTTCATTGTATAGTACAAGAGGAGAACCAGCAAGAGCAGCAGCAGTACCAAGCACAGCGCATTTGGAAGGCTTCCACCTATATCCAAGAGAGACAGAATGACCAGCAGCAAGATCCAACATACGCTGAACCTCAGACTTTGAACCAAAGACAGCCACATCATCAGCGAACAGGAGACTATTGATAGCAATAGGAGCATCAGCACCAGGCACAGGCAGCATAGTAGCACCAGTAGCACCAGAACGCAAAAGACTTGGTAAAGAGTTGATATACAACGAGTACAAGTGAGGACTGAGCACTGAGCCTTGCAGAACACCAGTGACAGGAGAGAAGGCAGTCGAGTTGTGATTAGCAATCAAGACAGAGACAGACACATCATCAAACATGTTGATCAACAGACCCAGAACAGCACGAGGAAGACTAGAACCAGCCAAAGCAGACCAGATAACACGACAATCGACTGTGTCATATGCTGACTTGATATCCAAGAAAGCGACAACAGGACGACGACGGTGCGCAACAAAGTAATCATGCATCAAGTCATGCAAGCAGAGGGCTTGATCCAGAGGACTACGTTGAGGGCGGAAACCACCTTGGGCAATGTCAAGGGCAGGAGAATGGGCATCCAGCTCAGGCATGAGAGAGAACTCAAACAGTTTGCGCACAACAGAAGTCAGAGAAATAGGCCTATAGTTGGCGGGATCAGAAGCATCACCTTTCTTGAAGATGGGGAAGACTTGGGCATGACGCCAGAGAGCAGGAGTATACGACCATTGGTAACACAGAGTGAACAACAGAGACAACACCGGAGCAATCTCAGAGACCAAGGACTTGAGCATCTCAGCTTTAATATGATCTGGACCAGGAGCTTTATGTGTTGGGAGCCGCTGAATGTGAGATACAAGAGTATCAACATCGAACAGTGACAAATCCACAGGCACACAAAAAGGCAGAGCAGAGTCAAAAGTGGGGGGAGCAGCAGGACGAGTAGCAGTGGCAAGCAGAGAGCCATCATACACCGAAGCGAGATGAGAACCCATAGCAGTGACAGAAGCAGCAGGACCGTCGGGATGACTGTAGGTAGCAGAAGACTCTTTGTTACGCTTGATGCGCTTGATAGCAGCAGTAGCTTTTGAGAAATCCTTTTCTAGAATACCACAGAACTGTTTCCAGGACCTTCGCTTTGCAGCTTGCACCAGGGAGCGAAACTTGCGATGCGCAATTTTGTATAAGGACCATTTTTCAACTTTGACAATACCAAAGGCATGCCTCCATTGACTATAAGAGTGATCACGTACAGTAGCAGCATCCTGAATTTCTTGCGTCCAGTACTTCTTCCAATGGCCAGGACGACCAGATTTCACACCAATAGAACTATCCAGAGATTCATACAAACATTGATTCAAAGAATCGTTGAGTGCATCAATATCTGGACGAACACCAGGAGGAGCAGACACCAAACCAGAAAGAGTACCAACCAGAGGAGCAACAGAAGATCGAAAGGATTCACGGAGTAAGCCCAAAGGCTTCTCTTTCGTCAATTTCGAGAGCTTCCATTGACGCCGAGGAGCCAGAACAGAATCACCAGGAGCCACAGTGTCATCGAGAGGTGGCACATACCCGAAAGTAAGTGACATCAATCGATGGTCAGAACCAAGAGACAGATCAGACTCAACCACCAGTTGAGGATTCACCAAAGCAACATCACCAATATTTGTCAAAAACAAATCAATGATACTACTCAATTCTTGTTGCTGCCGAAAAGAAGAGTACGTCGTAACACCAAAAGCCAAAGACGCATTGAGTACAGACAAGCAGTGTTCATCAAACCAAGGTTTGAGAGCATTACCACGAGCATTAGAGATAGCATCACCAGTGAGAGAACCCAACCGAGCATTGAAATCGCCACATTGAATAGTATCCCTAGTCATAGGTAATGAACTAAGGGCCGAGAGCACCTTATCAGATGATAAGGGTGGAGGTAAGTATACACAATGGACCGTAAGGGAGCCAACCTTAAGGGACAAAGTATGCGGATTATAGGATGGGAGTTGATAGACAGAGTAAGGACAGGAAGGAGAGACAAAAGCAGTAATACCACCAGAACCACGGTTGAAGGCACCAGGTACTTTCGAACCGTAAAGATGGTATTGGGACCAATCTGTAGGAAAAGAGCCAGAAGTTAGCCAGGTTTCAGTAACCAGCAAGACATGAGTATCCAGGACATGAGAGAGAACATCGTGAATCACTGATTGACGAAGACCATTGGCATTCCAAAGAGAGAGAGAGACAAATAAGGAGTGGACAGGGTTATCATTTTGGGTATACAGTATCGAGGACTCAGTGGTGGAACACATTATTGTTCCATAGCAGAATCTTCATTGGCAGAGTCAGCATTAATCTTGCGACGGAACAAGAAGTTAGCCCTCTTGGGTTCCTTCTTTGCAAAGCGTTGAATGGCATCACCAACAGAAACAGAAAGGTCTTCGTCACAAATCCAGCCTTGCTCAACAAAGTACTTACCAACACCACTGACATTCAGAGGACGTAGGAAAGCTAAGGTTTGCAGACACCGAGCAGCAGTAAATTCCATGATCAAAGCAGTACGTTGATCCAGAGTCAAAGAGTCATACTTAGGATCAGCTATGTTAGCAGGGTCCAAAGGGTCAAAGTCGAAGAAGAATTCAGCCTCACAAGCCTCCAAAAGTGCAGTAAAATCCTGAACATATTGCACATGCACCAGGATGCCAATAACATCGGATGCTGGGAAACAGATGTCAAGCACACGACCCAAATCAACGCCGGCTTTGCGCAAGAGAGAGCGAACTTCAGAGCGTGCAATCTTCTTAGATCTACCAATATAAACATATTGGTAACCTTGAGGTCCTTTACGAGCAGCAGTTGTAAAGGCGCGACCAATAGCAAGACGCTTCTTAGCTTGCTTAGCTTCAGTAGCAGGATCAGGAAGAGTAGCAGCAGCCTTTGCGACATTTGCATAGCTAGGTGATTTAGTAGCCTTAGTATTCATAGAGCCAGTAGTAGTTTTGAGGGTTGACCCCTCTACCGCCGTGGGCCGACTCGAACCAGAGGGGACCACGTGACCGGAGACTGCACCCTGCAATTTTTGAATTGCAAGGTCCTTGTCCTGTAAAAGTTTTTTCAACTCTGAATTCTCTTTTTCCAGAGTATCTAAACGAGCAAGAAGACCATCATGTTCGTTGACGCGAGCAGTAACCGAGGTAAGTTGTTCTTGGAGCTGATTAAGAATCATTTGAAGCTGATTCATATCCATACCCTGTAGATTGGTGGCCATGACGGAGAATATTTTTTTATAAATTTGAAAATTTTTAAAAAAATATCAAGGAGGTGTTCGACAAATTTGAAACTATAACACAATAAATTGTTACCAAAGGCAAGCAAAGTTGTGTAATTTCGAGTTGTTGGAGTTGGTAGTTATCGAGGAAATACGTTTTTTCTAGTCTGGAACAACTTTTTTCCGAAAACGGTGGCAAAAAGTGTTGAAAAACGGAAAGAGATGCGGGTATAGCTCAGTTTAATATTGGTTTTTTATTTATTTACAAATGTAGTCAACTGCGGAATCGGTATGATCATATGTTGCAAGACTAACAGTGATTCGGCGGGAAAAAGCATGTTTAAATTAAAGGTTGAGGGGAGCTGCTAAAAGGGAGGGGACCAGTAAAGTAAACGGCATCAAAACCCACCAGAGAGGAGGAGAAACAGAGGGAGGAATAGCAATGGCCGCGCCGCAAGACGGGGGAGACGAACAGGACTCAAGGTAGAAACCGGCCAGACGCACCGCAGCACACCTAAACGTGCAAGCACAAATACCGAGTAACATGCCAGGTTAGAAAGGCGGAAAATATGGATGCGAAGGTGGGATTCGAACCCACGACCTCTCGGCATACTCACTGCTTCCGCATGAAGCTCTAACCAAGTGAGCCATTCAAGCATCCATGCGGGTATAGCTCAGTTTAAAGATTGTTTTTATTTATAAGAAATTTAATGGGCACTCGATGTGAGCATAGCCTAACTTCAAGAACAAATATAGAGCAAGTAACTAAAAAAACCCCTCCAGAGCACTTTCAAAGGAGAAAAAAATGCAGTGACAAGAGTACAGGACATGGAGACTAGTGGTGCTCACATTGAGGATCTCGAGGGACAACCAACGGATGGGAACTTTGATAATGACTTACCACCGAGGAGCCGCACGTAGAAAACAACAATGGAACATGTTCATCCCTGTCAGATCAACCAGTACTGGAGTACCAAAGAGACGCTGGATCTGGATCCGGAGCAATGACAGCCAGAGGATGCACAAGGCAATCGATAGCATACAGGAGGTTCAGTAGAGCAGGCCAGAAATCAGGAGGACCGGCAGAGGCATTAGTGGGCAAGCAATTAAGAGCATGGTCAATACGGTGCACACCAGGTGGAGCAGGCGGCAAGGCATCGATCAAGGCAGGATCAAGAGCACGACAGTACATAAAGTGATCACGAGAGATGTAGACACCTGCAGGTGACATACAGGGACACTCCTCACGCATGTTAGTAAAGCGGCCAAGACGCCAGCGGACCAAACGACTACGGGCAATACGACCAAGAGGCAGATAGAGTATGGGATCAGGCCTTGTGGTATCAGGACGACAAGCACGAAGCAAAGTATGACGACTAGTGACAGTAGCAGCAGAGAGTTGGAGATCAACCTGATCTTGCCAATAAGCAGCAAAGGTAGTACGCAAGCCAGCAGAAGAAGGAACAGGGTCAGGCAGCGACTGATACAGAGGGTTTTCACATATAAAACGATCCAACCTTGTATAGTGCAAATGGGCACGAAGCAGAACCAGCAGACAATCGTCAGGCAGAGTATCAGCACGCAGAGCAAAACGGGTAGCCAGGACATTGTAGCGATGTTTGATACTGGGAAGACAGGTAATGTGCTTGGCGACATTGACCCAAGTACTACCCACAAACATGCCAACAAGTCGGTTTTGCAGAGTATCCAGAGCAGTAAAATCACGAGCAGAGAGATGCGAGATGGCTAGACCGTATTCAAGCTTAGGACGAATAAATGTCCTGTACAAGCGAGAGGAGAGCAGCAAAGAGAAACCATTGCGGTTGACACCAACAGAGTTTAACAGAGCCATGGTCTTGACAGCACCAGCAGAACGCAGAGACAGAATACCAGGAGCATGCAGGCCTTTGTATCGGAATGGCATACCAAGGTATGTAAATTCGTCAACGACAGGCAGGGCTTCATTGTATAGTACAAGAGGAGAACCAGCAAGAGCAGCAGCAGTACCAAGCACAGCGCATTTGGAAGGCTTCCACCTATATCCAAGAGAGACAGAATGACCAGCAGCAAGATCCAACATACGCTGAACCTCAGACTTTGAACCAAAGACAGCCACATCATCAGCGAACAGGAGACTATTGATAGCAATAGGAGCATCAGCACCAGGCACAGGCAGCATAGTAGCACCAGTAGCACCAGAACGCAAAAGACTTGGTAAAGAGTTGATATACAACGAGTACAAGTGAGGACTGAGCACTGAGCCTTGCAGAACACCAGTGACAGGAGAGAAGGCAGTCGAGTTGTGATTAGCAATCAAGACAGAGACAGACACATCATCAAACATGTTGATCAACAGACCCAGAACAGCACGAGGAAGACTAGAACCAGCCAAAGCAGACCAGATAACACGACGATCGACTGTGTCATATGCTGACTTGATATCCAAGAAAGCGACAACAGGACGACGACGGTGCGCAACAAAGTAATCATGCATCAAGTCATGCAAGCAGAGGGCTTGATCCAGAGGACTACGTTGAGGGCGGAAACCACCTTGGGCAATGTCAAGGGCAGGAGAATGGGCATCCAGCTCAGGCATGAGAGAGAACTCAAACAGTTTGCGCACAACAGAAGTCAGAGAAATAGGCCTATAGTTGGCGGGATCAGAAGCATCACCTTTCTTGAAGATGGGGAAGACTTGGGCATGACGCCAGAGAGCAGGAGTATACGACCATTGGTAACACAGAGTGAACAACAGAGACAACACCGGAGCAATCTCAGAGACCAAGGACTTGAGCATCTCAGCTTTAATATGATCTGGACCAGGAGCTTTATGTGTTGGGAGCCGCTGAATGTGAGATACAAGAGTATCAACATCGAACAGTGACAAATCCACAGGCACACAAAAAGGCAGAGCAGAGTCAAAAGTGGGGGGAGCAGCAGGACGAGTAGCAGTGGCAAGCAGAGAGCCATCATACACCGAAGCGAGATGAGAACCCATAGCAGTGACAGAAGCAGCAGGACCGTCGGGATGACTGTAGGTAGCAGAAGACTCTTTGTTACGCTTGATGCGCTTGATAGCAGCAGTAGCTTTTGAGAAATCCTTTTCTAGAATACCACAGAACTGTTTCCAGGACCTTCGCTTTGCAGCTTGCACCAGGGAGCGAAACTTGCGATGCGCAATTTTGTATAAGGACCATTTTTCAACTTTGACAATACCAAAGGCATGCCTCCATTGACTATAAGAGTGATCACGTACAGTAGCAGCATCCTGAATTTCTTGCGTCCAGTACTTCTTCCAATGGCCAGGACGACCAGATTTCACACCAATAGAACTATCCAGAGATTCATACAAACATTGATTCAAAGAATCGTTGAGTGCATCAATATCTGGACGAACACCAGGAGGAGCAGACACCAAACCAGAAAGAGTACCAACCAGAGGAGCAACAGAAGATCGAAAGGATTCACGGAGTAAGCCCAAAGGCTTCTCTTTCGTCAATTTCGAGAGCTTCCATTGACGCCGAGGAGCCAGAACAGAATCACCAGGAGCCACAGTGTCATCGAGAGGTGGCACATACCCGAAAGTAAGTGACATCAATCGATGGTCAGAACCAAGAGACAGATCAGACTCAACCACCAGTTGAGGATTCACCAAAGCAACATCACCAATATTTGTCAAAAACAAATCAATGATACTACTCAATTCTTGTTGCTGCCGAAAAGAAGAGTACGTCGTAACACCAAAAGCCAAAGACGCATTGAGTACAGACAAGCAGTGTTCATCAAACCAAGGTTTGAGAGCATTACCACGAGCATTAGAGATAGCATCACCAGTGAGAGAACCCAACCGAGCATTGAAATCGCCACATTGAATAGTATCCCTAGTCATAGGTAATGAACTAAGGGCCGAGAGCACCTTATCAGATGATAAGGGTGGAGGTAAGTATACACAATGGACCGTAAGGGAGCCAACCTTAAGGGACAAAGTATGCGGATTATAGGATGGGAGTTGATAGACAGAGTAAGGACAGGAAGGAGAGACAAAAGCAGTAATACCACCAGAACCACGGTTGAAGGCACCAGGTACTTTCGAACCGTAAAGATGGTATTGGGACCAATCTGTAGGAAAAGAGCCAGAAGTTAGCCAGGTTTCAGTAACCAGCAAGACATGAGTATCCAGGACATGAGAGAGAACATCGTGAATCACTGATTGACGAAGACCATTGGCATTCCAAAGAGAGAGAGAGACAAATAAGGAGTGGACAGGGTTATCATTTTGGGTATACAGTATCGAGGACTCAGTGGTGGAACACATTATTGTTCCATAGCAGAATCTTCATTGGCAGAGTCAGCATTAATCTTGCGACGGAACAAGAAGTTAGCCCTCTTGGGTTCCTTCTTTGCAAAGCGTTGAATGGCATCACCAACAGAAACAGAAAGGTCTTCGTCACAAATCCAGCCTTGCTCAACAAAGTACTTACCAACACCACTGACATTCAGAGGACGTAGGAAAGCTAAGGTTTGCAGACACCGAGCAGCAGTAAATTCCATGATCAAAGCAGTACGTTGATCCAGAGTCAAAGAGTCATACTTAGGATCAGCTATGTTAGCAGGGTCCAAAGGGTCAAAGTCGAAGAAGAATTCAGCCTCACAAGCCTCCAAAAGTGCAGTAAAATCCTGAACATATTGCACATGCACCAGGATGCCAATAACATCGGATGCTGGGAAACAGATGTCAAGCACACGACCCAAATCAACGCCGGCTTTGCGCAAGAGAGAGCGAACTTCAGAGCGTGCAATCTTCTTAGATCTACCAATATAAACATATTGGTAACCTTGAGGTCCTTTACGAGCAGCAGTTGTAAAGGCGCGACCAATAGCAAGACGCTTCTTAGCTTGCTTAGCTTCAGTAGCAGGATCAGGAAGAGTAGCAGCAGCCTTTGCGACATTTGCATAGCTAGGTGATTTAGTAGCCTTAGTATTCATAGAGCCAGTAGTAGTTTTGAGGGTTGACCCCTCTACCGCCGTGGGCCGACTCGAACCAGAGGGGACCACGTGACCGGAGACTGCACCCTGCAATTTTTGAATTGCAAGGTCCTTGTCCTGTAAAAGTTTTTTCAACTCTGAATTCTCTTTTTCCAGAGTATCTAAACGAGCAAGAAGACCATCATGTTCGTTGACGCGAGCAGTAACCGAGGTAAGTTGTTCTTGGAGCTGATTAAGAATCATTTGAAGCTGATTCATATCCATACCCTGTAGATTGGTGGCCATGACGGAGAATATTTTTTTATAAATTTGAAAATTTTTAAAAAAATATCAAGGAGGTGTTCGACAAATTTGAAACTATAACACAATAAATTGTTACCAAAGGCAAGCAAAGTTGTGTAATTTCGAGTTGTTGGAGTTGGTAGTTATCGAGGAAATACGTTTTTTCTAGTCTGGAACAACTTTTTTCCGAAAACGGTGGCAAAAAGTGTTGAAAAACGGAAAGAGATGCGGGTATAGCTCAGTTTAATATTGGTTTTTTATTTATTTACAAATGTAGTCAACTGCGGAATCGGTATGATCATATGTTGCAAGACTAACAGTGATTCGGCGGGAAAAAGCATGTTTAAATTAAAGGTTGAGGGGAGCTGCTAAAAGGGAGGGGACCAGTAAAGTAAACGGCATCAAAACCCACCAGAGAGGAGGAGAAACAGAGGGAGGAATAGCAATGGCCGCGCCGCAAGACGGGGGAGACGAACAGGACTCAAGGTAGAAACCGGCCAGACGCACCGCAGCACACCTAAACGTGCAAGCACAAATACCGAGTAACATGCCAGGTTAGAAAGGCGGAAAATATGGATGCGAAGGTGGGATTCGAACCCACGACCTCTCGGCATACTCACTGCTTCCGCATGAAGCTCTAACCAAGTGAGCCATTCAAGCATCCATGCGGGTATAGCTCAGTTTAAGATTGGTTTTTATTTATATGAAATTTAGTGGGCACTCGATGGGAGCATAGCCTAATTTCAAGAACAAATATATAACAAGTAACTAAAAAAATCCTCCAGAGCACTTTCAAAAGGACAAAAAATGCAGTGACAAGAGTGCAGGACATGGAGACTAGTGGTGCTCACATTGAGGATCTCGAGGGACAACCAACGGATGGGAACTTTGATAATGACTTACCACCGAGGAGCCGCACGTAGAAAACAACAATGGAACATGTTCATCCCTGTCAGATCAACCAGTACGAGAGTACCAAAGAGACGCTGGATCTGGATCCGGAGCAATGACAGCCAGAGGATGCACAAGGCAATCGATAGCATACAGTAGGTTCAGTAGAGCAGACCAGTAAGCAGGAGGACCAGCAGAGGCAGTGGTTGGCAGGCAATTAAGAGCATGATCAATACGGTGCACACCAGGAGGAGCAGGCGGCAAGGCATCGATTAAGTCAGGATCAAGAGCACGGCAGTACAAAAAGTGATCACGAGAGATGTGAACACCTGCAGGTGACATACATGGGCACTCCTCACGCATGTTTGTGAAGCGACCAAGGCGCCAACGGACCAAACGACTACGGGCAATACGACCAAGAGGCAGATAGAGGATGGGATCAGGCCTTGTGGTATCAGGACGACAAGCACGAAGCAAAGTATGACGACCAGTGACAGCAGCAGCAGAGAGCTGGAGATCAACCTGATCTTGCCAATAGGCAGCAAAGGTAGTGCGCAAGCCAGCAGAGGAAGGAACAGGGTCAGGCAGCGACTGATACAGAGGGTTTTCACATATAAAACGATCCAACCTTGTATAGTGCAAATGGGCACGAAGCAGAACCAGCAGACAATCGTCAGGCAGAGTATCAGCACGCAGAGCAAAACGGATAGCCAGGACATTGTAGCGATGTTTGATACTGGGGAGACAGGTAATGTGCTTGGCGACATTGACCCAAGTACTACCCACAAACATGCCAACAAGTCGGTTTTGCAGAGTATCCAGAGCAGTGAAATCACGAGCAGAGAGATGGGAGATGGCCAGACCATATTCAAGCTTAGGACGAATAAATGTCCTGTACAGGCGAGAGGAGAGCAGCAAAGAGAAACCATTGCGGTTGACACCAACAGAGTTTAACAGAGCCATGGTCTTGACAGCACCAGCAGAACGCAGAGACAGAATACCAGGAGCATGCAGGCCTTTGTATCGGAATGGCATACCAAGGTATGTAAATTCGTCAACGACAGGCAGAGCTTCATTGTAAAGTACCAGAGGAGAACCAGCAAGAGCAGCAGCAGTACCAAGTACAGCACATTTGGAAGGCTTCCACCTATATCCAAGAGAGACAGAATGACCAGCAGCAAGATCCAACATACGCTGAACCTCAGACTTTGAACCAAAGACAGCCACATCATCAGCGAACAGGAGACTATTGATAGCAATAGGAGCATCAGCACCAGGCACAGGCAGCATAGTAGCACCAGTAGCACCAGAACGCAAAAGACTCGGTAAAGAATTGATATACAACGAGTACAAGTGGGGACTGAGCACTGAGCCTTGCAGAACACCAGTAACAGGAGAGAAAGCAACCGAGTTGTGATTAGCTATCAAGACAGAAACAGACACATCATCAAACATGTTGATCAACAGACCCAGAACAGCACGAGGAAGACTAGAACCAGCCAAAGCAGACCAGATAACACGACGATCGACTGTGTCATATGCTGACTTGATATCCAAGAAAGCGACAACAGGACGACGACGGTGCGCAACAAAGTAATCATGCATCAAGTCATGCAAGCAGAGGGCTTGATCCAGAGGACTACGTTGAGGGCGGAAACCACCTTGGGCAATGTCAAGGGCAGGAGAATGGGCATCCAGCTCAGGCATGAGAGAGAACTCAAACAGTTTGCGCACAACAGAAGTCAGAGAAATAGGCCTATAGTTGGCGGGGTCAGAAGCATCACCTTTCTTGAAAATGGGAAAGACTTGGGCTTGGCGCCAGAGAGCAGGAGTATACGACCATTGATAGCACAATTTGAAGAGCAACGACAAGACAGGAGCAATCTCAGAGATCAAGGACTTGAGCATCTCAGCCTTGATATGATCTGGACCAGGAGCTTTATGTGTTGGGAGCCGTCGAATATGAGATACTAAAGTATCAACATCAAACAGTGACATGTCCACAGGCACACAGAAAGGCAGAACAGAGTCAAAGGTGGGAGGAGCAGCAGGACGAGTAGCAGTGGCAAGCAGAGAGCCATCATACACCGAGGCGAGATGAGAACCCATAGCAGAGACAGAAGCAGCAGGACCATCAGGGTGGCTGTACGTAGGAGAGGATTCTTTATTACGCTTGATGCGCTTAATAGCAGCAGTAGCTTTTGAGAAATCACACTCCAGGGCAGTACAAAATTGTTGCCAGGACCTTCGCTTTGCAGCTTGTACCAGGGAACGAAACTTGCGATGAGCAACTTTGTATAAGAACCATTTTTCAATTTTGGCAATACCAAAGGCATGCCTCCATTGACTATATGAGCGATCGCGTGCAGTAGCAGCATCCTGAATTTCTTGTGTCCAGTACTTCTTCCAATGGCCAGGACGACCGGATTTTACACCAATAGAACTATCCAGAGATTCATACAAACATTGATTCAAAGAATCGTTGAGTGCATCAATATCTGGACGAACACCAGGAGGAGCAGACACCAAACCAGAGAGAGTAACAACCAGAGGAGCAACAGAAGATCGAAAGGATTCACGGAGTAAGCCCAAAGGCTTCTCTTTCGTCAATTTCGAGAGCTTCCATTGACGCCGAGGAGCCAGAACAGAATCACCAGGAGCCACAGTGTCATCGAGAGGTGGCACATACCCGAAAGTAAGTGACATCAATCGATGGTCAGAACCAAGAGACAGATCAGACTCAACCACCAGTTGAGGATTCACCAAAGCAACATCACCAATATTTGTCAAAAACAAATCAATGACACTACTCAATTCTTGCTGCTGCCGAAAAGAAGAGTACGTCGTAACGCCAAAAGCCAAAGACGCATTGAGCACAGACAAGCAATGTTCATCAAACCAAGGTTTGAGAGCATTACCACGAGCATTGGAGATAGCATCACCAGTGAGAGAACCCAACCGAGCATTGAAATCGCCACAGAGGATAGTATCCCTAGTCATAGGTAGTGAACTAAGGGCCGAGAGCACCTTATCAGATGATAAGGGTGGAGGAAAGTAAACACAATGAACCGTAAGGGTGCCAACCTTTAGAGACAGAGTGTGCGGATTATAAGAAGGTAGTTGGGAGACAGTGAAGGGACAGGAAGGAGAGACAAAGGCAGTGACACCACCAGAACCACGATTGAAAGCACCAGGTACTTTTGAACCATAGAGATGGAATTGAGACCAGTTTGTTGGAAAAGAGCCAGATGTAAGCCAAGTTTCAGTAACCAGCAGAACCTGAGTATCCAGTACATGAGAGAGAACATCATGGACTGTTGATTGGCGAAGACCATTGGCATTCCAGAGTGAAAGAGAGACGAAAACCGGGGAGACAGGCACATTAACATTATTAGGCAGTATAGATGGGGCAGAGAAGGAACTCATTATTGATCCACATCAGACATATCACTATCAGATCCAGCCTTGTCCTGGGAATCAGAGTTCAGCTTGCGACGGAACAGGAAATCAGCCTTTTTGGGCTCCTTCTTAGCAAAGCGTTCAACGGCCTGAGCAACGGCAACAGAGAGACTTTTATCGCAGATCCAACCTTTCTGTATAAAGTACTTACCGACACCACTAACATTAAGTGGGCGGAGGAAGGACAAAGTTTGCAGGCAGCGAGCTTCAGTAAATTGGTGGATCAGAGCATGACGATCATCATCAGAGAGGCTGGCGTACTTGGGATCAGCAATATTGCTGGGGTCCAATGGATCAAAAGCAGGAAACAGTTCACCCTTAGCCTTGGTCAATAAAGCAGTAAATTCCTCAACGTATTGAACGTGCAACAGAACACCAATAATATGGGAGGCAGGAAAGCAGATATCCAAGACACGACCCAGATCAACACTAGCATTAGCTAGATGCTTACGCACTTCAGAACGTTGGATCTTTCGGGATCTACCAATATATACATACTGATAGCCCTGGACACCTTTGGTAGCAGGAGTGGTAAAGGCACGGCCAGCAGCAAGACGTTTTTTGTCTTTTTTCTTAGGATCAGGCTTGTGAGCAGCAGCAGTAGCGATTTGGGCGAAGTTAGGAGCTTCCTTGAGAGGCTTTGGAGACACTGGGATAGAGGAACTTTCGCCCCCCTTGGGTCGACCCGAACCAGGAGAAGTGGTGTGACTAGTAACTGGACCTTGTTGTAATTTTTGAATAACCAGGTCCTTGTCTTGTAAAATTTTTTTCAGATCCTTGTTTTCTTGTTCCAAAGCAGCCAAACGTGTAAGGAGGTCCTCATGCTTGTTAACTTTCTCTGTTACCAAAGTAAGTTGTTGCTGGATTTGTTGCAGTATCGCTGGAAAGTGACTCATATCCAGAGCTTGTAGATTGGTGTCCATGGCGTTGAATATTTTTTGAAATTCCAACAATTTGAAAAAATATGAAACAGGTGTACGACAATTCTGAAATTATAACACAATAAACTGTTGATGGATGCAAGTATACTGGTACAATCTCGAGTGGATTGGAGTACTGGATGATGAGATATTACGTTTTTTGTGGTTTTCAGGATACTTTTTCCAAAGAGGGTGGCAAAAAGTGTCGAAAAACGGGAAGAGATGCGGGTATAGCTCAGGCGAAAATTTATGGTTGTTTATTGATTACAATGAATTAGCAAAGTAAAAAATATAGACTTATATGCATGCGATCTTTGGATCATTAGTTGCAAGTCCTGAGAAGCGACGTACAGCAAAAAAGCTTAAATTGATAGTTTGATCTCCATGCAGGAACAACATGCAAGTGTCCAGAAAAGGGAAAAAAGGTCCTAAACTAAAAATTAAACTGGTAAAAAAGAAGTACAGGCAGGAAAAAGGAGTAAAACAAGTGAGATAAAAGGGTAGAGAATAAGAAGCTATGGTGTATGAGACATGCAATTGAGGATACCTCGATGTTCAGACAGCAGCACAGACAAAATAAACCCACAGACCTCAGTGGCACAAAAAAAGCAAGAAAAAAAGGAGAAAACGAGGCATTTGCATATAGCAAAATGAGCAGAGAGACAAAGACCAAACGAGAAAGAAGCAGAGAAGGAGGACAAAGTAAATACAGACACTACCATAAAGGCAGCAGAAACAGAAACAACGAGAGTGGGAATGAGAGAGCAAAACGATTTCAACAGCAAGGTGTCAATCAGTTATCAGAAGGCTCTGACATTTCAAGATCCTTGGTAGCAGAGAGAGTGGGGGAGACAGCATAAGCCAAAAGAGAGGCAGTTTCAGCATCATGATGCAAGAGGTAGCCAAGATAACTCAAACGTTGTTTCTTGGCTAAACGCTCTTGATCAGAGGATCGGGATGGTGGTTTAGCAGCAGCAGAGGAGGAGGAACGAGCAAGCATTTCTTCTTTCAAAATGGCATCAAATTGGGCTTGGTTGATGCGATCATACAAAAGAAAAGAACGAGCAACAGAAACACGGACAGAGCGACGGACAAAAGACAGCGAACGAAGGCAGCGAAGGTTTTCGACCTCAATGGCCTTTTGGACACGCAGATCAGGAGAGAGAGAAGCAAATTTGGGATCTTTGAGATTGACTGGATCACATGGATCAAAGTCAATCAACGGAGAAGAGCCACGACCATGGAGATGCATGGCTTTGGTGAGGGTGAGAACATAGTCGTTGTGAACAAGGAAAGAAATCACATTCTGTACAGGATATTGAATATCCAGCACACGAGAGTTATTCAATCCTACGCCTTGAACAAGGCGACGCAGCTCAGAAAGACGACGGCGGACAGGAGTAGCATAGTACACAAATTGATAACCAGATGGTATATCACTTTGAGGAGCAAAAAGACGAGCAAGAGTAGCGGATGCCTTGGTGGCAGATGGAGGAGGAGGACGAGCAGCAGGCTTCTTCTTACGCTTTGCACCTGTATTAGATGCAACGACGGCAGCAAAAGATGGTTGATTTCCTGGAGACGAAGAGGTGGCAGAGGTAGCATTGGTGCATGTAGTTGATGTTGGTGCTGTTGTGGTGGTAGTAGTGGCAGGAGGTGGGTGGGATGATGATGGTTTGGGAGCCAGGCTAGTTGTAGTACCAGTAGCAGCTGCAAGTTGGGCTTCGAGAGCGTGACGAGCAGCTTCAGACTCTGCCAGGGCTGTTTTTAACCGCTCAATTTCGACATGGGCGGTTTCCAGACGAGCTAAGCGATTTCGAACCTCAATCATAAAGGTTGAAAGTTGCTGTTCACTCGCTGGAGAGGCAGATGGAGGAGTTGTTGGTCCAAAATCAGTAGAAATGTTGATGATATCAACTGATGTTTGTGGATGATGGTGCTGATGAGAGGTTGGAGTGAATGTCATTTTCTTTGTTTTCAACTGTTGAGTGAAATCTACAGCGAAAAAAGGTGGAGATCTTGAGGAACTTGGCCGTTTTTGACCTGGAGAAAGAGAGGACGCACAGCTTAATGCCTGGTTTACTTTGGTGTCGTCTGGAATGATGTTCTTGCTATGTATTGTATGGAATTGTAGAGTTGGGTCAATTTTTTCAATATTACTGGGCTTCAATGTATTAAAAAAATTGGTTAGCGGAAAGAAAGGTGCGGGTATAGCTCAGCTGGGAGAGCGTTAGACTGAAGATCTAAAGGTCAGGTGTTCGATCCACTTTAGCCGCAATTTTTTGCAAAAATTTAGATTAGTAGTGTATGTAGACAAAATTTTTTGCTCTTCTTTAAGCATTAGGTTACTTGCATCGACTACTTTTTCTGCTTGGAATGATTAGAATCTATTGTTCTGATGCCAACCTTGAGCAACCCTGATTCACAGACCATTTACAAATATCTGTATATCGTTTAAAGCTAGCAAGGTCGATCAACTTATTTTTAAAAACAACATTGTGCCAGATTTTACATTATCATATCATTTCGTCCAAATTTGTCTTGCACTACCGAAGCGCAAATCAATAAATTCTGTAGATAAGCTTTAATTCAACACCTAGTATGTTCGTTCTGATGCAAATTATCAGTAGAATAGCTGAACCACATCAAGATCATTGCCGAAACTCTCTACTATTACAATATGTACAATCAAATTTATTCGTCTGAATACAAATACAACCAACTTTTAGCTATTCCAAACGTATATACATTTTAAAATACATATTTGCAGTTATCATGCTACATCATTTGCAACATGTTTCTGAGGGTACTCAGAAGAGGATGTGCTTGCGGGTGGATCTATTGTTACAACCACAGGGGGCACTTCAGGTTCTGAGCCAAGTCTTGAATGAGGTTTGCATAAATCAGCTTGAAATCCTCGATAGTAGATATTGCCTGGATCAGGGTTACAATATGTATCGGATGGGATACCCAGCACGTCAAAATCTTTTTTGGCTCTCTGAGTCCATTCAATGCGATCCTCTGGTGTAAATGCAAACTTTCCTAAATTTGCCCAGTAATAGGCCTTTAAGAACCTAATTTCCTGAATGAAATGCATTTCAAATACGCCATGACGAAGAACCTAATCAATAAAAGATCAAATCAGCAACGCTAAACCTAAGAGGCGAAATAAATCGTTACCATGTATCCCTCCACAATACGTCGAGTTGTGACATAAGGCAGCGCACGTGCAAGATAGAGACAGGGTTGAGTGAATTCCCAAAATTTGACTTGCTGGAACGCATGATTGAGTCGAGATAGTCCAAATATAAACTTTTCGTAGTTCTTAACATCACCATCAGATACAAGATCTATTTGACCGTCTTCTACCATACTATACAAACCCATGGTAGCAAATATAAGACCATAGATGGGAAAGATGTTTGCTATTGCAATGTGGCCATTAGTAAATGTCTCATTACTAGAGCTTAATTTACCTACGAGTGACAGTAAGTGAGGGTAGATTGTTGACTAACTTTTGCAAATGCCGTCTAGCCAAATCGTATATGTGATTTCTTGCGTAATAGCAAACCAAAGTGCCATGAATAGCAATTCGATTATAATCGGCAGCCTCTTTTACGTGTGCTTCCAGCAATGCCACATAAGGCGCGCAGTCAGCCAATCGATCTATGACAAGGGCATTTCCCACATTGTAGACACCAAGCCAAATTTCAGCTTCAAAATCGCCGTTGCTATGGGCCGTGTCTGCCATCTGCTTAAGCAGCGCCATATCAGTTGCAGATTTGTTGAAGGCGCCCTCAAATATACGCATTGTTACCACCAAGCCAACCGACCTATAGAAGGCCTGACAATCGGTGACAATGCCTAATGTTCGTGATCCCTCGATTGACTGATACAACAAATCTCTTGCATTTGAAAATTTGCCGGCAGCAAAGCATAACAGCGAGCAGATGGTCAGTGTACCAGGATCCGTTTTGTCAGTTCCCATTTGTCGTAAAGCCTTTGCAATGTAAAAGATGCTGTTTGCCTTGTCGTCATTCAGCCAACAAAGTAGAGCATTTCTGGCCAAAAACAAGGTGTAATTGGGACCGACATCACCTAATTTCTCGCAAGCGTTCAAGCCAACCAGACAGGCGTATACAAAGTCGCGACCATTACCAGTGTAAAAGTAGATATTGGATAGCTGTGCCATGATCTCTACTACACGATGGCCATGCTCTCTTTTAGAGGGAGAACTATATTTTGACAGGACGCCCCATCGACGGTGTTGATACTGCTTCAACCTGTTTTTCCAGAAATTGTATAAAAACTGTGGTTCTGATCGCGGCCATGCTTCTCCGAGAATTTCCAGAGCCTTGAACAAAAAATGCTCGCCTTCCGTTAGCTTGGTTCTCATTGTATAACACACACCGAGTCGACGATACACATCACTGAGATGAACGTGTCCAAACTGACTAAGCAGATCATCGTTTTCGTCCAGAATCTTGACAATTTTCTGAAGATTGAGTGTCGCTTCTGGTAATAGATAGTTTTGCATATTTTGATCGGCTAATGCCTCGAGATAAGAAAGTTGTTTTCCAACTGAATCCGTCTGCAGATAGTGCCGCGTAATCTTTCCGAGCAGTTGAAGGTAATTGTCTCTGTTTAATTGACTTTCATAGTATTTGGCCAGTGCTCGATGTTGCGCGATGCGAGTTTCGTAGGACATCATATCATAAATACTTTGGGGAATGGTGATGTGTGTGAAGTTGTACACAGCAATGTTGCTTTCCAGTGGATTGCCATTGTCAACTTGCTGTAAGAAATGATACACATCAAACTTCTTGATTTGCTTTTGTATTGCCTCGGGATCGTCTTGCTTGAATATGTAATTGGTGTCCTTGATAACAGCCTTGACTTCAAAGATGGTGAAATATTGATCCAAGCAGCAAGCAACCTAACGCACGGGCATGTTTAAAAAGCGCAAATTTCGTGTCTCCAATACAAACTTACTGTTAGAAATGCTTGATAGTTCGGGTCGAGTCGATCGAATTGCATCTTGATGATTCTCTTGTAGTCAAAGTTACCCAAAAGATCCTCCAAATCAAAACTATTACTACTAGGCACAAGCTCCCCTTCTACCACTGTGACATGATTGAAATCCTTTAGAATGATTGCCATGTTTCTATACAGCAATTTAGTCGATGAGCGTCAGCATGTTTGTGTATGTTACATACTTGACATAAAGTGGGTTTCCGCCAGTGCGTTTCTGCATTAAAGTTTAATATCAGGGCTTGAAGAAGCAACGAGGCAACTTACCTGAACGACCTTGACAATCTTTGGACTGATGCGGTCGACACCACTACCAAAGTTTTGAAGAATAATTTCGCCAATTTCATCAGCGCCAAGACCATTCAATTGAATCTCTACATAGGAGCCGGTGGCTCGGTATTTCTCTATGAAAAGAACATTATAATCTTTAATAGGACGAGTGGCCATTATGATGAACACTTTCTGACAGTGCTCATGAATGTGCTGCAGGATGCGAATAGAAGCAGTGTCGGCCCCTATGTCAGTAACGGCTGAGTATACACTTGAGGCATCCTAAATGCGCTACTTACATTGAACATCATCACAAATAAAGACCAATCCCACACATCTGGAAACATGCTGCGCGATTCTTGTAATGACACCTGTCAGCAAAATATCTCTTGCTCGTCCATCCAATAGCCGTGTATATCGGTTCTCTCCAACATCATTCAGAGTTGTGAATATCACCTTGAACAGCGGCATGTATCCAATCTCTTCACCGCACTTTTGCAGGCATCTCGAAATCAAATCGACCATTTCGTTGCATATTTCGATATTGTTTGAGCCAGATCCGAGTGATGAAGGTGTCATGGAGGCATGAGAAGCAAGTGATCTAAACCACTCTTTGCTGGTAGGAAAACTTGTGGAAGATGGGCTTGTATTGACGGATTCATTTGATTCGGCAATCGATGGACTTGATGTATCGTGCGGGTGGCGCTGTGTGCTGCTCGCAGTTATATGCGAACAGTTATCAGATTTGCCTCTGCCTTTGGCTGGTATTCTGTCTGAATCAATGATTTCAAATAACGCTAGCATGATATTTCGCAAGAGATAGTATTTGCTGCCCTTTTCGACTAAATTGAGGTCAGCATCATAGACTTAATGTGCTATACCCGTTGCCATTGTTACCTTCAGTAGACGAAGACCAGCTTTAGAGACAGAAAAATCAATACAGTGATTGCAACAGAAAGCTTCTCGACTTACCAGCTCAGTACACCATGTGTCCTAATGAGCTTATGCAGATTATCACAAAAAAAACTTTTGCCGACACCAGAAGGTCCTGACACAATGAGAAAGTGATGATTTGGCGCATCTGCCCAATCGTCCACAAAACTGGTTGCTGTTTGCATTTCTGACTTGTACCCAATAAAGTCATTGGACTTTTCAAAGCTCAATACGGATATACGTTTGTCTCTTTCAGGAGGACCAAATCTTGATATTCCAAATATTTGCACAGGCTTCACCTTGCCCTTGACAAAGTTTTCTCCAAAATCTTCAAACTCACATAGCCCACCAATCTGTTTACGAGTGGATGGATCGCATACAACAGTCTCCTTGGAGAATGGGAACTTGAGCATGCGCACAGCAACCACAATTGTATCACCTGATATGCCTGGATCTCTTCTATATGGCCCTTTGGGTGGCAAAACAGCAGTAAAGATGATGCCCGTTGATAGCGAAATGGAGAATCCGGTAAAGCCTTGCTCCAAATAGCTGTCTCGAATCTCTAATGCAGCTTTGGCAGCGAAAACAGCTTCACGCTCATGGGATAAAGGAGGCAAGCCAAACACAGACAATAAAGTGGCGCCTATTCGAGTAATGTGTCAATGATTTGTGCTTCGCTTCTTTCATGCGATTAATACTTGCCCTTGTCGTCAATAGCAAATTGCTGCAGCATACCTTCGTATCTTACCAGCGCTTCTATCACGATTAAAACTGCAGTTTGCACCTTCTTGAGCCCCTCTTTACTAAAAACATCCGTCTTTCCCAAGCTGATAAACATGATGGTTGCCTCTCGAAACTGTGCTGGTATACTGCCATCTACACTCTGCTGCATTCGGTAAAGAGCGCTTCTGTTGATATATTGACAATAGAACCGATTCGAGTTGACCGGGAGGTTAGTATGGAAAGTGTTCCGCACACGGGGTACAAGTGGTTCAATCGACATTTTTGATGCATGTGTCCTCAATCCAGGCAATGTCTTGAGGTAGTCAGCATTGCTCAGTGGTTGTGCTACTGAACTGCTTTTTCTGCTGAGTGGACTCGTATTGTGCCGTAATCCAGATGATGTATGAGAGTGATTGCTGCTTTTTCGTATGGGTCGGTCCTCAGTGATGTTTTTGATGACAAAAAAGCGCCTTCGTCTTTCAAAGCTGAGGTTCATTGATTGTCTTCGCACAATATCGTATGCTGCAGGTGTAATGCTGAGCTCTCCAGCCTTCGCAATCGATAATGCTTCGTCCAGTGAGTCCACTACATCGCCACCAATAGCGTATTCCAGTCTACCCCTATATTCCAGAAAAAACTCGTCCAGGATGGGCGAAATATCAGCAGCGTTGTCCATTGATCTCAACTGAGGAAACAGGCTGGCATGCTGATGAGCATCTGTATCATTCGGATCTAGATCACCCAGCACAATGTTGATGACATTTCCGCAAGACAGCGCCATGTGCAATTCCAAATCAACGCAGTTGTTCAACTCCGAGTTGTTGCTAGACATTTCACTGCTATCGCTGGGCCTTCTTTCCTTGTATCTATCTTTGCCTTTCATCTTGAGAAATGCTGGCACCCAATTATCAATGGAGAGAAAGTGGTTTTCTTCAAATGTTGTTGGCTTGATGTCCTGTGCTATCTTTTCGTCCTGGCTGCAGGTGGGGTTCATCGCATCGTAAATTGTTCCCTTTTGCTCGTCTTTCTTTTCTCCATTAGGGGTCCTATGCTTGGATCTTTCTTCAGCCGTGAGATAGACTCTGTAATGTGATAATCGAGCAAGCAGCTGCAATCCGCATTCGACTCCTCGACGCACCAGCAAGTTCTTTTGTCTTTCAGATGCCTCCACCTCGTCTTCATTTGTTGTTTCTGATGAATCTCGTCTGTCTTTGGTATCAATGGGTTGAAAGCACACCAACACTGCGTCTCCCAAAAACTAAACGACAGAAAAGCTGTCAATTGCAAATCGCTCAACAGCGATCATTTATACATTACCTTGACAACGTCACCACCATAGAATTCAATGATTTGAATACACTATATCAGCTAGATGTCAACATGCCAATCCATGCAGTTGGATATTGTGTTACCTCTCCCATGTACGCTCCGATTTCCATGGCAATGGCCTCTGCGCCAGAATCGCCTTTTGCTTGCGCCAATGTCGTCAGCTATACGAAACTCTTTTCAGACAATGTTTTGAGTGTTTGGCATGATCTCGTCTATGACTTTACCGTACTGAATCCTAAAGTAAATGTCAATCACCTGTTGTGCAATACTCGAGAATCCTCATTAAAATTTACCAACAACATCTACCATCAGCACAACGCCAAACTGACTGTGGCTGTATGGCACACTGAATGAGTCATCTGTGGCATGTAGTGCTCGAACATACTAAAAAGGTGCACAATGGGTGTTAGCTATCATGTCCACAAACAAACAATCCCGCTATTACTCTACTTTGGCAATGTACGGTGCGATATTGAACATTTAACACAACTTGAAATGCGAATCGTCGGTTCGAGTTTTCTCTTTGAATGTGAAAACAGTTTTTTTAATTGATACTTGAAAGAAAGAGGCTGTGCAAGATTTACTGCTAAAACAAAATGGAACCAGAAAAAAAAAATTGAGAAACAACCAATTTTGGGAACAAAAAGAAGTTTCCCGCGTTGATTACCATGAAACGGACTTTACAGCCCTTAAGGCTTTTTATTTGATACGTTTTGGATTGATGAAAAGCAACTCGCATGATTCTTTCCGTTTATTCGCACAAACATCAACTATTATGTAGGGTCGTTTCAACTCGTTTGTGAGCTTTTATAATATTCATATCTGTTTGATATAATCTGCTCCTCATCAAATCAAGGAACAGCATTTACATCCATCAGAGCTGTGAGGTATTCCTCTTAATAAGGAAATTGAACTTACAGATGTTTCGGGGGACAAGCCATGTTGCCTGGCGATATCAGTTATAAAAGTGCTCAGCCAAACCAGAAACAGACAAGTAAGCTAATATATAGTAGCATTCAGTTTGAAGTCTCTTTCTCTTAAGCTTTCTACAGCTACGATCACCCTCTTGCCAGCAAGCAGCAGCCGCCAAAAACAATTCAAGTTTCGTACGTTTTTCTTCACTTGAAATGGGAAAATTCCGATCAAATTGCGACTTGATTGATCTATTTTGTCAGATTCGACTATATAAACTGTGATATGATTATCCCATACTTCCTAATTTATTCTAGGAATACTCTTCAAGGCGCATTCATGGTGTTACTTATAATATAGGGTTTGAATAAACATTTTGAATAATATTTGAAAATATGAAATGGCGTTTTTGGCGGAAATACAGAGATCGTACATATAAAAGCTTCACAAACAATACTTCAGGGGTTGCCTTGAAGCAAAAGAAGCATTTTGAGTTAATATAATAAATGTTCAGCCCCTAGACACTTTCAAAGCCTCAAAAAGGAAAGAAGCTGATCTGACAAGTATTTTGGTAGACTGGCGCTATTAAATATAGAACGCAAGAAGAATAGCATGACTAAAGATAGCAATATATAATTTGCCGCCTAATTTCCATACGCTTTAAAAGTACCTATTAATGTACTGCCTTCATGATGAAAAGGGCATTACGTTTGCCAGCCTGCCCACAAGCAAAAATTAATTCAAGCCCAGAATTATGGTCTGTTCCAGATTGGCCAAAACCTGATGATTCGGACACGATTGAACTAGTTTTGCAGATTCGACTAAGTACAATATGATAATTATCGTACACTTCATTAAGCTTTCTTGGAGTGCTTTTCAAGGCGCATCCAATGGTACCAAGTAAGATAGATGTTTTGAATAAACTTATTGAGTAATTTACGAAAATATGAAAAGAGGTTTCTGGCCAAAATGTCGAATTTCTACCTATCAAGGTCCCACAAAGATGATTTTAGGGGCTGCTTTGGATCGATAGAAACATTTTGATTCAAGATATACCATAGTAAAAGTCTTCATTTTCAAGGTCAAAAATGCGATCGTTTGATTTTCGATGAAAGCCATGAGGGGTACCTCATGCTTTTTGGTCGATTTTTGACCATGTTTTTTTGGTCCCCAAAAAGTTGAGCAAAGGTGTCGGAAAGTAGCTGCCAGATGAGAGCAATTGTTTGGTGCTATTCTGACCATCTAAAACAGCCTTGAGCGCAAGAAAACGCAACTCAAATGCACTTAGATTTTGCTGTATCAGGGACACTAAGGACTAGAGAGGGAAAATACCAGTATGATACTTGCCCCTATATGGAGTAGCTACATGTATATGGATGTAGAGCAGCACATAAGAGTCAGATCCATAGATAATATAAAGGGTTTTCATGTGTAAATGGAGAGTCAACATGAAAGCAGCAGTATTTTGATAAGATACGTAAGAGCAATCAGTAGCACGAGCAGCCGCTGCGCAGATTGGTTCTCATCAAAGCAAAGTGAAGGTAAACAACTACTCAAAATACGTAGAGGCACTCGTATTCGACAATGTAAAAATATAAGGTTTTTATAGAATAACTGAAACATATACATATTAATGAGGGGATAATATAACAGAGTAGTAGGATAAAAGGTAAGTGGGGCTAACATTAATAGTAGGCGCATCACAGCTGATAATGTGTATAAATATATGCAACTGAATGAAGCGGCTGAGCATTGCATCTAAGTGACGATGTGAACAATTTGCTTCAAGGCACGCTTCCACCAGGGTCCTTGAATGACCTCTTCTTCATCCTTATTGAATGTTTCGTACTCGGCTCTACCAGAATCAATATCAATTTCAGCAATAGGAATCAGTTTTGATTTGGTATAAAGCTTGAGAACAACAAACAGAATAACAACTACAACGAGGCCACCATAGTTACCGATCAAACCCACTGGATCAGCAGGTACAAAGTAAGAATAGCCAGCCATCAGAGAAATGACGACACATGCAACCATACCAAAGATATCACCAAAGGGATGAAATGGTGCTTTGATTGGCAGTTGAGCGACGGATCGGCCATGGTATTTAAGTGCTTTACGGAACCGGTAGTGAGCGAGACAGATACCAGCCCAGGTAACAAAGCCAGCAACACCAGAGAGATCAGTGAGAACAACGAACAATGCCTTACCAGGAATGAAGGAAGTGGCAAACGTAACAAGACCAATAATTCCAGTGAGTGTCAATGACCAAACAGGGACACCACGTTTATTGATGTATCCTAGTTTACAGAGAACGTTAGATCAAAGCGCATACAACGACTTCAAGGGTCACTTACCAAATTTAGGATGTGCGAGACCCTCTTTGGATAAAGCACAGAGCATACGCGAGCTTACATACATACCGCTGTTGGCACATGAGAGGACAGTAATGAGGATAACAGCATTCATGATGTGAGCAACACTACTAAGGCCTGCCTTTTCGAATACAATGGTGAAGGGGCTCACTATGTGAAGCATGTTTAATACAGCTTGTTGATGGCATTCCTTTCTTTGTATGTTTACCTGTTACACCGCTTCCAGCATTGAGATTACGTGGATCATCATAAGGAATAAGCATTCCCATAACAAATACTGATCCGAGATAAAAAATGATGATACGCCAAAAGACATTTTTGATGGCACGGGGCACTTGCTATAAACATAATATCTGCTTAGTCCTTTGTGCTCGCTTTATGATGTAATATTATGTGAAATCAAGAAACGTTACCTTGAGAGGATTCTCACACTCACCAGCTGTGATACCAACAATTTCTGTACCTTGCATTGAAAACGAAGCCAACACAAAGGCATTTACCACACCCAGGGCGCCATTTGAAAAGGCTCCAGGATTGCTCCAATACTTGAAACCGTAAACTTCGTGGGGATTATCTTGGCTACATAATTCTCATGCGTTTAGTACACTACACGGTAGACATTCCCGGACTATAGACCAACTTACCCAATCAAACCACCAGATGTGATACAGCCAACAATAATAAAGACGAGAACAGCTATGATTTTGATCTATAGTTTACATGGAATGTGTGACAGATGCACAAATTGGTATTTCAGATCTAAACTTATTTTTGACAATAAATCAGAGATCGAGAATTTGTACTTACGGCACTAAACCAGTACTCAGCCTCACCGTAACTGCGAGCACCAAACATATTTAGAATATAAATGATAACGAGGAAGATACCAGACCCTGTTTTTGAAGGATTTAGTTGATTTGATACATGGCAGCCATGTTTGGGAATACTTTACAGGCCCAATCCGGCACAACGTCTGTCCAAAATGACATTACCAACGGCAGGGCAACCAATTCAGCAGCAACAATAATACTCCAGCACATGAAATAGTTATAGCCGATAGTAGTGCCAAAAGATTTGTCCACAAATCTTCTACAGAACACTGTAAACGACCCGGATACGGGAATATACGTTGCCATCTCACCCAAGGAGAATGTGACCCAGAAAACGATGAAGCCAATGATCGCATAGGCAATCAAAGCTCCAGCAGGACCTGCTCTATTCAAGTTACCGCCAGCAGATAAGAAGAGACCTTGGCCGATAACACCACCCAAAGAAATCATCTAAAATAGTAAAAAAAAAAAAAAATTATCAGGTTATGCGGGGTAGATCAAACAGCCAACCTCCTCTTTCTCCACTTACGGCTAAATGACGAGCTTTGAGGGATCTCTTGAGAACAGGCTTTTCAGATTCTTGGCTTTCCAGAGAGCTAGCACTTCTGATTTCATGGTCATGCTCATCCGCCAGGTTCTCAATCTTTGTTTCCTCTTTTGCAGAGTAGTTGGATATTTGATCTACTTGCCTTTTTTCACTGTCCATGTTGTAAATGTATAAAGAAAAAGTGAAAAAGATGAAGAAAAAAAAAAAAAAAAAAAAACTGAATTGATCTGCACCCCTCTTTATATAAACGAGTGATTTATTATACAGTGATAGAAGCAATATGGTTAGGTTAATTAGCACCGAGAAGCTTGTGAAATGCGAGTTTTATAAAAGGAAACTTCCTAGTACTTCACTTTGAACTCATGACACTCTACAGCGTTCAGTAAATGATACTGAGATAGAGTTTTAACCTTAATCGATAATATTCCCCATTGCATTTTATCTTGATTCTGGTTATCGTAGAGCTGTAGGTGCTTATCATTCATCTCGGTTATCGTAACCCTGCTTCATTACACAGACCATTTTCCCGCGTATCGATATCTTGCTTGTCCTGCGCTTGTTTCTACAGCGTTTTGATGGCGATTCCATACGAAAAAGACATTGGCTTGTTACAGATCAAAGCAGATAAAGTTACACCATCTTCTTTTTACTTCCTTATAAAAGGCATGATTGGCTATTCATCTCGATATTTGAGTCGTACAAGCAGTGATAATACTGTCTTGAGAACAGATTCTTTTACCTTATAATCATAAAAGAGTCTTTTTTTTTTAGTTATAAAAAATCAAAGAAATGATGGAATCAGGGATCTGCAACCGATATACATGCATTTCAAGTAGCAATAAGGTGAGTAGAGCCATAAATGTCAAAGCAGACATTACCAGATGCTATGCAGTAGCGAAATGAAGCATGCAGTCTTTTTTTTTTTTTTTTTTTTTTTTCTGAGCTGACAAATAACGCATCTCACTCTCATATCATATTTGGGATTATGGTATTGGCACATGTGCAACATGAATCCTTGATGTTTCCGTTGACAAGTCGAATATGCCTCGGTTGCTCTGGTGATCAAGTGGTATCGTAAGAGCGTCATGATGCCCCTTGGTTCTGTATGCTGTCTGACCATATGTCACGATGAGTTGCTGCATTTGACACCAAGACAGAGATTAGCTACGGTGAAATATTTCTTGGATTAGGCTTGTTCAACATTGATATAATTGAGGGACACACAGAATTCCAATACGAAATAATAGTATGATCTAATAAATCAAAGAATCGAACGACTTTTTAGCACTGCAATTAAGAAAAGCATTTGCTATCAGTTCTCTTTCTCATAAATGCAGTGTATCTAAATTGCCCTCACCTCAATCTTTGATCTGTACAACCTGATCGTGCAGTGGACTTTCCAACAGGTTTGATAACTGCATTAATTGAAACAGTTTTAGATGAGATTATCTTCGGAGCCATGATCAGATTGGTGTATTCAAATGCGTGTGCTTGTGAAAAGAGCAAAATAGGTAGTGCTAGGGTTATCTCCTATTCGCAGTTACTGTGGGAAATCCAACTTGGCTAGAAAATACGCATTCATGATGACTTATACATCCATAAAACCACCCACTAATATGACAACTTGTTTACAAATACGTCTATCAACTTCAATTAGGCAGTGATAGCTGCTTGTTTCATTCAATTCAGCCGAAAAACTCATAATGATACGTACAAAGCCATAGCTAACTTGATTTAATTGGGTTTATTCAAGAATGATATAGATAAGAGCGAATGGATGTGTGTATAAGATTCCTTTGATAATTTCTTACGATGAGAGATCATATATAGAGATGAAAAATATTAAGCAACAGCAGTTGGTGCACTGATTTGAATTTCGCCATAGGCACGATCTTGCTTCACCTTGATCATATCCTTGGTAGACAACAACAATACATCATAAAACATACGGGCAGCTTCTGCTTTTGTGCTGAAGCCGGGTGCTAAATCGTTGAACTTGACTACGCTGGGAAATTCCTTTTCGAGCTTCTCAAGAGTCCCACGAGCGCTATTGCTGAAGCTTTGAGTATTCTGTGTCATTAAGGCTTCATCGTTATCCATCTAAACAGAAAAGTTAGTTTTGAGTAGGTAAGCATGCTTGCTACATACGTTGTCATTGTTGAAACGGTTAAAAGCATCTCGATTAAAGTCGACATTATCTTCATTGTAATCTTGTCCATAGTCAATGTTATCATCGTCAAAGTGGAATGCTGAGGTCAAGCCGGGTCCACCAGGTGTAGGAGCACCAAAGGCATCATCGACACGAGCCTCCTTGTTGGCATTAGCGATAGCACCAGATGCACGACGTTTACGGCTCAAACCAGCAAACAAGGCCTCCAGTTCAGAACCAACTGCGTCGCCAGATGGCTGTGTCAAATTGATAGCAGGCTTGGCCTTGGATGCACTTCCAACAGGTTTCTCCTAGGTCTTTCCTTTAGCCATCCCCAGGTAGATCATGGCTTTGATTGCTGTCTTACCTTTTGAATGATGGAACTGACATCAGCAGCGTACCTCTTAAGATCGGCAGAAGGTATTTCTGTCACCTTGTCAACGACTAAACGCTTGCGTCTACGAACCGGTTCTGTGGTGGTGGATCCAATAGCATCCACATCAAACATACTGTCATCCTCGACAATGCCGACTTGCATCAACGTATCGAGAGAAGCATCAGCATTGTCGTTGTCGATAGGGAAATCAAATTCGTTCATGTTATCTCCATAGTCTTGGCCGTAATCGATATTATCGTTCAAGTCGAAATCAAAATCAACAGCGTCGTTTGCAATGCCATTGTTGTTGTTATCATTCAGGTTCATGTCTTTGAGAGGATCAGCAATAGCATCCATGTCGAAGCCATTGTCAGCGAGGCCAGCTTCGTTATCACGACGACCAGCTTCTACACCACCAGCACGACCACTTTCCCAGTTACCGAAACTGAAATCAGCTTGACCACTCAAGGTAATGTCCTGAGAGAATGACATGTCTCCAAGGCTATCTAGGATAGGGTCGCGGCCTTGTTCGGCAGGGCCACTATATGTTGAATCAGTTAGTCATGTGTGGCATGTTGCTGCTGTGGAGACAGAGGCTCTTTACTTTGCATTGAATGGGAGATCAGGGAGTAAAATGTCGAATTCAGTCAATTTGTCTTGCATGGTGATGGTATTTGCGTTGCTGATGGTATGGCTAATGTCAGGCATGTTGATGTCGCCCTTCTTGAAAGCCTGTCCAACAAGCAATGTTAGTATTTGAACAAGTTACTGGTATCAATACATACCAATTTGATCTTGACAAGTGCCTCGTTACAGTCTTCCAAGAGATACTTGGTCTTTCTAGAATAGATGCGAACAACACCAAGCAACAGCTGACCAGATACACGGAGAGCCAGAGGCTCCTCTTGCTGGTTTGCAGTGATAGCGTCTAATACAAATCATTAGTTGTCCTAGTAATGAACAATCCATGAACATTTAAAAAGTACCAATGGTCTTCTCGAGGTTGGTATTCAAGAATTGGGATTTGGAGATCTTTCTCTCCCAATGAGAGGCCAACCATACACGAGCCAAAGGCCCTTGCTTTGTTCTTAATTGATCAGATAACATAATGAGGTAGTCGTAGAAGCAACAAAAAAATTGTACCCAAGGCGCGCGTGTCTTTATTAATAGGTAACGCGATAAAAGCACTGAAGATGAAAAATGAGGGGCAGCCATCAAGGGCATGTTTGTAGTCACAGAAACGACATGTCTTGAATCAAGCTGCTGATGCTGCTTCTCCTCCAGCTGCTCCATCTAAACCGCCAGCGGCAGAATCTGGGTAGTAGTAGAAACTGATGGCTATCAGAATGTAGAGCGCGCAAAGCATGAACCCTTCCAGCCAGTTACTCTTGCCCACCCTGTACATGCGGATGATCAGCAATCGACATCTGATTTGGGGGGGGGGAGGGTACCCACACTCACCACGATGAAATAATTTACTAGAATGACAGACGCAAATAGCACGGCTGTTTCATACACATTGAAAAACAAACTCATGTCTACGCCAATACCCCATCCTATGCTCTATCATCAGTATCTTTCTGGCCACTAAATCAGGCTTCAGGGACGCACCTATGATGACCATGATGGGCATCACCAGCAATGCAACTTGCATGCTTGACCCAACAGCTACTCCTAATGCTAAATCCATCTATCGCCGAGTTTCCATCAGTTCCAGTTTGATTCAGATATAAATCCTCGTCTACCTTGTTCTTATACGCTACAGTGACAGCTGTAACATGCTCTGCTGCACTGCATGATCATCGACTCAGTATTGGAATATCGATTCACTGGACTAAACTTACTTTCCGACAATGGGTAGTAGAATGAGCCCCACAAATGTCTCGCTAATGTGCCATTGCTCAACCACTTGCTCAATGGCAGGCACCAAAAACTCGGCACAGACAGCAACGAATGCAGTGATAATCAAAAGCCTACGAAATGTCAATTCCGGACGTCTAAACCCTACAAATCTACATACAATAGAACGGCCATCCACCAGGGCATGGATGGGCTCTCTTCCTCTTCATCCCCTTTCGCTTGCTCACGCTCTACAGGCGTCTCGGGTGCAATACACTCTTCATCCCTGGCATTTGCATTGTTGTTGTTGTTGTTGAACAGCTTGATGCGAGACACTTGACGCTCGACCTTGAATGCTTCTACAGGGACTTGCAAAAACTAGGGAAACGTTAACATTCTAAAAGACGAGCCAAGCTTCCTATAAATATACCAATGTTCTGTGTGTTTTCAGCTAGATGGCGTGTATGTGTACTGATTTTAATAACTACTCGTTTGTGTATGTGCGCATTTTGTACCTGAAAGACCAAATACGCAAAGTAGATGATCAGCAGAATGATGGACGTTGCTCTAGAAATATTCAAAATGTCTGACCTCTCCTTCGCTGCTGTCTCTGCATTGACTGTAGATCCGTAAAATGCAGCTGGTAGTAGTAGTGACACAACCGAGATGAACAGCAGCGAGGCAGATGTCTGTGCTGCAGTGATGTTGAACCTTTGCTCCTTGTACCTGAGACCGCCACAAAAAAAGCTCATGCCCAGCACAATTAGGATGTTGGATAGGATGGAGCCCAGCATAGATGCTTGCACCACAATAACCAGGTTCTGTGTCAGCGAGATGATACTGATGATCATTTCAATGGAATTGCCAAATGTCGCATTGAGTAGGCCGCCAATCACTTCTCCTGTTCTCAGAGCGATATCCTCTGTTGCAAATCCCAGCAGCTTGGCTAGCGGTACAATGGCTACAAAATTGAGAATGAACGTCGTAGTGGGATTCCAGACGAAATGCGATGCCCATCCCAAAGGAATAAACACCAGTAACACATTGAGCCACGAGGACCGCACAATGGACATCAAGCCATGCCGGATTGTAGGTTCTATGAATTTCTTGAGCGGTAGATTGGTGCTCTCGGCTGATGCATTCTCTTCAACTTGGCCGGTAGTTGTGTTGCTGGTTCCAGCAATGGGATCTTCCTGTTGTGCGACTGACGCATTATTCTCATTGTGTGATACGAACAAGCCAGGCTCTTTATCTTGGTTATTATCATTGGGCATTTTATTAGTGGTAAATTGAGGAGGAGAAAGAGCTCAAACTAATTTGATGGCTACATTTTATCGCAGACGCAAGGAATGTGTCAAACATCAACATGGTATTCTTTTAAAATGCGTGGACTAAACAAATAAACAAGATAGAATTTAGGTGGTGCTACTGTTTGCATGAGGTGATCGTACCTGATTTATCCTGCTCGATGAAATCAACATAGTCCTTTTGGTCAAATGCAGTTACTTGATCTGAAGGCAAAGACACAGCAAATCCCTCAAGACCTAGACTAATTTCGTGGTTGATTTTGCCACCTGCCTTTTTGATATCCGCTTTGGCCGTTGCCAATTTTTCAGCAGTAATAGGCTTCGATAGAGCGATAATATAATCTGTAAAACCTTCTAAATTCAATTTAGTTTAGTCTTTGGAATACACGATATATTGCCCATATGTTCGGTCTGTACCTTCGGCAGCAAGCACAGCCAACGAAGCCAAGATGATTGTCAGACACAACAGCAAAACAGCACGCATGTTTCCAGAGAAAGAGAGAAAGAGAGAAAGAGATGAGACGAGAGAAGAGAGAGAGGAGTTGTATACAAGAGTCAATTAAATGTTGTGTTTTATTGCACAGAGATGATACATAGGGCTCAAAAAGTCACATTGACATGTGCTCACTAATCTAGCAAATCAAATGAAATAGTGAGAGGGAGATGGTAACATGTATAGTATATAGTAGGAAGAGTTAATAATAATAAGAATAAGTAAGTGTATACATTATCTGGAATAAGAGGGTATATATCATTGCTTTAAATCAAACCAACATCTCGAAGATTCGTTTGGAGCACGATATCATTCACAGCTGCCATGACAAACTTGACTTGCTCAGTGTCTGTTGCACAAGTCAAATGAGTGTAAACCTGCTTTTCAGCAGAGGAATTGAGCGAGATGAATTGCTGCATAATGTAGTTGCTCGCTTCTTCATAGTCATCATTAGCTCCCTTGTAATCAGGAAAGTAGTCCACCAGTGGACTCGTCGCTAACTTTTGCTTGAACAGATCAGTCTTGTTCAAGAACAAAATGGTGGATGTTCTTTCAAACCATCTCGAGTTACAGATGGAGTCAAATAAAGTTAAAGCTTCTTGCATTCTGTTTACCGATTCATCTTCAATCAAGACTTGATCGTATTCAGATATAGCGACCAGAAAGATGATGGCTGTAACATCCTCAAAACAATGGATCCACTTTTTACGTTCTGAGCGCTGTCCACCCACATCAAACATGCGGTACGTGAGTGTGCCAAAGGTGAATTTGCTCTCTGCAATACCCGTGGTCTTGACACGGGAACGCAGGACATCTTGATCGGTGGGCAAATAGTTTGGGTCACCTATACGATCAATAGAATCAAAGTAACTATATAAAGTAATGAATATCAAGCTGAATTGCACGCCTGGTGAGAAACTCACTATGCTGCTGAATCATTCAACTGGAATTCATTTCTTCTTGAATGGGCTTCTTGAACGCCCTTGTCTTGCCACAACTGTTTGATTGCTCTCACCAATTCGGGTGGCATCGAGAAATAATCCATCTTTTGATACTGCTCCATAACGTAGTCAAAGTATCCTTGGTTGGATGCGTCGTCGAGCGGGATGTCGAGTGTCTCCATTGCCTCCAACAACACATGAATCGACTGCAGTGAATTGCTAAAGATGATCTCCTTGTAAGCCTCCTTCTCCTCGGGTGTAAATCCTCCATCATGAATCAACTTCATCTGCTTTAAAATGGTCGACTTTCCAGACTCACCAGCACCTGGCTTGCATATGAGTCTTTTTGACGTCGATCATCCCATTCGACATTGCATTGATATACATACCGAGCAGTAACAATTTGACTTCGTTCTTGTTATTGAGTTTCTCCATGCGGAGCTGCCCATCGATTTCTTCATTGCGAAGTTTCCCAGCATTATCACTTTCCTCGACTGAAGCGCAGCAACCCATATTTTGTTATCGAGATTTAAAGAAAAGAAAAAAGAAGGAGAAAGAGGTGAAACTGAAGACTCATTTTTATAATCTCATTTTTCTAATCAATCGAAAACTTTTTTTTTTTTCAATAACCTTCGCGGGACATCAATCAAATTGGCAACACAGAGCCATACCTTTGTACAACAAACATAATCACTTCATGTAATTTTGCTGAATGGTGTATATTTTTTACGGAAGATTGGCTAAATAGCGACCTGTAGAAAATAAGGCTTGAAAGGATAGAGAATGGACGTTTAGTAATGGTTGACGTATCTGATTTGATTTGCAATACCATATGTTTTTTTTTTTTTTTTTTTTTTTTTTTTTTTTTTTCATCAAGGGGGGGGGGTTACTCATTCATCTCCTGAATCAAAAGCATCAGCCAACATTGGCATATCATGATGGATACATTCATGATGGATCAAAGAAATGGACCTTGAATTTGGTAACAAAACGAAATCATCCCCATCTATATATCATACAGAAGGATGGCATTTGCAGTAGCCCTCTATGAGCCAACATGATGAAGCTGTTGCATGAATGCAGCATAATTATCGTTCGATAAATACATAGCCCTCCTCCATACTTGATTTTGTTTGTTACATTTCATCACACAAAAGTGGAATTATCCGCACCACACTATCCAATCATGGATGCGGAAAACCTTTCATATCACGTCCCTCTATTTGGGATTACATTTGTCAGGACGCACCCAGTCGCGCATACGGAAATCCCTTTTTCTCTATTTTTCAAATTCTCGTGATCAAATGTCTGCTGGTAACATGGAAGATGGTTTCGATGATCCGTCCGATTTCAACGCCACTCAATTATCCACGCTTGATGAACACCTCCGATGTCCTATCTGCAAGGAAATATTCGATGCTACCATGCTGCTATCCACATGCTCTCATTCTTTCTGCGCCCTGTGCATACGCAGAAGCCTTTCAACAGAGCAAATCTGTCCAAAATGCAGAAAACCAGCATACGAAAGTAATCTAATACACAACTATGACCTAGACAACGTTGTGAGGCAATGGCGAGAGTCTCGGTAAGCCAGCCGCAATCAAATGGCATTGCACAGTGTAATTTGACACTATACATTATAGACAGTTTCTGATAGCTTTGGAAAGAGCAGCTACTGCGCCAAACCAGGATATAGCAATACATTCAGCACCTGCATCGCTTGACAATGATTTCTCGAACGACGCTATGCGCACTATCAACAGTGGCTCGCCCACAGCATCTCCATCTCATATTCCCTCTCCTTCTACAAGACGATCCACCCGTTTATCTTCGCAATCAATAACATCAGCATCACCTCAGGGATCTCCAATGCAAATGAGTCAACCTGATACAAATAGAGTAGACATCATTGCACCTACACAATCCCATCAGACGTTGTCATCCGTCCAAGCAGATAGCTCATCCCCAGCAGAATGCCCAATATGCTGGAAACAGATGGATGTCAGAGTAATTCAGGCACATGTAGACGCCTGTCTCAATGGTGATAGTAGAATACCACCCTTACCCAAGAAATCATCCACACCTGCCGCTGGGAGTAGCAAAGACGCTTCATTTCCGTTCATAGCATCATCACACTCATCAACATATGCGTCATCTTCATCGATGGCGAGAGTCTCCAATACCCTCAAAACGTCAGTAGGTTCAACATTGCCATGTCTATTGTGGTGAATTAAAGAGTGGTTGTCGATATAGGAAGAGCAAACCTGTAAACCTCGGGAAAAAGCCAATCAAACAGGTTTACAATTTGATGACGGATAAAGCACTGAATGCGCTTTTACGAGTAAGTTGGAGTTCCTATAGAGTGGCCGCCATCTAATGTTCGATTAGTCTTTCAACCTGTCAGACAGTGGAGACAGAGCGACCAAGATATGGAGACATAAAGAGTATTTGAACCTTTACAACGCAAATCAGGATTCACATAGGCCAGTCAGCGCCAATGTGTTGGTGCAGAGGCTCCAAGCAATTGAAAATTCACGGGCAATACAATCAAAGAGAAAAGCGACAGATCCAGAGGAACACAAGGTAAGAGATCAATGATGTAAGAGGGCCTGTGATGGGTGTTGATTGATTGATAAAGGCCATGTATGCCGACCAATTCCAATCTCTGATTAATCATGTCAAGCGGAAAAAGGGCGACGATGCTAATGGTAAGCACAAGAGCATCAGCCATCTCTATTTTCTTCTAACTGCCAGACATCATATTAGCATCATCACAATCAAAGAATTAACATAAATACATTTGTAATATAGATCTCGTAAATAGTATAGCCAAATATTTTTCAAGGGAAAATCATAATGAGTCTTTGATAAAGATGCAGTAAAGTGCGCAGTAGATTGGAAGCAGATGCTATTTTGGATACTGTCTTTTTGTGAATGACATTGAAACAAGGCTTGAGATGCTGATGACTGTGATGTTTAACTGAATCATCTCGCAATGTAAAACTGTTTCAATGGCTGTCACTATGCTTATGACAGGAGGTATTCATAAACTATCTGCTGCAGTATGAGATGACATTCGTAGCCATATCACTTTGATATGTGAGCTTTGTATAAAACATTGCCGCAGTTAATTGATCCAATTTGAACTAGTAGCCCTTCCTGAAGTGTACCCAATCATTTGGTTCCTGGATCAAACAAACAGTCTGCACAGTTGCAAAAATTTTTGCGTTTTGCAAATCCGAAATCGATTCTGAAAAAGTATAAAAAGAGAGCAAAAGTAGGCAATGATTCTGTTTCTTTAGTGACCGTACTCTACAGGATCTGTATGCAGTATGTTTCAATTCTACGTTTTCTAAACTAGATACAATCCCAAAGCTAGTCGATGATTTTTAGTAGACCTTCTTTTGAGTGAAGTGTGCCAATCATTGCTCTCTGAGCAGTTTTTGTCAGTTGATGATCTCGTCTGTCTTTATTCCAAGGACATGACAAGGAAGGAGCTACAGGTCTGATAGCTTATTACATTTTTTAATTAATTTCAAATGAAAAATTTACCCCTGAGTGTTTAGCGAGGCACCAGTTTGATCCGAACTCACAGTGAAATAATAGAGTTGGCCTTTGCAATCATAGTAAACCAGTGCTGGCATCCATAGTATATGCGCTATCATGGGTTGGTCTCTCTTGGTATGCCATGCCGTAGATTTGATCCTTCTACAGGACCCGCAATCCATGAACTGTCCTGCGGGATGTATCTCTTTGCTACCTAGAGAGCGGAACCATTTACAACTCAAGCTGATAGGGCCAGATCAAACTAAATGCTAGTCTGAGTACAGATCAAAAGATCAAGTATTGATGGATATGCAGAAGTGTACACATGTCAAATCAAGTCTAGAATACCATATTGTCATAGGTTGTTGTTACACTATTCTTTTTCTGGAATAATGTTTTCAAATGAGCCCTTTCTATACTCAAATATGCATTGTTGCCATGAAGCTGTACATATTTTAATTGAGATGTTGTATATAACGAATACGGACAGGCGTTTCTTCTGTTTTGCTTGCATTTTGACAACTTTTCATCTATGGAACAGGTTGGCATTCACAGCGATTTCTTTCTTGTCACTATTTGTTTATTGTTATGGCGTATTCCCAACTCGGAATTTCCAGTTCTTTACTAGCCGATTCATGGAAACAGAGACAGGCGAGAGAGCAGTGTCTATTCTTAGTATGATCTGATCCAGTCAGAGGGAGCTTTTCTGTCTATCCTGAGATTCTCTCTCTCTCTCGTGTTGTTTATACAATTTGCTATATTTAGGTTGTTATGTACGACGTGCCTTTTATATGTCTACGATGTTATAAAAAGCAAGAAAGAGCTCAATCATGTTATTGAGGCATAACATTCTCTTTTTCTCCTTTTATTTATATCTGCTGTGATGAGAGGGTTTATTAAATGGACGTTTATCTGTGCAATCATAGCCTCGTTTCTCGTGGTCTCAATTTCGGCACATCCAACACCTACTTCTCTAGCCAAAAGGCAAGATGACACGGATGTGAACGACTATCATAATTCAGGAAAGACAAAAACATCTACCACTGCTTCACCCACATCAAACCCAACACCTATACCTCGCCCCAATGATGGAGGACATGGATCCAATGGTAATGGATCAAACGGTAACAATGGAAGCAGCGCACCTCAAGTCATCGCTGTGGGTGGTGCCAGTTGGTATGGTAAGTAAAAAAAAAAAAAAAAGGATGATGCTACATGTCTTCACTCGTTAAATTGGCATTGCTTAGTTGCTGTTTACGGAACAGAGTCTGGAATATCGCCTCAAATGGCAGCACTTGGTGCAATTTTGATTGTGTTAGGCTTGTTTTTATGTTCAATGGGGTTCCGCATGGCCAAGGTTATGTTTGCTGTCATGGGATTACTGACACTCGGGTCTATGACTTGGATTGCATTAGCAAATCTCAGACCAGAGGCGGGTTACAGCCGAGATTCCATCACTATGATCTGCGTTCCCGTGGGTGTTGGTGTGGTTGGGGCCATTGCTTACTATCTACTCTGGACCATTGCTATGTATCTTACTGCAGGTATGTTAATGGCCATAGACGCCTAGCCATGTCAATACTGATATCAGAATGAAAGCTTTTGGTGGATTCATTTTTGCCGTTTACATTGTAAGCTGGAGAAGCGATTTGTTGATTATCAATGTAAGTGCCTTTTTCCACGATTGAAACAACAAACACTGATTATCTGCTGCTGTCTTACTAGTTGATTGGGCGATCTTGTTTCCTGGGTGGCATGGGATTGGCGTTTGCCATTTTGGTGTACTTTGCACATCGTCCCATCATGCTGTTTGTAACCTCTTTTGTGGGATCCTACATCATTTTCTTTGGTATTGATTGCTTGGCTAGAGTGGGGTTCATTGCAGGCCCACAAAAGCTGCTCAACAGCAATCCTCGCCATCTCGTCGAGTATGAAGTGAGCAAATTTGTGTACGTTTTGCTGGCAATGATCATTGTCATGTTCCTGTTTTCGTTCGTTTGGCAGTTTATTTTCAATGCAGCTATCGAATTTGGTCTTCATGTTGCTGCTGCAGTCAAGGGAAAGAAGGCACACGAAGAGTTCCATGAAGAGCACGAAAGCCATCATCATAAAGAAGTACACGAAGAGCCTGCCAGTGGTGGTGGTGGTGGTGGTGGTGGAGAAGGACACTCAAACTCATGACTCCCAACCTTATGGAGTGTACTTTTGTTCCTACTTTTCAAAAAGAAACTTAACTGAGCATCTTTCCAACATGTATTTACCCCAAATCCTTATATCTTTGCACATAGTAGTATATTATATCTCTCTGAATAAACAAATCATATCCATGACATCAACCAAATTGTTCACTATTTCAAGTTTTATCATAAACTATAACTAGCCAATCTCTTAACGGATATAATACCAGTATAAGTGTTGGTATCTTCTGATCATAGATGTTAGGTACCCTACTTCTCCGGCCTTAGTCAACTCGATTGTGAATCAGCTTCCCATTATGTGGCATTAAAGAAATTATCATTCAAGTACCTGAAGCCATCAAGAAATGACCAGTAAGCTCAATTTTTGGATCAATTGAACTGATTACTTGGACATTAGCCTGTTTAAATCTGAATTCTTGTTTGTATATCAACTCTGGGAGAGAGGAGGGGCAATTTCTCATGTGGACGCCTTGCCAAAAGCAATCCAGCGGCTATCACTGATTCAATCTCCGGTTTATATTCTCTTGCTTGATTTTGAGGTTTCTGGACATCATTTGACTTGATTTATTAGAATCGACTATATAAATGGTGATGATCATCCCATATACCCTTAAGCTTTTCTAAAGTGCTTTTTAAGGTGCATCCAATGGCACCCAGTAGGATAGATGTTTTGAATAAGCTTATTGAGTAATCTACGAAAATATGAAAAGAGGTTTCTGGCCAAAATGTCGAATGTTTACATATCAAGGTCCCACAAAGATGATCTCAGAGGTTATGTTAGATCGATAGGCACATTTTGAAATAATATATATACCATAGTAAAAGTCTTCATTGTCAAGGTAAAAAATACGATCGTTTGATTTTTAATGAAAACCATGAGGAGTACCTCATGCTTTTTGGTCGATTTTTGGCCATGTTTTGTTGATCCCCAAAAGGTCGAGCAAAGGTGTCAGGAAGTAACTGCCAGAAGGGAGCAACTGTTTGGGGCTATTCTGACGATCTAAAACAGCCTTGAACGCGAGGAAACGCAGCTCAAATGCGCTCATATTTTGGTGTATCAGGGGCACTAAGGACTAAACAGGGATAATACCTGTATGGTACTTGTCCGTATATGAAATAGCTAGGTGTATATGGATGTAGAACATTACATAAGAATCAAAAATCCACAGATAATATAAAGAATGTTTATGTGTAAGTGGAGGGTCAAAATGAAAGTAGTAGTATTTTGATGAGATACGCAAAAGCGATCAGTAGCACGACCTGCCGCTGTGCAGGTGAGTTTTCATCGAAGCGAAGCGAAGGTAGAAAACCATCCGAAGCATAAACACTCATATGATTAGTGATTTTATATCAATCAACAATCAGGGCTCTTTTAACATTTTGGCTATATTAGTTTTGCGATAGTAGCCAAAGACTCGCGGTAGTGCGAGCCGTTTGAACGTAGATTAGTTTCCTGATCTACGCTTCGCTTCGGTGGAAGCCACCCGAAGTGTTGAAAGGCTTATATACCATAGAAATAATCTTCATTTTTGAGGTCAAAAGTACGATCGTTTGATTTCAGCTGAAAATCATGAGCTATCCTTCATGGTTTTCGATAGATTTTTGTGGTTTTTTTGTTTGGTCCAAAAAAAAAAAAGATGGCTGAAGGCATCAGTGGGCATATGCTATATGAGAGCAGTTGCTTGATGCTACTCTGGCAGTCTAAAAAAAAAAAACCTCTAGCACGAAACATTATAGCTCAAATTTATCTAAATTACACTGTGTTGTGGTGTAGAAAAGGCCACTGCTAGTATACTCTTTGCCTGTACGCAATCTGCTCGCGTTGATAGAGACGTGCATTATCGTAAAAGAGTCAAAACGACAGCCGTAGGTCGTTTCTGGAGCACCCTCAGTTGATAAAGAGTGAAAATTCAGTGCTGATTTGAAATGATTTACGGTTGCTTGCCTTGATGGCCTACCCGAAGGAGCACTATATTCGTTGGAATGATTGGTTCAAACATGCTAAACGTGAATGTATCAGAAAATTAAACTTTCTGGCGTGGCTTGAGATGTATACATAGATTTTGGCCTCAAGAATATACATCTCCAATTCTGGAAATCTCACTTCACTTGATCTGATTACGACTCATTTCCAAACTTGTGCGACGATGAAACACCAAAAACGGAAACTGCTCACTTTGTGCTTGAGCGGATCTGTTGGAAATGCAACAGCAGCAGAAATTGCTCAATCCAAGTGGTCAAGAGTCACAATTACCTTTTTAAACGTGAAGATATGATGCCATATAAATAGGGATCATGGAACTCGCATTAACTATCCTTTTCTTTCTTTTTTCACAGCATTTCATCTTTTTTTTTTACGCATAGTATAAAGAAAAATGATTCGATATTCAGTTCATGTCAAAGTAACCGGCATGACGTGTGATGTAAGTACCGATATAGATGTACACTGGAAAGAAACAAGAACTGACCTACTTTGTCCTTCATTCAGCATTGCGTCAATACAATTACCAAGGCCTTACAGCAATTTCCGGGTATTGAAGCATCCAGTATTCATGTTAGCTTAGAAAAGTCAGAAGCAACATTTGATACCGACAATGTGGACAACAAGATCGTATCAGAATTGCAACATGATATCTCTGAGCTCATTGAGAATCTAGGTTACGATGCTGGCACACCCAAGCTCACAGCAGTTACCGCATCCACAAATGCCACTGCAACATCTGATGCCAATCAACAAACCTATGTCAAGGTATCGGCTTCTGTTACGGGAATGACATGTTCGCATTGTACAAACACCATTGAAGAAGCCCTCAAGGAGCTTCCCTTCATTGATCCTGGATCTGTAGAGGTCTTGTTGGATGAAGAACTTGCCAGCATGCGATTTATCAACCCGGATGATACAGTTACAAAGGACAAGATAAAGGAGACCATTGAAGATCTCGGTTACGAAGTGGGCCAAGTGACGTTTAGCTATGATGTTGCAAGTGAGGAGTTGGAGCAAGAGGAGGAGAATGGCACTCAAACCGCTGTATTTTCCTTATCCGGAATGACGTGCCAATACTGTGTGAAGACGGTGTCAGAGGCACTGCAAAAATTACCCGGTGTGATTCCAGGCTCTATATCCATCAGTTTGGAGAACAGACAAGGCAGATTCTCCTTCCAAGGTGGCAAGGTAGATGCAAGCTTGATTCAGCAAGTTATTGAAGATCTCGGCTATGATTTGAACGGAAAGCCACACTTTAGATCAGGCTTGCGTCGCGAGTCCATGGAGCTATCGAAATCATATACTAGTCAAGTGTCAATTAGCATGACAGCAACTAATGAAAGTGCACCTCTGCTACAACAAGGATCTACCCAACAGACTAATGGCGACAAGCGAAAGGTGGTGATGCGTGTACTGGGAATGACTTGCCACTCGTGTGTAGCCTCGGTAACAGATGCCCTTCAGCACGAATTACCGCAAGTGGACCCTGACTCTGTTTATGTCAACTTGCAAACTGAAATGGCCATGTTCATCTGTACCAACCCTGACATTGATCTCATCCACAGTGTCATTGAAGAGCGAGGATTCGATGTAGAGAATGTGCAGATCATTCACAACTTGACACCTCCTGCTGTATTACTGGCTCAAAAGCAAGACACCATCAATAGACACGACTCCATCACCTCTCTCAGTGCTGTCTCGATTGATACCCAAACGGTCTCTGCTCCTCACAAGGTCAACTTCCAAATCTCAGGCATGACATGTGCTAGTTGTGTGCGCACAATTGAACGTGGTCTGGTCAAGCTACCTGGCGTGGATCCGTCGTCTGTCCAAGTCAATCTTTTGACGCACAGTGGTACTTTTTCTGTTTATGGTGATATACTAGACGAGCAAATGATCATCAAAGCTGTCAAGAACATGGGTTACACCGCAAGCAAGGTTGTCTTTATCTCCAATGCGCCTGCTCCGGAGGCAACTGCTTCCTCCACAGTGGCTGTTTACAAGGCCGAGATGATCATCACTGGCATGTACTGTCCTAACTGCATTGAAAAAGTGCATTCTGCTCTGGTCAAGCTACATGGTATGCGCGCCAAGTCCATCCAAGTCAACCTAGACAGTGGTCGTGCTAGTTTTGAATACAGTGGTGAATTTATTACTCGTCAAAGAATCTATCAAGCGATCCTACAACTCGGTTTCTCTGCGGAAAGTATTAAGATTGCCAAAGTCAGTGGTCGAGATGACAGTGATACAGCAAGCATCTCGAGTCGTAAAAGTAGTCGCTATGTATCCACACATCTGGTGGTTACTGGTATGACATGCTCATCGTGTGTAGCCAATATCGAGCGTACCATCATGAAGCAAACTGGTGTAGTGAGCTGCCAAGTCAATCTCCTCTCAAAATCTGCAGTGATCAAGCATGATCCCACTGTGATCGGTGCTCGCTCTTTAGCTCAAATGGTTGAACAAATCGGTTACAAGGCTGAACTCGCGCAAGACACGCAGGGCAATACGATCGCAGAGCAACGAGCGTCCATGAGAGAAAGCATGGACAAGGAACTCGCGGTTCTCAAGGCCAGATTCTTGTGGTCCCTCCTATTTGCTATTCCCGTGGTATTGATTTCAATGATTTTCATGATGGCACTACCAGCTTCCAATCCAGTGCACAAGGCTTTTATGAAACAAATTGTGCATGGTCTCTCTGTGGGTGATCTTCTCTTGTTTTTGCTGTCTACCCCTGTGCAATTTTGGCTTGGTCTGCCCTTCTATACAAAGGCTTACAAATCGCTGGTCTATGCTCATACAGCCAACATGGAGACCTTGGTTGCTATGGGCACCACTGTTGCCTACCTCGCTTCTGTTGCTTCTGTGATTGCAGCCATGGTGCGTCGCACAGCTGGTGCTATGAGCCTAAACTACTTTGAAACATCTGTGCTCTTGATTACCTTTATTCACTTTGGTAAATGGCTTGAGGCTCTGGCCAAGGGCAAGACTGCAGAGACTATTACCAAGCTGATGGATTTGCAGCCAGAAAAGGCTACTCTGGTAGAAATCTCCAAAAACAGCTCGACACAAAACTTGAGCGACTCAGTATCTACATTAACAAATAACTCTGGAAAAGATGTTAGTGAATCAGACCAAGTTTTGACAGAAAGAGAGATTGATTCAGTGGATATTCAAGGTAAAAAAAAAAAAAATTAACATGTTTGTTGTGTTGTTGAGAGACTAACATTTTGTATACTCGCAGTGGGTGATATTCTCAAGATCAATGCTGGCGGTCGTATTCCTTGTGATGGTAAAGTCTGGAGAGGATCTTCAGCTACGGATGAATCCATGATTACTGGTGAGTCTGTCCCTGTTACTAAAAAGGAGGGCGACAGTGTCATTACTGCGACTATCAATCTCAGTGCTCCCATCTATATCCGTGCTATCCGTGTGGGCTCTGAAACTACCTTGTCTCGTATTATTCAACTGGTACAAGATGCTCAAGCGTCACCCAAGGCCCCTATTGAACAGTTAGCGGACAATATCTCCAGTGTATTTGTGCCTGTGGTCATTCTCTTGGCTATAGCTACCTTTGTTGTATGGGAAGTGTTGAGTCTCAAGAATGCTTTTCCTGATGATTGGGTACCTATGGGTGAGAACAAGACTATTTTCTCTCTTATGCTCGCTGTTACTGTCCTGGTAATTGCATGTCCTTGTGGTTTAGGTCTCGCTAGTCCTACAGGTAAGAGTGGAAGAAACACTTTATAGATCAAAGCTAATATTTTTTTGCAGCTGTCATGGTTGGTACAGGTGTTGCTGCCAAGTACGGCGTGTTAGTCAAGGGCGGTGGATACGCATTAGAGATGGCCAGTCGCATCACCACTGTTGCCTTTGACAAGACGGGTACATTGACCATGGGCAAACCTATCGTCACGCATAGCTGGATCGATCAAGCAAGTGAACAACAGACACAGGGAAACAATGCTGAACAAAGAATTGCCATCTGGAAGATTCTCGGTCGCGTGGGCTCTGCTAGCAACCATCCTCTCTCAAAAGCTATTGGAAAGAAGGCAAAGCACGTTATTCGCACTCTAAAGGCCAATCCTGATGTCTCTGATACCGAGCTGATCTCTAACAATGTGAACATGTTTGACGACGATGTTGAAGAAGAGGATGCTCAAGACGATGCCTCCAACATCTTTGACGGTGTTACCATTACCAACGCACAAGAAGTCCCTGGCCGTGGTTTGTTGGCTACCATCACTCTGACTACAGACATCTCTGCCAATTTGACTGGTAAACTTCGCAGCATTCGCGCACTCAACGTCTTTTTGGGCAATCAAGAGTGGATGGACGAGAATCATGCACGTTACCAAAGCTCGCGACAAGCCAAAGCATGCCGCAACCTCTTGTTGGATTGGCAAAACCTGGGTCAATCTATTGTGCTTGTGGCTGCCTCACCTGTTGGCGGTGGAAACGATCAAGAGCCGTCCAGCAGTGATACTCACAGAGAAGGCTGCAAGAACGCATGTGCTTGTGATGTCTGTCATTGCGCAACCAACTCCCTCTGCTGTGCCGCATCTCAAACCATAATGATCTCTCAACTGGCCATTGCTGATATTCCTCGCCCTGAATCAACTCAACTCATTGCCGAACTTCGAAAGCGTGGTATTGAAGTGTGGATGATTACAGGCGATAACGAACGTACGGGCCGTGTCATTGGTCAACAACTGGGTATTCCTGCAGATTTTGTCTTGGCTGGTGTGAAACCAGAGCAAAAGGCTGACAAGATCCGAAACCTGCAACGTCGTGGTATTCGTGCGAATGACTATCAATACTCTACTCATCATCAGCAATTTTGGAGGAGAAACGGCAAGCAGCACAAACAAGCAGTGGTAGCCATGGTTGGCGATGGCATCAACGACTCTCCAGCACTGGCACAAGCAGATGTTGGGTAAGTAAGCTTGGTTATGAGCAAGTTGACATGATACTCATGCTTTGTTTGACTTCATAGTATCTCTGTTGGCTCTGCTACGGATATTGCCATTGAAGCTGCTAGCATTGTGCTCATTCGAAACAACTTGATGGATTTACTGACCATGTATGATGTTTCACGCACTGTGGTTCGTCGTATTCGCTTCAATTTCTTTTGGGCATTCTTGTACAATGCTGTAGCCATTCCTATTGCTGCTGGTATCCTGTATCCAGCTGTTGGCCAAGGCTTACCACCTTACATTGCAGGTATTGCCATGGTGGCATCCAGTGTCAGTGTCGTCTGCTCCAGTCTTCTGTTGCGCTTATACAGGGCTCCCAAGGTGGTTGAAGAATCTCATCAAATTAAATTGTAATTTTTGTGAATATGTAAAAAAAAAAAAAAAAAAAAAAAAAAAAAAAAGAGAAACCCATGTATCCTCTGTAATTTTATAAAACTTTAGATTTCAATATCATTTTCTATTATACTCTATCTTTAACACACCTAATAAAAATGAAACTCGCATTTGCTCTTTTATTCATCGCATTTCCTGCTTACATTTACGCCTTCTTTGGCACAGGTGGTGGATTGGTCTTGTACACATCGGATCAACAAACTCGCTCGGGTGTTCTTAGCTCGGATCATCGATGCACTAATTTCCCTTCTCAATTCAAAGCCGCACATGTCAAAAACAATGGAGGCACTCACTGTGCCATGTGGACTGACGCTAACTGTCAAGGCACTCTTTACGTTGTACCGGCTCACTATACAATGCGCATGCCAAGAGAAGAATTCAAATCAGTCATTTGTTGAATAAAATCTGTTTTTTTATTATTATTATTATACATTAAAATGCTTTAGTGGTATCTTTAGATTGTCCAATGCTATGCCAGATAGCAATGCTTTGCAATGAAGAGTAATGACTCCAATGTTGGGTGTAAATTTGCCAGGCATGGGTGTCAATGCAGCTATGGAGGGAGAGCCGCATGTCTTGTAGAGATCTGTCAGTTCTGCATTTTTGTCTTGATCCAGACAGAGGCTATAGGATGGGTAGATCTGTACCCCTTTCGATTGGACGGTCTCGCACCACACTATGGTGCTCTGGTCTCGCTCTTCCGTCATGAGCTCAATGCCAATATAGTCGTTGCTTTGAATTGTGCCCAGATAGATCAAGGATGAACTGAGTGTTACTCTGCTGAGTCGACTGTTGGGCATAGGAATTGAGCAGGTGTTCAATAGAGATGATGGCAGAAACAACTGCTGCTGTCTCTTCTTTTCAATCTCACATTTTCCTAATATCAACATGTCCATTTGAGGGCAGCAGAACGACAAGTACATGAGCACAGCTTCATGGTTTTCGATCTTTGACTGACAAAGTTCCAGTTTCTTCAATCTGAATACACCTTTATCCAAGTCGACATAGTTGTTGTAAGTGACCTGCACATTGGCACCGACCAATGTCAAGTTTTCTAGTTGAGGCAGGTGGCCCAAGAGATGATCAATCAAGAACGGCGTAAATGGAAACTGATCCATCAGCCCTTTGGACAAAGACAGCTCCAATGTCTGTAGTTGCTTGCAATGAAACAGATTCGATGTTACGCCCGACCAACCTGGAATTTGCTCCCACACGCGCAGCCGCAAGAATTTCAATTGAGCGAGCCCATAAGATTGCACCAGCAGCAAGAATTGACATGATTCAATGGCTTGATACGTTTGAAAATCAACGTATAGATCATCAATGGAACACGTGGGCTTCCGTAGTTCTACAGCAAAGCCCTTGGAGAACAGCTGCGGTGCATTTTTGCCTCCCAGAGTGAGTGATTTGAGTAATGGCAGTGATTGAATCATGTGAACAAGCGCATTTTGCCACATCCATTTGGTGCCAAATCTGCTGGTGGAGAGCTGCGTCAATGACAACGACCGTAGATGAGGATAACTGGCACTGATGAAACCAAACCATCGATAGGAGTCTACATGTCCATGCAATAGAAGCGATTGTAGTGTGTAGCAGGGTTCAGCAAAAGCAGATAAGAGATGGGGATCATGTGAGGCGACAGATGATTCCTGGTGTGGTGTCTTTGTGCGTATAAAGTTGAAACTCTTTAGGCGCGGTAGACGTGCATGCAGCTGTTGTAAGCAGCTGGATAGAGGGAGCGACATGGCTGTATCATTGTCATTGTAATTCATCTCCAATGTCAAATGTTCCAGGCTGGGTACATGTTGCAGGCTCCCAACAAGCTCATGCAAGTCGTCTGGCTGATGGCTGAGATGGAGATGCGACAATGTAGAGCCATTGAACGTTGTTAGGAACTGAGGGGCGAAATCCACATAGTGGATGGGGGCACACTGTCGCATGTATTTCCATGTATGTGTCATTGGATTCAGTCTAAGATGCTGCCACTGTGCGATATTAAAGTCCACTACCTCCAGCTCAGGACACAACTTTGCCAGCAGATCAAAGTTCGCCTGAGACAAATGAACGTGTAGCTGCCGGTCTTCTTCAAATCTTGGACCCAGCGCTGATGTTTGCTGCTCGTGCATCAGGTAGATTTCCCTGACCATCAATCCATTATGGTACGAGTGCTGGTCATACGATTGAGTCAATGAGGCAATCAGCTGCCGTAGTTGATGCTGGTTGTAAATGTAGATCTTTCTGTAGACGGACCTTTGAAATGTATGGAACCACAATTTACAGACATACAGGGCATGTGTGCAGTCTTGGAGCGAGAGGTAGGTGGCTACTTGTTGCAGAAATTCAGGTGGTAGTTTAGCCTTCATGGATTTGAAATGAGCAAAAGAAAGAGAGAAAAACAGGGAGGCAAAAGGATTGTTTGTTTATGTTGTTTGATTTCCGTGGAAAACTAATCTATTGGTGCTACCCGAGGATTATGCATCGTGTTGCACTGTCTACTCAGCCATACAATCTATGAAAGGAGGTGTGTGTGTGTGTGTGTGTGTGTGTGTGTATGTGTGTATGTGTGTATGTGTGTGTTTATATTAAAAAAAAAAGTATAGCATCTGGTATAGTAGATGGCGAGAGAGAGAGAAATAGGGAGAGGGTATCTATAGAGTAAAATGGTATGTAATGTTTAGACCTCCACAGGCTGCTGCTGCTGCTGCTGCTGCTGCTGCTGCTTATGCTTTGGCTTTATACGCCAATTAAATGAGGCCATTCTTTTCACAAAGCTCTGTTGTGAAGCGCTGATAGGTACAATCGTTTCGTCTGATACGCCTGTATACATGATGTTGACCTCGGACGATGTGTGGTAGTGGAAATGTGTGTCAATGTCCCCGACACTTGGTTGCGATGCTTGCTGCTGTTGTGATGGTATGGTTTCTGAAAAGTTCTTGGCAGACGATGTTCTCCTAATTTGCTTGAGCTGTTTCTTTGATTTCAACCCATTGCCAATCTTGATAAAAGCAGACTTGGATCGACCCAGCCCCTTGTCAGTCGCGGGTGATGATGGTGATGGACCAGCGGCCATAGCAGGCGTGTCATACACGGACTGAAGTGCATTGTTGCTTTTGCGTTTTGACATTGTCTTTTCCATGATGGATTTTCTCTTCTTTTTGGCAGAACGCTTTGACCTACTGCTATTACTTCCATTGGCAGGTGCTAAATGGGGCGAGGTGGGTGGCTCAGGTAGAGGCTTTTGAGGGCAATTGGCCATCTTTAATTCGCCATTGTCAGACACAAATGACCAAGAGGAGGATGAGGAGCTCATGGAAGAATCAACAGTCGATGTGCTTGTTTTTCGCGGGGTATTGACAACGCCTGCTGTTGCTGTTCCTGTGCCACTCAAGGAAACCGTGGGAGACTCATGGTAGTAGGCTCCGTTGGCGGTGGTGGTGATGGGAGACGGTTCAGGGCTATTGGGTAGATCCTTGTGAGAAGATGTCTTTTTGCCTGTCATTAAAGAAGCTAATCGAAGCAGTGATTTCTTTTTAGATAGCGTTTTTTCTACTGTAGGCGAGTCAGAAGGGGTTGCTGGTGGTGACAGTGGCGATTTGGTATCTAGCTGAAGCTCCTGTCTATGTCGCAGTGAAGAAGACCTTTGAGGCACAGATCGGATCACCAGGTTGGGTTTGGCCTTGTTGGCTGCTGTTGCTGCTGCGTTGGAAGCGTATATGGAGTTTTCCAGCGCAATCTTTTCAAAAGCAGGTATCAAACTGGTCAGCATGTCTTGTGATTGACGTTGTTGTGATCGACGTCTCGGTTTAAAGGGTAGTTCAGGTAATTTTGGTGCTGTGTCTACCTTGATGTCGATAGCAAAATCCATATCAAACAGACTCATAATCTCATTTGCTAGGTTTTGAGATACAACGCTGGAGGTGATACCAGTATCACTTGTCCAACTCAATCTATTTTTGTTTCCCCCGAATCCACTCTTTCTTCTTGCTTGTTTGGCTGTATCATCGGTAGCAGCAGCAACAGCAACAGCAGCCAGCACAACAGGATTTGCTGGCAATGGCTTCTCGGTCAGTGGTGATGGCGCACGAGCCGGGATTTCATTGTTGATGGATTCATTGGAGAGGGTTGCATTGGGTTGCGAGAATATAGTAGAAGTAGAAGAGTCCACAGAGTTGGTTTTGGATTGACAAGATTCCTGCTCTTGCTCCTGTAGCTGTGATTTCTGCTGTTGCTCTAGTAATTGCGAAGGCAATATGGTAGGTGGAAGTGGTAGATCTTGCTCATCCTCCGCAATCCAGAGATCATCTCCTTGTCCATCGTCCTCGTCATCGAATATATCGTCGTCATAGTGATAGGATACAGTCGACTTGACAGGCCTGAATGCTTCTATTGTCTGGGCATACTGTTGAAATATCTCTTCCAGGCCTTCCTGTGTCATTTCTTCCAATGACCTAAATGTACAGGGTTAATGTCTGGTGCCTGGATCGGTTACTGAAAAAAAAAACCCCCCCTCTTCCTCTCAAACTTACTCTGGCGTAAAGTACTGCCATCTTGTCATCTGCTGAAGCCATTCTGCTGGTGTGGATGAGTAGACATCCTCAATCATATTCTTGATGACTGCCGTCTTTCTGAGTGAATGAAGATCTGGCGGTGCAAATGTAAGTTGAGCAAGTTTGTAATTGGAGATTGCAGCCAACTGTATCGGGTTGTGAGAAGCGACAACATGGCTTGAAGTCAAAGGTGATTTTGGACCTCGTATTCCTACCATCTTTTGTGGATGTGCGAAATTTAAGGAGAAAGAGAACAAGAAAATGAGAGAGAAGAGAGAAGAGCGAAAAAAAAAAAGTAATGGTAAATTTCTTATTTTAATTTGATTCTCAATATTATAATGTGTTGCACTAACACAAGGTTAGTGTAATGTAGATATTTATTACACTTTCCCAAATGATGTGTTGCCTAATCCTCTGCATTTGATGGAAAAGTTGTTGGTATTCTCTTTAAAGCGCTTCAATGACCTTGTTCTAATAGGTTGCGGAAAGAAAGGAAACGTGTTAGCATGACATGACGATAGATCCCTTTGCTGTTTAAAAACAACTTGCCCCAAGACTCCTTTAAGAAATGTCTCCTTATCGTTGGCACTCACCAGCGCAGAGGGAAATCCGTCCTACGACAAGCCAAATTGCAAATTAATATATAGTGTATTAATGTCACCACCCACAACACTCACGGTAGACAGCAATGTCTGTAACCACTGTCTGCTTGGCTGTATATACTTGCCAGTGATCTTGAACAGGACATCCACGAGCGGACCCGAAAAGGATCTAGGCACACGGCCGCCAATTCCCTATTAATGATGTATAAGCACTCGAAATAAATAGAAAAAGAACATGCTATTTATACCAATAATAATTGCTCCATAATCTGAATTCCCATATTCATGATGATTGTATCCATTATTTTGGCTATTTCTGAACCTTCTTGAAAATCCTGACTGATAAAATCAGCCTATGCATTTCATGTGGGTCAGTTGGGGAGCAGAAAGGCATCTCGGCGTGTGTCTTACCATGAAATTTACAGCAGCCTTCAATGCCAACTTTTCTTGCAGTCCCATGCCTGCAATGACAAACATGAATATCGTATTGATCATGGCGGGTGGAAGGTGATAGAAGGCGAGTGGACATCGGGTAATAGCCTATTTATGATTAGCACTCAATATAAACAAAACATTTTTCATTGCCCTACTCTTGAGAGTAATCCGAAATAGCTATCCACCACGTCTGGGTAATGCTCCATCGCTAGCAGATATACCTGATTTAGCACTGATTGGATTATACCATATCCTGCCATTCTTACCTTCAGTTCCGTTGATGAATGCCAATGTCTTGGTGGTAATGACGCCGAGCAAATCTCGCAATCGCTCAAAGTGCATTTGATGGCCACCGTACACTGTGATCATAAATGATGCAGTGTCCAGCCAACACGAAAACGGGGCTGCAGTGTAGCTCGACTCCACAAGTGCTGCCAGATCCATAAAGTTCAAGCTGAGCAACGGGCTCGTGGATCGCATGCCTTGCTCCAAAAATGTCGATAGTGCCTTGGCTATTTGCTCGTCTGCGCCCCATACTCGGGCAATGTGTGATGAAGATTCTCGGATAGCATAGGTGACTTGACTGAAACCATCCATATGAGCATACATGGTCAACAATTGCCCGCTAGCAAATGCATCGTATACAGAGTTGCGTTCACTGAGTGATTGATAGTCGTCGTTGGGCGATTGAATGCCACGACAACACGCTGACAAGTACTGCAGCTGGATCAGCACAGCATCACGCGAGCCTTGAGGGTCTGTTTCAACATTCACTAATGCCTTTGAGATGCCTTGCAAGATGTCACCTGTCAAAGACTATCTCAGCCTATCAGTCATTGTCATCATCCTGTCTGTTATATAATCACTTACCATCAACGGACTCATGGCTCTATCAGGAGGAAGCACTTGAATGACATCCGCAACTGATTCTACTACTCTTTGCATGATATTGGATTTGATATTGGAGCTATTCATGGCTACGTAGACGTGCATCAATCCATCCAACTCGTCCACGAGCGATTCTCGACATGTATCACAAATATCTGCAAAAGCGGAACTAGCAGCCGGTGCTAAATGTGGATCACTGAGACAGGGCACAGTGTAGTTCATCACAGATCCCAAATATTGCGGATGTGCTTTGAGCCATTCAGCCAAAGAACCCATTAATATCAACACAGTGCTTTTTAAGCGGATACCGCAGTCCACTGGTAATCGACCCAGGACTTCAGGGCCAAAAAAGCGTGCAATATGGATATTCTCTTCCGGTGTGATCTCTTCAGATATACTCTTTAGGCAAAAGAGGATCGCTTCCAAGCTCTAAATCAAGAACATCAGTATATCAGACATCACTTTGCTTTAAGACTTACCTGTGTCGCATCGGGCAGCGATGTCCACTGATTTATAATATATACAATATGGTCCAGCAGGATGGCAAGCATTTCATCTCGTAAAACATAAAAGGGATTGATCATGGTGTCACCTAGATCTCTTCTCCAGGTCTTGAATTTATCCTTAATGTCTATGGCAACCATCAGTTTCCCACATTCTACTGTGCCTGAAGGACTCTGTCTACCTTTATTCCATGATTCCCATACTCGCTCTTCGGGATAGCGTGCAGTTCGAATCAAGATCTCCACTAATTCTCGATAGATGGCCAGTGCTGCTTGTCCACAGTTGTATTTCCACAGTTCCTTTGTCTCTGAAGGTGCTGCTAGTTTCACAGGCAAAATACATTCATCAAATAGCGTTTCCTGCATGATGTACCAAAAATTGAGAGGAATCTCGGTTACTTCTTGATCTATAGGGAAGAAGCCCTCGAAGCCAGTCAATCGCAGAATCATGGTCATAAGCCAGTACATGTCAGATCTGGCGAGCTGTTCCACAATATAGTCCGTGTATGTCTCTCCAAATGTTGTCAGTAACTTGGCAATCAACCTGGCAGTTTCCTCGTCTTCCTCTGTTATACACAACTCGAACTTTTCCTTCATGGCGTCACTGGTAAAGCAGGTGAGCAGCTCGTTTCTATAATTTTGGTATTTTGCCCAAGCTGCTTGTTGCATTGATTCTAGTAACACATCCACTGCTGATTCAAACAGATTCACGTCTCCTAGTAATGTCATGACTTTTTGTAAAATGGGATAGCCTTCTTCTAAACTGAAACCGTACTGAATCCAGCTTTGTAGACATCTCAATGATTTTAGTTGAATTTCTGTAGATACAGGGTTGAAAAGAAAGGATGAAATGGTGGATAATACAAGCGAGATGCTTTCTTTCAATTCTCCAATTAGCTGTAATTTGCGGCCTCCCATGATGTTTGAGTTGGACACCTCTTCAGGCACAAGCGTAAAGAATTCCAATACAGTCGCATTGATCATATCGGCTGGTACTCCATACGACTGGGATGCTCGTTGCAGTGCTTCGACTGTTGTTGGTATAAAATGCGGCCATTGATTGGGAACAGTGTGAAATGCAAAAGCGATCAACTAGAATCATAGGTCAGTACATCGTTTCGCACATGAGTATATAGATGCATTACTGCTAGACATAGTTTGGTAGTGACAAAGGCTGGCCCTCCACAGAGACGCACAATCCATCCGAGCAACTCATTTTTCAGCCATTCTACTCTATCTTCGGGTAATGTTTTCCTATGATTGACAATAAGCATACATACACTATGCTTGATCCACTGAATGTTGCATTTACCAATCACGAGTGATCTTTACTTGAAAGGTATGTGCTCCAAAGAATTGGCATTGATTAGACTGTAAGCAGGTACTGGATGTCAGCATGCGTTTTGATTTGATAAATGCTGCAGTTTACCTGTGATGCTAATAGTTGTGATGCAATCTCCCAAGCATAAGGTTGTTTCTGAAGTGATTGTAATTGCTCTTGAATCTGCTTTGCGACTACTGTATCAGATGAGTTGTATAGTTCCTCTATGAGCTACTAATGTGGTGAGTACACGCCGCCATATTATCTGCTTCAAATGCGTACCCCTTCTACTTGCGCAACACTTGGGCTTGCCATGGTAAAAGATGGATGAATGTACAGCCTTGAGAATGAAAAGGTATTTGCAGTCGGTTATTTAAAAGCAACACGAAACTTGAGTTTGCTAGTGGCTTTTAGTGTAGGAAAAAGATTGTGAGACCATCTCCCCCCCCCCCCCCTATCCTTCTACAGCATTCTCTTTCTCTCTATTCATTTCAACTCCAACATACAACATAGCTCAACATGAATGTTAGACAGGCCACCGTATGTTTAGACGCCAGCTTCATTTATGCAACAAAAAGCAGAGACTAACGATACATTAGGTCGATGATATGATCTATATCCAAAACTGTAATTTATTGGATCTTCCCGAAAACTATCAAATGAAATACTGTAAATATACAATATCTCCAGTCTATACGCTCTCTTCGCTCACACAGACACGTAGACCTCTACCACGCTTTATCCTGGCCTCAACTATCTTTTGTAGCAGAAGATGAAAATGGAAAGATTGTTGGCTACGTTTTAGCAAAGATGTAATTATCATGGATATTGTCACCATGCAAACGACAAGGTCGACTGAACATGTTGCCATAGGGAAGAGGAGCCTACAGATGTCCCTCACGGTCATATCACATCCTTATCCGTGATGCGTACTTATAGACGTTTGGGTCTTGCTCAAAAGCTAATGACTCAAGCTACCGCTCAAATGGCCACTGTTTTTGGAGCACATTATGTTTCTTTGCACGTACGTAAAACCAATCGTGCTGCCATTGGTCTTTACAGAGATACTTTGAAGTTTGAGTAAGTTGCCGTGGGTTTATTGTAGTGGACATGTGTATTAAATGCAGACTATTGTATAGTGTGCATGATATTGAAAAAAAGTATTACGCTGATGGTGAGGATGCTTTGGCTATGCGTTTGAATTTGAAGGAAACAAAGCCAATTATTCGTGGTATTGTTGAGGAAGTGAATGAGATTGCTGCTGCCCACTAAAGACAAATATATGTTAATCGAGATGTTCATCCAAGAATTTCTTGATGCTCTCTAATAAATCCTTTTTGATGGTCTCGCTGACAGTTGCTACAAGACGATTGATTAGATAATCTGGCAAGAGAATGCAGTCAAATATACTCTACATCTGCCATGATCGCCAATCTCTTTGATGAGATCTTCAAATGAGACGTCCTCTAGGTTTTTGGACTTGATAACGTCTATATAATTTTATGGGTATTCAATGCTCTTTCATGGCAAAAATCTAGTACCTCTACTGTATGCATCCAAACTATCTGTCCATCCTGAATCAGAGAGACGAGCTCGTAGTAATTGTAACAATCTAGCTAGACCTAAGACACTGGGACACAAGTCGCATAAAATACCCTGTAATTACCTATCCTTCTCGCCAGACTCAACAAAGAGTCGGCTCACTGATGTTTGCATCTTCTCAGCATCAGACATTTTATAGAAACTAGGAAATAAATGATTGCCTCAATGAAATCAGCAATCGATGTTTCCACAACAGGAAAAAGAGAGCAAATGGATTGTCATGAGCCGTTGTGCTTGTGCTAAATTTTCAAAGCCACATGAACGCAACAAAAAATAGGTATGCTGGCCTCCTACACATTTAAAGCTCCATAGGAGCGATCAAGGGTGGGATCCAATTTGCATAAAGCTCTCAAAGTGAACTGCTTTCACTACAAAAGTTTTTATTAAGTGTGTACATTTGATGATATTGATCAGGCACTTGCTTCTATCGAGCAGCTGATGTAGGTCGGATACAGCTTTTTGCTGCTTGCTTTTTCAATCATTTAAGCAATTGATCAGCGTTAAAGTCTGTCTTAATGCTAGTAATTAAGTAGCAATTGAGCTGAAACGTAAAAGATAACATTTATTGAGCGTGGCATTTAATTTACTATAATAATCTACTCGTAACAACAAATCTGAATAGTAAGGACAACTTTAGCAAGTGAAGACATTATAACATCTTACATTATTTAAAACAAAGCGAGTATTAGACTGATCGAACCTAAAGCATTTTGCTTTACGATCAAATGCCTTGTGCACCAAGCTACTGTCCTTACAGTTTGACCGTATGATTACATGATTACATTTAGGTGCGGGAGGGGTGAAAGCGGTTCGCTGCTGCTGTCGCACAGCGATGCGCGACCGAAACTTATATGCTGCAATGCAGTGTTTAAAAAAGTTGACAATTGAGCAGTTGATTCGATAATAACATTCCAGACATTTGTGGTAGTTTTTTAGAGTATAAAAAAGCGCATCGAATGGAACTACGCCTGATAGTTCTCCCACAGCTTCTATTTAGACAGGCAAAATTTTCATGTGTTTTTTCAGGGGCATCAAAGGAGATTAGATAATGAATCTGTACCAAATTGCCTGTAGCAGTATTTATTGTATAGACCCAGAAAGTACCTATCGTTTGAGGTCTTACTTGAATCTGTAACATCAGCTTTTTTCATGGATCTACAGCACCAAATAGGTCAGCCCCTGCCAAATTGTCAAAAAGCGATCGCTTAAGGCTTCCGTGGCGCATCTAAAATTCTATTTATGCATTCCTATTAGCCATACCATGTCCTAGATCTATTTCATAGACTTGAGCTCTACTTATACGTTTCCATAGTGCTCTTATTAAAACAAAAAACGTGCTTTCACCACTGTAAACTCCAATTTGGCAGTTAAGAATTTGTTTCTATAAGGAAGCACCATAGATAGCCAAACGAAGACTTATTTTGTAGAACAAACCCAGAAGAGTAAGTTTTATTTATAATAAAAAAAACCAAGTCGAGTTGACAGTTGTTGACCAAGTAATGGCGTCCAAACACTGTTACAAGTTCCTCGCTTAACTATTTGACAACTCATGTAGCGACTAAAAATCCCTTTATATGCTTAGCAATCCCAAAATAGACATATAATAGCTATTCTAATATGAGGTCGATAGTATCAACATAGGGCATGAAGAAACTACACCTCCCCCCTTTTGTTAAAGCATTGCACACCTTTGGCCCTTTGCCACACTACAACAAAACAATTTATAGCCACGCAGCTTTGAATATAGCGTTTCCAAGCACCTGATCCATCGAGCTAATAATTGCTGATAGCTAGCAGAATTTTATATGTACGGTAGCTCATTAATCAGCATTATCTAATATTGAGAGTCATCCGTTTCCAAACAACAATCCGTTATTATACAACCTACAATCCAACTACACCGTCGTTTTCTTCGCAAGATTTCTTCATTATTATGGAAACATGCTGCTTTCAATGCTCTAGCATCAATATTTCAATCTTGACTTTGCAGGGTCCAAAAATGAAAGTCTGAAAATACTTCTATCGTTGTGCATTCTGAATCTTCATTATAAAGTAAAAGATTGCAGCCCATTAAATTGAAACATGTTGGAAACCAGTGATAAACAACGCATGTTTGGCAGGGGGCATTTGGTACCGGGAGAACCTGGAAGTACCTCGTGTATTGCTGTAGTACCGATCATATAACTTTCTCTACCTATTGAATTTAAAAGACACTATTTACATGAAACTGTGAACTGGATGCTGGATCGAACAGTTGCATCTTAATGAAGAATATAGAAATATTTAAACTTTTTCGATTTTGATATCCTTTTATTAGAAACATAAAGCCACGGTAATTCACAGATCAATAGAAATCAATTAGTTGTAACCCTTCGTCGTTTCAACCCCTTAGCCAATCAGATTGCTTGAAAACTCCGCTGACCTAAAAAAAAATTTGCGAGAGTTTCCCCCTGTTTTGATGTGAGGCAAAATTTTAAGCTCCGCCATATACAGCAATATAGCCGTTACTATCATCAAATTTCCCTCAAATGCTAGAGCATGCCTTACTTACACCACCTAGCTTTTAAATTCTGGCGTTGAGACTCTCAATCATCACTAAAGTAAGTAGCGATAACCAAGTGGAGGCGGCCTATCTACCTCCTAGCCTCGGATAAAGTCTTGTTGAGCTTCAGGGATAGGCACATCCACACAACGTAAAAAAGATATGCTTCAAAAGAAACATAAGAAACGAAAAGAAAGTAAAGAAAAGTACATACTACTATAGGAGTATAGCAGTACGTAGGCAAAAAAAAGGGATACTCACACAAAGTGAGTAAAAGAAAAGTGTAACAAATACAACATCAGAGACGTTCAAAACAGCTCGCTGTTGTTGCAACAAAAATGCATACATGAGCAACATGCATGGTAATAGTCGGATGTAAAGCAACACAACCAACAAAAAGAAGAAGAAAAATGCAACAAAGCAAACATCATGAATGCATTATCAAGAGAAAAGAAGCAATAATACAAACGTTCAAAGAAGTTTTATATCATTGCGACCAGAAGAAAGAAGATACTTACCACTTACCACTACCATAGATGGACCAGATGATACGCAATCACCGGATATAGACCAGAGAATGAGCATACACCGAAGACAGTAGACCAGGAAAGACCATATTAGCAGCAGCAGAAGCAACACCAGCACCATAGAAAAACTAAAGAAAGAATACCATCAGCAGAGACCAGACAAAGACTACCAAAGAATTTACTTACCACTTATCACCACCACAGACAGACCAGATAATACACAATTACCGGGTATAGACCAGAGAATGAGCATGCACCGAAGACAGTAGACCAGGAAAGACCATATTAGCAGCAGCAGAAGCAACGCCAACACCATAGAAAAACCAAAGAACGAACGACACCAGAGACCAGAAGAAGACCAAAGAAGTAAACGCCAGACATGGTGAACCAAAGAAGCAGACAACAGAGATAGCAGAGAAGTAATGACAGAAACATTCACGTTAAACAGGCAAAAAAAATTATCAAAACATAATAAACAAATTTGATTAGTGCTGATTCTTCGCCTTCCAATGCTCGTTATCGAATGGTACCTACTATATTCCACTTCAAACAAGCAGTGTCAAGTACTTTTAACAATACAATGCCGTGTTATCAGAAGCTAGAGTGTTATTTTCAATCAAAAGGGTTCCAAAACAAATTGTGTTTGATGATAAACGCGTTTTGCAAAAAGGATAAAAAACCGTGCTATAAAAAAATGAGAGGGCACCCTAACCGACGTCACGACCAGTAGATTTGCTCTCAATTTTCCGCCGTGGAAGCCGTAACTGCTGCACTTTAATTTGGAATTGTGCAGTGGGTGTTTTCGTGTTCAAATTCGACTTGATCTCACATTCTTTAAACGTTTTTGCTAAATTTAATTATGAATATTGTCATTGTTATACTTTACTTTCTAATACATTTATAAAGAGTCAATGAAGGCGCATCGAGTGATGCTAGTTGCATTCAGCTTTCAAATTGAAAATAATGAGCAATCTTCAAAGATGTGAAAATGGGTTTTCTGCGAATATGTCAATATTCAGCATATAAAAATTTTATAAAAGTAGTTTCCAATGTTGCCTTTCATCTTTACCATCAATTTGATCTGATATGTATCATAGGAAAAGTCTTCATTTTGGGGTGAAAAACGCAATCGTTTGATTTTCATGAATTTTCCCTTGCTAATAGTCATGGAAAAACGATGATTTTCATGAATTTGCAACTACCCAAAAAAAATTGGGATAAAGCATCAGGAAGTAAAGCGTGACAAAGAGGAGACATTCAGTGCTATTCCAAGCGCTCAAAACGCTTTGTGGCATGAGTTATTCGAGCTTGGAAATGGCTAGATTTGAACAGAACTCGGCCTAAAACGAAAGAGTAATGGGTTGCATTGCTAGAAGAGTAAGTCAATTACACTTTTGTCTGATGGCGCAGATGTTCTGCATTGTACAGAACTCAATTTTAAAGTAATAATTGCTTTTATTCCAGTTCCAAGGCCCAGACCTTGCTTTTTGAAATGCGCAATTGCAGTAACCTTGGCACTTGAGCGTCAATAATGTTATGCGACTTTGAATTTAATGACTTGCTTGTATTCAGCAAAATGCTTCTCAGGTCAGTAGACAGCTTTTTAATGGTCGAACATAACAGAGATACCATATCCAGCCGCCGAACTACTTAGAGTCTATCCACAAGGTTGAAAACATGGATAAGAAAAAATAGTTAATAGTAGACACGCCAGACTGGTCCCTTTACGGTGGGGTCGCAACAACAAAATTGTTTACCCAGATCTAGCAAACACTCATGATGTCTACAAATTCTGTGATACAAGAGTCGATAGCAACGAACTGTAGTAAAAACGGGCTTAAATGACTTCATGGAGCTACAACACACTGTTGAAAGGATTAGCTCTCGAGCCAAATTATACCCAAAAACAATCGCTCAAGAGCTAACTTTTGCTACAGTAGTGTGCATAAAATATGTTTTCTTTTGCGAGCCAACGTCGATCAAAGTACTCCCTGAAATTATTCTATAGATTTCAGCACAATACAGACGTTTCTGTGCTGTTGTTATCAAGGAAGAACATTGCTTTAGTCATTACAAACTGCGAATTTAGGGTTAACAACCAATTTTGAAAGGAAGTATTGCATTTGGTGCTAAAATAAGGTCTCATTTTCTAGAGCAATTATAGGGAAGCAGAATTTGATGATTAAACAAAAGAATCTAGTAGAACTGTCAATTATACTGATAATAGCGCAGAAAAACTGGTTTTTTTATAGGGGTTACTGTGGAATTTGAGGCTTTATAGACTAAAATTCACGGAAAAAAAAGAGTAAAAAAAAACAGTAAAGTCAACTTGATAAAGGTATGTTTTATTATCAAACTGACAGGTGTAAAGTAAACTGAAGTCTCTCTACTGGCCAGGTAGATGATCCTTCTTATATACTGTAACAATGGATAAAAGTTCTATTAATTAGATTAACAAATAAGTCAACTCAGATCAACTAATGTCTAATCATGCTAAAAGACAACCCCAGCAAGCTAATCATGATTTAGCTCTGTCTGGATGAATAATTAGACTCTCATCCGAAGTACCCTGATCTATCCTTTCTATAAGAATATCGATCTAGTAGCATGTATCCGATAGGTACAGTCTTCTTAGTCTATATTAATAGTACATATCTGAGTGTATATCGCTAAGCATACATCTTTAGCATGTATCTGGATATATGGCATGTCTATAGCATATCGTATGCATGTCTATAGCATGTCTCATATATAGTACAAGTCTGTAGTACATAAAGTATCTGTAGCTAGTATCACGGATATAAGCATGTGTCTTATAGCGTGGATCATGAAGTGCACATCTGAAGCAACAAGCTCATATTGCATTAATCTTGGTGCCTATCCAGATATGGTAAACATCCGTAGTCAATGTCGGAATACAAGTATAAGTCTATAGTGCCATCCATGTCCGTGGTGCCATCTATAGCCTATATCTTATATAGTATGAATCTTATAGTACTAGCGTATCTGAAGTCCATATCTTCTTATAGTATAAATCGATATCGTACATCTAATCCAGCGTACATACAGTTTATATCTAAATCTGGTAACTGGATGAACTGTTGGAATGCAGATCATAGTGGATGTATTCCACAGTGTGCATCTCACCACGAAGGGCAGACAGCCTTTCCACGTCTTGGATTGATACTAGAGATTTCATAATGTACAATACAGAACATCTGGCTTATCAGACAGAACCGTAACTTACTCTTCTGGTAACGCAACCCACTACGCTGTCGTTTTAGGTCGAATTCTGTTCAAATCTAGCCATTTCCAAGCTCGAATAACTCATGCCACAAAGCGTTTTGAGCGCTTGGAATAGCACTGAATGGCTCCTCTTTGTCACGCTTTACTTCCTGATGCTTTATCCCAATTTTTTTTGGGTAGTTGCAAATTCATGAAAATCATCGTTTTTCCAGACCTGTTGCGTACCACACTGTACTCAAAAAGAGTTACATGTTACATTAAACAAAGTGCGCAAATTTAACTATTACAGAGTTCAATCAGATTTCCCCCAACATCATGGATTTTTAGTCCAATGGAAACGTTGTTCATTTCAACCCATGAATACCTTTCTCGCCTACATTCATTTACACCTCTGCCCACTTTTATATACATCTCTGCCCACTTTAAGATACATCTCTGCCTACATTTAAATATATCCCTGCCTACTTTTATATAAATCTCTGCCTACGTTTATATAAATCTCTGCCTACGTTTATATATATCTCTGCCTACGTTTATATATATCTCTGCCTATTATCAAATACACCACTGCCTATATTTATATATACCTTTGTCTACATTTATATATACCTTTGCCCATATCTAAATACTTCTCTGCCTACTTTCTGCCCACTTTCATTAACATCTCTGCCTACTTTCATTAACATCTCTGCCTACGTTTATATATATCTCTGCCTACGTTTATATAAATCTCTGCCTACGTTTATATATATCTCTGCCTATTATCAAATACACCACTGCCTATATTTATATATACCTTTGTCTACATTTATATATACCTTTGCCCATATCTAAATACTTCTCTGCCTACTTTCTGCCCACTTTCATTAACATCTCTGCCTACATTTAAAGACATCTCCGCCTACTTTCATATGCATCTCTGCCAACTTTCATATATGCCTCTGCCCACATTTAGATACATCTCTGCCCACTTTTCTGCGTGCCTCTGCCAACTGTCATATATGCCTATGCCTACATTTATTATGGCTTCGTTGTATTATTCGTCAAAGTAGCTGCTTAGTACAGTGATTGTCGGCATTTAAGCTGCACTTCTTAAATAAGCATAGGTTTTTTGCCATTCAGAACCCAGTTGATAATTAATGTTGGACAAAAGCGATGTTACGCAACTGTGGAACAACTCAAATTCTTATAGAACATTTTCAAGGAGAATGACGAGGTGTTGTCTGTTTATCATAAGGGAGAAGCACAAACGGGTTTGTACCATTTTTGAAATCTTCGCATGCTTCTATTTATGAATTGATCTCGCTTCATGCATGCGTTGTTAAAGCTGTGGATCATATTTTCTGTTGATAAGCCGTTGCAATTATACAGTTCTCGTTAAGAGCAAGCCATCTTTATAAATACATTTGAGATTTTCTTTGCTTTTGTTCTTTCTTTCTTTCTTTATACATTAAAATGAGTAAATTGATTAAAAACTATTTTGGCGCCTTAGAAGGAGAGATGGATTACGCGAGCCAGCAGACTGGTCGTGGTTCCGATGATGAATCAATCATTGAACAAGATGCTGGGGACGTTTGGAGTGATAACAGCGACGGCACTCGCCTAACTGTAGAGCCTGAAGATGAAGATGAAGATGAAGACGCAGATGAAGACAAAGATGAAGACGAAGATGAGGATGAAGACAAACACAGTCATACTGAGTCGTTCTTCATGTATGGAAGTGATGATGAAATCTTATTAAGACCATTATTCCAAAAAGTGGATCTCTTGATAAATGATTTCGCTGAAACAAATGCAGCCTTCACCAAAGACCAAGTGAAGCGATACCTTGGAGCACATGTGTGCTACGAGCATCACACAAAATTCATTGGAGAGTTCAAGCCTCCCCAAGCAATCAAGACAAAGCTCAGTGGCTGGAGTATGTATCAGAAGGAACATACTCAGGGCAAAAAAATTCTGAAATCAGAGCGCAAAGCCCATTTGCAGCAACTTGGAGCCCAATGGAAGGCGCTTAGTGCAGAGCAGCAACGGCCATACAAACTAGAGGCAGAGGAAGAGAAGAAGCGGTCCTCGAACATTGACATGTTGGCCAAGTACAAGTCTTTTGATAGACATTGGAAACAATTTCGCAGAAGTGCAGATTTCTTCAGAGAGAATTATCGCACACATTTGATGATTTACCGAGCAACTGACACCATTTATGATAAACTCTACGTACCATTGTATCAGCCAAATTCTGGTACAGTAAATCATTTTTTACGGTCGGTTATAAGGACATTCGTTAACATGTATGTCATAGATGAATCAAAAGAAGCCTTTAAACAAATCGATGAAACGCTGCCATCGATGAGTATCATCGGTTTTCTGGAAAGAGAGATGCGAAAAACTCGTATTACCCCAGGTATGTATTACACTGGTTTTTCAATGTCTAAAATTGATAATTTTTGGCAGGTAATACGAAGGCTCCCCATGCTGCTCACACTCCCCATGCTGCCCACGCTGCCCACACTCCTCACGCTGCCCATGCTGCTCACACTCCCCATGCTGCCCACGCTGCCCACACTCCTCACGCTGCCCACGCTGCCCTCACTCCCCTCGCTGCCCATGCTGCCCTCACTCCCCACACTCCCCACACTGCTACTCGCAGGTATCCCAAAATCCTGAAGGACTCTGATGACGATTATGACTCTGATGGCTCGTTCCAGGATGGTGATGATTCACGAGAGGATAATGAAGCACGAGGTTCTCAAAAAAGGCCTGCTGCAGCAATTTCAACACTGGACGATACACCAACGATCGCTGGATATTTTGCAGCTATTGCGCCTGTTCCTTCGAACTTTTCTTCCAAATCATCGAATGCTCTACTGGCTGCCTTTGATCCGAGCAATAATGCCATTTCAGCTGACCTTGTTCAAAAATCAAACAAGAAGCTTCGTGGAAGCAAAGAGCAAGATATCAAAGATTTACGAGTCGTAGCCAAAGATGCCTGGTGTGAGTATCGCACATCTAACCAATCCATGTAATTCATTTCTAATAATTTTTATAGCAAAGGCAATTGGCTTGTCTGACGAAAAAAAAGTGGCTCCTAGTTGGAAGAAGGTGTTTACGAAAACTAAATATCGTGATGGTCATGTGTATGGTCTCGTTGGATGGCCAGAGGACTTGCCATACCCAAAAACAAACCGCAAGGGCAAAGTTGATCATGATATTGAGGGTTTATCTACTGATGATGCAAAGAGGGTTTTAAAAGGCTTTCGCGATGGTGTTATTGACTTTAAAAGGCTCAATTGATGTGGTTTGCGTGTAATGGTCATTTGTAGTTGAAGTTGTATATCGAGTGTCGCCATCTTTATTTTGTTAATTGAATAAATGCTTTACAAAGACAGTTGATTAGCTTGGATGTAGTTTTGTATATGTGTTTATAAAGTGGTAAAAAGACGTAAATTCGAAAAAAAAGGGGGATTGTTAATTTAATATTGCGTGTATCTATATATACTTTGGGCCAGCACTCCTTTAATAAATGTTGCACAGATTATTAAAATGTATCACCTTGCTGATCAAAAGTGAGGCTTTCTTCAATAATTGCAGTCAACTGTTTTCATCTTTTTTATCAACGCTTCATTTCCAATTTACTTTTGATTGATCAAGATACATCATAAAATCAGTAGAGCAGCATTGCCATCCCATTTCATCATCCTCTTGCTGTCTAGCATTCAATTTCGGCGGTGTTGTATGGTCACGATATACGATTATTTGGTATGAGCTTTACCTAAAGCATAATGCGAATTTTGAAGTCAATCAACAAATAGACCACAACGTATAGATATTTTGATAGTCGCTGGAGGAGCTGGCACTTGAAAAACAGATCATACACAATATAGAATTGAACCTTGATCAAGATTGACGCATCTACAAAAGGGATTTTGTACTCGAGTACTTGTTCCGTGTGTTACACCTTTTAGTGTAAACAGATTGCTGATTTTATTAGCTTTATCCATTCCACGTACAGTATCAAGAGGATTTCATTGGACTTCTGGGGCGAACACAAAATGAAGCATGGGAATTATAGGCATTGCAGTCAAAATACCCTCTGGAATTCGTCATTTTCATGTTCGTTCCTAAATTTCATCATTCGATTTCAACAAAAGATTGAACTCAAGAGAGGGTTGTCTAATAAGACGAATAAAAAACTCTTCTGAGACGAAAGCTTGCCACTTTAAATCAAGCTATATGTGGTTGAACAAGAGTAAGTATGAGTCTTCCTTCAAAATATATACAACGAAAGCCGAGACAAGGGTATAACATCACAAACAGTGTCACCACTACCGTCTATATGACAGATATTACTATATTGCTTTATTAGCCAATTTATGGACCCTGCTACGACAATTCCATTGACTATACAGGTTGTTCAGTGTTTGAGACCATTAATCATTAAAAACTCAAGAAGCGCGTCGAAACCAAGTGCTGAATTTTGCTCTATTACTACATTATACAAAGACATAGATTCCCGTCAGCAAAATATACATGATACAAATTGCAAAAGCTGATTAACGCACAAAGGAGAAATTCAAGTATGGACAAGGCAATATTTCAAAAAGGACATTTCAAGCCTCAAAGTAAACCATCGCTGAATTACAGTATGGCAAAAACGGTGCTCACACAGAGCTTTTCTACTAGCAGTATGCTATATACAATAAATTATTGTGCCATTCATCATACACGAGACTAGTGGTAGCTTAACTTGACAAAGTACGAATGACTTTTGACTCATGACAAAGCAAGCGTGAATGCCTCTATGACTATGATTGCTACCTCAATTATATGACTATAGCCCACTTTGATCAGTTGTACTGAGAGCAATAGCAGCTAGGTACAAGTACTAAAAATATTTGTGTATGCAATAAAAGAACGTACCTTTATTGTTAAGAGGTGATAGTCAGGAGGAAGTGGAGGAAGAAGAGCTAAAGATAAAACCACTAGCTTGAATTGATTTGCTTTATCAGTGTATTGATATGACTAGGAAGCAAATGCATTCAGTTATTGGAATATGAGGATGTCAACTATGAAACGGTTTTCATACATCACAGTAGCTTTTTCATAATAGCGTTATAAATAATATATAATTGTACGTCAAATTATCTGCGAAATAGAAAACAAACGGAAGCACCTAGCAGCAAAAGTAATGTCAATGACGAGGTTCAGTTATAATACAACAGTGCTCTGTAATTCATAATCATATGTTGAATATATCTTGTTAGATAGCGTTAGTCACTGTTGAGGCATAAAACAACAACAGCCGTTCGCTGTCGTTACAGTACTTGTTCTTAATCAAACGCGATGAATGACACACGTGGCAAATGTATTCAATACTAGAAATGTTATTTCAAATAAAGAGAATCGTTGGAAACAGCTAATATTATTAATTCAATGATTTTATAGCAAAGTACAAAGCAAACAAGAAAACTTAGCATTACAGTAAGGTACCACATAGAAGCTTTCTGTGACAAAGTGTACTCACTACATTAATATATTATATGATCCAGTTCAACAAATACGCCATTTAAAAGCTTTTTACCATTTTATTGCTGTATTATTGATATGATTTAATACGATGCTATGTTGGGCTGACTGTATTAAAGATGATTCAGAAGATTCATAGTTTATTATTAGCTTATCGTTAGTTTAAGTCAATATGATCACTGTTTCTACATTTCTGATACATCGGAAATACCTTTGAGAAGCTAAAAATATTAGATTTATGATACTTTTACAAGAATACAATTAGTTTTGTATACATGTAAAGCTAGTAGACAATCAAGTTGATTCACATCACGTGAGTAGTAGTACAAAATATTGTAATAACTATAGTATTACCTAGAATTTTTGAAATTTCTTAAATTTTTGCTTTGCGAAATGGTAACTTTTTGTCGACGGAACAGACAAGATTACGAGTTCAAGTCCCTGCGTTCTCTTTTTTAGAGAAAATTGCCATTATTAGTGTTTGTAGCAACGTTCATTTAATTCAGGGATAATTTGATACAGGAACATATATGTTGAGATTTTTTCATACGATAAAGTTTTACTAGATAATATATATATATAAAATAAAAAAATAGGCACTTGATGCTTTATGATCCTTCCTCAATGTCTTGAAATGTGAGTAGAATTTCGTCTTCTGGGTTTGGCTCACCGCCTTCACCAGGATCTGCATCGTTTGGATCACCGGCGTCAACCACATCATCCTCAATGTTGTCGAAAATTTCATTCCCGTCATCGCTAAGATCCACCTCAGGAAAAATAACGACATTGTTTAGCAAGTCAGAGGCATCTCTGCTTGCAAGCAATACCGGAGGTTTGGATCTTGAAATATTTTTCAACAGTGACTTGGCACTGCGTTGACGGCGAGCAACGTCCAGAACTCTCATTCTGACAAAATGATTGTTCTGTTTTCCCCTCAACGATGACAACTCACTTTCGTAGTTGCCAAGAACCCTCTTTGCTTCACCCTTCATCGAAAAGTATCATTAGTATACATGCTTCTTATGCTATTGAGTTTACTCGAGCCTACTATCAAAATAGAAATTTCTTCGACGTTTCTTTTCAATATATGCCAGTTGTTCAAAGGGGTGGGCAAATCCAGACCATTTTCGGCAGCATACAGTCTGATCCGTTCCACTTCTTTTCCGACTGTCTTCTTCTTTCTTCTGTCGATCTCTGCCTGCGTACCTTCATACCATTATACACTAAGATATTGCTCTCGCTTGCGATTCAAAATTATAACTCACTGTATGAGGTTTCTACAAATTTGTTGATCATCGAAATGATCGCCTCTGCTTTCTTCTTCAATATTTCAAGCGACAAAATAACTCTGGCCGCCTTTGCAGTGCCTATCATTTGGGTTAGAGTTCAATCTAAGGGAAGTTTTCGTTCTCACAAAAGGCCAAGCCATTACCAAATGAGCCAGGTTGAGATATCTTGTGCTCTTTCATCAGAATTGCAAACAAGAGGTGTTTTACAAATGTATTCATTACATTGTATCGAACTTCAATGATCCGTTCTCGATGTTCTTGCAAGGCTGGATCATCTAGGCTGTTGATCATCGCATACCCATACACAGATTGTAATTGCTTGATTTGATCGACCAAAAAATTGTTTCTATTGATATCTTTCTTGGTAGTGATTTCAATTTTTCTTCCACTACATTTTAAAAATGGTTCAACAGTAATATTCCTCTATGCACATGTTTAAAAGTTACCTTTCATCTCTCAAGTCATTCAACAGCAAATATTCAACGGTTAATTTTAGGTAGTAAGAATACCTACTGACATGGGTTTCTTGTTCTGCCTTATCTATAAGGATTTGCACACCGGCAGGAGTTGCTGGAATCATCACGATCTCTACATGCTCACTCCACTGTTCTTCCAGTGCAAAAAATTTCTCATTTGTAATGTTGAGCTCGCTCACCTTCTTCATTGCATTGGTGTACTTTTTTAAGATTTGTCCCGCTGTTATAAATAGATTAGTAAGACAACAATATGAAAGCTATGTATAGCTTACGAATTTCCAACATTTTGTTCTGTCTAAAATGATATACGACATCTGTTAACAATGATTTGCGGTTGAATTTGCTCATCTGTCTGATCATGGAAATGAAGCGATTTGCTGTGCTCCAGAAGCACTCTACACCTTCGCCATCTGATTATTGAGTCAGTATTTTGTTCTCCACTTTTATTGTTCATGCTTATTTACCGGTATTGCCACTGCCATTGACAACTCGTGGATGGTGTTGGACTTGACAATGCATGCTATGGGCATAGGCGTGGAACACTGTCACGAGATATAAAGGAGCCCTCTCCTTTAGCCCTGGTATACACGACTAATAGTTCGTTCTTGTGTTGGAATCGATGTATGCAGTCTCTGAATATGTATATGCCTACCTCTAATTTGCCCTTACACAAGCAAATAATGTCATACATAATTAGTAGTTTCTGAGAGTTACCCAATAAACTCATAAGATGACTGATAGCCGCAAGTGCGTACTTACGCCTGTTACAATCATTTAGGGGAATCAGAAAGTTGTTAGTCTTTTTTTTTAGCATTACCAAGATCTACTTACCCTTCGCCATTATAAATATCGTATAATCGAATAGGCACGCCATGTCTTGCACAATTCATAGAAAAAACTCCTTCTTCGTCAAAACGGTTACTCACCTTTCGATTTTTCTCTGAGCCAGCTTTGAACGTAGGGTTGTTGATGTTGTCTAGTTCTTCAAGACCACACTTGATGAAAATGTGATTAGTATGCACCATCAAGTACAAACATTTTAGTGCATCTATATTGTCAATATGCTTACCAGCTCTTCTTTCGCATCATCTTTTTCATTAGCAAACTTTTCAACTTCACCTTCGACTTCCCACAGCTGTGCAATGTCGTAGCTTGTTGAAAAGATACTAGGATAGAGATCTACATCATTTCGGTTTCGCTTGTTCATCTTTCTTTTTAATTGGAAGTTGCCATCCATTACAACTCCAACGGTATCACCATCCTAAAAGAAAGCCTGAATCAGTTTTTGCTAACGAGATGCCTTGCAACGCAACTCACAAAACACGCATGACAGTACAAAGAGTGGTTGACCAGTCGTAAATCATCCAAGGCATGGCTCTTCAAATTTCGATATATTACTTGTAGTGTGTTGAACAAGCCGTTATTCAAATTTTTAAACTAAAGAGAAAAGAGAACGGCGAGATATTGAGATAAACAGCACAATGGTCTGCAGCATTTAACTTACGTCGTTTTCACCATAGTTACTCAACAAGAGATTATCAACATTCTGCGTCTTCACGAATGCATAATTTGAAATGCTTCCATGTAGCTTCAAGCTCATCAGTTTTTCAAAGACGGCGAAATGGACCGCAGCTTTTGGTTGAATTGTGCTGCTTGGCAACATTTGCATCAATACCAATTTCTTTAGGATTGGTTGATGCATACAATAATCAACTTTGATTTTTTGATGGTCTGCAAATCAAGTGTCAGTTTAGCTTGTGTAATATTTGGAGTTTCACTAAATTTACTTACTGTGTAGCATATAACAATATACCTCCAATGTTTTCTTATTGCTGCAGTCGCATTGATATGTGCTTTTCAATTGATTTGGGACTTTGAGGGTAGGGTCAGCATGGCCATGAATCTCGTGAGATTCAAGATACCACTTCTTGAGCGAGACACTTTCTTGAGCCCAAAAGTCTTTTCTAATTCTCCTTTGTTTTTTTTGTCTGAAAATGGTTGTGAAACCATAACGCTGGTTAGAAGGCTCTATGTAGTCGAAGCCATGGTCGATGCTGTCATCGTCAAAATGAAATGCTCCGTTTGCATGGACAAGTTGTTTAGTGTTGTCGTTCAGCGAAGCATTAGGCTGGGTTACAGCTTGCCTATTCCGTTTCTCCAGCTCATTGATGTACTTGATGGCTTTCGCATGTGCAGTCTTTGCGCTCTTCTTCATCATCTGAGACTTTGTTATAGAGCGGCTACGTTGTTTGCGTGCTTTTTGTTTTTTTTTCTTCAAGGCTATCTCCTCTGCATTCGTTGGCATTTTCTTGATAACCTTTTTGTTTGATTCCTTGTTTGCCTCTTCTTCAGTGGCTTTCTTGGCTCTCTTAGCAATTTTATAAGCTGCGTCGTTTTTCAACATTTGATGAATAGCGGACGAAAATAGAAAAGTGATGCTGGCTTCCTTATAAAGAGTATTTGGTGAGTCGACTCGATTGTTCCACAACCTACACAGTTACACAGTTGGGGAAGATGTTTGTGCTCTTTTCTAAACACCAATTTGCTGAATTACATACCAGCAGATGAAAGTGCTTTGCGTTGACTGCAATCAGAAATTTGTATTTGATGCGTGCTCATCAAAATTATTTGCAATGTTTTGAGGAGGTTGCGCATCAAATGCTTTCGCAAAAGAAACTACTGATAAAAACTGCCAATAGCATGCTTGAAACTATTGTTACAAAAATAATGCAGCGTAGAGAATGAAGCTAGGATTAGATAGGCAGGCAGGGCAATATAGTTAAGGGAAGAAGCTTCTGCATCAGTCGAAAGAGAAAGCTAAACCAAGCGCAACTAGTAGCGTGGGGGTACAAGTGAGTTGTGGAAGGCATGATAGCCTACTGGGATCAAATGATATTTAGAAGGTATTCCCCAATGATTGCGATCAATAAACAATTGGCAGCAAGGTATAGTAGAGGGCAGAACGCATTATAGGCAGCCATGTATAGGCAGCTAGGTATAGGCAGCTAGGTATAGGCAGCTAGGTATAGGCAGCTAGGTATAGGCAGCTAGGTTTAGGCAGCTAGGTTTAGGCAGCTAGGTATAGGCAGCTAGGAATAGGCAGCTAGGTATAGGCAGCTAGGAATAGGCAGCCATGTATAGGCAGCCATGTATAGGCAGCTCGGTATAGGCAGCAGGGCCTATTAAGCCCAACAGCATTGGATTTTGATATTACATGTAATTTCGATATCATCTGTGATTGGTACAAAAATCCCCCAAGTGTTAATGGAAAAATATATAACTCTGAATGAGTACAAATAATGCTCATTTTTGTAGTGACACATGCAACTCTTTTTGAGTACAGTAGTGTGTAAGAGCTGTTTTCCATGACTATTAGCAAGGGAAAATTCATGAAAATCAAACGATTGCGTTTTTCACCCCAAAATGAAGACTTTCCTTGTGATACATATCAGATCAAATTGATGGTAAAGATGAAAGGCAACATTGGAAACTACTTTTATAAAATTTTTATATGCTGAATATTGACATATTCGCAGAAAACCCATTTTCACATCTTTGAAGATTGCTCATTATTTTCAATTTGAAAGCTGAATGCAACTAGCATCACTCGATGCGCCTTCATTGACTCTTTATAAATATATTAGAAAGTAAAGTATAACAATGACAATATTCATAATTAAATTTAGCAAAAACGTTTAAAGAATGTGAGATCAAGTCGAATTTGAACACGAAAACACCCACTGCACAATTCCAAATTAAAGTGCAGCAGTTACGGCTTCCACGGCGGAAAATTGAGAGCAAATCTACTGGTCGTGACGTCGGTTAGGGTGCCCTCTCATTTTTTTATAGCACGGTTTTTTATCCTTTTTGCAAAACGCGTTTATCATCAAACACAATTTGTTTTGGAACCCTTTTGATTGAAAATAACACTCTAGCTTCTGATAACACGGCATTGTATTGTTAAAAGTACTTGACACTGCTTGTTTGAAGTGGAATATAGTAGGTACCATTCGATAACGAGCATTGGAAGGCGAAGAATCAGCACTAATCAAATTTGTTTATTATGTTTTGATAATTTTTTTTGCCTGTTTAACGTGAATGTTTCTGTCATTACTTCTCTGCTATCTCTGTTGTCTGCTTCTTTGGTTCACCATGTCTGGCGTTTACTTCTTTGGTCTTCTTCTGGTCTCTGGTGTCGTTCGTTCTTTGGTTTTTCTATGGTGTTGGCGTTGCTTCTGCTGCTGCTAATATGGTCTTTCCTGGTCTACTGTCTTCGGTGCATGCTCATTCTCTGGTCTATACCCGGTAATTGTGTATTATCTGGTCTGTCTGTGGTGGTGATAAGTGGTAAGTAAATTCTTTGGTAGTCTTTGTCTGGTCTCTGCTGATGGTATTCTTTCTTTAGTTTTTCTATGGTGCTGGTGTTGCTTCTGCTGCTGCTAATATGGTCTTTCCTGGTCTACTGTCTTCGGTGTATGCTCATTCTCTGGTCTATATCCGGTGATTGCGTATCATCTGGTCCATCTATGGTAGTGGTAAGTGGTAAGTATCTTCTTTCTTCTGGTCGCAATGATATAAAACTTCTTTGAACGTTTGTATTATTGCTTCTTTTCTCTTGATAATGCATTCATGATGTTTGCTTTGTTGCATTTTTCTTCTTCTTTTTGTTGGTTGTGTTGCTTTACATCCGACTATTACCATGCATGTTGCTCATGTATGCATTTTTGTTGCAACAACAGCGAGCTGTTTTGAACGTCTCTGATGTTGTATTTGTTACACTTTTCTTTTACTCACTTTGTGTGAGTATCCCTTTTTTTTGCCTACGTACTGCTATACTCCTATAGTAGTATGTACTTTTCTTTACTTTCTTTTCGTTTCTTATGTTTCTTTTGAAGCATATCTTTTTTACGTTGTGTGGATGTGCCTATCCCTGAAGCTCAACAAGACTTTATCCGAGGCTAGGAGGTAGATAGGCCGCCTCCACTTGGTTATCGCTACTTACTTTAGTGATGATTGAGAGTCTCAACGCCAGAATTTAAAAGCTAGGTGGTGTAAGTAAGGCATGCTCTAGCATTTGAGGGAAATTTGATGATAGTAACGGCTATATTGCTGTATATGGCGGAGCTTAAAATTTTGCCTCACATCAAAACAGGGGGAAACTCTCGCAAATTTTTTTTTAGGTCAGCGGAGTTTTCAAGCAATCTGATTGGCTAAGGGGTTGAAACGACGAAGGGTTACAATTAATTGATTTTCTATTGATCAGTCAATTATCATGATATAGTGTTTGTAGTAAAAGCGTAGCCAAATGTAGATACCATTTAAAGCCTACATTATTAGATAGTAAGATGATATGATGCAACTATTAAATCTGGCATCTGTTGCACAACAGTTTGATATGGAAAATTTCTTTTAAATGTATCATGTGAGGAAGTTGTATACGTAGAACAGTGCATTAGTTATCAGGTCCTTCCAGTACCAATTGTGCAGCCAAACATGTCTGTGGTGAAATCAGATTTAAGAGATTTCACAAATAATATAATGGAATAATAAAATACAATAGAATCAAGTGTATTTCATCTGTGTGTAGAATGAACTAAAGATCCTGGAATTTAGTAAAAAAGAGTATTTATGCATTTGTAACTAGGTTGTAGGTTTAGTGATGATAGAGAGAAATAGATGCTGCTATTGCAGTAATATCTCTCGATGTTGTGGATGTTTGATTTAAAGTATTAATCAACCAGTGCAAGAGCACCGGTCATAAGGTTAGATATGAATACCCTTGATGGGCTTGGATGAGCTATCATCATAGCATGATTTAATGTAACCTTGACAGTTTAAGATGTGATGTTTGTTATTGAAGTGTGGAACCCTTTAACTGGAGTACTGCACAACTATGGCATCAGGGCATAATTATTTTATTTGACTATGCTTATTATTGATTTTATTTTATTTGGATAAACGTAACATCACTTATCAAGAAACTATCATGGATATGGTTAAATACACCATGACCAATAGTGATTTGTTCACACGATGTGCGAGATAAGGGTGCATCTGTACTTTATTATGTTTAGATGGTTGCTTGAAGCACATTGGAGCGCTTTATTGATACATTCAAATAGCCTGAATTTCAATGAGTGATATTTGACGAATTCCTGCTTTCATTCAGGTTGCTTTCATTAGATGGCTATTCCATTACATCGCGCGTACATTCAACAAGGTCAATAAAGCTTAGGTACTTCTAACTAACAAAACTAAACGACGCCGTTAGATTTATCATTTATTTCAATTCCTTATGGCAGTTTTGGCACTAAAATATCTTTTATTCTTTTTTTTACAATGCTTTTTCTTCAATTCAAAGGTAGATGTACATTAAAGTACGCTTTTAAATCACAACGTTGTCTCTAAACTCTGTAATTTGTCAAGGACAAAATGTAAATTAAATGAACATAACAAACATAGTCTATTACGGTGCATAATAGGATATGGTTATTTACATCAATGGATTCAGGGTAATGAATATGGACCCATTAGATGTGTCAGTAGATGTTGGATAAGAGCTACTCGAATGAGCTATATAATATGTTTCTATTGTAACTTTTATATAAGATACGAGCGTGTTTAGTATGCTTTGGATGGCTCTACCCTCGCTTCGCTTCGGTAAGAGCCAACTTGCGCAGCGACAGCTCGCGCTACCAATTGCCCTTGCGTATCCTATCAAAATACTGCTATTTTATTTTGACCCTCCACTTAAACATGAAAACCCTTCATATTACCTGTCGATCTGATTCTTATGTGATGCTCTACATCCATATGCACGTAGCTACTTCATGTAGGAGCAAGCAGCGTACTGGTAATTCCCCTATGTAGTCTTTAGTGTCTCTGATACAACAAAATCTGAGTGCATTTGAGCTGCGGTTTCTTGCGATCATGGCCGTTTTAGATGGTCAAAATAGCACCAAACAATTGCTCTCGTCTAGCAGTTACTTATTGCCACTATTGCTCAACTTTTTGAGGACCAAAAAGCATGTTCTCTTGATTGTGTGTATTCATCAAATACCAATGAAACATAGGCTCTCTGTAATTGTCAACACAAAGCCTCTGTAGCTTAATCTATATCGATCCAAACAGACAAAGCGCTCAAAACGATCCACGCTGCAAGTGACATATTTAACGAATGATTGCTAGTGGACAAGTCACTCTTATTATATGCATGCTCAAACCGGTCTTACCATAGAACAGCGCCATCATTGCTAGTGTCGTCGTCGTCGTAGGCAAAATATTCTTCAGTTTATCCTCAATGCCAGGTCAAACATTACACATTTGGCGGAATACTGGTTAATACTCCTGATTTCATCGACTATGCCAAGTTGCCATGATAAAACAAAAGTGATGAGCGTTTGCACTAGGAGAGAAACACACTAGAAGTTTCCGCATCTCTATTGTAAAGCACATAAACTGCTGCTATGAATACAACAAGTTGATAAAACCTAACAGAAACACTTCAACATGGAAATCAGCAAGTGTTATATTTATAAAAGGAACAAATTACATAGTTATGAGTAAAAAAGGAATTACAAAAGGAAACAATAAACAAAATTGAGGATATCGTAAATAGAAATAGATAGTGGTGGTATTTGTCAGTGTAGATCAACAAGAGAGTAAGATCTTAGATGTACAAAAAAGTAATAGGTGGTATATAGCAGCAACGGTTGAACAGCTGCAGATTAGAAGCACATGAATTTACTCTTCTTATTCATCAACTCATCCATTCGGTTCTCCAAAATTCTTCTCGCCTTCTCTGCCTTTTCCTTGAGTAGTTTTTGTTGCTCCAGCTTTTCTTCCAACTCTTTACGCTCAACAGAAGATTCATCCGACAAGGTCTTTTGTTGCGTCTGTATTTGAGTCACCTGCGTACGCAAGTTTTGGATTTCAAGATTGTATGCTTGCTTTTCTCTGCTCAAAAGATCCAATTGCTTCTTGACCTCACGGACTGAAGACTCTGATCGAGACAGCTGTGATTCCAACTTGCTAATGACTTCTTGGTGGGCTCGCACATCATTTTCAGCAAATTGAGCTTTACGTTGTAGAGAGCGAATCAATTTGTCGTATTGCTCAGATGTAAAGTTTGCAGAAGAGGTAGAATTCATGATTTCACTGAAGCTAGTAGATGCAGTAGAGTCTTGACGATGGAGTGAAGATTGGCTTGATGCGCCCACAGTGATGGGATGCATAGATGGCGATCCAGGATCGCTGCCATGATCAGATAAGTCACCAGTGGTGCCACCTAAAAGTAAAGGTGATGAAGGTGCAGAAGGAAGCGCAGGTAATGGAGTAGGAATTGGAGGAAGAGGATTGGATGGCGGAGCAGTAGGTGGTGGAAGGTTGCTTGAGTTGATTAGAGTACGACTACTGCGAAGTGATGATGAAGGACGAGGAACAACATCCGATTTCATAGAGATGGATGACATGCGCTTGAGAGCTTCTTCTTCTGCAGCAGCATTGTGGTTGCCGTCAATCAACATGGTAGAAACAGATCGATAAGAGCCAGATTTAGATAGTTTGGCAATACTTGACTGAGAAATATCACGCTGCAACTTGTATTGGATGATGCTTCCAGTGCTGTTGCTTGCTGTTGGAGGAGGGGGCGATGAGACTCTGGGTGTCTGAGGAGGAGAGGTAAACTGCATTGATTCTCTGTTGTGAGCAGTGAGACCGGTAGCACTGCTTCGAGGAATTACTTGTTCCATCTCCTTTTCCAATCGATCATTAGCAGCCGTCAATTTCATCAATTCCAGTTCCAGGTTTTTGGTTTCCAGTGTCAATTGACCGCGTTGCAATACAAGCTGCGATTCCAGGTCGTCATTGTGCTTCAACAACTGAGCATTGTCTTCTTGAAGTTGCATAATCCTATTGAGCAAGTCTTGTTGATTGCTGCTTGAGGACGAGGCCTCGTTCTTTAAATGCAAGATGCATTCAACATGGTCCAAATCGAGATCCTGCTCGTCTTCACTCTCATCGACAGTAATGGTTTCGAAGCTTGAATTAACCGGTGTCACAGTAGCAATTTCCTTCTTGACTTGGGCCAATGAGGCTTGAAGTTGTTCAATTTTCTGCTTGTATTCCATATTCTCTTTACGAGTAATGAAGAGCTCTTCCTTGGTTTTTTCCATTTGAGCTTTCCAGACATCGTCCTCACGCTTCTTGGCTTGCTGTAAAGCGGTAAGTTTGCTCTCCAGTTCAGCCACCATACCAGTAGAATCTTGTAAGGAAGCCAAAGCACGTTCTTCCTTGATCGTAGCCTCCAATTCAGCGATAGTACGAATGAGTTCTTCATTTTGCACCAGTTGCTTCTGTACAGCATGTTCCAATTGCTCTAGTTCCTTTTGTTTTTCCGATTTCGCTTGTTGCTGCAATTCAATCTCTTTATCTAGTTCCTGAACACGAGCTTCTAGTGCTTGCACACGTTGCAATTCGAACTCTGTTTGGGATTGTTCCTGTTTCAGCTGCAACACCAGATTAGCCTGTTCAGACAACGATAAACGGGCTTCGCTCAGCTCAGACTCGAGATTCTTGACCATGGCATCGCCTTGAGAAGCACGTTGTGAGATTCGCTCCAATGATTGAGACAGCTCATCCTTTTCAGCAGACAGCAGGTTGACGGTGCGTCTTTTTTCTTCAATCTCTTCTTCGCGTACTTTGTAGTGGTGCTTGATATCTTCCAGAGTCTCCATTGTTTTGTCCGATTTAGCATCTTGAAGCCTCAACGTGCCCTCCACAAAAGACATAACTCGCTCCAGTTGCTTCTTTTCAGAACCCATGCCACATACATCCTTGAGAACGCTTTCCAGTTTTCTTTGCATAGTAGCAGCAGCCTCCGTCTTGCTTGCATTATCAGCTTCCAACAGCTGAATGGTTTGATTTCGTTCTTCTAATTGAGTCTGCAGAGAAGACACAAGACGATCCATTTCCTCCAACTTGGCCTCCAAACCTTGAATGATGGCATCTTGCTTCTCTTCTACTAGCTGCAGCGCGTTGATATCAGACTTGAACTTTTCCAACTCTTGTAAATGCTCGCGCAATGTAGATTGTGATGCTATCTCCTGTTGACGCATCTCGTGCTGGAGATCAGCATAAACTGATTTAGCCTGGTTCATCTCACTCGCATGCGTTTCTGTTAGCGATTTCAATGTGTCTTGCAGTTCTTGGCTGCGCTGCTGTTCTTCCAATAGCTGTGTCTGGTGAGCAGCCTTCAAGTTGGTGAGATTGTCTTCTAGTCGAGTTGTCTCGTCCAAGTGAGATTGACGCAGTGCAGCTAGTTCTGATTTCATTGCATTAATTTCATCTAATCGTGATTCGAGTGAGAGGACCTGAGATTCTTTTTCCGTTAGCAATGCAGCAAGCTCTGCAATCTTGGTCGCCTTTTCTTTATCTACGTAGTCTTTCGATTGTATAGCTCGATCTGTAAATTCAGCCTTTAGTACATGCTGCTCCTTGACCAATGCCAACTCCTGCTCCAACTCCTGGCATTTCGTCTGGCATTCAGCGAGTTGCTTCTCCAGTGCTTGGTTAAACGAGGCTTCCGAATGTGCTAAATCGTCGTGCTGAGCAGACACATCGCCCACGACAGACAGACTGGCAATCTTTTCAGTCAATTTGGTCTTTTCCAATTCAGAGGCAGAGATTCTTGCTTCCAAATCACTAATGTACTGTTCAGTGTGCTCGTCCATCTCTTTGAACTTCATGATTTTTTCGCGTAATTCAGAGAGTATTTGTTGATCTTTATGTCCGTCATGCACAGACTTCTGTAACTGAGCCTCCAATTCTAAACAGTAGGTTTCTGAAGAGCGTTCACGGTCGATGGCAGCAGAGAGACGGGCCTTGAGTTCTTCCAATGCTTGCACTTCAGTCGCCTGCATGGTTTCATATTCAGTGATCTTGGCTTGCTGTTCTTCCAATGCTTGTTCAGAGTGGCTAAGAGCAGCTCTTGCCATCGCTAATTGAGATTCAAGACCAGAAATGGACTTTTCGTATTCTTCAATGACAGGCTCCACCAAGTGCTGAAATTCGTTGTCTGCAGCTTCGGTAGTGCTTGCTTTTTGACGAAGCTCCTTCTCCACCAGTAAATTACGCTCACGCGTAACAGTAACTTCATTTTGGAGCTCTTCAATTTGACGGCGCAAGTCAGCCACCATGATAGCAACGTCGTTATTATGGCTACCGTGGTTTTGTGCATCGCATAATTCGAGGGAAGTTGAGCTGTCGGGCATCGTAATGTTGGTGGTGGCAGACATGGAGGGACATGTCGAGGGGTGAGGGTCACTATCAGATATCGATGAGGAAGAGGGTGAAATGATCCCATGATGGCCATGAGCGAACACAGTTGTGTGGGCTTTGGGTGATCCGCTTCCAGTGGAAGACATGGGCGAAGGTGAGTTTCTATGATGAGGAGAAGAATTCTTGAGCATCTTCACTTCCATCTTGAGTTTGGAGATGATTTGACGCAAATGGTCCAAGTTGTCGCTGGTCATCCATTCTTCAGCCTCGTTCTTCTCGGTCTTGTTCCTGATGTTTCTTGCGCGATAAGCGTATTTGATGGTATTGATAGTCTCTGTCAAATTGATTTCTGCAGGGCTTACACAAGCAATCATCAATGTGGTCGAGTTACCGCCCAGAGAATCTTGTAGTAAACGAGTCAGCTTTGAATCGCGATAGGGCACATGTGTTGACTTTTTAGACGAAGGGTCTGATAACGCAGAAATGACATTTCCCAAGGCCAGTAGACCCGCATTGATGTTGATACCTTCTTTGCGGCGGTCACCCTGAGCAGCTGTTCTTTTCAGTCTTTCAGAACCAGCCAAATCAACAAAGTGGAATTTAGAGTTTGACACCATCCATTCACCGTCCTCTTCATCGGCAGCAGCCAATGTAGGCGATGTAGATCTCTTCTCCATTTGAGCAGCCATGGCTTTAACATTGAGTGTGCTGTGCCTGTGATTTAAGCCACTGCTTACATTGCTAGCTGTTGAGCGTGATACAGAAGGCGATGTTTTTTTTGTGGATGGCACCCATTTTTCTTGTTTTAGTGTCACAGAGAAAATAGCATGCGATCTGGACGATTTGGCGTTCATATCTGTAGATCCCGTTGCGCGGTTCTCTGTACCCATCTGAAGAAATCTACAGTAGTAAGGTTAGCAAAGAGGTGAATTATGTATATATAGAACTGCAATGCATTGCATCATTACCTAAGAACATCTTCAGTGCTTCCCACAGGAACCTCCTTTAAGCCAGTCCATATAATGTGGCCTTTGGTGTCTTCTCTTATGGTGACAGGTGTTCGCTCATGAGGAGGAGCAGGATTCAATAAATCGATGAGTTCTTCATTGTAGATCTCGATAAATGACACATGCACAGTGTATTTGGCTGATTTTTCATTGAGCGGTAGTGAGCAGGATGAGTTCAGTGATGAGCTTGATCCACGCCGAGGAGGTGCAATCATGGAGACAGGCCGCAACTTTACTGTTGAAGCAGACCTTCTTGGAACTCGTAAACCCGAAGCAGGGGGGAATGTTGAGAGACCTGATGCTGGAATAGCACGTTTTTGTGGTTGCTGCTGCTGCTGCTGCTGCTGCTGTATGGGTAGGTTTGTGTTTGCTGATTGCTTTTGAATGTCATTGAGTCGTTGGAACAAGGCCGACATGGCGCGAGGTATAATGCCTTCTTGATCTGGATTTGAATGATCGTCAATGGCTGTTCCCATTGTGTAGGTTTTACCAGAGGATGTTTGTCCCTGAATTAAAACATTAGCATGAAATTTGCTTTACTAGCGAGCGGCATTCTTACGTAGGCTAGTATTGTCACATTGTATCCGTCAATGAATCTATCAACGAAGTTGGATGCTACTGATGTGAATACTTGCTCTTGTGTGCTGTTGACATCAAACACATGGTCGAATTGAAATGACTTTTGGTGCGGTACAATGGTAACTGAATTCTCGTATGTCTTTATCACATCTGAGTCGGTTGAATTGGAAAAGCGTGGTTGAGATCTGTCTTGTTGCGTCAAAGGTCTCACCCGCAGTGCGACTTGCACAGCTGTTGTATTGGATATCATTGTGGTTGGAGATGGTGTATTATTAGTATTAGTAAGAGTCATATTTTAGAGTGCTGTATTCGACATAAAGAAAAAAAATGATAGGAGACAGAAAGAGAAAAAGGGAAGAAACTAGAGAAATGCTTAACTTTCAATGTGGATGTATATAAATATACAACTTACAGTAAAATTCTGCTTTTTAAGGGGTTGGATCCAAGGGGATGATGAGAGTGTGTTGATTGGGGGTTTGATAGTAGTTTTTCTCTCTCTCTTGACAAACAAACACAAAAAGAAAAAGGAGAAGCGACTAATTCAACTGTCAGAATGAGTGTAGAAAATGAGCGTAATGTATAGAGACAAGAGAGAAAAGAAAAAAAGACGATGCAATTAATACTATTACCCTATAACAGTATCCTTGGAATAAATTATATGAGCTGCTCCCGACCAAATAGTCGTTGTGCTACCTTCTGTCCATCTAGAAAGGGAAGGTAAAAGGTTAATTAATTTATATATTCTTTGTGTGCACTTGTAATCTAACTGCAATGTACTTCATAAATCCTGACCTGTTGGCTGATGGAACACAGCAGCTGTTAGTGTAGCACGCATCAACGCCAGTTGCATTTACTTTGTGCTTTTACCAGGCTGATGATGCTTTCTTTTGCTAATGAAATTCCAAAGAGTATATCAGTCTAAGGACGGCTTGTGTGATACGAGTACAACATTACACTTTCACGTTTTTCTGCTTCACTTACTGGTTATAGGCAGACTGATGAATCTGTATAATATGAAAAGTCTTTGTAACCAGAACACCATATGCCAATGGTACTGTCTATATATTAATATCTTGTTGAAGGTTGCACACAATTAATAGCTCGCTTGGTGATGGTTCTTTTGTACTGTGGCCTAGATAATCATTATGTGATGTAGATATATTCTAGATGATGACATATTTGTCTGGCCAATACCTCTTTGGTATTTGACCACTGGTATCCCGCATGATGTGGTCTGCTTCTTCTTAAAGCTAGAATCTACATTTCTCAATAGCAGAGCCATGGCTATACTTGATTGTGGAAAGCAGCAATGGTTTAAATTAGATATATACGTTGCCTTCTGCCCTCAAGCTAAATGGCTTTCGATAATATGAGTTGGGTACACCCGAATACTATTTATAACCTCTAAATACTAGCAGAATTTGGCAACTACAATAAAAGAATCATGTCTAGAAGCAACCATATTGATAAACACGTTCATATATCTATGTTGCCTGCTGCTACATACTCGATAAAACGATACTTATTGTGTCTACAATCATATACCTCAAGTCCTGTGCTCTCTCAATCCTTCTGGATTTGCCAGCGTATTGACTATTAGATTCTCTTCGTCATGATACATCTAAGCAATGGATGCAATCGCGCGCAATCAAACTGAACCGTCTTTGCACAAGCATGCAAGCTTCTTTATCATTGGTTTCTCACAATGTTTAGGTAAACATAGCATATGCTTTATAGTTAATCACATTTGTGATGAGAGAGGCTTCTTCCTTTGCTGTGAGAGTTTTCAAGAGGAGATGTTTATTTTTTCTGGATCGTTATTGCTGCCTGTCAACTAAAATGTGTATTACAACTTTTTCCAAATCTTCCAAGCTTTAAACTTTTTCTTCTTTTCATAAGATGCGTCCTTGTTACTAGTCAGGGCCACATTGACATCCTAATACACAATTTAGCAAAGATTTGTTCATGTAAAATGTAGTTTAATGACTGGTACCTTTTTACTTCCGTTTTTGTGTTTGAAAAGTCGTGAGATCAAAGTGGATTTGTGCTTACTGCTGGAGGTGGATGTGGAGGGAGAAATCTTATCTGAAATAGAGGCAGAGGTAGTCATAGATGGCGCAGGTGTTGCATCTTTTTGTAATATTGTCTTCTCCTCCTCCTCTTCCTCCTCCTTCTTTTTGAGCTCTTGTCGCTGCTGGATTTGCTGGGTCTCCTCCTTGATCTCCTTGTTTGTATCAGCTACATCTGTTTCATCGTCTGTTGTTGTCAATTCGGCTTTATCATATTTGTTAACTGAATCTTCGTCGGCGCTGGGAGCATTCACGGGAGTAGAGATGGCCTCATTCTCTGTTTCATCTTGATAACTTTCCCTCGCATCACTTTGATTTATCGATGCAGGCTCTGTTTTATCTTTAATTGACACTATATCGTGTGATGCTCTAAAACTAGAAACATTGTGTTCTTCCTCATTGGTAACTGATTCATGAGAAATCTCCTTTAAAGCCTCCTCTTGGGGTAGAGGCGTTGATGATGACAATTCAGGCAATAGTGGCTCTTGATGCTGCTGAGTGAACTTTTCCTCCTTCTTGTTCTCTTCTTCTGACAGCTCCTTACGCTCGTCCTCTTGGGATGTATTTACTTCCGAAACCTCTTCAGGTATCTTAACAGCAGCGGCAATAACCATAGTAGCAGGAGCTTTATCAGTTACAACAGCGGCAGGCACAAACATTTCTGACAAACTATCCTTCTTTTTAGGGGTGGCATTGTCCTTTTCAACCAGTGCAGCCTTGATGGGGTTGTAGGGCACTATTTTGCGATATTTCTTGGAATTGAATCGAACGAAATTTGGTGAGTTCTTCATGAGCCTCTTTTTCTCTTTGCGCTCCCTTTTGCTCTGTTCACTAGTCAATTGACGTCTAACACTTCGGTTTGGTTTCTGAGTTGCGAGATCTGACATTGGATGTATAATAGCGGTCTGATTATATGCAGGTAAATGTAGTTGGAATAGTAAGAAAGACAGAAAAAAAGGAAGAGAAAGAGAAAAACATGATGAATTACCAAGACTCTTATTTATATACATTCGGGAATCTTTTTATGGCTATTTTATGCGGTGTTCTTTTTTATTGTTGCCCTAAGATCATAAATCAAACATTCCGAAATTTATTCGCAGGCCAATTTAGCATCAAAAGAAGTGAGTGCAATCGAAAATGCTTGCAACAGACACATGGGGTATTTGTAGTCCATCGTAAATGAATCCCTCTCCACTCGCCCAAACTGCATCACAATGTAGTCCAAGTCGTTGTCATGCACAATCTGAAAGTTTTTGACAGATGCTTGTGTCACTCTTCCGTTGAAATTAAGCACAAAAGATTGGGTTTCTATCCTGAAGTATTAATCGCATATTTCACTCATGCAAATCACAGCAACATGTACCTTCATTCCACTGTGGACTTTTGTTATGAAGCACAAGCAAATCTCGAGCACCTCCATCACGGTATTTGCTCAGCAACATTTCCGATTCCTTCACAGGCCTGTATTCAGGTCTCTTTCCATCTCGAGTTAATGTGTGCATCAAAATAGTCATCTTTCTCGGTCCTTTAAATCCAAGGATGTTTGGATCCTATCATACGTCCGTAAAAATAAACTTTCTAGTCAAATAAACTTGTACAGACTTGATTTGCTTACATAAAGAACGGCCCCAAGTTCCTCTCTTATTGGCAGATCCTTCTTTTTAGTCGTCATCTCTCTTTTAACTGGGTTTTTGCCATGAGAATAGATGACAAAGGTGGTGCCTAAAAAGTTGGATCTAATGGCAAAACGTCGGTTGAATATGAGGATACTAGAAACCGTGTGTATAGATCAGCTTGTTACCTGACTTTGCCCAACTCCACATAACCCTCAGGAACACTGGTGTTCTCTCGGTAAATGCCAGTGATGGTATAGTAGCTTGTATTGCTCTTTCTCTTTTTGCGAGCTGTCATAACATGCTGAATCTCTCCTGTTGCCAAATGCTCAATGAATAAATGATATTGTGGGTACAGTTTGTCTAGACCATCTCGACAGCGGTGAATGCGACATGTAACTCGGGTATTTAATGCAGCAGGCCTATAATATTTTAGCTGATGAACGCCAAGCATTTTAAACGAGAGAAATGTTACCTGAATGCGAGATCTAGTAGCTCTTTTTCTGTAGTTAATGGCCGCTGCAAGACAAAATCAGTAGGTGGCTCTGGTCTAGTTACCCGCACTGTTTGTTGCGAGCTCAAATCCATATCAGTAGGTACAATCGCCATATCTGTATTGGACGTCTCGTCTTGCTCCTCTTGCTCTACATTGTCATCACGAGGCAATTCAAAAGATTCTGCTGATAGTTGTGGGTGAACAACCCGATGAATATTTCGCTGTTGCTGCTGTTGTAGCGTCATTTTGCTTTTATAAAAGGTGGATGGTAGTGAAAAAAAAAAAAAAACTAAATGAGATACGAAATTATCGTGTGTACAGCCAATTCAGTTAAAGCAATTCACGGTGACGTCCTTCTGAAGTGGTATTTACGATGGATCAGACATGTCGTCTGTTTACCTATGGTGAGTTGGAGGCCAGAGAGTGTGCGCCTCATATCAGGTATTCGGCTATTTATCTGCCAATGTCCAGCCATAGTTGTAGCAAGTTGCTCGAATGCAGCAAGAGAAGCAAATCTCTGTGAGATTTCACAGATGTTAAGGCATTCTTGAAGCTCAACTGAGCTTTAGTTTGCAACAAAAGAATGTACTACAAGCAACATCTTCACTGTATATACTGTAAAACATTCAAAAAAAAGCAGGCAATCCAATCTTATCCTTTGAGAATTTTGAAGAATTGTGTGCCGTACAAGGTGAATAAAACCACCAGCAAAGCCGGCAATGGGGGGGGGGGTTTGGGGAAGAACATAACACGTCTAATTCAACACTTGATAGCATTGATTTATAGGGGGGTTTTACCGTAGCAAAGCAATGGGCCAAACCTATGACAACTAAGCATCCAATCCAGCATTTGATAGCATTGATCTATACGTGGCCTTGATTGTTGCGAAGCGAATATGCAAAATCATAGTATCTAAGCAGCAACTTCGGGTTTTCATTTCCATTGTTAATAAGCTCACCAGCAACATATCGCATCAAAATTTGCATGAATCAGCTTTACCGAAATCAATATGCCTCCTGTTCGAATTAGAAGTTGCACAGGCTGCAGAACTGCCTTTCTAGAAGACTTTAGCTACCAAAGATGTGATTCATGCCGTGAAAATAAAAGCCATAAAGCAAAAATTCAACCAAATTTGACAGATTTCAAGCTTTCATATCTTGACATGTAGACCTTCCTGAGTCACCGGAATAACGCCAAACAATTGTAATCAAGTATCAGCAACTTCCTGACATCTTTGCTCAACTTTTTGGCAAAAAAAAACATGGCCAAAAATCGATTAAAACCATGAGGGGTACCTCATGGTTTTCATCGAAAATCAAACGATCGCGTTTTTCACCTTGAAAATGAGGGCTTTTACTATGGTATATATCAAATCAAAATGGTTCTCTCAATTCAAAGCAACGTTTGAAACTACTTTTATGAGGTCTTCGTATACAAAATTTTGACATTTTAGCCTAAAACCTTATTTCATACTTTCTGAAATTGCTCAATAAGTTCAGTCAAAGCATATATTTTTCTTTTCACCATTGGAAGCGCCTTGAAAAGTACTTTAAGGGTGTATTAGGAAGCGTTTTTTTTTTTGTAGGGGAGTCGAGCTCCAGGTGTATTAGGAAGCGTAGGGTGATCATCACAGTTTATATAGTCGAACTCCACAGAATAGATTAAAGAAGTCGAAAAGAGACAAAATCTGTCCAATCTTAAACAGAAAAAAATAAACTGAGTTTAAATAAAATTTGGCGGTGGCATTGCTGCTGACTGACCTAAATGCTTTTCTGTTGATGACAACGATGATTGCGATGCTGATTAAATGGGGACCATGGAATTGAAAGGAGAGCTGCTTAGTACAAATACTTTTTTTTGGGGAGAATGGGGATTGTGGTGTACAAGTGCTACATAAAACTTGAATTGTCTTTCGCATCATCTCAATAACGGGCTTCGTTTGATATCAGTGTAAGCAAAAAGGTTGTTGAGGGAGATACCTCCTCTCCTCCTCCTGGCGGCTTTAATATAACCTTTCTTATTTTCTTTTACTAATAGTAAATTGTTTGAATCTAGTTGATATACCACAATTCTATTATATCTGATTTAAAATGTCTTTGACGAGAGCCCACAGGGCGACACCGACATCGAGCGTAGCGAGATAGATCAGCTAGTAAAATATACAAAGCAAAAATTCAAGGCGAGCAAAATGGCTAACGAGGGATAATGACTGAAAAAAAATATCAATATTTATATGTGCAAACTATCGATTGCATAGCCTGCTTCTTACTTTTATACTGTTTTTAGTTTTTCTGTTGTATGATATTTATATATATACAGTCAAGCCCTACCACTACACCGCATTATCAAACAATCAAAACTGTTGATCTTAATATCTAAATATGATAATGGTCATTTACCTCCAGAAGTCAGATATGGAATAGCAATGTTTATAATGCTAGAGCTTTTTAAATCATGATAAATACAAGCTTACAAATACTCTGAAAATACTCACTTATTATCTTTGTTACCGATTTTCTACTTCATTCTTACAGATCCGCAAATTTTCGGTCATGTTGTGTTGCTGTAAGTCTTATATTTCCAGCTAACAGTTAAAAGACGCAGGCAGTATGCTGTTCTACAAGTATTCTTCTTAAGCCTTCGGATGTTTTTTAGACATAATAGCATAGCTTATTGATGTTGTTTTACGGCTTATTTCATGTTTGATCTTGCGTGCAGCTGTTTACTTAGAAAGTCTTAATTTACTGACTGTTTCACAAATTTGCATACCTTCATAATCTTGCCTCAAGTCGATCAAGCTTAAAGCTGCAATTTTTTTTTGAAATGAAAGTTACAAGGTCCTCTTTGTCTTGTACTATAATCAAGCGGTGGGCACAATTTTCTGTGATATTACTGTATAGGTTGAGACAAATATATGAAAACGATTTAAAAGAAAAGACAAATCATAGACTGACATGAATGAGATCCTCGTCGATCATCTTTTGGATATCCATTTGTATACTACTCAGCACAGCGGCGGGTCAAAGGAAATTTGATCGAAGATATGGCGACAGTGAACCTTCCAAATATTAGACATCGCAATGATGACTATAGGATGGAAGGAGGCACGAGGCCGTTGACTATATTAAATGCTATAAAAGCTTAGAATAAAGAGAGAATGTCGAATATTATCAGTGGTTGCCGAGGGCCAGAGAAACACAGAGGTAATACCCTGCCATTGATTGCCATCAAGAACAGCATGGCATTGATTTTATCAGGCAAATTATTTCAAGCTCAGCTAGACGTTTTTCTTCTTGGAATGGCATTTTTTTGGTCTTAAAACGATTTGGACCATCAATTTTGCAAAAATCAGTCTTGTCTATCACTCATAGCGACATTTACAGGACTTTAAATAAAAACTGGAACTCGTCTCCCCTACAAAAAAAAACAATTTTGCAAAAATCGACTATATAAGTCGCAATAATCACCATATATCTTCTTAATCTTTCTTGAAGTACTTTTCAAGGCGCACCCAATGATGCTATTAAAGATGGGCATTTTGACTGATCTTAGCAAGCAAAGTTTAAAAATATGAAATAACGATTTCAGCCAAAATGTCAACATTTTGCTAAACAAAATTTCATAAACAAAGTTTCAGGGGTTGCTTTGAGCCGATACAAACATTTTGATTCAATACATGCTATAGGAAAAGTCTTCGTTTTTGGTGTCAAATGCGCGATCATTTGATTTTCGATGAAAACCATGAGGGTCCACTCATGGTTTGGAGTCAATTTTTGATGGTCTCAAAAAAGTTGAGCAAAGGTGCCAGTAAGTAGCTGCTAGATGACTGCACTTGTTTAGTGCTATTCTGGCAGTCTAAAACAGCTTTTAGAGCGAGAAATTATTACTCAAATGAACCCAAATCTTGCTACGCTTTGCATTCTTTTGAGAAATTAAAGGCAATGCAACTATGCTCTATGCCTGTATTTGGATTATTCCCGTCCATACAGACGTGAGGAGTGCTTCCTTAAGTTTAAGTTGTTAATAAAAGGCTCTTATGTGGTAATAGTAAGTGAAAGAGTGGAATTTGGTGTGTGTCAGCAAAATCGGTGCTCTAACAAAATCTTTCAAGTACTGAATTCAATGAACCAAAAATGGGCAGCCAAAGAGCTCCCATCATTCAACTGCATGTACACCAGAAATCATAAAAACTTGCAAAAGCCTTGGGTTATAGTTAAAGGTTTCGATTTATTGATGAAAAATATAAAGAATGGCATGGTTTTAAATATCGTATATGGAGCGTCTACTTTGTGCATACACCGGATCTGCAATCTTCCTTGCAGTCGCGCTGATTGCGGCAACATACACCGTTTGGTCCAGAACCATTTGCCTTTCCAAAGTAGCTCTTGTTGGTACATTTTCCAGAAGTAGTAGGAGGAGCACCGCATTTGCCATTGGTACAGTCGCCCAAGCAGTCCTTGGAGGTCTTGCAGCAATCTTTCAAGGCACCGTTCTTCTTGTTCTTTCCAAAGATGGCTGGGTTGTTGTTACAAGTAGCAGGAGGAGCACCGCATTTGCCATTGGTACAGTCGCCCAAGCAGTCCTTGGAGGTCTTGCAGCAATCTTTCAAGGCACCGTTCTTCTTGTTCTTTCCAAAGATGGCTGGGTTGCTGTTACAGGTAGCAGGAGGAGCACCACATTTGCCATCGATACAGTCGCCCAAGCAGTCCTTGGAGGTCTTGCAGCAATCTTTCAAGGCACCGTTCTTCTTGTTCTTTCCAAAGATGGCTGGGTTGCTGTTACAAGTAGCAGGAGGAGCACCACATTTGCCATCGATACAGTCGCCCAAGCAGTCCTTGGAGGTCTTGCAGCAATCTTTCAAGGCACCGTTCTTCTTGTTCTTTCCAAAGATGGCTGGGTTGCTGTTACAGGTAGCAGGAGGAGCACCACATTTGCCATCGATACAGTCGCCCAAGCAGTCCTTGGTAGTCTTGCAACAGTCATTCAAGGAACCTTCCTTCTTGTTCTTTCCAAAGATGGCTGGATTGCTGTTACAGGTAGCAGGAGGAGCACCACATTTGCCATCGATACAGTCGCCCAAGCAGTCCTTGGTAGTCTTGCAACAGTCATTCAAGGAACCTTCCTTCTTGTTCTTTCCAAAGATGGCTGGATTGCTGTTACAAGTAGCAGGAGGAGCACCACATTTGCCATCGATACAATCGCCCAAGCAGTCCTTGGAGGTCTTGCAGCAGTCATTCAAGGCACCTTCCTTCTTGTTCTTTCCAAAGATGGCTGGATTGCTGTTACAAGTAGCAGGAGGAGCACCACATTTGCCATTGATACAGTCGCCCAAGCAGTCCTTGGTAGTCTTACAACAGTCATTCAAGGCGCCCTCCTTCTTGTTCTTTCCAAAGATGGCTGGATTGCTGTTACAAGTAGCAGGAGAAATATAGCTACAGACAAACTCGCGATTAATTATGCTAGTACCCGACTCGGTCTTCTTGACACAGCTGATACTTTTCCCGGCAACAGAGATGCCAGGAGCATTAGGAGCACCAGAGACCGCAAAAGACCCAGGATAAGATACAGAGGAGCAAAGTGGATTGAACGGCTTGTTCAAGGACTTAGGCATCGCAGCGAAATTGGCACAGTAGTATCTACAACTATCAATAGCAATGCAAAGCTTGTCAGTAGCGCCAGTTTCGGACTGAGTGGTAGTGACTAGAACGTCAAGAGAAGCAGCTTGAAGTATACCAGAGGCAACAGCACTCAAAAGGAGGAAGGAATTGGATATTTTCATACTGAAGTAAGTTGATATGGATTGGACAGATATTTTGGAAAATATGGCATCTTTATATACGTCTTTTTACAATCTACTACCGCCTTTCATTTAAGGAAGCTTCCTCTAAACTGTCAAGACGTCTCTATTATTAACCTATTAGCCCCTTAATCCTTAAAGAGCTGTTCATGAACCAACATACAAAGACTCTTTCCAATACCATGAAGTGTAACGTACTTTCAGAACGTTAAAGGCAGCCGATGCTAAAAATAAGAACATTTCAAAAATCAGACCATGGAAATTCTTGTCTGCATACATCTAGATGTCTCTGGATGTAGGCTCTCTCCAGCATTTCTTTCAAGTACAGTGCTTTGGTTTATAACTTTGTGATTTCAAATATATGGTCCATCCGACATACTCGGTCTGAAGATAATGACTATTGCGATGGCGTTATATTTGCCATTTTGCAACATTGAAGATGTTTCTGGTGGTTCTGATTTGAGGTAACAGATCAGTGGTGATGCAAATCTGCGATAAGGATAAGGAGATGAAAAACGTGGAGAAGCTGAGCCGCTTTAAGGAGACTTTGATTCAGTACTTGCCAAACACCACTTCATAGAGAGTATGCAGTAAAACTTGTATCAATATGCACTGATACAGCTTCCACCAAGTGCTGAATATGCGGTGTATACATACCATTTAATCCATCAGTTGTAATAATATATTTTCCTGCTACTGCTTCTGAAGCAAGCACAAGGCTTTGTCCAGTACGAAGATTTTTTGCCACATTGGATCAACATGGCATCACAAACAAACAGAGCGGAATTTTACTAAAGTGGATCTCGATTTAAGGAGACATTGCGCAATGTGGAAATGGCGATCCTTCATAAAAGCTCTGATCCCACTTTTCGGTTATATCTGAACATTGATATGTTACATGGAATTACTATATATTGCCTTCAGCCGAAATTAATCTTTATTCTGATTTCCCGCATGGAGTAGGCAGCAACGTTAAGCCTACGGATAATGCAGTATCTCTATCGATATTTTGTTGAAATGTCTTTATATGTTCATCAAGCATCTGTTTCTTGTCCTGATCCATGACTTTCCAGTTGGGCGAAGCTTGCTTTTTTAGCCAATTGAAGTCTTCAATTTGATCAAAATAATTGGTAGACGTCTGCTACATGTATTAATAAATAACCTGTATTTCGTTATTCCCTGAACATTGTCTTACATTGGTACTGCTCCATTCACAGACTTGGATATTATGAGAGTTTTCTATAATTGGACGACTAGCTACATGCAACATCATATCCACGTTGTGTGCTTCATGCATACGGAACTATTTGTATTGTTACAATGTGCACATATTGGAATACCAGAGAATTCATTCATTACCTGATGACATCCAGCAAACAGCACTGAGTTTGTTAGCCCATACATTAAGACGGATCCTTCAATTTTTCCACAATATACAACACTATTCTCTATGTTTTTAATGTGCACAGCAGAAATCTGGATTCCATCTCCATGTAAAATCACTACACAGTTTTTGATGTTCGAGATCAAGATATCAATGCTTCTATTATTTGCAGAAATATTGTTTGCATCTTTCAATGTTAATACTGCATCTTGCTTATCCTTGAAAAGAACAGTTGCTTCTGATAAAATATCTCCATCTGTGCTATCTGAAGGTGCCTGAGAAGCAGTGGTAGTATTGCTAGTGTCTGGTGTTGAAGGCTTCTTCTTACGCGATTTAAATGAAAACTTGGCTTTGGGTGTTAATTCTGCTTTATTACGCTCCAACGTCTCGCTAAGCTCTTTCAGTTGCTATGTCAAAGTGATCAGTGGTTGTCGGCTCAGTGAAGAACATTAACAACTTACAAGTGAGAATTGACGCTCATCATAAGAGGGTATAAATGCTGTAGCTTTTGTCAGCCTCTTCTCGAGATTGTTGATCTCTTGCAGAATGTTGTTAAATTGGTTTGAGAGCTCTGTTTTCGGCAATATTTTCAGATTAACTAATTCATCTTCGATGGCTATAATATACATGTTAGTCGAAAATAAAGATATGCATTTTTCATACATACAAACCTTGCTTCTCTGCTTTGAACTCTAGCCAGAAATCATTGGATGCCTCTGTCGCTGTCTTTTCTGCCATGAGTTGTTATTATACAAACAGGGATGTTGATGAACTCGAGTTGTGTGGAAGTTGAAAAGGTGATAGCAAAAAGTCACTTCAGTCTGTTCCACAGGTAGAACCTCTAACTTGCGGTTTTCAGTAAGGAAACAGCGAGTCTGCCACATTTTATTTCCACCTCATCTTTAGAATCTGTATACTAGAAAACTATGAAAAAAAACGCCGAAATGGCCAATCAGAGAGCAGAGACATAAAAAATTAAAGTACACTATTTTCAGAAATTATTGGGACATTTTTAAAAAAAATTGGTACTAATTCTGAATAAATATTGGGTCAATTTATAATTAAATTTGGGACAAATCTTGAACTATTTTGGAACACTTGCCTAATTAATATTGGGACACTTTTCGAAATTATAATGAGACAAAACTAAATGGGATTTGAGATGAAATCATAGTCGCTTTCTTCGTTATTCATAACATGTCAGATATCAGAATTTACTACGAAGACGGAATAAATGCTCCAGTCGATGGGCATGGAAACGAAGCTGTTGAGATGGATGTAGACAACGAAGCCTTCCCTCTCGGTAACATTACCAACTACAATACTTATGTTGATAGGAAGCCACCTGAAAGAGAATTGACCGTACTAAAAGAGAAAAAGATTAAAAATAAGAAAAATGTGCCCAAGACTGAATATAACAGCTACACAGACAAAGACAAGGCAAGATTCTTTATCCTTATCTACGACCATGGCATGAATCCTAATCAAGCTTGGAAAGCGCACGGCCATATATCAAGAACAACCGCTTACAGATGGTACGCAGAGGATCAAAAAAAGGTTAACAAAGAAATTGAGGACGATGAAGAGCCAGTTAAGAGAGCAGGTCGACCAAAGATTTTGAACGAAGACCATACGAAGCACCTAAAACTAGAATTTGAAGATAATCCATCAGTAACAATCGAACAAGCTCATGAGAGTCTTGTTAGGGCTTTCTCGGGTTTGACTATCAGCCAAACGACTATTTACAACTACATGACCAATGATCTTGCCTTGACTTTCAAGAAAGCTCATTTCCATTCCAAAGAAAGAAACTCGCCTGAAAACATTCAAAACCGGTACGACTGGGTAGTCAAATGGAGCCAAACCGACATGGATTACATGTCCAACTGTGTTTTCATTGATGAGTCAGCTTTCCATATTAACTTGAAGCGAACAATGGCTTGGTCAGAGAAAGGAACTCGAGCTGAAGTGCCTGTACCTCAAACAAGAGCGAAAACTACCACTATTATTGGCGCAACTAGCGTATGGGGAGTGTTGAATGTTCAAGTGAGGTTGCCTGGAACATCCAACAAGAAAAGAAAGTTAGCTGGCACTTCTTCTGGAAAAGCAACAACAACTGTGGGTACTGTAACTGGCCACTACTTTAACTTTATTGCGAAAACGATTGATATCATGGACCAGCATGAGCAATTCAAAGATTTTTATCTTGTTATGGACAATGCACCCATCCATACAGCCAAGGATATTGAGAGGTATATCATTCAGCGAGGTTACAGATGTGTTTACCTCCCACCATACTCCCCTGAGCTTAATCCTATTGAGCAATTCTGGCATGTGGTCAAGAGTAAACTCAAGAGGGAGAGGCTCTTAAAAACTGAAACACTTTCGACCAGGATTACCGATGCATGCAATGATGTATTGTACAGTGATCTTGAAGGTTCTGCTCGCTACTCTGTTAAGAAATTCGATGTTTGTTTGGCGAAAGAGCCATTGTAATAAATGAATTTTACTTTCTCTGAAAATGTCTCAATGTTTTTTTTATATGTGTCCCAATATTAATTAGGCAAGTGTTCCAAAATAGTTCAAGATTTGTCCCAAATTTAATTATAAATTGACCCAATATTTATTCAGAATTAGTACCAATTTTTTTTAAAAATGTCCCAATAATTTCTGAAAATAGTGTATAGAGTGCCGTACAAGGCACCTGCAAAGCCGGCATTGCGGAGGGTTTTGGGGAGGGGCTCAGCCCCTCCACCAAGAACATAAACATCTAATCCAACATTTGGTAACATTTGTCTTAATGAGGGTTTTACCATAGCGAAGCAAAGTTGCAAAACCATAGTGTTAAAGAAGCAAATTCTGCTTCTCATTTCCATTATTAATAAGCTTACTGACAACATAACATATCAAAATTTGCATGAATCAGCTTTACCAAAATCAATATGCCTCCTGTTCGAATTAGAAGTTACACAGGCTGCAGAACTGCCTTTCCAGAAGATTACAGCTACTAAAGATGTGATTCATGCCGTGTATATAAAAGCTATAAAGCAAAAACATAAGCAAATTTCACGGCTTTCAAGTCTTCATTTCTCGACATGTAGACCTTTCTGAGCCACCGAAATGACGCCAAACAATTGTACTCGAGTAGTAGTAACTTCCTGACACCTTTGCTCAACTTTTTGGGACCAAAAAAAATGGCCAAAAATCGACTCTAAACCATGAGGTATCCCTCATGATTTTTACCAAAAATCAAACGATCGCATTTTTGACCTTGAAATAAAGACTTTTACTATGGTAAGTACGTTCTCAAATGCCACTGTATCCAAATATGTTTCAATGTCGCTAGGTGCTACAGGATCAGCTTTGTATAGGTCCATATAATATTGCCATGCGAACGATTTCATATCTTCAAGGCTGCCTGATATCCACGGCCGCTCACCCGGAGGCCCTGTCCCCACCTGAGTCTCCTCATCACCATCCGATTCAAAATCATCGTCAGAGGAGTCAGTACTCAGTCCGTCCAGAGAGAGCCTTGCGTCGTCTTGATCCCTAGCATTGTCTTCTGCATCACCAGTAGTTTCAGCACCACCAGTTTCACCAGCACTACCACTTTCACCAGAAACACCGAGAGCCATACCAGTATCACCTAGATCACCGTGAGCCATGGCACTATCCACCCCTTCTTGAGGGACTTCAGCACCTGAGACAGCATCGCCTAGGTCGCAACATGAACCAGGGGCTTGTAGGGACGCCATATACTGTTGAGATTGTCGTTTTTGATGGAGTCGCTTCAAGTAACCGGCGGATTTTTCCCCTTTCTCACGCCAAGTGTCCCCAGCCTTGAGGGCAGCAACATCCACCAGTTCCTGTTGCAAGATCTGTAACATAGAGTCAATCCTTGGTAGCAGTAAGCGAAGAGTAGCTTTGGGGGGGCTTGGATCTCAAAAGGCGATTTCGTTTGCGTTCCAAATGCTTGATACTCATCTTGCGCCAGCTGACATGTTTTACCCCAAACTTCTGGATAACCTTTTTAGTCACCCGTTTGATCTGTTCCCACTTATCCTGAGGTGTCATGTCCACAGCTATTATATCCATTGTAGCGTTGATTTTCTCTGCCAGTTGTTTCTGAAACGTTAGGTTGTTGGCGTAACAGGGATTGCCCCTCCAAAGTTCTGGGCCCAGTTTGGATTTTCCAAGCTTGAGAGTAACTTCAAGGATGGCATGATCCGACCAAGAGAGAGAAAGAAAGCCGACGTTCGCATCGCTCAGCAGGTGTCGTAAGGCTTGCCCAGCAAATATAAAGTCTATAGTGGACGAGGCGTGTTGATAGATTGGCACCGAATCCATGTCATTGAGTATCAAGCAGTTGTGAAAGTGCTGCTCTAAATAACCCAGCCAATTCAGCGATGTCTTTACAATACGAGTGGCATTGGTGATGTCCCGCACATAATCATAATTGAAGTCCCCGGATAGCAGTAGTCGTTCGAGGTCGATGGTCTCTGATAGCGTTGAGAGCAGGTTGTAAATTGACTCGAAGAACTCCTGTCGAGGGCAATGGTCAGAAGTTGCTGGGGCGTATAAATTTAAAATGTAAAAAGGTTCATAAAAGCTGTGAGGATGATGAACCTTGCAAAGAATGTATCTATCAGATTCATATAGGTAACTAGTAGCAATCTTGGTCAGTATATAGCCTGAAGAATAAGAGACAATACCGCAATAGTATGTCCATAAATATTGTTGAGCTTGTAGTTGTAATTCAATTGAAGTAATAGTAGTATCAGTAGCGTGAGTTTCTTGGAGTGAAATTATGTTGAACTGTTGAAGTCGAAGGTGGCGGAGGTAAGGTGATTGTGTTTGTGGATGGCCTACTTTCACTAGACTGTTGGAGTTTAGTGAAGCGTATTTGAATTGGATGGTCTTCGTCATAATTATAACGATTTATGGCGGTGAGCCGCAGAATCATTATGATTTTTGGAAGGAGATGTCTGAATGTTGGTATTGGTGTTGCTATCACCGTTGTCAAATTGCATGTGTGCCAGATGTTCCTCCTGTTCACGCTGGAGGTTGGCGACTTCATCCTCAGTCGCTTCAATGTCGCTCATCTACTCCACCTCGCTCTCAAGTTCGCTCTCTAGTTCGCCTGCTGAAGGCAGATAATCATCATCGTCATTATCCTCGTCCTCAGACATAGACTGGGACTCTTGGGTGGGAGTGGGATCTACTGATCCAGCCTGCCTCTCTGCCAAGGAGCCTGACTTCATAATTGGTGGAGTTGCCTTGGTGGTCTGATCATTTGACTTAATACTGGCTTGTTGTTCCTGGCGCTGCTGTTGTTGTCCCTGAGATTGTTGCTTACCATCATCCGAATTCTTATTAATGCTGAATGCCCATTTAGACTTATCGGCCTCTGCAGATGAGGTTGTTACTGGAATCTTTCGAGCCTTTTTGAATTCCCAATCCGAGGATCCTTTCTTGGGCTTGGAGCAAGTGTCCTGACGGTGGCCAGCTTTATCACAATTATAGCAGATGATGCGGACCAATGCCTTAGAACATTCAAACTTAGTGTGGCCCTCTTCGTGGCAGTAGCGACACCATGTACCCATGTCGGGGAAGGTGGCGTGGCAAAATTCGTCGGCTTTAGTTGCGGTCTGCCAAGTAATGCTATGGTGCAAGGTTGGGTATTCGACATTGGGTAGTTGCTGGATGATTGCATACCCAGTGCCCATGAACCAACCTATGGACTGTTCGTAATTTAGACCGAGGTCTAAAATCTTTCCAAACACATCGATAGCCTTGGATAGTGCTTCTAACAATTGTCTTTGAGGGAGAAAGGGAATGTCAGTAAGCGAGATCTGAATGAGCTTGCCTTCTCCATCTACAGCTTTGCAAGGAAACAGTTGAATCTTGGGGTTCTCGGATTCATAAAGGACACCTTCGGTTAAGAAGCGGTCGACGATGTCGTTGGTGGGGTAAACCTCGATGTATCTTTGGGTGGCCTTGCCCAAAAACTTGATCCCAAGGAAGTTGGATGCTTGATACTGGTCATTCAGTATCTGCAAATGTTGCTGATCGGACTTGTTAGTTATCTTGGAGATATCAAGAAAGTAGCCATTGTCTGTGCGAACATCTCGCCAAATACGAGTTTTGATTTTGTCGTTGGTGGGAGGCGTGGTAGATGCGGTAGGCGTACCAGTGTGTTCAGGAACAACCTCTCCATGTATGAGAGAGTGAGAGGTGGTGGTAATGCGAGGTTTGACTGCGGCAGCATAACCTTTTTGACCAGGTACTGGTGTACCAGGTGGTTTCTGTTTTTTACTGGAAAGAGTCATGAAAGCTTAAGGAAGTATCGGATGTCCATTACAATTTATATAGTCGAATCTCACAAAATAGAATAATCGAGTTGAAAATAGCCAAAATCTGCCCAATCTTTAACAGCTGAATTTTTCTGAGTTTAAATTAATTTGGTGTTGGTGCTGTTGGTTTAACCCAATGCCTTTCTGATGATGACAATGGTGATTGCGATGTTGATTAAAAATGGGAATCACAAATTTGAAAGGGTAATCATTTAGCTTGAATAATTCTTTGCTTTTTTGAGAGTTTTTTCCTATAAAAATGTCTTTTTTCAATGACAATCTCTCAAAAAAAGTTGCTGTATATCTCATAGAAGTCATGTAGTTACGCATGGTCAGCTTTACGTCGCCATCTTAAGAGCAACACCAGCGAATCGTATATGGCAATTCTATTATTAGTCGAAATTGGTAAAAACTACATTCTTGTGAAATGTAATCCTTCTGAAATGAAAGGCAAAGTTATTGCGCTGCTTACAGAAGAAAAGATCTTAAACAAACAAGGCAAAATGTATGAATGAGCTTTTCATATTTAGATTGTTATTTGTTAAATTTTCATATCTTCATACTATGCACTTTTCTTGACTTCTTGAACAGAAACACTATTCAATACATACAAGATTAACCAACGTGAAGGTGAAAGTACGGCTAATCCCCCAAAAAAAAGTTTTTGAATGCTCTCTCCATACTTCCCTCAATCAAAATTCCTTTACCCGGTTACGAGCGTCGAGAGATCAAGATGCTTATAAACGTCAGCAAATTAGGGCGGGTCAAAGACTTAATATCAAAGAAACTCGCCACCCTTAGTCCGAATCGATAACTCTTAGATTCCACACTTTGTAATATAAGGAAAGAAACAGAACAAATGTCAAAAGGTTTCATTTCGCGGATTTTTCAAATTTACACCACACTGCCGCATTACGTGTACCATAGCACAGTAAAAAAAAAGCCTTATAATCATACCAATGTACAAAATACATCCTTTGCGATAAACGAATCCACTAGAATTAATGCTACCACTTAACACACATACAAATGATATGCGATAAAACACCTTTATCTCTTGTAATAACACAAATGAGCTCTATGATTGCATATCCGGATTCAAATCTAGAATCCAAAATGGATCTCCACCTGTGTCCTCTGCTTGTTTGTTTGTGTTGATCTCTTCCATTTCCTCGTTTCCTGACATCCCATCATCCGAGCTCTCGACTACATGATTCATTCAGAAATGAGTAAAATACACTTTTCCATCTGTCCTGTGCCCTTACATTTGTCCTCCAATCTTTGCTGTGGTGCATTTTGCCAGTATAACAAACCGCGACGCATTCTCTCTTCATCCGGGTATGGCTTTTCAAAATCTACCTTGACATCCTTATTAACGCTATCGAAATTGGGTGGTGCAGAGGTATATTTCGATAGTTTTGATGCGTACGACAAGACGTCTGTAAATTGGATATTGGCTGTTGTAAGGAATAAAAGGTTTTAGCTGACTCGCATTGCAATACGGCTGATATTTATAGTTACATTCGTTGGCATACTTGATGGCTTTGAGCTCGACTTTGGCTTGCGTCAGCGAGAGGTCCAGCTCCTCGCGCACTGTTCCCAATTTCTGTATGATTTCTAGCAAAGCGACATTGTGTTGGTATATTTCATCTTGAACTTGAATGATCTGCTGCTGGCGAATTTGGTGGCTCTCGACTGTATTTAACGTGTGAATGACCTCCTTGTGCTAATGGCCATCGGTAAGACTTACTGTGTTCAACCGCTTTTTGCAGTTTATCATCAACAAGTGCCATTTTTTTAATAATCTGGTCTGGTCCATTTACAGTATCCACGACATTGTTCTCTGCCACTGATGATAGTGCTGTGAAATAGTTTTTTACGAGCTCTGAATATTCTGTAATGTGTTCACGTACTTGTTCGCGAAGTGAGGATTCCATGATTTATGTAATGTTAGGAAAGAATTGACCCTCTAGTAATGACTTGAGGTCAGTCAAATTTTGTTGTCGGTCACAAATGTGCCCAATGATCCATATTCTCCAGCTTATGCTTAATATCACTGACCTTAGAGACACAATTCATAACAACGGTCTTTACAAGCAAATCAGGCTATACATTCTCTATCGCCACAGAAAGCTAAAATTGCATCATCGCTCTCATTAGAAATGACTAACTGCATGTATCCCATCGTGTGGTAAAATTGGTAGCCATATCAAGATGTTCAATCTGATGCTACCAGACAGCTTCCTTATGACGGCTATTTCAAAGCATAGACTAGAACAAAAGATGGAGGATGTGTGTGTGTGTGGAAGGAGATCAATCACCTAGATGGTCTGCTTTCATGCATGTTTTCAAAACTAATCTTGCTTTTCATTTTTGTTGAAGCAAAACCTCAAAACAATATACTCTGTATGCCCTTTCCATGTTCATATTGGCATAGAATGGTCTATGATATGATCTATAGTTCTACAAGCTTTGATGATTCAAGCTATCAACCATCATTTCAGGCACGGATTGTGACTATTTGCACAGCACCCTTCACTAAAATTGTCCCAGAGGTTGTTGTAGCATTAGCTTCCTCTTATTTAATACCACAATGAACATTATCAGAGCAACAAATCCATCAACAAAGGGTATGTGTGCATGCTAATTGCAAGATGCCGCTGATTTACAGTGTATAATGACAGATTTTTGCCGTTTGTATTCCACTCAAAATGCCCGTTGGTTGAGAACACGAGCTTCACCTGCAACAGGAGTTGGCAGAAAGATTCAGATACCATTTTTTGACGCAGAGCGATTTGCAAGACTATTAGAAAAAGAAGGATTCTCTGCAGCACAAGCTAGAACAGTGATTCATGCTTTAGATGATGTTGTAGATGAAAGGTATGTAGTATGCCACACGACTGACAATGGATGCAACGCTCTAATTGTGCGGAATTGACCATACAGCACTACCAATGTAACAAACGATTTAGTGAGTAAAGCTGATCAAGAGAAGACAATCACCCGCTATAAAGAAGATTTCAGCAAATTGAAGCAAGAGATACAGCAGATGGAAAGAATGGATGTGGAGGAAGTAAAGACGGCCAATGAAAGGCTCAAAGCAGAAATTGAAAAGCTAAAAAAGACACTAAGAGAAGAGCTGGTGAGAAGCCAGGCAGGCGTTCGTCTCGATTTGAACTTGGATAAAGGACGTATTCGAGACGAAACAATTGAACAGCATAATCGATTACAGCAGACAGATGATAAAATTGAGAACGAGATACAGGCGCTCAAGAGACAAATGGAAGGCATCAAATTACAGATTTTGCAGTATATGATAGGCACTATTACAGGCGCAGGAACACTTGTATTGGGCTACATTCATTTCTTTACCTGATGGCATTGCACTTTTCTCACAAGTCACCTCCGTAGAACTGTCTCCTTCCTTTCTTATATAGTTCATTAAACCTTCTTGTCTATACCAGAGTAGAATACACTACCCCAAGCGTGGGAAATTTGCTGTTGCAGTATCACCATAAACGGATCCCTTGATTTCTATCAAAAGGACCCAAGAAATAGCGTCTCTTTGGCCTTTGATTTATTCACAGTATTGGCGTGAAACTGCGTCTCAACAGAGATACTGGATACTTGCAAAGATAGTGCCATGTACCTAGGCAACATAGCTCCAGGTGTGCCAAATGTTTGCATAACATGGATCTTTTAACATAACCTAAATAAGAAGCACATTTGATGACTAAAGCAATTTAATCAAGTTCCGTTCGCTTTATAACCTTGTCCAGATTTCGTGAAGGTTCTTCCTTTTATCTTTCTTCTTTCTCACCCTCTTTCTGACCACAAGATCGTTTAAAGAACTACAACATGCTCCGCTTCATTAGTCCTTCTATCATTAGACCTTTATCTGCCACCAAGGCTACTTCTGTTAGAGCCTTCTCTACTGCCTTTGTCTCTAGACGTAAGTACGCGCAAACATGTCAGGTTGAAAAGTATCATCAACTAACGCGTTTACTCTACAGAGGCTGTCGCTGGCACTGCTGACGAAAAGTCATACACCCACATCATTGCCGAGACCAAGGGCAAGGTTGGCTTGATCACCTTGAACCGTCCCAAGGCTTTGAATGCTTTATGCAGTGATTTGTTCACTGAGGTCAACGAGGCCCTTCGCTCTTATGACAAGAATGAGAATATTGGTGCTGTTGTCATCACTGGTTCCAAGAAGGCATTTGCTGGTAAGTCGTTTGTTACAAAATGTGGGGTAGATCCACGCTCCTAACTCCCCTCAAATTTAAGCCGGCGCTGATATCAAGGAAATGAAGGACAACACCTTTGTTGACACCTACACTCAAAACTTCTTGGGTCACTGGGCCGAAATGACTGAAATCAAGAAGCCTATTATTGCTGCTGTCAATGGTTATGCTGTAAGTTGTTTATGTTTCAGCCTGCTATTATTTATACCAATCAAATTTGAAATAGCTTGGTGGTGGTTGTGAATTGGCCATGATGTGTGATGTAAGTAGATCAACGGAAGAATCAAACAAGCTGAGGGACTAATGTACTTGCCATTAGATTATCTATGCTGGTGAGAAGGCCGTATTTGGTCAACCTGAAATCAAGTTGGGTATTATCCCTGGTGCTGGTGGTACCCAACGTCTCGTAAAGGCTGTTGGCAAGTCTAAGGCAATGGAAATGATCTTGGCCGGTAACATCAACTTGAACGCTACTGAGGCCTTGAGTTTGGGTCTTGTCAGCAAAGTTGTCCCTGCTGATGATCTTGTTGAAGAAGCCCTTAAGACTGCTGGTATTATTGCCGAGATGAGTCAGCCTTCTGTTCAAATGGCCAAGGAGTTGATCAATAAATGTGAGTCCAAAAGTAACATAATGTAGTTTTGCCTGATCGACTAACATTTGTTTGTTAGCTTTCGAAATTCCTCTTAGCGCTGGTTTGCGTTGGGAACGTGTCCTCTTCCAAACTCTCTTTGGCACTGTAAGTATATTGACGCTATCTTATATAAGATGCAATTCACTAAACACATCTGCATTAGGCTGATCAAAAGGAGGGCATGAACGCCTTTGCTGAAAAGAGAGCTGCTACTTTTACCAACAAATAAATGTAAACTCTGTCCATATGAATAAAATAAGAACTTGTATTTTAAATGGCATGCGTAAACGCTTGTGTATGCTCAATCAAACCCGACCAGGATAGATCCCTTAATATCGAGCCGTCTCTTTCACATGGCACTTATTCAAAAGTATGTGGCACACTCAGATTTAAGTGAGCACATCAAATCTCTGGCAAAGACACACAGAATGTGTCATTGAGTGAGGGAGAGAGAGATGCAATTAACATGAGGCATTGGTTGATCGGATAGAATGGGTATATGAGATTTTATTTCTAAAATCTAACAAGCTTCTTCAGCATCAGCATTCGTTTTTTCTAAGGATTTTGATGGATGCACAAAGAAAGAAAAGGCCAATGCAAGGCCACAAATAGTAGCACAGACAAAAAAGATGAGATTAGGCATTATTCCTACCGAAGCACTATAGATAGTATTAATTGTCAGTTGAGAGATAATCACTGTAAAAAGAAGAAGCGTCAATTCCCTAACTGTCAAGGTGTGACAAAATACAGCACTTACAACCACAAGCCTCCAAGACTGCCATGGCGCCAAGTAATTCGCCAATTTCGGAAGGAGCCACCAAGGATGTTGACAGACTGCGAAGAGAAGGACCAGCGAGCATTGCCAAACTCTGAACAGCAACAGTGACGGAAAATCCAGCAGATGTGCTTACCAAGCCAAATAAAATAAAGCATACCGTCTCGACAGATAAGCCAGTACGAATCATCCAGACATCAAACATGACATCTTGTTTGATTTCTTCCTTGCTACGAGTCTCCATAGTTGCGGTGGAGGCAAACGAAGACGATGAAACAGACTTGGCGGCTGGTGGTTTTGGTGTTGATGAAGGTTTGTTCTTGTGAAAAACCTTTGCGAGCAGGGGTAGCAATGCCAACATGACAATCACTCTGGAAATGGAGGCTAAGCTTACGAAAAGACCACCTTCATAAGCTGTCCAGCCAAATTGCAGCATGGTATACAAAAGGATAGGAGGCAAGGCAACAATAAAAAGAAGAAACTGAATTCCTGCTACAAGAACAAGTGCGTATGGAGAGGCATGCTCAGATGAGCCTCTGTACAGAACTCGGAGAGCAGAGAACAAGTTGATTCGTTGCAAGAAGGTCTTGTCTTTTTTTCCTGTAGGTGCGTCATGGCTGATAATAACATTTGATTCTGGTACGATGAGCCAAATGTACAGACCAAGGCACATTTGAATGATGAACACCATATAGAATATGCTATTGATTGAATTTGTCTTGTTGAGCAAGTAAGAACCAACGGTTGGGCCAATAGAGGAACCTAAATAGATAATTGCTAACATATTTCCGAATGCCACTGTCCTGTTACTGACGTTAAGACCTGACTAGTTGCTGAAGCTATTATATAATTTACCTTTCTGCAGCAGATGTGCAATCTGAAATATAAGCTTGAATAGCAGCTACCAGAATAGTGTCTCCTGCCAAAAGGCTTCTTAAAATGGGTGCAATGAAAAGTAATGTAATTCCAAAGATTTGGGGGTATTTCAGAGTAATCACAAACAAGGCAATCTCTACCAAGCTACCAAGCGTCGCAGAAATCATGACAAAACGTCTACCTTTTCTATCTGACAGGTTGCCGTAGTAACTAGCAACCAGTAATGCTGTAAATAAACGCATTAGATTATCAATGAAGCATAAACGTATTTGGATCAAAAGTATTTACTTGTAGTATAAGTTAGCAGCACAATAATAGCGCTCGCCTCAGAAACAATGGCTTGTACCTGTGGAATAGCGCAATCCTCCAGCGGAATATTAACATCAGTTGTGCCTGATTGCTGTTGATAGTATCTATATAGCAAGACTTTAGCGTACAAGTGGCAAGAAAGAAACCCGGATTCCGTGGTATTACCTATAGCAGAAAACAGTAGTGTAGAATTGAATCATGGGCGCGTACAGTGCACTGATTATACAAGTTAACAATGGCATATCTTAATTATGCATTTCAATGTAGTATTACCCATATGAAAATGTCAACCCGAATAGAGCGCCAATGACGTACCAAGGCGACACCTTCTTGGCAGATCTCTTGGCATTACCAAATGTGGTATCTACAATGGAACTTGTTTGATCTGTTGCCATTGCAGGCATTAGAGGTGTTTCTTCGTTGACAGATTGAGGCTTTAACATGACAGCAATTGAATTGAAATTAGTCTTCTTTTATATAGATCAAGCAGAAGAACCTATGATGAAGAAGAAAGAGAAGCAGAAGAAAGAAGCAAAAGGTTTATACAACATTTATACCCTTCCTGTTTAGTTTATGTAACCCACCGTATTCCAAAATTGACATGTTTTGTTCCACAGATTGCCAGTCCTTACTCTACTTTCGTCTCTAATCGCCCTTTTGAGACAGCAACATTTATCCAACAGCACAGCCCCTCAAATCATAAATAAAAAACTGTTGATACATACAGTTGCAGCTTGCGCAATTTGTGAATGTGTTCACTCTATAACTAGGCTGCTTTATCCAACCCTCTATTCGGCCATTATCACTAATGCTACAGGCGAATCGGTATTAGTGTGTATAGTTTTGATAAAAGAGTTGAAAAGAGATAATAAATTAGTCAAAGCAGATCTAACTATCAAATGAGCACCAGGTTTATAGTTGTCCAACTACAGTAAACAAATAAACATAAGAAAAAGTAAAAAATAGAAAGTAAAACATAAATGTATATAAAAGAGTGTACAGTGGATCGATTATAGTATGGGATATCATTATAACATAATAGATTTATAGTCCATAAACATTTTTGCAGCCCTAATATGGAAACCGAGTTGCCTGGCATCTGTCAGGCCTGGCTAACATAATAAATGTTCAGCCCCTAGTAGTAAACACTTCCAAATCCTTAAAAAGGAAAGAAATTGATCTGACAAGTATTTTGATAGACTGGCGCTATTAAGTATAGAATGCAAGAAGAATAGCATGAATAAATATAGTGCCATGTAATTTGCCACCTATTTTCCGTACGCTTCAAAAGCATCTATTACTGTATTGCCTTCATGATAAAAAGGGCATTTGGGTTTGCCAGCCAGCACCACCAGCCAAAATTAATTCAAACCCAGGCTCATAGTCTGTTCCAGATTGGCCAAATTTTGATGATTTTCGACTCGATTGAACTATTTTGCCAGATTCGACTATATAAAATATGAAGATCATCTTATGCGTCTTTAAGCTTTCTTGAAGTGCTTTTCAAGGCGCATCCAATGGCACCACGTTAGACAGATATTTTAAGTAAACTTATTGAGTAATTTACGAAAATATGAAAAGAGGCTTTTGGCCAAAATGTTGAAATTTTACATATCAAAATCCCGCAAAGATGATTTCAGGTGTTACGTTAGATCGATAGTAACATTTTGATTCAAGATATCCCATAGTAAAAGTCTTCATTTTCAAGGTGAAAAACGCGATCGTTTGATTTTTAATGAAAACCAGGAGGGGTACCTCATGCTTTTTGGTCGATTTTTGGTCATGTTTTTTTTGATCCCCAAAAAGTTGAGTAAAGGTTGTTGAGTCTGTAGCGGTTGCGGACATTCAGTAACTCAGCAAGAGTCGGATCATGATTTACATTGTTTCTCACTGTCTACATTAGGACATTAGGTTCGACACAGAAGTGAATCATATAATCGATTATGATGGTCTCTGATAGTGAAGGATAATGATGGCTACAGATCGTATCATCATGGCTGATTGAACGAATCAGATCCTTCAATTGACTGATATTAGATAAACATGATACGATGTATTGACTCAGTTGAAACAACAAGATAGATTGATGATTCATCAGTAATGATCTCTTATAAATAGGATGTGTTTGAATCAGTTAATAAATCTAGAAGTTTTCGTATCTGGTTACTTTTTACAGTCTTCCTTTTTTGAAATCTATCTTAATTTGTTAATACTGTATCTTTGAATACAACAAAGGTGTCAGAAAGTAACTGCTAAATGAGAGCAACTGTTTGATGCTATTCTGACCATCTTAAACGGCCTTGAACGCGAGAAAACGTAGCTCAAATTCACTCAGATTTTGGCGTATTAGGGATACTAAGGAATAGAAAGGGGGAAATACCAGTATTCTGCTTGTCCGTATATGAGGTAGCTACGTGTATATGGATGTGAAACACTACATAAGAGTCGTATCACAGATAATATGAAGGGTTTTTATGTGTAAGTGGAGGGTCAAAATGAAAGTAGCAGTATTTTGATAAAATGAGCAAGGGCAATCGATAGCGGGAGCTGCCGCTGCGCAGGCTGGTTATCACCGAAGCGAAAGTAGAGTGCCATGCGAAGCATAAACACACTTGTAAATAATAAAAGATCAATTTATAGTCATCTTGGTTTATTTTTTAACACATGAGTGTTATATTTTATCTATAATTTAAAGCGTTAAAGTTAATGGTTCTTGTAGAAGAGTGAGAACTACTGAACTCTGTCAACGACATCCCATTATCAGGCATATACAGACTTTATGCGTAACTCTTCTTTAGTCGTCAGTATAAATATTCAATCAGTTTGCAAAAATAATAAAGATTGCCTTTCATGTCAAACAAAGCTTTTCGTATACATTTAGATACACATATAATCTGTGCGTAACCTTTTAGTTAGTATAAATATCAAATCAATTTGCAAAATAATAAAGGATTATCTTTTATCTCAAATCTACTCTTGTATATATATATTTATCTATGTTGTGCCAGAAAGGCTACAACTGTCTATAAAGATTAAGGTATCTGAATGGGTAGATATGTCTGTGTTGTGCAACAACATGGACAAGCTACGATAACTGAAGTGCATCTCAGCTATCAAGGTGCTGAGGTTTACCAGATGTGAAAAGTGTTGTACAAGATAACTTGCTACTTTGACATCCAGAATTTAGTATAAATACGGTAACTCTTGTCTTCATCAATATGTCTAGTTTTTGTGTCTGATCTTATTCAAGTAAGTTTTTTTTATTGTTTTTGTGCTATCAAACATTTTTTTTCTATAAGCTAAAAATTATAATCCATTTATTCTTTGCGCTTAACAATCTAAGTCTACTTTATAAACTATATCTATACACAGTGTTACAAAGTGGTTTATTGTAGTGTGAATAATAAGAGTGGAGATAGAGTAAATATATAGATAAATAACCAAAGCAGATTCGTATGTAGAAATGAGCACCAGGTTTATAGTTGTCCAACTAGTAAAGAATATAGAAATAAAGAAAGGGATGTGCAAATAAAGTGATAAAGGTAGATAAAGTACAATGAATCGAGGTATTAATGTATACAAGGGACCCAAGGGATCTTATAATTGATAAGTTCAATGAAATAACAGACAATGAGCTATAGAGCTATATAAATATGGATTTAAGTAGGAATGAGATAATATTTTATTGTTTGATATCATTTGAATGAATAATGTGTCCTGAATCCTATTGCTATAGTATATAATTTGTAATGAAGGGCTGATCCTTCTATAATTGATTCTGATACACTTAGTAATCCTAAAAGCTTGAACGATTCTTATAGCTGGAAAGCTATATTTGTTGTTGAAAGATGGTGAATGTTGATAGTGATAATGTTACTGGAGGATGAAAGGTTTGATAATGTGGAGTTGCTTCCCATTTGTGTGCTTCCATTAGAAAGGAGAGATGTTTAAGAGTTTGAATTGACATCTGTCAAAATAAAACGAGACTGAATGGTAACTGATTTGTCATTCTTGAGATAGGGTTCAGAGCATATTCGAATATAGGAAGCATTTAAGAGTTTAATGTCAAATTGTAGCAACAGAAGTAGGAGCCAATATAGTAAGCAGTGAAGCGTAGTTTATTTGATAGTATAGACAATTTACAGCAAAAAGAGAGATTCAGTTACAAAACCAAAGTCGATTTGTAACAACAGGGCACAAGAAAAAAATAATAAACTAAAAAGGGGAAAAGTGAGACGTTTGTATTTCAAAATAAATAAAAAATAAAAAATAAAAAAATGTTAGCCCAACGGGGGGGTCGAACCCCCAACCTTGAGATTAAGAGTCTCACGCTCTACCGATTGAGCTAGCTAGGCCCCACCTTCGCATCCATATTTTCCGCCTTTCTAACCTGGCATGTTACTCGGTATTTGTGCTTGCACGTTTAGGTGTGCTGCGGTGCGTCTGGCCGGTTTCTACCTTGAGTCCTGTTCGTCTCCCCCGTCTTGCGGCGCGGCCATTGCCATTCTTCCTTCTGTTTCTCCTCTTCTCTGGTGGGTTTTGATGCCGTTTTCATTACTGGTCCCCTCCCTTTAGCAGCTTCCCTCAACCTTTAATTTAAAACATGCTTTTTCCCGCCGAATCACTGTTAGTCTTGCAACATATGATCATACCGATTCCGCAGTTGACTACAATTGTAAATAAATAAAATCCAATATTAAACTGAGCTAGCTAGGCATCTCTTTCCGTTTTTCATCACTTTTTGCCACCCTCTCCGTAAAAAATCTCCTTAAAATCACGAAAAACGCTATTTTCCCAACAATCAGCAACTCAATCAACTCCAAAACTATACCAGTATACTTGCCTTTAGTCTCTGTCTATTGTGTTATAGTTTCAAGTTTATTGAACATCTTCTTCATATTTTTTTGGATCCTCAACAATTTCTAAAAAATAATCAGCAATATGCCCGAGTTTCAGCACCCAACTGATATGAATCAGGTTACTGTTATCATGCAACAGTTACAACAACAACTTGCCTCACTCTCTGAACGTGTTAATCAACATGATGGTATTTTGGCTCGTCTCGATGCTTTGGAAAAGGAAAACCAAGCCTTGAAAAAAATTTTACACGACAAGGATCTGGTCATTGAAAAATTGCAAGCCACGTCACAGGATTCTGTTACAAGCACCCCCATCAAGGGGGCATCTGGATCCACCACCTCTGCTACTGCCACCACTGATTCTGGTACTATTAGCTATTCTACTATAGCTAAGAAGGCTGCACATCGCCCTGATCCAACTAAAGCTACTAAGAGAAAGTTGGCTGCCGGTCGTCTCTTCAAAACGTCTGCTACTAAGGGTCCCCAAGGATATCAATATGTATATATTGGTAGATCTGGTAAGATCTTACGCTCTGAAATTCGACGCACTCTCAAGGCCATTGGGGTGGATACTTCTCGTATCCTCGACATCAACTTCCCTGCCTCCGAAGCTATTGGTATTCTCTTGCATACCCAATATGTTGCTGAATTCTTGGCTCTGCTCCGTGCAAGTGAATCGGAAATATTGGAGGATTTTGACCCGTTGAATCCTGCTAATATTGCCGACCCAAAGTACGATGCCTACTCTGAACACGATCGAATGGATCTTATTGCTGAGATGGTCAATGCTCGCAGCGTAGATGCTCTGTCCCATATCCGCCCACTTAATGTGAGTAGTGTTGGCCGTTGGTTCCTGGATCTTGGATGGATAGGTCAAGCCGAACTGGACGAGGCTGTTGCTGGTGCTATGGACCGACTAAAGGAAAAAGACCCTAAAAAGGCTGCTTTCTTGTTCAAGCGTCGCCGTGATACTTCTACTGATTCTGAAATGGAGATCTAATGTCTCTTAACAATGAATCATGGTCTGGTAATTTGAATAATGTGTCTGTCCCCCCGGTTTTTGTCTCTCTCTCTCTTTGGAATGCGAATGGTCTTCGTCAAACAACAGTTCATGATGTTATTTCTCATATTGTTGATACTCATGTTCTGTTTGTCACTGAAACTTGGCTCACTTCTGGTTCCTATCCGATTGACTGGTCTCAATACCACTTGTATGGTTCAAAAGTACCTGGTGCTTTCAACCGTGGTTCTGGTGGTATCACTGCTTTTGTCTCTCCTTCTTGCCCCTTTACGGTCTTCCAACTCCCTTCATACAATCCGCACACTCTGTCTCTCAAGGTTGGCACCCTAACGGTTCATTGTGTTTACTTTCCTCCACCCTTATCCTCTGATAAGGTGCTCTCGGCCCTCAGCTCATTACCTATGACTAGGGATACTATTCTCTGCGGTGATTTCAATGCTCGGTTGGGTCCTCTGACTGGTGATGCTATCTACAATGCTCGTGGTAATGCTCTCAAACCTTGGTTTGACGAACATTGCTTATCTGTGCTTAATGCGTCTTTGGCTTTTGGTGTCAAGACTTATTCTTCTTTTCGGCAGCAGCAAGAATTGAGTAGTATTATCGATTTGTTTCTGACAAATATTGGTGATGTTGCTTTGGTGAACCCTCAACTGGTGGTTGAGTCTGATCTGTCTCTTGGTTCTGACCATCGATTGATGTCACTTACTTTCGGGTATGTGCCACCTCTCGATGACACTGTGGCTCCTGGTGATTCTGTTCTGGCTCCTAGGCGGCAATGGAAGCTCTCGAAATTGACGAAAGAGAGGCCTTTGGGCCTACTCCGTGAATCCTTTCGATCTTCTGTTGCTCCTCTGGTTGTTACTCTCTCTGGTTTGGTGTCTGCTCCTCCTGGTACTCGTCCCGACATTGATGCACTCAACGGTTCTTTGAACCAATGTTTGTATGAATGTTTGGATAGCTCAATAGGTGTGAAGTCTGGCCGTCCTGGCCATTGGAAGAAATACTGGACGCAAGAGATCCAAGACGCTGCTACTGAACGGGATCGTCTCTACAGTCGATGACGGTATGCCCTTGGGTATACTAAGATTGATTGTTGGGTCTTATACAAGCAAGCTCATCGCCGTTTTCGCTCTCTGGTACAGTCTGCTAAGCGCAAGTCCTGGCATAAGTTCTGTGGTGCTCTGGAAAGCGTATAACTTTATCAAGTTAACTTTACTGTTTTTTTTTTACTCTTTTTTTTCCGTGAATTTTAGTCTATAAAGCCTCAAATTCCACAGTAACCCCTATAAAAAAAACCAGTTTTTCTGCGCTATTATCAGTATAATTGACAGTTCTACTAGATTCTTTTGTTTAATCATCAAATTCTGCTTCCCTGTAATTGCTCTAGAAAATGAGACCTTATTTTAGCACCAAATGCAATACTTCCTTTCAAAATTGGTTGTTAACCCTAAATTCGCAGTTTGCAATGGCTAAAGCAATGTTCTTCCTTGATAACAACAGCACAGAAACGTCTGTATTGTGCTGAAATCTATAGAATAATTTCAGGGAGTACTTTGATCGATGTTGGCTCGCAAAAGAAAACATATTTTATGCACACTACTGTAGCAAAAATTAGCTCTTGAGCGATTGTTTTTGGGTATAATTTGGCTCGAGAGCTAATCCTTTCAACAGTGTGTAGTAGCTCCATGAAGTCATTTAAGCCCGTTTTTACTACAGTTCGTTGCTATCGACTCTTGTATCACAGAATTTGTAGACATCATGAGTGTCTGTTTGCTAGATCTGGATAAACAATTTTGTTGTTGCGACCCCATCGTACAGGGACCAGTCTGGCGTGTCTACTATCAACTATTTTTTCTTATCCATGTTTTCAACCTTGTGGATAGACTTTAAGTAGTTCGGCGGCTGGATATGGTATCTCTGTTATGTTCGACCATTAAAAAGCTGTCTACTAACCTGATAAGCATTTTGCTGAATACAAGCAAGTCATTAAATTCAAAGTCGCATAACATTATTGACGCTCAAGTGCCAAGGTTACTGCAATTGCACATTTCAAAAAGCAAGGTCTGGGCATTGGAACTGGAATAAAAGCAATTATTACTTTAAAATTGAGTTCTGTACAATGCAGAACATCTGGGCCATCAGACAAAAGTGTAATTGACTTACTCTTCTAGCAATGCAACTCACTACGCTTTCGTTTTAGGCCGAGTTCTGTTCAAATCTAGCCATTTCCAAGCTCGAATAACTCATGCCACAAAGCGTTTTGAGCGCTTGGAATAGCACTGAATGTCTCCTCTTTGTCACGCTTTACATTGTGATGCTTTATCCCAATTTTTTTTGGGCAGTTGCAAATTCATGAAAATCATCGTTTTTCCATGACTATTAGCAAGGGAAAATTCATGAAAATCAAACGATCGCGTTTTTCACCCCAAAATGAAGACTTTTCCTGTGATACATATCAGATCAAATTGATGGTAAAGATGAAAGGCAACATTGGAAACTACTTTTATAAAATTTTTATATGCTGAATATTGACATATTCGCAGAAAACCCATTTTCACATCTTTGAAGATTGCTCATTATTTTCAATTTGAAAGCTGAATGCAACTAGCATCACTCGATGCGCCTTCATTGACTCTTTATAAATGTATTAGAAAGTAAAGTATAACAATGACAATATTCATAATTAAATTTAGCAAAAACGTTTAAAGGATGTGAGATCAAGTCGAATTTGAACACGAAAACACCCACTGCACAATTCCAAATTAAAGTGCAGCAGTTACGGCTTCCACGGCGGAAAATTGAGAGCAAATCTACTGGTCGTGACGTCGGTTAGGGTGCCCTCTCATTTTTTTATAGGACGGTTTTTTATCCTTTTTGCAAAACGCGTTTATCATCAAACACAATTTGTTTTGGAACCCTTTTGATTGAAAATAACACTCTAGCTTCTGATAACACGGCCTTGTATTGTTAAAAGTACTTGACACTGCTTGTTTGAAGTGGAATATAGTAGGTACCAGTCGATAACGAGCATTGGAAGGCGAAAAATCAGCACTAATCAAATTTGTTTATTATGTTTTGATAATTTTCTTTGCCTGTTTAACGTGAATGTTTCTGTCATTACTTCTCTGCTATCTCTGTTGTCTGCTTCTTTGGTTCACCATGTCTGGCGGTTACTTCTTTGGTCTTCTTCTGGTCTCTGGTGTCGTTCGTTCTTTGGTTTTTCTATGGTGTTGGCGTTGCTTCTGCTGCTGCTAATATGGTCTTTCCTGGTCTACTGTCTTCGGTGTATGCTCATTCTCTGGTCTATATCCGGTGATTGCGTATCATCTGGTCCATCTATGGTAGTGGTAAGTGGTAAGTATCTTCTCTCTTCTGGCCGCAATGATATAAAACTTCTTTGAACGTTTGTATTATTGCTTCTTTTCTCATGATAATGCATTCATGATGTTTGCTTTGTTGCATTTTTCTTCTTCTTTTTGTTGGTTGTGTTGCTTTACATCCAACTATTACCATGCATGTTGCTCATGTATGCATTTTTGTTGCAACAACAGCGAGCTGTTTTGAAGGTCTCTGATGTTGTGTTTGTTACACTTTTCTTTTACTCACTTTGTGTGAGTATCCCTTTTTTTTTGCCTACGTACTGCTATACTCCTATAGTAGTATGTTCTTTTCTTTACTTTCTTTTCTTTTATTATGTTTCTTTTGAAGCATATCTTTTTTACGTTGTGTGGATGTGCCTATCCCTGAAGCTCAACAAGACTTTATCCGAGGCCAGGAGGTAGATAGGCCGCCTCCACTTGGTTATCGCTACTTACTTTAGTGATGATTGAGAGTCTCAACGCCAGAATTTAAAAGCTAGGTGGTGTAAGTAAGGCATGCTTTAGCATTTGAGGGAAATTTGATGATAGTAACGGCTATATTGCTATATATGGCGGAGCTTAAAATTTTGCCTCACATCAAAACAGGGGGAAACTCTCGCAAATTTTTTTTAGGTCAGCGGAGTTTTCAAGCAATCTGATTGGCTAAGAGGTTGAAACGGCAAAGGATAATCAAATGCCATTCTACTGATATTTCTTCTAATTTACTCTTAAATAAACATTTTGATTGCGATTCGGTATTCATGATTGCGTTCCGAAGCCAGTAGTGCTTTCACGGCTGCAGTTAATAGGTTCTCTTGATAGAAACAGGAATATGCTTCTCAAATTTCTTCTTTAGAATCTCTCCCTGATGCGTGTGTGCAACATTACTGTCAAATCAGCTAGAAGACGAGCAGTTGCTCCGATGACTCGGCCAAGCAGAGAACAACATTTGGTGCCTGCTATAGAATTTCTGGTTTCTGTGTATGAAGGTATTATGCATATTTCTGTGAATTATGAAGTTGGAAAATATTGCTGACGGCTCTACTAGTCGAGTGATAATGCACTTCATTAAATAATGTAGTATCCCATTTGAGTACAGTTTTCTCCCCTGGTATTTCCCTCTATTCTAATCTTACTCCTCGTCGCAAAAATGAGACTATTTACATCATCTGCAATCCTCAAAGAAGCTTCAGAGCGATTTACTTTGCCAGTATGATCTAGTTCTCTTTTCTCTGATGAGATAGAGTATAATTTGCTCGATTTAATCAGAGATTCGAGAATTACTCCTTTACTAATGTTCGTAGTTATTAGTAACACTAGTAAGTTACTAACTGATAGCGAGAATTTATCATTACTGTTCACTTTCTAATGTAGAAGCTGATAAGAGCATTTCGTGATGTGATTAAAGTTAAGGTCTCATTCTTCGTGATAACCCATTACAGCGAGTGTGTGTTTCAACAGAAAACATTATCAGTATCCTTCACTTTTATAGATTGCTTCTAGTAGTAGTATAACTGAAGTATTTATTTATAGTAGTCATCATCATCATATGTGTTGTGCCAGAAGGGCTACAACTGTCTATAAAGATTAAGGTATTCTTGATGGATAGATATGTCTGCGTTGTGCAACAACATGGACAAGCTATGATAATTGAAGTGCATCTCAGCTATCTAAATACTGAGGTTCACCAGATGTGATAAGCGTTGTACAAGATGAATTGCTACTTTGACATTCAGAACTTAGTATAAATAGAATAACTCTTGTCTTCATCAATAAATCTTTAGTTTTTTGTGTCTGCTCTTATTCAAATAAGTCTTTTCTTGTTTTTATAATATCGAACCTTTTTTATAAGCTACAAATAATAATCCTTTTATTCTCTGTGCTTAACAATATGTGGTGTTCTTTGCAATTTCCATAATTCTCAATTCTCCAGTGTTTGGCGGTTAGCCTGTTTTGATAATATACAATCGATGATTAAACAAATGCCTGGTTGATGAGTTTTCGATGCTGTTTGAAATGCGTTTGCATTGTCGAGCTTCGTTTTCTCTCAAACCTCTTGTATTCTGATTTGGATAACTGTGAATGATTATATTGTAATGATCCAGCGTAATCTGCTGTGCTTCAAGCACAGTGTTTAGCGGTACTCTACAGTATACATGCAGCATTACCATGATCCACAATCATCCTGCAAAATTAATTTTCTTTGCGATTGTAAAGATCATCACTGTTGTGCACAATCAAAATGCGTACATTGGACATTTGTAGCGGTAAAAGAGCTATGAAATCAAAAAACGCGAGCAACTTCAGTTTTAATTCCGTAATCATAAGATGTATTTAACATCTACAGTGATCTTGAATCCGATGCAAATCTATTGAATCACTGTGAATATGCTCATGTTGATAAATCAAGCAATGTGATGAATCACATCTAGACAAAAGTCGTCCACTTTATATAGAAGATTTTCAGGAGTATACACTCCGGCAAAAGTACAATGCTAGCGCTGAAGAGTTAGAATGATACGATCCATTATCTGCTGCAACATCTTGTGCAGCAGCAGCCTTCAACACTCGAAAGCGCCAAACGTCTCATTTATGGTGATACCTTGACGTCATTTAAAACCGACGAGAAAATCGGTATCAAACTGAAGATACGCCTTTGTTTTTTTCTTCCCACAAACAAATACAATCTTATGAGTTCTTGGTGGTCATTTGGAGGGGGATCGACAACAAAGAAGGTCTATAGCTGCACAAGTATACACACCACACTACATAGACTGAAAAGCGTAATAGGAACCCGCTGTAGCAACTCAAGCAGTACCCTCACAGCAGTCTTTTAAAGCAATGAGCAATGCATTTCGAAAAGGCGTTCAATACAACAGTAAATATCAAACACGCTGACATACAACTTGCTTCTTACCAGCACACATCTAATAGTGAAAATCGTATTGAGAGGCGATGTCATGACAGGCAAAAGCAATCTTTGTAGGTGCAGAAATGAACAGAGCGATTTATGCATTAATTAACAGTGAAACATGAAAGTTCATCGTCTTCAAGGATCTGAATTCAACGAAGAATACACATCGACACCGCAGATCCAAGTAGCCAATATACCTTGGCACTACAAAGGTATTGGTAAATGCATTTGGCTTTGTCAATAAGCTATTGACTCGCTTCAAAGACTCGAATGATATAGTAAAGATCGAAGTGTGGGATGTAGTGGATAAGGCGCACAATAAGAACAAGTCTGAAAGCAGCAAGGGCATCAAACTGGAACACAGGCCTAGCGACACAAAGGGCGACACAGCTGCAACATCGAATCCACAATCACCTCAACAGCAACAACAAGAAGATCAAGATGTATCCATGGGATTAGACGCTTCCACAGTCAATGTGTATCGCAACACACATGGAGCCATCTTGATGTTTGATACCACCAAGCCATGGACCTTTGATTACGTCAATCAAGAGCTGAAAAATGTGCCTGAAAGCATGGCAGTGCTTGTACTGGGCAATTTTTGCGACAAGACACAAGAGAGAAAAGTGGAAATGGATACCATTCACGCCACTTTGTATGAACATAATCAAGAAAGGATCAAAAACGGAGCGATCAAGCCCAATTTAATACGATACGCCGAGACAAGCATGCAATCAGGGCTAGGACTAAAGTATATCTACGAATATCTAGGCGTGCCCTTTTTGCAACTGATGATTGAGTCCCTGAATAAACAATTGGAACTGAAAGCAGTGGAAATTGTGGATTTGCTGGAAACTTTGGATACAGATGCTGATGTGCCTACAGGCATGCAGAGAAGACGAGGACAAGATAATTTTGATCAACGTAGGTGCTTGCTGTGTGTGTGTGTGTGTGTGTGTGTATGGGATGACATCCTCATAAAAGCGCTGACGCTGAATAGCTTCCGAGCCAAGATTAGCAAGACAGCAGGAAGAAATGAAATCAGCTTGGGATCAAGAGCTTGAAGATATCGCATCAGATCATCCGAGCATGCTAGATCAGTTCCCTCGTCGTCAAGAAACACCACCTGTACCTACTGCTCCTGTCAAATCTAAAAAGAAAATGGACGTGAAGCTTGTGCCTGAGCAGGTACCCGCAGTCGTTGATTTCAGTGTAGGCGATGAACTAAACGATGATTGGTTTGGTGAAGATGTCAGCAATGCCAACATCAATTTGCCTCAACCTGACAGACAAGACTCAGATGATGAAGGACCTGGCAACCCAATGGTGTTGGGTGACGAAGACGTAGAGCCTATCTTTTATAACAAACCATCCATCACACATGAACAGCGCATTGTTGTACAAGCAGAGCATGAGCCAGAACATCCACAGGAGCAAGTGCACAGCAGGCAAGGGGAAGAGGAGAAGCAGGAATACGAGGAAGAATATCAGCCCGTTTTCAAAAGTGAACTAAATGATGTGTGGAGTTGCAGCTTACGACGCTTATCCGGACCTGAAGTAATATCTGATAGTGAAGATGAGGATAACAGGATGCGTCAAACGGATTCGCCATTTGCACCAGAGAGTCCATTTATGGAATCACCTACATTCCAGAGCGGATTTGCTGGTGGTTATGAAGAGATTGGCGGATCAAATGAAAATCCATGGTCGATAGGACAATCCAAACTCACTTTGGATGAGAAACCTCGTATTCAGCATGAATGGCATCACGAGACAACTGAACATGAAGGAGAGCAAGGAGAGACGATTGAACCAGTAAGTAGCGTGTAGCAGTAGCAGAGAAGGAAATAGGTCTCCCTTTCTTAAAACATGTAACACTTACTAGGATACCACTATTGTTGATCAGCCAACAGTAGAGAAATCAAAAAAGAAGGAATCCTCGGGTAAAAAGAAGAAATCATCTACTTCCTCCTCTAGCAAAAAGAAGAGCAGTAGTAGTAAAAAGAAGAAACCTCAATAAACACAGATAAGCCTTTTTTTTTATGTATAAATTCAATGTACAGAGGAATAATGGCAAGATGAGATTGTCTAATAAAAGGAAGAAGTGTTTATATCAGGTATCAATTTTCCTCTGCACGGTGGAGATAATGATGGTGATGCTGAATGTCTTTGATCAAGGGGTTCAAAAAGGACAAAGTCTTGAAAGGGCGCTACAGATGCTGATGATGATAATGATGTTATTGATAATGATGATGTTGAGGTTGACTGATAGGGTATCGTATTACTATGACTGGTACCAAATAACAAGAGAGAGACATCGTTCAAAACCTGGTAATCTGTAGCTATTGAGTTCAATGGAGGGTCATATTCATATGATTCCATGCGTGGTGCCCTTGGTGGCATGAATGAGTAGTGGTTTGATGTAGCAGTGCTCATTGGACATGAATGCGATGATGATGGTGGCTGTGGCAACAGCTTGCTGTGGTAATTTAGTGGTGGAGATGGCAACATCAAATGATGTAGGCTAGGCAGCTTTGGTGGCTGTCTTTGCTGATTTGCATGATGATATGAATGATTGTACATTTTGTTATGAATTTGAATGTAACGAGAAAGAGAAATGGGTGAAAAAGCTCGGTTTGATAAAGCGAAAGTATATATGTTGGCCAAAAAAGGGGGGGGGGGTACACAAGAAAAAATAGAAAAAAAAAAAGATTACCACTATCACCATCATCTCGACTAATACTACTGCTACATCTCAGAAAAGGACTCTCTTCATAGGTGCATAATCCAGAAGAGTCCATTGACCAACTCATGATAGCTGTCATCATTTCACCATAGTTTACTCGCTTTGAATGCGACAGATGGGAGGCTTGTTTTTTTTTTATGTGCAACATCAACAAGGAAAAACAACAACAAATGCTTTCCCGGCTTGTGTGTGTATACACGTATGCTGCTGTCAATGGAGCACACACCTTTATATTCTGCTGTCATTGAGCATGGCGATGTTTAGTAGTGGAAAAAAAAAAAAAAAAAAAGAGTGCACATTCTAAAACTCGCTACCATCTCTTGAAATCCGTTGACATGCGACGCAAATCATGAAACACATCCTCAGGTATTACAAGGGCATTTGTTGTTGGCTAAATAAAATGTTCCTATAGACAAGAAGGATGACAATGTATGCAATTTAAGGTTTTTTAAGTGGAAAAGAAGGATGTCTTGATAGGAGAACGAGTAGTACGGATAGTACTGCCCGCCTTGATAAACGTATAGTAGAGAAAACACATGGTTGAGATATAAAAATAAGTTTTTAATTATCATATTACATTGCCATCAACAACATCCTCCTTTTTGTGAAATTGTTTATATTTGAATCTTAGACATTTTGGAGCATCAGACTTGTTGGCGTTTTTTCCCTTCTTCTTCTTCCTCTTCTTTTTCCCTTTTTCTCATCATAAGATGATAGCTTCATCATCGTCTGTTCGGTAAGACCAATCCCTCTGATGTGTGTATCAATTGGCTCACACAAGCGTATACAAAAAGAGTGGCAGTGAGAATTCGACCTCTCACAGAGAATGAAAAGCAGCATTGTCAAAATAATGCAATTGCATTTATACCAGACAACCAGCAGCAGATCATTGTAGGCGGAGACAGGCCATTCACGTTTGATTATGTGTATCCACCCACGTCGTCGCAGCAAGATGTGTACAATTCATGCGTTATTCCTCTGCTCAACAAGTTTATCAAAGGGTAATAGTGGCATTCGAATAAATTTGCGAAAAATCAGCGAGATTAACGACTGATGAGCAGCTACAATTCCACCATATTAGCATACGGCCAAACAGGAAGTGGAAAGACTTACAGTATGGGCATTGGCCTCGACTCGGTCATGAATGCGTCTACCAATGATGGCATTGTTCCAAGATTTATTGATTCGCTGTTTTGCTCTCTGGAATCCAAGAGATCACAGAATTACTCTTTTCAAGTTTGTGTCTCCTTTCTGGAGCTGCACAACGAGGATCTTGTCGATCTCTTGTGTCCCAATGTCAAAAGCAGAAGAGAAGGCCTCAACTTGACAATACGAGAAGACAGCCATGGCAATATATGCTGGTCTGGTGTCAGAGAGGAAAGCGTTTCCAACACAACCGAGCTGATGGGCCTGATACGAAAGGGATCCATTGCACGCACCACAGCGTCAACAGACATGAACAGCACTTCCTCAAGATCTCACGCTATATTCTCAATTATACTCAAGCAGTTTCAGGTCGAATCAGCAGACGAGACGCTTGTTGAAAACACAGCCTTACCTGACCACACGAATGCATCCAGTTCAGCAGCACAGACGACAAAGCGATTGGTGTCAAAGTTCCATTTTGTGGACCTGGCTGGATCAGAAAGGGTAAAACTATGAAAGCCTCATTGGTCAAATAGCATATTAACATTCTTTTAAATTCATAGCTGAAAAGAACTAATGCCGTGGGAGACAGGGCAAAAGAGGGCATCTCTATTAATACCGGTTTATTAGCATTGGGGAACGTTATTTCGGCCTTGGGGGATGAGTCTCGTCGTGTGTCTCATATACCATATCGGGACTCCAAGCTAACAAGACTCTTGCAAGACAGCTTGGGTGGTAATAGTCAAACATTGATGCTAGCATGTGCCTCACCTGCCGATGCCAACATGACAGAGACATTGAATACACTGAAATATGCTAATAGAGCTAGGAATATCCGCAATAGAGTTATCATCAATCAAGAAATAGGAGAATCAGATCGTCTCAAGGCCACCATCACGCGGCTGAAAGAGGAACTCAGGGGCACAGATGATTTTCTTCGTGCAGTGAATGATGAGATGGACAGCCTCAAGTCCCAAGTGGGGTCCCTTCATCATACACTAGATCAAACAACTTTTGAACTGGCCTCGGTCAAGTATGAGCGCGATACCTACAAGCATCAGTTGAGAGGTAGTGGTCAGCCGTTTGTTCAAGAGGCACTCATTCAAGAGTATGCAAATACGATTGAATCACTGCGAAGAGAGCTACTCCAATCACAGCAGCTACTCAATCAACAACAACAACAGCAGCAGTCTGCTGCATTATACGCCACCTCACTACAGATTGATCATATCGATTCATCGGCTACCTTGGTCGGATCAACCCATTCCTACACCAGTGCCTCACAATCACCCCTGCTTGGCAAGGAGAGTCCTTCAGAGAAAACGAATAGAAAAAAGAAGCACAGCTACAAATTTGGCAGTAAAAGATCAAAGACAATCCGACGAAGAAGCATCTCTTCATTGACGCTAAGCAGCAATACAACATCACCGAAGCAAATGCGAGGCGTCGACATTTTGACTCAAAAGAGCGTGAATGAACTGAATGAAAACCCGATCTTACAAGAAGCCAAAAAGAGCATGCAAAAAGAGACAGAGTTCCTCCAATCTGCCAGGGTGAGTAAGGTTCTCAAGTAACACTACTAACCTAATAAACTCACATTCTTGCCACAGATCTCAATAGCTCATCAAAATAGCACTTCATGGGAGTTCAAAACCAACGACATGGGCCAAAACCCTAAATCACTACAATATAGAAGACGCACAGTAGACATTACGCCACCCACAATTCCTGTAGCAGCCGTATTACAAAACGATTATATCAGCGAGAACAAGCGACTCTTGCAAAAGTTAAGCAGTGCCATCGAGAGCAAGCATCTGTTGATCCGCCAATTAGAGAAATGCGAAAAACTACGCGTAGATCAAGTAAAACAATTGAACCGCAAACTGCAAGACATTACTGCCAAAAAGACAACAGTTGTTTCGCAGTACAAGCGCGAACTAGCAGAGCTACGAAACCAATACGAATGCCGCATCAAAAAGCAACAAGTAGAGCAGCAAACACTACGACGCAAGCACATGCAATTGATCGGCAAATCAGATACAATGCGAAACCAGAATCAGTCAGTAATAGATCAATTGAACAGAAACATGGAAAAACTGACGCACGAAAAGAAGAAACTGATCAAGCGATTGAAATTGGAATCTGACAGAGCACGAGAGAAGGCGTTGGAGAATGGCAAGGAGACTTCAAAGATGAAGAGACAAGAAGCACAGCTTGTCTCGGCCAGAAAACGATTGGAAAGAGAACTTTTGCAGCAGAAATCAGCGTCAAAACGAGCTACAGAAGAGATTGTTGCACTGAATGGACAGATGAAGCAAATTGCTGTCATTTTGAAGAAAGTGTTGGCTAATCAGGGCAAGAAAGCACTAGCTGGAAGTGCTGTTACGGATCGCAACTTGTTGGCCAAGGCAGCAGCGTGTGCCAATGTCAGAGGGTACCTTGTGAAACAAAACGCTGTTAAAAAGGTCGGCGGCAAGTTTAAGGTTACATCTTTGCAACAACAAGTGTATCAGAAAAAGAAGCTTATTCACAGGTAAGTTCATGTATGTGAGTCACTGAGTGGCACTGAGTATTGACCAGCTATCCAGGGCTATTACACTGTATGTGAGAAACCAGTCCAATGCAAAAGTGAGTGAAGAGCTGATACAAAAGGTATGCATTTGATAGCTCTTCGTGCTCAACGACCATATACTAATGCTTGCTGCAGCGAGATAGGCTTAGAGAAGAGCAAAGAGAGCTCTTGGCAGAACGGCAGTTGATCTTGAAGGAAGAGCGAAAATCAAGCACAGAATGCACTTTGAATGAACCTCAGTATATGGATGAACGCATTGATCTTATCACACTACAAGTCGACACATTGAACCAACAGATTTCACATATCTTGGAGCAAAAGCAATCTGATGACGATGAACTAGACGAAAAGAACTGGATGGACATCATAGACAAAGACCTTCAGATTGATTTCTTTGACCCTGCGACAGACTCACAGGTAGCATACGAAATTGCGCTCTCACTGATTCGATCCATGCAGCCTGAAGAAGCTCGACTTATATCAGAATCTTTACTAGAGGATATCATATTATTGAAAACAGATCAATCAACCAGTTCAACACTTGTGCGTCATTTGAACAGCATGCTGTATTCATTGCAAACAGGGCTTGTGCAGATGAGAAGAGCAGTGATGCCATCCGAGCCAACATGGCGACAGTTGTCATGTAGTGTTGCCACGACAACAGCAGCTGTAGCAGCACCTGATACCATCAAAGCCGCAGATTTGCTGACACCACTGGACTCTGTGTTCATCAAGGTATTATCCAGACCTGTAGATATTAGATCTGGACTGGTGTTACCCAAATAACTATATACCAAATGCTTGATTTCCTGTGTAATAAAGCATACACAAGCTACTTTTTGAAAGGCAAATTTTTATTGCTACTTAATTTACAAGGATTTAACTAGACCAATATCTTTCTCAATCAATTGAGCTGCAATGGGATGGTAGAAGGACTTGTGTTGTAAGTAGGTATCCACAGCCAACTGAGCACCATTCTTTGCTTGATGAAGAAGGCGGTAGAGAGGACGAACAAATTTCATACGACCTTGTTCAGTGACAAACTTGACAACTTCAGGGTAAATAGGCTCGTAGCTGGTCATCAAGCATAGCTGTTGCCAGCGAAGACGCAAATCAGCATTGTGATTAGGAGTAAAGTTGTAGACTTCATCCATCTTTTGAATCAAACGATGAGGCAAAGGTTCAGCGTCAGTCAACTTTTCCAAAAAGACAATCTTTTGACCAGCAGAGAAGTTTTCAATATCCTTGGCAGAGAAAGATGACAGATCATCGGATTCGCGAGCAGCGTCCCAACGCTTGGCAAGATCAAAGCAAGCATCAGCAAGCGTGGTATCAAACTCGGGGTCAACAGGAGGCATACCAGGCTTATTGATCCAGGTATCAAAGTCAATGGTGTTTAACTTTTCTACCATAGATGAACCGTGGGTCTTTTCCATGTATTCAAACAAAAAGTCCTTCCAGTCTTGAGTCGAGATGGAGGTGGAGGCGAAATGCTCAACATAGGCCTTCATGTAAGGTTCAAAGATGGCGGGTCCACCAACAACCTTTTCAATGTGGTATAAAAAGTTGAAGCCCTTTTCATAGGGCACCTTGGAGAAGAAATCGTCGGGATCAGCACCATCACGCAGATCAGGGTTCAGCACAGTTTTTAACGAGTCCTCGCCAAAGAGATCGACGCTTTCTTGCAATGCCTTGAGACCGCTTAATGCTTCAAATTGTCGAGTAGCTTCGCCGTTCAGACGACCCAGAATTTTACGCTCAATGAAGACAGTCCAGCCTTCGTTCAACCAATAGTGCTTCCAAGCATTTGTAGTGACCAAGTTACCCATCCAACTATGCGAAATCTCATGTGCAATGACATTGACAGCACTCTTGTCACCAGCCAACAACGTAGGCGTAACAAAAGTAAGACAGGGATTTTCCATACCACCATAAGGGAATGAGGGAGGAAGCACCAATAAATCGTAACGTCCCCATTCATAGGGCGTCAAGAGAGCTTCACCCGTAGCCACAAATGACTCGGTATCCGCGAATTCCCAAGCAGCCTGCTCAATCATTTCAGGCTCACACCACACAGTGCTACGAGGGCCAATCTCTTTTCCAACCAAATTTCCAACAGCAATGGCAATCAAATACGAAGGAATGGTGGTTTTTTGACTGAAATGGTACGTTTTGAATCCATTCTCCTTGTCCATATCCTCATCAATGCCTGTTTGTAGTGCTGACATGACAACGGGAAGGTGAGATCTCACGGAGGCTGAATAGGTTACTTTGACGGAAGGAGAATCTTGACAGGGGATCATGGCGCGACCGTGGATCTGTTGGCATAAGTTAGTTCAGACAAGCGATACTGTCAATTATATCATGCTTACAGGCTCACTTTGAGAGAACAAATAAGGGTGCTTGCCACCGAGAGTTTGTCTAATGATTAGAGTATGTTAATCATGGCATGATGAAGCTTCTGCTTTGTATGACATACTCGGGCTTTAAGAATTGCACAGCTGTACATTGTTCAGTGGTTTCGTAGTCAATCTTCAATTGAAAGTGAGTACCAGCCTTCTCCACCACTGGCAAATCGATGGTCAAAGCAGAGCCCAAACTAGCATATCTTTTGGCTACATTGAACTATATAACAATTAGTGCTGGATCTTGATCAACGCAGATGCACACAAAACTCACCTTGAGGCTCTCTTTACCAAAGGCAACAGACTTGATTTCCAAATAACTGGTGTCCAAGACAACCTTGTCTACATGATCGACCAAGGTCACCAAGTCTAAAACGACATTACCATGCAAGTTTTGGTTCTCGAAATCAACAATCCAGTTCAGATGAAGATGTGTCGTCTTTACTTGATCAATGTTGGCTTGCGTGCTGAGATCGATGGTAGCAGGAGGAACACACATTTGATAAAAGTATAGCAAAGTGGAAAGGAAGAATAGTAAAACAAACCAAGAAACACGAAACATAACAAAGCTTTTTTTTTTTTCGCCTTTCTGGGAATTTTTAAATGAATGTGGGATCTTATATTTGCAGTGCGGCAACTGGTAAACGTTGACCCTTTTTGTGATACCAGCGTCCAAAGCTGCTGATATGGATGAATGAACTTTGAAAGATGCCATTGACAAACATTTACAGTAGTGAATGATATAAATAGCCGGTTTTACTATACAACAATACAGGGTTATACTAGGCAGGTTGATATAAGTTATTTCTATAATGAAGATGAAGGGGATGTACTTTTATACGTCACTGATGCTGATGCCGAGCTATCATTACTGGAGGAAGGCCCTCCACTCTTTGTCTGAAGGATATCACGCTCAACCTGCTTGATTTTTTCTTTTGTCTTCTTTTTCCAATTTGGATGCTGATTTTTATCAATCACAGCTTCAGGAGCGTCGTTCTGAGAATCCTCTACCACTATATGGCTGCCTTCTTCCCAGACTTCAATGCGAGGATGAATGCTTTTACCATGGTCTTGTTCGTACATGTGAGTATCCGTGATGTGCGTGAGATCTTCCTGCGTTGTGTTGCTATGGTTATGGTCTTTGAGTCGTCTGAACAGATTCTTGATGCCGCTGTTGCTGTGGGTGTTGGCGGGTGCTTCCTCTTCTCCTGCAGAATCGTCGCCGTCCTTGGTATTTTGACGCAGCAGCCAGCTTCTCAGACTAGACACACTGGCTTCGTTACGATCCGCATTGGATAACTGAGAATGCTGTGTCGTGGTGGCTCCAATGCGAGGTTTTACTGGCTCCAAGAATCGAATGGCTTGACTTGTATCAAACGAGATGGTGCTGCCACGTCGAGGGTCCTCGTCAAATGTTGAATCTGGCAGTAGGAGCTTTGGCTGACTTGCGTTATTGACCGTCTCTGAAGAATCATCGGGCAAGAAATCTTCTTCTGCCAAATCCGAATCAGAATCATGCCGAGGATCATGCATGTCTATGGTAATGCCATTACTCTCCTTGATATTATTGCGGTCATGCTGCAATGTGTTGTAGAGCGTGTTTCTCTCCAGCTCGGTCAACTCTTCTTCTTTGTGGTGATGGCCATGATGATGGTGGTGATGCTCTGCATCCTTTTTATGAACTTGCTGTCCAAATTGTAGTTTCGGTAGCCTCAACACTTGGTTGCTGCCGATACTCGATATAGACAAGGTTCTTGTTCGAATACGCTTTCCGAGCTTAAACAAGGGAATGGTGGTTCCATGCACAATTACCGAGCAAAACACAATAAAGAGCACGACGGGACTGATGATTCGAATGGAAACAGGGGATTCTTTACCTTCATATGCAACTTCGAGCTCCTCTTTAGCAATGATAGACAGAAATACAGCACCGACACCCATGGGACCAAACCAACCACTGAAAATGGCTTCACGGTACGTCTTCATAGCAGGCATCACTGGCTTCAGTAAGAGGACAATAGGCAATCTTCGGAAAAATAAGACCAGGATGGCAATGACAACCAAACGCCATGGAGTCAATCCCAATTCAGCATTACCAAAATCAGACCAGGGCTTTTTGTTGTTAGCATGTGTTAGTAAACATTAATGCAGTATGTATGTACTTTAACAAACTTACAATAATGGCGCCGATATACACAAAGATGGCCAGATTCAGCATCATATCAATCACTTCCTGAAAGTGAGCCTCTTCTGTCTCGTGTCTGAACCAATCGTCCCACGAAAATGCGTTTCCAGCAGCAAAACAAGCCAGCAGGTCATCGCTACCAGAGAATCCAGTCATGCTCATCAGAAAGAGCTGTTTTGGGTCAAATATGGAGGGAGTAGTTGGTATCAATATAATATAAAGGCAATCAAGGGGACAATTACTTACTGCTAGTGCGATTGCAAATGCAAGAAACGAAGGTTTATCGATGAGATGGCTATGAATGCGAGACATGTTACTTGATCCATGTTGAAAGATGCGTGTTGGCACACACACACACACACACACACACACACACACACACACACACACACACTTACTTTCTCTCTGACCATTGCAGCACTTTTCGAGCCACATAACCAACCACAACACCAATCACGCAGGAGAGTGCAATCTGAAATAAACAGGTAATGTAAATCCATTTACCTATAGCAGTGCCCACATTGTCTTCTGCGATCAAGAAAATGGCCAGAAATAAAAATGGAAAGCCCATGCCATCATTGGCACCACTGTATTTAGGAGTAAATCTTGAGTGTACGTGTATATGTGTGTATAGTCATGATAATCACCTCTCTGCTGACAGTGCATTTCTGATATGTGCTGGAACATGCTTTTCTGCAAATCTTCCCTTTACGACTGAATTCGCCAAAATCTACAATGTATGAGCGAGTTAGAGGAGAAGCATGCTGCCTTTTACATAGTGTCGTCAAGACTTACAGGATCAGTTGGACAAATGCAAGCAGATATCACAAGAGCCTCCAACTAATAATAACAGATTGTATTAGAATACAATGTTTATAATGAATTCCACATCGTCTTCACTTACATAATTGATAGGAGGAACCAACCCCCATATGAATAATCCACTGATGAGCCACATAAACATCATGGTAGGTATCAGCAGCATCGTCATGGTCAGCCATTCTTTCTTCAAGTAATGCCTATATGTAGAGTATGGTGAGTATTATCTCTGGCAAGACAGGGAGATGTCCTTACTTTGGCAATTCAATTCCAACAGCCATTACCTACATGTTGGATTAAAATGAGCTCAACTGTATAGGAGATATTATATCATTGCAAGTACCTGAATAGCAATGATACATCTGGTCAATTGCTTTGTGATTTCATCATGATCTGCCCAACTGTACGGGTTGAATCCATTTGTAACTAATGGGCCTGCTATAATTCCGACGATAACCGCCACCACTTAAAATGAAAGCCTGTTAGACGAGACAGACACTCAATTTGCACATGATGAGCAGCTTACATGCTTCGGAGAGAAAGAGCTTCTCTTTCAGGAACATGGAGATATAACCAAAGAATAGAATAAATCCACTCAAGATGGCAATGGCAATTGTAAATGTCGATATCTCGCCCGGAATAACATTGATTGTCATGGTGGTAAATGCAAAATGTCTATGCTGATGCTCTCTTTTATAGATGCCAACTGTGTAACAATGTTGATTTGGAAAAAAAAAAAAAAAAAAAAAAAAAAAAAAGGGCAGCACAAGGAAGAAGTGTGCAAAAGATGGAAAGAAGAAAGAGAAACAAAAAAAGAAAAAAGACCCTTGGCAAGTTTGAAATGCAAATGAAATATATTGTCAATTGAGAAAAGCCATGCCAAGCGATGTAGAGACATAAGAAAAGGGCAGTGCGGTATTTCAATGGCAAGAATGAAACTACTCTGCGAATGTATCAAGATGATCCTTTTTGAAAGGGATCTCCTTTTTGTACATGAAGCCCCCCCTCAGAAAACACTGATAGCAATAGTAGGGAGTTGCACTAATATATGTATATGTATATAAAGATAAAACATACCATCACAAAAAGTCGTTTTCTCATCTTTTTTTCTTTTTACATTAAATATGAAATCCTTGCATTGTGTTTACAGCAGCAATCGATTTGCAGATCAATACACACTAGACCTGGAAGGATTTGTAAGTAGCAAATGGTTGAGAGACCATAGTTGGCCATTCTAAACAACCTCATAGATGAGCCCTCATGAGTTTACTGCTACTATCAATACCTTCAATACAGCAGCCTGGCACTACCCTCCTCCATCACGGTTTACAGGATCCATCAACCACTATTTCATCTGTTTGGCAACTCTGATCCTGACTGCTGTGATTGCTGCTATACATCATACACGCCAGATTGGATTCATACTGATATTGCCATTTACGTTTCTGTTTACAAGCATGGTCGTCATTTATTATCGAAAGAAGCAAAAGCTTAGGGTACTTACTATCCAATTCTGCATGAATGTCTAGTAGCTAACATGTCTTTGTTGGGGATGCACTCTAGTTTGAATCTGCCATGATTCATCTCTGTAGTTGCATGAATGCAACTGAAAATGTCCGTGGCATTAATTTTAGATTGACTTTTTTGACTCCTGAGCAACAAATAGCTACACACCCATCCTCCTCCTATGTAAGTAAAAGGACCTGGATTGTATTTGAGAATGCTAATTATGCGATCATAGGCCATCACCATTGAATTTGATGACCGCTTTAACTTATTGCATCATTTCTCGTTAAATATACCACCATCCTATAGTACTAGTATCACAATTTCACCTCCACTGTATGATGTGGATGTAGCTAAACCAACCAATGCATATTATCCTTTGAAAGAGTAATAAATTTATTGTAGTATCACGTTTGTCGTTTTCAAATCTTGATCTTGTCATTAGGGATCACGGCAAACTAGCATACCTGCTCGAAAATTAGTCTTGAGGATCAACAAGATGGTTGCGGCTCGCCTATTCTGCAGTGCAGATCTACGAGAACTCATCTGTATCAAATCAAATTGGCTTAAGGATGCTTAGTATCTGCTTGTAGCAAGTCAGCTTGGCCAAGGACGAGATAATAACCTCGTGAGCTTCTCACTTTGACAGTAATGATAATGCAGCTACATTACTGTGCAAAGCGCTTGCTTTTGTTGTTCAATTGATAATATTCCTTCGCGGTATCTTCAGTGATGTCTTTTCTCCTGATAGCAACACTAATACCACAAAAAATCAATGCATTGCAGTCAACATATTCATATATCATCATATCATAATAAATTTATAGTCCATAGACACTTTTACAGCCCTAATATAGAAACTGAATTGCCAGGCATTTGTTAGGCATGGTTCATATATGATTAGAGATTTTATATCAAATTGTTATCAATCAACAATCAAGTTTCTTCTATTATTAAGTTTGCAATATAAGCCAAAGCCCAGCGGCAGCGCGAGCCACCTGAACGTAACGTAATAAATATATAATCCCTAGACACTTTCAAAGCCTCAACAAGAAAAGAATTTGATCTGACAAGTATTTTGATAGACTGGCGTTATTCAATAGAATCCAAAAAAATAGCATGGCTAACGGTAGTGCTATGTAGTTTGCCACCTACTTTCCACATGCTTCAAAAGTATCTATTACTGTATTGCCTTCATAATGAAAAAGGGCATTTGAGTTTGCCAGCCAGCCCCATCAGTCAAAATTAGTTCAAACCCAGACTCACAATCTGCTCTAGATTGGCCAAATCTTGACGGTTTACGACTCGATTCAACTATTTTGCCAAATTCGACTATGTAAAATATGATGATCATCCTATGCGTCTTTAAGCTTTCTTGGAGCGCTTTTCAAGGCGCATTTAATGGTACCAAGTAAGGTAGATGTCTTGAATAAACTTATTGAGAAATTTATGACAATATGAAAAGAGGTTTCTGGTCAAAATATTGAAATTTTACATATCAAAGTCCCACAAAGATGATTTCAGAGGTTGCTTTGGATCGATAGAAACGTTTTGATTCAAGATATACCATAGTAAAAGTCTTCATTATCAAGGTCAAAAATGCGATCGTTTGATTTTTGATGAAAACCATGAGGGGTACCTCATGCTTTTTGGCCATGTTTTTTTGGTCCTTAAAAAGTTGAGCAAAGGTGTCAGGAAGTAAGTGCTAGATGAGAGCAATTGTTTGGTGCTATTCTGACCATCTAAAGCGGCCTTGAGTGCAAGAAAACGCAGCCCAAATGCACTCAGGTTTTGCTGTATCAGGAGCATCAAGGACTAAACAGGGGAAATACCAGTATGCTGCTTGCTCGTATATGAAATAGCTACGTGTGTATGGATGTAGAGCATCACATAAGAATCAGATTTACAGAGAATATGAAGGATTTTCATGTGCAAGTGGAAAGTAGCAGTATTTTGATAAGATACGCAAGGGTAATCGGTAGCGCAAGCTGCCGCTGTGCAGTTTGGTTCTCACCGAAGCGAAGCGAAAGTAGAAAGCTATCCGAAGCATAAACACTCGTTATGAATAAAAGAATTGCCTTGCACCATGTTGGTTGAAACCATCATTATACTCTCTTGCTCTCCTCTACTTTTTTTATTTTTATTTTTGCTATGCAAGCCAACTTGCCATGAACCTTTGAGTTATTAACAAAATACTCTTGTTGGTGGCATGCTGACATCTCGGCATTATCATACGCTTGGAGAATCATATCAGTCTAGTAGAGCAAATGTGCATCAATTCAATGATCTCTGTAGCAATTTCTTGGTATACAAGACTACAGCAGCTACAACCTTCAAAAAAAAACATATTCTATGGCTGTTGCTCTTTGCATTGAGACATCATTTCATTAGAGCTTATAGCAGCTAATTGCTTGCGGCAATCCTGTCAATGGTTTTTTTTTTCGAGTGAAGCTCTACATCTGTCATGCATAAAACTCGTCTTGTCAGCATGTCAATTAAGCATCGATAACTGGGTAATTAGAAGCAGCAATTTCAAGAAGAAGATACTGGATCAAACTTGTAATGATGGGGAAACAAAGAAGAATCCAAACCACGTTCAAATCATAAGAGCCCAACCAATAACCAATCATTCTGCAGATATGCTTGGCTCTCATATAGCCGACAGGATTTACCACCAGCCATTTATTCCTTTTCTCTTCCTCTTTCCCTTTTTTTTCTCTTTTTTCATCTCTCCTTAATAATACCTATTTTATTACCATGAGAGAGCCTAACCTTTGTTTCCCTTCTCAAAGTAGAGCAGCCGTATGTATTACATCTGCCCTTTACGATAGAAGAGCTTTGGATTGTACTGCGACTTTGCCTCTTGTTAATTCGCTAACTCATTTAGCCTATTTAACTTCAACCTCACCACGTATAAGAGAGATTTTGTGTTTGGATGGTGGATTGGAGAAGCTGGTTCGCATTCTCTCTCAAACGTCAAGCAGATCAGATAGGCTTACTCTATGGAAATGGACGCTTGCATTTCAATCTATCGTCAATGTGGGTGTAAGGGGCACTGAGCAAATAAGAACAAAGGTAGTCGATACTGGTGTAATCCCGTTCGTATTGACTATACTCGGCAACTTTACAAAGTCCTATGAGATCATCAATGGAAAGAAAGAGATGAAACGAGGTAAACTCAACAATGCACAGCAAGCCGCTTTCTGCTTATTAATAGTTGGAAACCCACAGATCCCATTTCTTCGCCATCTACATCTACTGGTATCTTGTCCAAAGGCTTATTAGGTTGGTATCCCGACTATGCATTTCCTTTATTTCTTATTTTCTGTATCACTAACTACCTACAACAATTTCCCATGTAACGATAGACACGACTCCATTATCTTCTACTTCTACATCCTCATCATCAACTGCATCTCAACAACAATCGTCACCCGCTTCCAATGCATCCATTGCGAAACTGCCCTCAGTAACACCAGCCAAATCAGCTTTGCGTCGATCCACATTTCCCTACGTTAAAGTCGACCCCGCCCAGAGACGTTATAGACGCATTCACAAGGAAAGACAAGATCCCAAGTTCCCAGAATTGGAAAACGTATTCCACCGAGAAGAAGATGTCTTGTTATGTCTGCAACTGTTGGCTTATCTCTCAAAATACCCTCATATTCGTGACTTATTCAACACTGCTTACAACAAAAATGTGTTCAGCGTAGTAGAGAAATTCTGCCATCGCATTCATCCTGGACCTATACAATATTGGGCTGGAGTCATTATGCGAAATGCATGCCGTAAAGATGAAACACGCGGCGGTATTAGACGTTGTGCCAATATGTCTTGTGGCAAATGGGAATCTCAACCTCGTGAGTTTGCCAAATGTAGAAGATGTAGAAAGGCAAAATATTGTTCAAAGGCTTGCCAATCCAAGGCTTGGGCTGACGGACATCGTTGGTGGTGTGTAGAGAGACATTCATCCATCGTCCGAGATTCCAATGCTACTGCTGCTATCCCAACTGTAACTGCTGCTACACCTGCTACTAATGCTACAACAATCACAGCTGCTACTACTACGACTACCACCGCCACATCTCATACTCGATCCAACACTTCTCCATCCATGACCACCAACATGACATCAGCAACAAGTTCTGTAGCAGCTTCCTCAAGTTCCATTACTGCTTCAACTGCTAATACAGCTCAGACTGCTGATGGATTGAATGCATCTGTAACAGCAGCATCCACAGCTACCGCTTCTCCTGCCGCTACATCGACTTTTACTACTACTAGAGTTTTCCATCATCCAGGTGGTCAAAATCACCATACCTTTGATGTTGTAATTGGGTTAGCCCGTAACAATACAAGACATCAACGTCAACCATCTCAACAGGGCCAAATTTTGCCACAAGCAGCACAGCGACAAGAACAACAGCAAGAGCCAAGTACTGAAAACGTCTTGCCTTCTCATTCATCTTTTAGACATCGCAACAGCAGTAGTGGTATTTCTAATATGACACTTATTGAGCAAGGCACAGACAATGCCGAAGGGTCAGAAACCACCACTATGCTAATGGATATGGGCGTGCATATGGAACTATGATTTATGTAATTTTATTGATATTTTATACTTTTTTTTTTTTTTCTCTTCTTTCTTTTGCTGCAACTATGCCATGTTATATATACGTATACATAACGCTCTTTCTTATCTTTTTTTTTTGCCCTTTTTTTAATTAACCCCTTGATTCTCTATACAACAACATCTCCTTATCAAGTATACCTCTCCTTTTAAACAGCCCCACTTGCTAATTTCTGCCTCCTTTTTTTTCTCCCTGAAACTCTTGAAAATATACACAAATGGACATTTTATTCTATTTTTCCTTCATTCAAATAAACAATCAAAGTAAAAATACGTTTAATTATATCTGGTGATTTGTGCAAATGTTGAGTGCCTACTCGAGTGCTACATTTGTACAGTTATATTTAGAAGCAAAAAGACTGGTCTCTTTCCAGCACATGATGTTGTGATATACTAATCCCGATTGATATGATCCTGATACCACAATGCTTAATTAGGCATGTTTTCTCTTGTTGATTTCGGATAAATCTCGAGATGATCCATACAGTTGCAGTTGCAATTTCGTACTCCAGTTATCAACCGCTACTCTTTCGCAAGTGCAAATGTTTTGATTCATGTATAAGCAGGGCAAAACCAGAATATGAAGACGGCGGTAGTTTATGTCACCAAAGCGTCTAATTGACTTGAAAAGCAAGTAGAATCAAGTATTCGTCAATGCGATGAGGAATACGAAAGGAAAACTGCTTATTCTTTTACTTGATTCCGAAACTGTCGCCATACATTAGTTTGTAACCATAATTTAATTACTTGACTACATGTTGAATCAAGCTAAACATCGCATGAGTACAACACAAAACCTTTCATTGACAGTGCTTATCAGGTGTACACATTTGGTTGTGCACCTGACATCATAAAATGCTATTGTTGAAAGTCAATTGGCAATTATAAGTAAAACACAATGGATTAGCTTGTAAAGCATGTTTGGCTCTTACATGAATAAAGAGCTCATGACTGTCCAAATTTCAAAGGTAAACAAATAAACAAAAAAGGCAGAAAGTAGAATTTGAAAAAGTATGAAGCTGGAAATTCATCAAATTTCCAAAAGCAAAACCTCTGCTCTAATAAATCTTGTAAAGTTTGCATTGGATGCACTAGACTACAGTACCAGAGAGTTGTTTCAATGCGATAAAAAGTGCTTCCGAGTAAAAAAAAAAAAAATAACTTATCCTACTAAAATACAAATTTGCTAGATTGATAATGCGTGTCTGGCACTCGAAATCTAGAATGTGTCAACCGAAAATGATCCAAATGGACTACAAACACTAATTCTTGAAGATTTGCAAAAAACGATGAGACGTAAGAGAATCGAACTCTTGACCTTCAGATTTGGAATCTGACGCTCTACCAATTGAGCCAACATCCCTCTCTGCTGCTCTGTAACGGTAATAAAAACATTTTGTGGTGGTGCTGATTTCAAGAAGCAGTATCTGAACTCTGAGCCTATCAGAGTGCTGTTCCTGAGCTCGTATTCAAATCGTTTATTCTTACATTTTTTATTTTGACAAATATACTTGAATCTATACAACACATTTGAAATAAATCGAACTTTCTTACGTTTAAATCTTTTGGGCACATAGCTTTATATATACATTTAATCGCTGAGATACTGTCTACATCAAGGTTATTGCAACACATCAGCAACTTAAACAGCTTTAATTACTTGGTTTTGTCTTGGGATCAACTATTACTGCAAGATCTTCCATCCATTTCGCTACACATTTCATAAAACCAGCACCGCAGAGTATCAGCTCTGTTCTCGTCTATACAAGGCTTTCGTTAGACCCAAGATTGATGAGTATGGCCTCGCTATATCTCATCTTGACTATCGTACCTTTGAGGTTCTTGACAAGTTCCAAAACCGGCTGGTTGGTATGTTCGTGGGTGGTTCCTGGTTCAACGTTGCTAAGCACATTACCTGTCGTCTCCCTTCAATGAAACATCGGTATAATGTCTTGGCAACTAGGTATGCTCTTCGTTTTGCTAGTCTACTACCTGAGGATAATCTTGCGGTGGTTCTGCGTGGTGCTCTGTCGTACACTCGACTGGATCGGTACATCTGTGAAAACAGTTTGTATAGATCTCTGCCTGACCCTGTCCCTTCATTTGCTGGTCTCAAGGCTCACTTCTCTGACTTCTGGCAAGATCAGGTGGATCAACAACTGGCTGCTGCTGCTACTACTGGTAAACATGTTCTGCTTCGTGCGTGCCGTCCTTCTTCTGTCTCTCGCCCTGATCCCATACTGTACTTACCTATTGGTTGATCTGCTCGTAGTCGTTTGGTTCGTTGGCGTCTTGGTCGTTTTGCAAACATGCGTGAGGAATGTCCCTGCATGGATGGATCTTTCATCTCTGGAGATCACTTCCCTCAATGTCGTGCTTTGGATCGTGATCTGTGGGATGCTCTGCCTGCTGCTCCTTCTGGTGTACATGTCATTGACAATGCCCTGAACGTGCTGCCTATAAGTGGTTCTGCTGGTCCTCCAGTATACTGGTCTGCGTTACTATCTTTGCTTCATGCAATCGACTGTGTGGTCCACCCTTTGGCTACTATCGCCCCTGATCCTGACCCAGGATCATTGTGGTTCTATCCTCCCTCTCATGGCTAACTGAGATGAACGTTTGGCCGATTGTTTTCTTTGTGCGGTGCCTCGGTGGTAAGTCAAATCAAAGTTCCCATCCGTTGGTTCATCCCTCAAGATCAATCGTGCCACTACAAGTAGTCTTCTGCTCTTTTACTGCCATCTCAAACTTTTTTTCCTCATCTTTTCCGTTGTCTCTATTGAGGTTTTCTTTCTTTAGTCTATATAGTTACTAGTTTTATGGCATATGCTCATACCGAGTGCCCAATTATAAAACATTGTATATAAATAAAAACAATCTTTAAACTGAGCTAACATCCCATGGATGCTTGAATGGCTCACTTGGTTAGACCTTCATGCGGAAGCAGTGAGTATGCCGAGAGGTCGTGGGTTCGAATCCCACCTTCGCATCCATATTTTCCGCCTTTCTAACCTGGCATGTTACTCGGTATTTGTTCTTGCACGTTTAGGTGTGTGGAATACATCCAGTTACCAGATTTAGATATAAACTGTATGTACACTGGATTAGATGTACGATATCGATTTATACTATAAGAAGATATGGACTTCAGATACGCTAGTACTATAAGATTCATACTATATAAGATATAGGCTATAGATGGCACCACGGACATGGATGGCGCTATAGACTTATGCTTGTATTCCGACATTGACTACAGATGTTTACCATATCTGGATAGGCACCAAGATTAATGCAATATGAGCTTGTTGCTTCAGATGTGCACTTTATGATCCACGCTATAAGACACATGCTTATATCCGTGATACTAGCTACAGATACTTTATGTACTACAGACTTGTACTATATTTGAGACATGCTATAGACATGCATACGATATGCTATAGACATGCTTGTTGAGGATATAGATCATCTCTGAGAGGCAAATGTATTAAGCGTCGTTTATTACATAAGAGGATCTGAGAATGAGCTGAGATGCATAGTAGAAGTGAGAGGTCTTTATTCAAGCAGCACGAAGGAACATGAGTGGTGCCATCAAATGGCTAATCTATATCCTGGTTCCTAGAGAGTGGTAGCCTATGGTCTTTCGTCCCTGGAAGTGGGTTTCAATTCCGACAAATGTTCTTCCGTCAAAGCTATTAGGAAGAACATTCTATCCTGGATCATCTTTGTTGTTTATCCTTGACTGGTGGTTCATGAGTTCTGATGCAGCACATCCTCGTTACTGGTTCAAGGCTTATACAATTATCCCGCATTCAAGATCAAGGTCCTATTGCTGCGGCACTGTCAAATAACTATAAATACCTTTGATATCTACACTAGTTTTGATCCCTATTCAATCTTGGAATAACATAATAAATATATTCAGTTCTAATTGTATTTACTCTGTCTATATTTTGTTATTCTAAACAATGCTAAAGATGTATGCTTAGCGATATACACTCAGATATGTACTATTAATATAGACTAAGAAGACTGTACCTATCGGATACATGCTACTAGATCGATATTAATTATCCTTATGGAAAGGATAGATCAGGGTACTTCGGATGAGAGTCTAATTATTCATCCAGATAGAGCTAAATCATGATTAGCTTGCTGGAGTTGTCTTTTAGCATGATTAGACATTAGTTGATCTGAGTTGACTTATTTGTCAATCTAATTAATAGAACTTTTATCCATTGTTATAGTATATAAGAAGGATCACCTACCTGGCCAGTAGGGAGACTTCAGTTTACTTTACACCTGTCAGTTTGATAATAAAACATACCTTTATCAAGTTGACATTACTGTTTTTTTATTCTTTTTTTTCCGTGAATTTTAGTCTTTAAAGCCTCAAATTCCACAACCTTTATCAAGTTGACTTTACTCTTCTTCTTATTCTTTTTTTCCGTGAATTTTAGTCTATAAAGCCTCAAATTCCTCATAAATAGCATTTAAACTTCAACTCAATAACATCATCTTTTTTATATATTGAAATTTTTGAGGTTTTTAGTTACTACTGCCTATCTAGTACAAACAAACCTAAAGAAGTTTTTAATTGCAAAGATGTGTAGTGTACACAGGCGGAAGGTCAACGGAGCTTCAATTTATATTGTTCTGAATGATAATCCATAGGATTCCGAAACCTATCGATCTTGAAATTACGCGTTTCTTGACAGTAACCATCCCTTCTAACTTATGTGAAACTTGTAGAGAATTCAAAGGAGGATACAATGGTATTTATATCAAGTCTCTGGTGTACATTGTTCATCTGATATTTGGTACGATTGTTTTTGCGATTTTTTTTGACTTTTTTCTAAAGATTAATAAGTATCTGTCATCAAAACATTTTGTTAAGCATTACTAGACATTGTAGACCAAAAAAATTCCTATCGAATGAGCTATTGCCTGAAGCTCTGGCATAGCTTCATCATGAAATATTGATAATATTGTCTTAACAAAAAAAAAGGTCACCCAATTTTTCGCTTGCTACCACAGGCAGATTTTGAAGAAAAACCCATGATTTTGCATGATACTCTTTTTAGACCATATCTCGACAAATACTCACTGAATTCGCACAAAACAAAGACCATTCAATAGCTCTACGTTATATCCATTATAATATAAAAGTCTAAAGTACCAGATGTACGTTCCCCTCATAAATTTGCTGAAAATCATATACTTTATGAGCTACAAGCAGAAGATTTTCAAAACTTTTATCCTTTCTCTATAAAAGCTATACCATCGTATAGAAAATTGAAAAAGAAAGAGAAGCTACTAAGATTGAAGCTCTCGTTCACTTCGTAAAATTCAGCGGTACAGCCCTTTGAAAATTGATCATTTAGACTATTTTTCATCATTACTCATCCATATCACCCGCAATAACCCCACATCAAACATGTCCTGGTCAAAAAATGTTCCCTCTACAGCTTTCACTACACATACATTACACATTCATATAGTAATTTAAAAAGTTTTACTAGCAGCATCTATTCAATATTCACTATTTTCTAAAATTTCGGTTTTCTCAACAACCATGCTACCTACGCAAATTTGGTTTGTACCATCGTCTTCTTGACAAAATCGGAGTTTATTTGAGACCCAAAACGGCAATTTCGGAGTTCGAAAATGATCTGCGGCATTAAAATTGATTGCCAAACCTGTGAGATGAAGAACAACCTTTGTCCAGAACGATGATTTCCATATTTCATAGTTTCCTCAATACTGTAACATTGTATAAAGTGAAGAATGTTATTTTTGGCATTATTTCTTAGCATAGATAATGAAAACAGTTCAAGATGACGAATACATTGGAATATTTACTCGAAAAACTGGACGCCATACTTTTTGATTTAGTGGTTTTAACTGCATGTTAATGCCAATCATGGGTTCATTATCTCTTAAGCTATATTTTCTCATCTAAATCCTTGACTTCATATCACTTTCTGCACTCATAATAGTATATATGGTCTCTTACCATAACATCCAATCCAATAAACAATAAATTTTTCATCTGATTTGTTTTGAACGCTTTCTACTAGAATACGTGAATTATTATAATAACTCGGCTGCTAGTTTACTTTGGTACATGCAATGCTCCACTGTAGCTTCTACTGGATTGGGGTTTCAGTGCCAGTAGGGAGAAAATGGCTACGGATAAGATAATGTTCACACTTTCGCAAGAAATATATTACCAAGCGACCCAGTTGATCGCTCGCATCAAATTAAGCAAGATCCCTTTAAAAGGAACCTTAAAAAATAGCGAGATTTACCGTGTTCTATCGTTTCCTGTAAATAGCATGAACAAATCAATCCAGATTAGCATATTACTTGTATTGATTCTTAAACTTTTAGATAAGGCCGCTATGTTGCAATCTTCTCTATAGTTCATAATAAACAAAACCGAACTGATCAGTCTTCAACGAGAAACAGTGTCAGAGAGGTTTTCTTTGTTGCAAATGTAACAAAAATACATCGTAAAAGGTTGTTTAATCTGGATAATGCACACTTTTTGATGGTTTAACTTTTTTGAAAGACACGCACACACATTGCTGTGCAGCATAATTTTTTCAAATTGGCTCTGAGAATTTTAGGGAGCATCGAATTGTCTAAGTACGTTATTGTTGTGCATCCACGGAAACATGATGAATCAGAGGCATTGCTTAATAATAAGCGTGAGCTACTAAGGAGGATGATTCTTCAGCATAAGAACTATCCTTGTTTTCATGTAAATCAGATCATCATCAGTGCTAGATAGCTCTAAAAGAAATTGGCAAGAGAAGTATTGATGTCTATTTTCAAAATATTCTGCCCAGTAAAGGTATTGGATAAATCAATTTTAATCAAACAATTGACATCAGGATTACCTTTTGCGCTCTAGACCATGCTGTTTGCGAACACGCATAGAAGCAATGTCAAGAGAGGCATATGTTGCCCACTTGATAGTATATACTTGCTCCTCACATCATGTAATTTGTCTGAAACAGTAGTAGACTATCGTTGTCGTCAAGCAAATGCCACGGTATATCTAAGTCGAGGAGCATCCTTAATAATAATTTGCTCTGCAGACAGTAGCTCTACAAACCGTGTAGTCTGTAGGCCGTGTGCATACTCCTGCTATTACCAGAGTTGCTTCGTGGTTGATTTGTGGCCAAAGATTAATCAGAGCACAGCAGACCAATCGATGTCAATGATGAACAAGAAAGGCTTCATTCAATTATAGTTCCGCTTGCTCACACCAAAGCGACATGAATACAAAACTGGCACTGCATTATTCTCTTTAGAAATATATTTTTCAATTTTTCAATTTTTTTCACACCAAACCTGACTATGGAGTCTTCACATCCCATATCAGAAGACATAGGATTGCAGCAAGAATTAGAAACAAGACCAGCCCAGATAAATACCAGAACAACTATTGAACAGCAGGAGGAACAAGCAGAACCTCAGGCTATTGCGCACGATGTTGAAACTGGAGAAGCCATTCTTATTGAACGTTCAAGAAGCAACTTCTCATATAATGGAAACGAGCTTCGACAAAGAAATGTTATAAACAAAGAAACTATCAAGGCAGCACCGACAAGAACCACAGCAACTACAATCACAGACAATTACAAAGATGATTCAAATCATAATGGTGGGGGATTTTACGAATGCAATATTTGGTGAGTCCAATTTCGCTATGATGATGGTTACCAAACAAAATTAACAGCCTTACATCAAGTTTCGATACAGCTATTCATCCCGTGTTGACACTTTGTGGACATCTATTCTGGTAAGTTTTACGTTTATTGCCTCAAGAGAGACAGAGAGAGAGAGAGAGAGAGAGAGAGAGAGAGAGAGAGAGAGAGAGAGAGAGAGAGAGAGAGAGAGAGAGGGAAAGACGTATGAGTAACAACATTCGTAGTTGGTCTTGTCTTGCTCAATGGCTGAATGCACAGTCAAGAAACCCTACGTGTCCAGTTTGTAAAGCAGGATGTGGAAAAGACAAGGTGATCCCAATTTATGGTCGTGGCAAAGAGGAGAAGGATCCAAGGTAAAGTACTATTGCGAGTTAGAGTGTAACATTGGCAGCTCAATTGCTTTACTGTTAGAAACGACCCATCCATCCCCACTCGACCAGCAGGACAGCGACCACCACCTATCCGTGATCCCAACAGGCCAGCTACATCATTTTTTGGACAGCCATTTGGAAACAATGCCTTCAATAGAGGTGGCATGTCTATATCTGCTGGATTTGGCTTCTTTCCTCTGGGTGTAACGTTTGTAAGTGTAAGTCTTAATTTGTGTTGGGATGGATTGATAAAACTCATGCATACTGCGAAAATCTAGAATATTCCTACTGGCTCCAACAACAATGCTCAAACCCCACAAGGTGCCTTCATGTCGAGATTAGTGATGATGTTGTTAAGTTTATTAGTAATTGCCATTATTTTTGCATAGTGAAATAAATAATATGTTAGTTTGCTGTTCCATCGTAGCTATTAAGAGTGAGCTCTGCTTCGTCCACCTTTAAATGTCCATTCATGACACTTTGACTCAGTTTTTGTGCTGCTGTCTTTTTGTGCTTTTTGCTCTTCTTTTCCTTCTTTTGTGGTCTAACAACCGATACAGGCACTGGTGAGTTGTGAACCAAGAAGGTTGAGACACTGCCCATGAGCATGCTATATAGAAACCATGAATTTTCGCTATTTAACCGCCATCCATGGCTATTTTTGTGCTTACCCCTTGATTGCACCTCGATCTCGAGAACCACAGACAACCATGGTCAATTTTGGAGTAGAATATATCTAAAACCGTCATCAGTAGCTAATCATCACATGCCATGTATACGTCTCCTGAATTACCAGATTCAATAGCGATTCCCTGGTCTTACCAGCCAACGAGTAAACAACAATCTTGATGTTGTAGAGCAACATTTCGTCCATGATGGTTCTCACTCGAGAAATCATGGTCTTTGATTTACGGTCCAGTTCAGCCCATAGGCGATACTTTTCGTCGTCATCCATGTCCTCTACATCCTCATCGATGCTAATCGTACTAGCCACATGAAGCTCATCACCACTACGTAACAAGGTACCAATCCCCCATTTGAGGGCATACATGCTTTCTTCTCCGAAATCACACATCATCATGTAACGCTTTGGCCTGATAGCCTTCCTCTCCTCAGATGTACCATAGTAGAATGTCACTTCGATATAATCGTCTCTAGCGATGAGAATAGGTGGATCCGAGAAAACGAGCTCTGGTGGTCTACGCACCAACTTGTGCTTGGTGTGCTGAGATGGCGAGGGTGGTGTACTGCTATCGTCAATGTGGATTTGTCGGTTGCTCTCGGTAATCTTGAATAATTCAGGGTCGCGTATAGCGAGGTCATCTTCGTAGTCTTCTTCATCGTTGTAAAAGTAACGGTTCTTTTTCGAGCTGCCGCCAGCACTACTACCTTCCTCGTCAGACGAAGAAGAGCTGTCGTCTTCAGGATCAATCTGATTAGGGTCAGGTTTTTGGACAATGATAGCCTCCTTCACCCTTCTATCCTCGGGGGTATCTCTATTCAGGTCTTGGATTTCCTGAGATAACATGGCATCCAGATCCCATGTGTTATTGTTGTTGACTGTCTTGGTCTACATGGAGTGTGTGTTGGCTATATGTTCATGATGAGCAGATGTTATCTTACCCTTGAACTCATCTCTAACTGTGGGAAATCTAAAGAAGAGCGCTTTGAGTTCCTTTGCCCCTTTTGCTAATGTCTTCACTTGCGGATGTTTAAAATTCCAAACCACTGCTAGGAAGCAAGCTATCATCAATCACTAAAAAAGGCAACAAGCTTTTCATTCAAATTGAAGCAGTTTTCTTTTACATGTAAATTTATAATATTATAACGAGTGAGTGGACAGTGCAGGCCGATCATGGAATTGTAGACGAAGATTTGCCCAAAACCACAATTGGAGTGCAAAAAATGCAAGTATCGCTGCAATCCATGCGATAAAAACTTCATTACAAAAGCATACCAGCAATCGAATAACAAGCTTCTAACCGCAATTTTCCAATAACGTCAATCACGAGTATGCTATTTCCTCCATACTAAAATGGCTCTTTTAGATTATCGAGTCTATACACGTCTGCCAAAGAAGTCAATATATTAGTGTCATTCAATCAGCATTGAATTTTGGCTCTGCAGTGCCCTACCTTCTTGAGTTGCAGTTCTTGATTATGGCTGCAATATAGGCCCACATGTCTGAAAGGTGTGTATTCAAGTCTCATTCATTTGTTACAGACTTCAAGGATCGGCAAGTCATTAAGTTGTATTTCTATTATAGCATCCACTCAAGTATACAGTACATTGACAGGTATACCAAAGCACTGCGACATCTGTTGACTTTATCAAACATTCTCTAATATGGAAAATTTATTGTTCCTTGATCTTGTAAATTGTGGAAAAAATAGGTGGATCATGCTCCGTAGTATTTAACCATTGCATCTTCTCTGTCTGTCGATCTCCATGTAAATATAAATAAATCACTATTCTTATTCTGTTGCAATCCATTTTATATTTTCAGCTTTGCCTTCTTTAAATAAGATGACTAGATGTTTCTATGCAACAACAAAAATGCGCTAGAGCTTAAAAGAAAAGATATACAGGGTTTTTATTGTTGTAATAGTTTTGGGAATCTAAAACTTCTAAATAGCAAAAGATAAAGATTTATAAATACAATGATGTGTTGCGAGAAAACAAAAGAGGATGTAGATTAAGTGTAATTGTGTTTTGTGAGTGAGATAAATTATTGGTGTACTTGAGATACAATGGAGGGAATGACAGAAGGATCAGCCAAAGTGGAAATATCGCCCAGCTGGTTGTGCTCGCCATTGACAATCTTGCGAAGAATACGACGGACAATCTTACCAGAACGAGTCTTGGGATGCTCACGGACAATGTGGATACGCTTGGGAGCAGCAAAGGGACCAATGATCTTACGAACAGTCAAGACCAACTCACGATCAAGGCCATCGCTGACATTGGCATGAGGCTTCAAGCTTACGAATGCATGAATAGCTTGTCCAGTCAAGTCATCATGGGCACCAACGACAGCGGATTCGGATACAGAGTTATGGCTGGAAAGAGCAGACTCGATCTCGGCGGTGGAGAGACGATGGCCAGAAACATTGATTACATCATCGACACGACCGCGGATCCAAATGTAACCATCCTTATCCATAGAAGCACCATCACCAGTGAAATAGTGGCCAGGGTAAGCCTTTACGTAGGTGTCAAGGAAACGAGAGTGGTTCTGATAGATGGAACGAGCCATAGAGGGCCAAGGGCTCTTGATGGCCAAGACACCAGTTTCATCCACCTTGTCAATCTTGGCACCAGTAGCAGGATCCAACAAGACAGGTTGAATGCCAAAGAAAGGAAGAGTGGCAGAACCAGCCTTGGTAGGAGTACAACCAGGCAAAGGACTGATGATGATGGAACCAGTCTCGGTTTGCCAGTAGGTATCCACGACAGCACAACGACCCTTACCGACCTTTTCATTATACCAATTCCAAGCTTCAGGGTTGATGGGCTCACCAACAGAACCAATGACACGAAGACTAGAGAGATCACACTCATCGACCCATTGGTCACCAAGACGTTGAAGAGCACGAATAGCAGTAGGAGCAGTGTAGAATTGAGTAACCTTGTGCTTGTCGATCAATTCCCAGAAACGGGCAGGAGTAGGATAGGTAGGAGTACTTTCAAATAAGACAGTAGTGACACCAAGAGTGAGAGGGCCATATAAAATGTAGGTGTGGCCAGTAACCCATCCAATATCAGCCATACAAGCATAAACATCATTCTCGTGAACATCAAAGATGTACTTGACGGTGGCAGCAGCGCCGAAGAGGTAACCACCTGTAGTGTGAACAATGCCCTTGGGAGCACCAGTGGAGCCAGAAGTATAGAGCAAGAAAAGGGGGTCCTCAGCGCTCATCTTTTCATAGGAGCAGACAGGGCGAGCCTTCTCCATCTCCTCATGCCACCAAAGATCACGGTTCTCCATCATGGGGACACCTGTACCAGTGCGTTGATAGACAATGACATGTTCTACTTGATGAGCCTCCTCCTTGGCCAAGGCGTTATCGACAATAGACTTTGTAGCAATGTTACGGCCACCACGACGACCTTCATCAGAAGTAATCACAATGTGAGCACCACAATCAGCGACACGGTCCAAGAGGGACTCAGCAGAGAAACCAGCAAAGACGACAGAATGAATAGCACCAATACGAGCACAAGCCAAGATGGCAATCATGGTCTCTGGAATCATGGGCATGTAAATGGCGACATTATCGCCCTTACGAACACCAAGGCCCTTGAGGACATTGGCCATACGACACACATCACGCAAAAGCTCACCATAACTAATATGACGGACATCAGCAGGCTCATCACCTTCGTGAATGATGGCAATCTTGTCAGGGTTCTTGAGAGCATGACGATCAACAGCATTGTAACAAGCGTTCAGTTCACCCTCCAAAAACCATGCTACATCACCATTTTCAAAAGATCCATGGCTGACAGTTTCGAAAGGCTTATCCCAAGACAAGAGATCGCGAGCGAGCTACCACAATTAAAGCATGTTAGTATAGACGGTATTATCACTGGTCAGACAGACTCACATTGCCGAAAAACTTGTTGGGCTCTTCAACACTCTCCTTCCACATTGAACGGTATTGCTCCATCGAGCTGACATGAGGAGTGGGACATTGCTTGCTGTCCAAAAGACGACTAGGAACAGGATGAGTGACGATCTCGGGCAACTTGTCTTCGACGGGTTGTTCAGCGGCAATGGTGTTTTCAGTGGAATGAGGCATTGCTCTGGGTTGTTGATTTGAAATGAATAGAGAAGAAGAAGAAGAAGAAGAAGAAGAAGAATAAGAAAAAGAAGAAAGACAGACAAGAACAGAACACTGACTATTTCAATGATGATAAAGATGGAGATCTAAAATGATATTTTAGCCTGGATATGTATGTTCATTTGTCTCTATCCATATATAATTTTCTGCTCCTCCAAATAAAATTAACCCAGTGAAAAGGTTTCATATGGCCAAGGACAATATGGCAACTGAGAGCAGCCGCTTCTCTTCCTCAGATTGTTCACATTGTGCCTCATACACTTTTCAAACGACACGCTGGTGCTAGTTTGACAGGTGGCATAAACCTTTTTCCAAAAGGACATTTTCCTACCCCAAAATAGGTATGTTGGGGAAATTACTTGTAGAGGCGTGTAACATTGGATCCTGGATGTTGCTTGTGTAGCGCACTCCATGACATTTCAGGGCTGTCTTCTAATGTATTTCAACTGCAACGAAATAATACTCGCCCAGGTTGGCAGGGTTTGTGTCGGCTACCATCTCTTTTTGGACGAGGAAGGCTTTCTTAATAAGGTATTCTCCCCGCGGCCGTTGCTAAAAAAACTAAACTCTATCGCTGCTAGTTGATAGCGGAAAGGACTCACTGCCAATCATTGTGCATGCTATCTCTTGGAAATCAAACATTGATTGCCTGAGATATAACACATGTTACATAATACCATGAGCTATCAGCAAACGGAGTCAACTGAAGATCGATTTGACCCTGATTTCTGTTATAATTACACATGTAGGTGTATCACACCGAATGACAAGCAGAACTCAGTCAGATGGTAGAGAAACTCGTTTGATTGGGAATAGATGCTAACAGGCTTCATTTCGAGTAATCCTCAATCGCGCATGTCACGGCATTAATTGGGCTTATTATTGAAGCAAATCTTAGATCAAGTATATGCCATATTCACAAATGTAATTGATTGTATTGATATCTTAGCGCTTTTGCCTCAGGGGCAAATACAGTTGCTTATATCCGAGATGAATTTTCAAGGAGGTCATCCATTTAGGTGCGTTCAAAACATGCCTTTCATCCATTCTTTATCAAGTTTCTGGTCATTTCCAAGATGCCAAAGCAAAGAAAAAGTGTAAGCACAACAAATGCCGATATTAGCTACAAAGATGTCTACTAGGCTGTGTCTGGCCAAAGAGCTAAGATCCTAAATTCACTATTATATAAACTGTAAATGGATAACATTGCGACCAATGTAGTCATGAAACATACAGGCAGAGAGGCAGTAGCGGAGACATTTTACGTCTGGTGCCTCCAACAGTACTACATTACATGCGAGCGTCTCACTTACCTCACTGTTCACTGAAAACTTTGTTTATAGAGGGATTGGACAAATGGCACCATGTCAAGGGATCGGTGCCGCCGGCGTATTGTCAGACTGTGCCACCCATTGAGACCTTGGTATCTATATCAGAGACTTGATCTGAGATGTGATCCAACAACAACACTGTCTTTTTTTTTTTTTTTTTTTTTTTTTTTTTATTAAACCTTACGTTATAAAAGTATGTTGATTGCCTGCAACAGTTTCAAACAGTGACGAATATATTAGGGCGTCCGTGTTTCTAAAGGAGCATGAATCCTTCCTCGGATGAATTGAAACAGTAACTCATTGTTCTGTATTGTCACGTTCAAAATGAACTTGCTTTATTACTTTTTTAATTGTACTGCTGCAGCGCACTGTAATGTTGTATTTGACTCATCCATTGACGCTTCTGAGTAGCTGTTGAAGTTTTGACAGCAATCACTTGGTTACCCGACACAATTTGAAAGGATAAGTCATCTGCTACAGAAAGAGAAATCATGAGCATACACTTATTCCACTCAATTTCCGCATTTCCTTACCCGAATTATTGCCAAATGATGGTTTTAAAGTCATCGTTGTTTGCTGACGAACACTGACACTCTCGATGGGCATTGGCTACAGAAGCATTTGGACGAGAATGAGTAAAGTGCCATATCAACACAGCTAAAGCAAGACCACTCACCTCACGATACAAGGTATACAGGTACCCTTTAGGACTGAGCGCTTTCAATGGCTCTGCTAACAAGAGGATATCGTTGAATAAAAAGCCATGTAGCTTTCGCCCACTCTTGGCTTTGAAAAGAGCGCCGTCCAAGATGAATTCACGGCCAGTGATGTTTAGTCGCTGTCAATGATAGCTGGGTCAGTCATAAAGCTGCATGTAATGTCTCAACAACTTACACCGGTTGCTTCCATGTCGATGATTCTAGACAATTCAGACATTTTCTGGATGTTCTCAAAGCGTCTGGTTTCTTCATTCACATCCTCCAACACTCGCTGAGCAATAGACAATGCAGATCTCACAAGGGCATAATCAGGGTGCTTTTTAGGCGTACAGTTCAAGATCTAGGGTAGACTGTTAGTCTATATAACAGCAATTTAGGATCAACTAAACTCTACCTGGCGAAGAAGGAGGGGGTATCTTGTGATGCGCTGTACAGGCTCCAGCAAAAAGTGAGAAAGATCCAGCGAACGGCATTCAGATCTTGTTTGAGCAGTCTACATGCAAATGATATCAGGCAAACGGTCTGTATTTCCATAAACCTACTAAGCATACCTTCAAGAATACTTCAAACCATTGATCATCCTCCCTCTTTTTCTGCAAAAACTTGGTAGCATAAGACTGGTTTCTACAGTAAGTGGAATAACATTGCAAACTATCCGCCTGTCAGAAATCAAACAAAGATCAGTTTCAGAAAGATTACGCACTGAAATGCTACGCACATGCTTTAAAAAGACATCACCAATCTTATCAACTACATTTGCCTGCCCTCTTTGTCGTGTCTCCATATCACTCAAAAGCGCCGTATTGCAGATCAGCAAATCGTCAATATTTGAAAAAACAACATCACGCTCGTCTTGTGAGAGGTACTTTCCAGAGTCTGTATAGAAGACCTAGAATGCAGGTTAACATCAATTCGCATTCGTCAGAGCACTGACACAAGGAAACTTACATTGATAATCATCTGAAGATCACTGAGATAGCTTCTCTCGGTGGCAATAAGCTCAAAGATGGCTTCCTGGCGCTTGCGCTCCTCCATGGGTATAGCGTTCAATTCAATGTCATCCATGGTGCTAGCCCAAGTCAGCAATTCCAAATTCTCAGACATGTTTCCAGAGTGAGGAAACAGCAATTGAGGTGTGCCAATGTGGCTGTTGTTGGCTGTGCTCACGGAACTTGCTGCTCTACGTCGCTTGGTCAGCTCTTGCTTATTGACACCGAGATTGGTCTTTTTCATTATGGGTGTGTTGGGCGCAGATAGCCCTCGAGGTAGATGGCTGTCTGATACTGTCAAATAGTTGTTTCCAGAGGTATATACATTGGCAGTCGATTTGCCGGGAATAGAGATGGGTGCGGCAGCGGTGCATATCGATGGAAGGTCGTGGTTAGAGGCTACAGTGTGTATAGTGAGTCATTTAGTTCGTATCTATAGATCACAGTGTTTTTTTTACCAGAATCGATCTTCTCTACATAAGTTTTGGGAAAGTAACCGCTCTCCTCTGTATCCTCGTTGGTCCCATACCACCAGTCGCTGTTCTCATCTTGGAAAGGCTGAACTACAATCACTTCATTCTCGTAAAAGCCCAAGTCATCAGAGCGATTCTTGGTAAACTCGTACAGTGTCTTAACACGAAATGCTATCAGTAAACAGTTAGTAAGCAAGGGATGCCTGGTGGCCCTGTTTGCTTGATTCTACCTTCTTCAACCACTTCGACATAGGTACGGGGAAAGAATCCAACTGCATTTGTCGCTAATGATGTGCCATACCACCAATCACTGCCCTTGTCCTTGGACGGATGTGCTTTTAAAGTCTCATTGGCAGAAAAGGACAGATCATCTTCTCGCATGCCTTGGTATTCATACAATGTCTTGACTCGGTAAACTGTAGCATCTGTCAGTATCAGATCAAGTCCACAACATCACAAACTTACTAATGCTGAAATTGACTTCGTCTTCCACATCCACACCGTAGCCACTGGTTCCTGCAGTTGTGCTATTGAGATGGGAAAACGAGGCATTGGTGGGTGATGCAGAGTAATTGGATGTGTAAGCTGCCTTGGCAGTAGCAGCAGCTCGTTCGGCTTCTTCAGCAGCAGTCATGGCAGTAGCCAATTCTTGGTCATGCTGTCGCTGCTTTCTCTCCTCCTCTTGTCGCTTCTCCTCCTTGAGTTGTTGTTCTGCCTGATAGATCCTTTGCTCTTCCAACCTCTTTTCTTCCAACAATTGCTCTTCTTCTCTCTTCTTTTGCAACTGAAGCTCCATTTGCACACGCTGTCTCTCCTCTTCTTCCAAACGTCTCTGCTCTTCTAGTCTAGCTTCCTCCTCTTCCAAACGTTGTCGCGCTCTAGCAGCTTCTTCCTCCTTTTCTTTGATACGTCTTTCTTCTTCCAAGCGCTTCTGAAGTTCAGCTTCTTCCCATTGCTTTCGTCTATTGATCTCTTCCTGTCTGGCCGCTTCAATTTCTTTCTCTCGACGCTCAATTTCAAGACGACGCAATCTCTTTTCTCGGGCAGCCTGCTCTGCAGCTTGCCGAGCTTTCTTTTGGCGAACTTCTTCTGCAATTCGTTCTTCTTCCTCTCGTTTCTTTCTCTCTTTAGCCTCTTTTTGTTGTCTTTCTTCTCTCTCCAACCGAAGTCTCTCCACTTCTGCTTCACGCTCGAGTCGTTGTTTCTCGGCTAGCGCGTCTTGTGCCTTCTTGATTTTGGCCAAGCGTTCCTCTTCTTCCAGTTGTTTGCGCTTTTTCTCAGCAAGCATCTCGGCTTCAGCGGCTGCACTTGCTTCGGCTGCTGCCTTTCGTTTCTTCTCCTCTGCCTCAGCTGCTTCTCGGCGCAATGTATCTCTCTTTTCTCGCATGGCTTCCAAACGAGCTCTGGCATCGGTTTCAGCTTGTCGCATCCTTTCTTGCGCTGCCTTTTCTTCTTCACTAATTTTGGTATCTTCTGCAGCCTTCACGTCGAATGAAGCAGGTGTCGCCCCATGCCGATCTGTTGTATTTTTTACAAACAGTTTTCTACGCTCTTCGATTCGCTTGTAAGCTTCTGCTTTGATATCGGCAGCTGATCGTGGTGTACCAGGTCGCTGAGAGGTGGGGATGGGTGGTGGTGGTGCTTGGGAATAGTAGGGAGTAGTGGTGTTTTTGATAGGAGGTAGAGGTGGTGTAGAAATCCCTGGTGGTGCAGATGCTCCATATATGGATGACGCTGATGCTGTAGTATACGTTCTGTCCAACTGGTCTATGAAGCGAGCAACATAATCGTCCACATACAAGCCCTGCTCAAACATCTGTCTATCCTTCAACTCCTTGGTGCCTGAATGAAGGTCCTGGTCAACCTTTTTCATGTCTGTCTCCATGATGGACTCCACTTCTCTTTGAATGCCCTTGAAATCATCTATTAGGCGATTCACATGCGCTGTCAATTGAGCATCCTGATCTTCTGTTGATAGCAGTGAGGGCGATGTTGTAGTGGATGATGTTGCCGATGTGCTTGCGCTTTTGTTCAGTCGTGCTGCTACCATGGCTTGTGCTTTAGCTCGAATTCGTTCAGTTTCAGTCATGCCAGTGGTATCCAAATCGGCGCTACTACCAGTAGTAGCAAATGCTGCCTTCTTGACACGAGCCGCTTTCAGTCGACATTGCTTCAGCTTTTCTGATTCCTGGTTCAATTCCTTTTCCAAGCTCCTCACGCCACTGTTTAGATAGCCGATCTCCTTGAGTAATGTATGTCGCTGATCAGCTAAGTCTTCCATTTGACGCAGATTGAGCTGGTAACGTGCCCACCACTGAGCAGGACTTTGCGTCGACGTACGGCCTCTGTTGGCTAATGCCTGCTGTTTCTCGTGTAGTTCCTTGGACACTGATGTGATGCGTCGCTTCAAGTCTTCAATACTTGAGTATTCGTCGCAATAATCATCGAAAGCGTCCACCTCGTCTTCGTTCCTTCCTGTTGTAGCAGCTAAAAGCACTTTTTGTTCTCGTATCGACTTTCTTAGCTCTTCCAATGTCGTCGTCGATGGATCAGACTCTCCCCAAGGATTCCTCGAAAAGGTGCTATTATACATGGTGCAGTGGGACTCTCACAACTCTTGCTTTGAGTGAGATAAAGCTGTGAAAAAAGAGAAATTATATTATCCACTTATTCCCATATCAATTTAATCCATTACATATTTGCGGAGTTGTCCTTGGATGGCCCTTCTTTCGACCCAAAAGGCATGTGCATGAGTTTATTTCTCTCTAGGAGCACACGTTTCATTTCCTTTTATTGGTTTCGAAATGAATCGCCATTGCATGTATTACGCTTTGGTAGCAGGTACATACGGCACCTGCAACATGCGCTTGTTCGATACATGATCTTGAGCAGAACTACCGCTCTTCTGATTGGACATTTGGATACACGGTTCGTGATCCCAACAATCATTGAATCTAAGAATAGACTTGGAAGAACGCAGAAATCATGCAGAGACACCTCAGTGGAAAAATCATGGGTGTACAGATAACCCAGAATGATTGCCATGTAGCCCATGTCGTCAGGGCTTGGATAAATCCGTGTGAAATGCCGTACTCTCTCCAGTAGCCTGTTGGTGCTTACGAAGCTTATGTTAAAGTGGTTGACGTTTAAATTCTTGTCTAGAATCAAAACTTACAAAGCGTCTTGCCTTCATTAGCTAATCATTAAAGATATCTTTGAAGACTCTTTGTTCATTGAGTGGTTTTAAAAGAGAATGTAAAAGACAATAGCGTATGGAAGGTTATGCAAGACTTTATTTTTAAATGTGCCTATGGATTTATATGAGAAACGATGATAATGTATAAGGACTTGTTTGGTTTTCAGTAGATGATAATAGCCAACGTCTATAACGAGTGCTTTGACTTGTATATGTAGTAGGTAGTAGTTATAATAGCATGGCTTGGCTTTTTAATATTAAGCAGTATGAGTCTTGACATTGGATCAGACGACAAGCAGTAGATGGCTAAATGGAGAGACATTAGACCAGCACTATAAGCACTTGCATTGTAGCATACTTGGATCAATTGTAGATGATGTAGCAGGCAGAGCTTGGGTTTAGATTGGATGAGACAGTGCCAGTAATGATCTTGCCATTGCATCAGATAACCTAGATAAAAGGATATTAGACCTGAAATATAAGCACCCACATTGTAGCATACTTGCTTGGAGATAAGAACGCAAGGGTAGTACCACCTTGACGTTTGACATCTGCTCTATTTGACCCGCTTCATCCAATGTTTCCAACTGTTCTCTATGTCGAGTTGTGTCCATTTTATTGTTGTAAAAGGCTCATCTATCACATTCGCATAATAAAGTGAATTCCCCATCTCATTCTAGAGACAATTAATAGAAATAATTTCATAGGCTCATTCACTTCAAACAATAAACAAAAGTATGAAATTTGACTCAAAAACAAATGTAATTGATTGCTTCATTTGGTAGTTTTTCAAATCATAAGGCCCTCAAGGCAAAAGATCAATAAGGATGATTGACTAGTCTTTGATTGGCCAGTAAAAATCTAGCATCGATTGAACCTACCAGGTAATTAAAAATTCGTCAAAAGCAAAAGAAACAGTCGGTCTAAGCTATGTCACTGCTCAGGCTGCAATGCCCATCTTATTGGCTTTGCAAACATTGATTACAATCAACAAAAAGACATTTTGCCAGCCAAAATCGGTTGAATTTTCGGCTATGAAAATTCTGACCTTATTCGGTCAGTTATGTAAATTTTCGACTTGTTTGAACTATTCTGTCAAATTCGACTATAAAATTGAAGTGATCATCTCATACTCCCTTAAGCTTTCTAGAAGTACTTTTAGAGGCGTATCCAATGGTGCTATTTATAACGGATGTTATTAAAAAGCTTATTGAACAATGATTGAAAATACAAAATAACGATTTGGGCCAGAATGTTGAGATTTCGCATATCAAAGTTTCACAAAAACGGGTTCAGAGGTTGCTTTGAATCGATATAAACATTTTGATCTAATATAGACCATAGTAAAAGTCGTCATTTTTAAGGTCAAAAACGCGTTCGTTTGGTCTTCGATGAAAACCATGAGGGGTACTTTATGCTTTTTGGTCGATTTTTGGCAATCCTAAAAAAGTTAAGCCAAGGTATCAGAAAGCAACTGCTAGACGAGAGCAATCGCTTGGTGCTATCCTGGCGGCTCAAAAAGGCGTATAACGATAAAAAAAATACAAGTTTTACTGCGTTTTGCATACTTTTGAGCAGTAGGAGGCTATGGGAGTATGCAGTTTGCCCGTATATGCATTTTTACTGTTGACACATATGCGGAGCACCGTACGAGAGTCGGTCTACAGCTACAAGCCGTTTGTCTAGGATTCCCAAGTGAGAATTTAAGACCACAAAATAGAAGTTTAGTAAATGTTACTTAAAATTTTAAACTGCAAGCATATGTGGATTCACAGTAAATGACAAATGTGTGGATACGACTCACCTGTTATATACTCTTGAATCATATGAACATTTATTTCTTAAATTTAATTGCAAAAATGAGCGATGAGTGCATCATATCACACTTGGCTATGCCAATATACTATTTGTATCACACATTTGATGAAAAAGCCTCATTGTATTGAACAGCAAAATGTGAAAACAGAAAGATTTCTATTCAGAGTTCAAGCTGAGACTGCTGAGCATTTTTTTTTCCCATGAAGATCTGCAATTCATCTTAACAATCGTATCATTTTGGAATACATTTTCAAACAGAGAGGCCAAGGCTGTGTTCACTTGTTAATCATGTAGTTTGACATCATTCCTAAATTGCCTTCAAAGGGCGAATAATTTACATTGGTTGTGCTACATTGTATTACATGTTTAAAAGGTGGGCTTTCTTAGTGAATTGCACAAATTTATTACAGTGTGACCATAAATGCTGATGTTTGTGCTGATGATATGATGATCAATGCGAGTTTGTGTGTGCGTGCCACAATAAAATCAGGTTACACTTGCTCTAAGTGCTTATATGTCTTAGCATCCTTTTTTACTATGGAAGTAAATAGCTAGATTTAATCTGTAGAGACATGAATATATGTTGTTGTATTGAAGATCACAAAATACAAACAAGACATGATGGTACAAACCAATAGTTGAAGAAGAAACTAGTAAAAGCTTGTACCTATTTCTTGATATTCTATATGACATTAACCTCACTGAACTTTTTAGACAAGGCAATTTTTTTTTCTCTCATTTCCTCAAGTATACCGTTCCGTCTACTATCTCACCAACTCTGATTCTCCCCAATCTTTTTCTCAATTCAGTGAGAATGACAGTTTTACAGTACCATGTCTTACAGCCAAGATGCCGCCTCAGTGCTGTGATAAGCAGCTGATATTTTAAGATTGCTATTGTCCTACGCTTTTGAGTCGCAGTATGTTTTGATCGATAGCTGTAGATCAACAAGGCGATTCTTAATTGATACGATAGTAATGTATCACCTGCTACGAATTGTGGTACACAATCAAATAGTAACAACAAAAAGCCGTGGGGGCCAATCGAACTAAAATGCTTGTGTATACGATGATTGAAATCAGTAGCTCAGCAAAAGAAAAAAGAATCCATATCAACACCATTTTCAACACAACATTGCTGATTTTCATTTTTCCCATGCTTCATGCAGCGCTGTTTCTAGACCCTCACTATGCTCTCTCCAAACTCAAGAAATGTTGCTTTGCTTACAGCATGGACTATAGGTCATGCCGAAGCGAAATGCATCATATCACTTTTTAATTCTTAGCCTTTATTCTATTGCCAATACAGACATCGAGCAAACAATAGTTGCCATCATAGTGTTTGTACCCCCGAAATACTTTGGTGATAGCAGCAAAAATAGTTGGGGAGTATATATTGATGGGAGCACAATGTTTCAAACATGAGGATTCATTGGTTTATCAGTAGGCATAGAAAGGTGGGGAAGTCAACTATACCTCATATAGACTCGCTGCTCGCAGTAGAAAATAAAAAAGGGCGGACATGCGCCCTCTCTATTTTCTACTTTATTCTATACAAATGTTTGTTTAGTAATCAAACATGTATGCAAACAAAGAGGCTTTGCAAATGTCAAGTTTTCATACTACAAGAGGCATAATTTGTAACTTCTATATATGTACCAAATACGACAGTAATCATCGTATTTGTTCCATTAACTGCTATATTTACCACGTTATTTGAGAACACAATATAATATCAAATGTCATAATTTTGTCTATGGGAACTTATTAATGGCACAAAAGAAGAAAAACATAGTTACAAAAAGTGTTCAAACTTGTCAATGACTAAAGTAGAAAAGTTGTATGATCATGATACTCATTTATTGAATTAAAGTAATACACGTATGCATTTCTCACATTCTTCTTTCTTTCAAACAAAACATATACATCTAAAAAAACATTTGTTATACGGAGTGCGTAATGTTATATATCTCTTGTACTACGCTGGCTTGCTGGAACATAAGAGAACACTTTGAATAGCATATACAAAGAAACACATAGCATCTAGCTGTATAAAGTAGTTTACTATTTTGTTGGAACCAGTAGATCCATGTTTATTCGTACCAGCTTACTCGTTCCTTGATTTGTTACTAGTCTGATCCAGGAACAGACATGATTCAAAGTCCACCTTTTCTCTCTCTGTCTTGACTAAACACCATTTGCTTGCTGCCTTTTTATTTTTGACGTTAAAATATGTGATACCATCACCTACTCTGCCTTGTAGAACCACAATGTGGCTATAAATAAGTTGATCAAATATGCTAAACTATATAAAAAAGACTTGTATTCCACAGACTGTTCAGCGTCTCGGGTTTAGAGTGATGAATAAAAGAGTTTGCTTATCTAATATAATAACAAGATCTAGATATGATCTCTAGATATGATCTCTAGATCTGTTCATGGAAGCTGATGCTGTTCAATCAACTGCATCCAAGCATCTCACACTATACAGCTTAGACCTATATTCACTGAATGCACTCATTTAGCCATATCATACTAGTATAATTAAGTGGTGTGGGTATTTCACATGAATTATTGAATGCAACATCTATTCAGTCATCACCGTAAGGTTCTTGTATCCCACCCCCAAAAAACAGAGAAGGGCAAATATGTATATAATAAGCATGTCAAATCTGTAAGTCTTTTTAAATCTCTTTAAATCGTACTTTCCCTCTCTCTCATCATTAATACATCCCTTGGGGTATTATAGCTTCTTTTGTCAAGTTATATCACCTTGATCCCCTCCCCTCCCATCTAATAACCACTTGATTTTACTATCCTTTTTTCTTGATATCTATTAATACAACTCCTTTCGTTTAATACACTCTCAGATGGTTGCTGATCATCTCAATCAACATACAACTCATGATGTCGTTGCCAATCAGCACAGTGATGACGATTACTATCACCCCGGTAGCGACAATGAAGTTTTACGTACAAATAGTAACGACTTAATGGAAGAATACTCTGAAAAGCCAGCAGCACCTCCAAAACGTCGATTTTATAAGAAAAAGAAGTATTGGATCATTTGTGCCATTATCACTGCCATCACTATTATTGTGGCAGTCTGTTTGGCCATCTTTGTGTTCTTCCCCATGATTGCTCAATCTTTGATGAATCAATCCAAGATTAGCGTCAACAATGCTCAAATTACATTTAATAAGCCTGGTGCTCTCGATAATCAAGTGTACAGCAAGCGTGATGGTGATAATATGAATACTACATTCTACATGAATATGGACAGTTCACTCAGTAACACAGGTCCCTTCGCGGCTGACATCAAGTTCCACAATCCAATTGATGTTCTCTACAAAGACCAATTGCTAGGCAACATCTATCTCTACAACAACACGCATATTTCCGGCGGTTCTGGCTCTTTGAATGCTATCACTCCATTTCTGATCAGGGATCAAGCTGCTTTCTCTGCCTTTGCCAAGGACATGTTGGCTGTAAATGAGTTCAAATGGACACTAAGAGGAAAACTCGATATTACTGCTCTTACAAGGTAAAGATCTGAACCTTAAATGTGTATTTGCTGTTACACATAATTAATATACACTGTTTTAATAGAACGGCTACTGTGAACCTTGACAAGGAAATCACCTTGAATGGAATGAACGGTTTCCCTGATGTCAAGATTGAATCCTTCCAACTTCCTGGTGATGATCCTGCTGGCGGTATCCTAGTAGAACTTGGTACTATTCTCAACAGTCCTTCTCCTATTGGTGTTCAACTGGGTACCATTGCTCTCGCTATTGGCTATGATGGTGTTGCCTTGGGTAATGTCAAGGCCGATAACGTCAACTTGCAAAAGGGTGAAAACAAGATTCTTCTCAAGGGTACGCTGGTGCCTCAAAATGACACTACCTCCCTTGATAAAGTAGGCCACTTGTTCTCAAATTATGTATCTGGTGTCATCTCCAATACATCTGCTACTGGTATTTCTGCTGCTCCTGATGGTGTCAATCCCATCGGCTGGCTCTCTGAAGGTTTCCAAACTGTCAAGCTCAACGTTGCCTTGGGTGCTGCTGAACCTCTCAAGATTATCAATGCTGTCAGCATGGGTAATCTCGACTTGAAGTTTGATTCTGCTAATCCCTACAACCCTATTGCCACTGCTCCCAATGTCAATGCCAATTTCCAAATTCCATTTGGTTTTTCATTGAACATTACTGAAGTAACCCAAAATATCTCTCTTGCCGTCAACACCTCGGGTACTCAAACTACTGATTTTGCTGTGATTCGCGTTCCCTTGGTGCCTGCAGTCAGTGATCAAAAGGCTGGTACTCTCAAATTTGGTATTCAAAATAGTGCTATTGCCGGTATCCCAGGCCAAGAAAAGGTGTTTAATAAGTACACTTACGCTTTAACTGCCTCTGACAACTACACCTTCATGGTCTCTGGTAATGCCTCTACAAAGACACAGACTCCCATCGGTCCTATTACTTTGGGTGGTATCACTTTTACTGTACCTACCTCTTTGCACGGTCTTCAGTTCTTGAACAGCACTCCTACTGTCATCAACTCTCTCGATGTCTCTGGTGGTACTTCTGAAAACCTTTTGCTTGGCATCAATGTCACCATGGAGAATCCATCTGATTTCAGTATCTCTACTGGCGATGTAAGCTTTATCATGGGTGCAAGTGGTACTGATCTTGGTCTTGTCACCTTGAAGAATCTCTCTTTGGCTCGTGGTACTAATACTGTGTTGGCTCAAGCTACTTTCAATCCTAAAGCCTCTGATGTGGGCCAAAACCTCTTGAGTACTTTTGTAATGGGTCATGACAACGGTGTGGAGATTTCTGGTTATCAAAACTCTACCTCCATCGCCTCTCTCGCTGGTCCCTTGAGCGTTGTCAGCCTCGCCTCAACTCTTCCTGGTCTCAAGACTGCTTTGATTCAAGGTGGTGCTTTGGCTGTGCTGCCTGATACAGTTAAGACTGGTGTTGTCGGCGTCAAGGTCTCTATTGCCAACCCCTTCACTGCTGGTCTGTCTATTACCAAAGTCACTGCTGCTGCTACGTTTGCTGGCATGCCTGTGGGTAACATTGATCAAGATATCAGCAGTAATCCATTCGTGGTCCCTGGTAAATCAACTGCTCAATCTCAAGATTTGAACATGAACATGAACATCGAGCCTGCTTCCGTCGCCTTGCTGCTTCGTACACTCGCTGTTCAAGCTAATATGGACACCAAGTCTTTGGATGCCTTGCTGGGTTTGGGTGGTTTCAACATTGCTGGCCAAGAACATGTCAATGCTGATGCCAGTATGTTCACCAATTTCAACATCTCCAACTACGTCTTGGACGCCATGAAGGCTCTCAAGGTCGATTTGTCTCTTTCATCTGGTCTGTCTATTGGCGAGTACTCTACTGATTTGGCCTTCTCTCAAAATAGCGTTGCAATTGCCACTGATGGCACTGTTACTCAACTCATTCCTATTGTTGGTCAACCTATTGTCCAGCAGATTGTGGATGGTGCCGTGCTTGCCTTTGAGAGTGTTATTCTCTCTGCTCCCACCAACAATGACTTCACTGTCCAAATGAAGGGTAGTATCACCAAGTCTGGTCCTATGGATGCCACTATCAGTTTCCCTACGCCTCTCAATGTCGCCTGGCAGGGCAAGAAGCTCGGTACAGTATCTATGCCTGATATCAATGCCAAGGCTGATGTGGGTGCTTCCTTTGATGTCACTGGCAAATTCTCCATTGCCAACGCAGATGACATGGCTGCTTTCGCTGCCTACATGATTAACAACCAGGACTTTATCTGGGATATTACCACACAAGATGTCAGTGTCAGCGCTCTCGGCTTTACCTTTACAAAGATTACCATGGAGAAGTTCATTACTTTGACTGGCGCTAATGGATTCAAGGATGCTGTCACTATCAACTCGTTTGATTTGCCCTCGAATGACCCTGCTGGTGGTATCACTCTTACTGCTCAAACATCCATCAAGAATCCTAGTCAAGTTGGCTTCAACCTTGCTGGCGTCACATTCGAGACATTCTATAAGGGTGTTGACCTAGGACCTCTCGCCTCCAACGGTGCTGCTGTCTTCCCTCCTCAAGGTGTGGCTGCTATTTCCATGAAGGGTCGTTTGATTCCTCAAACTTCGTCTGAAGGTCTCAAGGCTATTACTGAAGTGTTTGACAATTATCTTAGTGCCAATGATTCTCTGGTAGATGTCAAGGGTGTCTCTGGCTCTGGTCCCAATGGTCAAGTTGGCTGGCTCACAGATGCTTTCAAGACATTGGCTATCCAAAATGTCGTCTTACCTGGTCCCAAGACAAAGCCAGAGTTGATTCCCGCCGTTACCATGAAGGACATGCAACTTGACTTTACCAAGGATCCTTGGGCTCCTCCCACCAGCTCCAACAACGTGCAAGCTCAACTCAAGAGTCCCTTTGGCTTCCCTCTTGGTGTCAGCCAGCTCAACATGGCAGTTACTGCCACTTATCAAAGCCATAATGTTGCTTCTCTTGCTGTTCCTAATGAGCAGGCATCCACTAGCTCTACTGGTGTTGTCACCACACAGTTCAAGGATGTTCCTTTTAAGGTTATTGACAAGACCATCTTTACTGGCTTTGTTCAACTGTTGACTATGAGTCCCAGCGTGACATTTGGTTTGGAAGGCACCACCAATGCTATTGCTGAAACTGCCGTTGGCTCTCTCAGTTTGAATAACATTGGCTTCAACGTAGATACTACATTAGCTGGTACGTTTTACATTCAAATGCTTATATCAATGTGTTAGATGCTTATACAATTCATACTGTAGGTCTTGCTGACTTTGGTGGCAAGGTTGTCATCAACAGCGTCAATGTCGTTGGTGGTACATCTCAATTCATTCTCATCGACATTACCTTCACCATGACCAATCCCTCTAATATCACTATTACTGTGGGTGACATCAACTTTGATGTTGTCATGAATGAGTTCAATGCTGTTATTGGTCGTGTCTACGTCAAGGATGCTGTCATTCCTCCTGGTGGCAAGACTTATTCTGCAGAAATGCACTTGGGTGAAAAGAGCACCAACGCCAAGGCCGTCTCTCAAATGTTGGGCGATTACTTGACCTCTGCCAAGATCCCCTTGACCATTCAAGGCTCTACTGAATCCACAAAGATTGCTCCTTTGGTTCCTGCTTTGAACTCTGTCAAACTTGCTACTGAAATGACGGGCATTGCTGGTAATTTGATCAGTCAGATTGCTGTCAAGGGTAGCATCATTGGTCTTATGATCCTCAACAAGGGCTCTGCTCAAATTACGCTCAAGAATCCTTTGAACTCACCCTTCTCTATCAAGTCTGTGCACGCTGCTGTTGTCTTCAAGCCCTCCTCTGGTGCTGCTCCCTTCACTGTAGGTACCATTGACTATGATCTCTCTAGTCCCGCTACTGTACCTGCTCAGGGTCAATTAACTACCGATGACTGGCCTGTCAAAATTGTTGGTTCTGGTATTGAACATCTTGGTCAAATGCTTGGTTTGTTGCTTGATCCCGCAAAGTACTTTGACGTGCAACAAAATGTCACTGTGTCTGTTGGCAGTGGTGATGGCTATAATACTGAAATGTTCTACTACCAAGACAGGGTTCCCTTCACTATCTCCATTGACGGCCTTCCCCCAATTGGTATCACTGCTAGCTCTCTGTCCAAGATGTCTCTTCCCTCCAACATTACCTCTGAAACTGATCCCAATAAATTGGAACAAATGATCAAAGATATTTTGGCTGGAAAGACACCTACCAGCAGCGTTATTGCTTCTACTGCCAACGCTACATCCACTGCTACTGCTTCCTCCTCTGCAGCCAAGACATCTGATACTGCCACTGAGGTGACAGTGACAACAACCAAGGCTACTGATGATAGCAAGCCCACCGATAGCACAACTGAAGCCAAGGCTACCCCCACTGAAGACTCTAAAAAGTCTGACACTGCTACTACCGAAGCTGCTGAAACCACAACAAAAAAACCTCTGTTCTCGCTTCCTTTCTAGAGCATCATTTCTCCTCACTGAACAATAAATTGGTGTACAATCTACTCAACATGTACACTTGATATAAAAAATAATCACATTAGCACATTTCACTATATAATTATCTCTTAAATACAAATGTATACTCTTTTCTAATTGTTTGCAAATTGCTCAACTAATAATTAAAACATCTTTTTATTTATTCAAAGTGCATGCACTATTTAAACTATGCAAACTTTTATACCATGCCCATGCTGTCTTCAAACCTCACTTGTTCAGTAAATGATTCCGATGCTGATTGGTATTTTGTATTCATTGCGGTTCAAATGATGTCGATTTTTCCGCTATAACTCATCAGCATTGTTCTCAACAAGCCTCAGTCTAACATGCTTTTATCAAAACGTAGCTCCCTCAACAAATTTTACTATACCTGCAACCAGCAATCATCATCATAACATAATAAATTTATTGTCCCTAAACACTTTCAAAGCCTCAAAAAGGAGAAAAGTTGATCTTGCAAGTATTTTGGTGGGCTAGCATTATTAGTTGCAAGGCTCCAGAAGAAAATAGCATGGCTAATAATAATGCTATATAATTTGTCACCTACTTTCCATACGCTTCAAAAAGCATGTATTACTGTATTGCCTTCATGGTGAAAAGGGCATTGAGTTTGCCAGCTAGCCCCACCAGCCGCCAAAATTAATGTCAACTCAGACTCTTAGTGTACTCCAGATTGGCCAAATTCTGATGACTTCGACTCGATTGAACTATTTTGGCAGATTCGACTATATAAAATATGCTGATCATCTTATACGCCTTTAAGCTTTCTTGGAGTGCTTTTCAAGGCGCATCCAATGGTACCAAGTAAGGTGAATGTTTTGAATAAATTTATTGAGCAATTTAAAAAAAACATGAAAAGAGGTTTCTGGCCAAAATCTTGAAATTTTACATATCAAAGTCCCACAAAGATGATTTCAGGGTTTACGTTAGACCGATAGAAACATTTTGAATTAATATGTACCATAGTAAAAAACCTTCATTATCAAGGTCAAAAACGCGATCGTTTGATTTTCGATGAAAACCATGAGGGGTACCTCATGCTTTTTGGTAGAATTTTGGCCATTTTTTTTTGGTCCCCAAAAAATTGAGCAGAAGTATCAGAAAGTAACTGCCAGATGAGAGCAACTGTTTTGTACTATGCCGACGATCTAAAACGGCCTTGGACGCGAGAAAACGCAGCTCAAATGCATTCAAATTTTGCTGTATCATGGACACTAAGGACTAAAAAGTGGAAATACCAGTATGCTACTTGCCCGTATATAAAGTAGCTACGTGTATATGGATGTGAAGCATCACATAAAAATCAGATCCACAGATAATATGAAGGCTTCTCGTGTGTAAGTGGATGATTAAAATGAAAGTAGCAGGATTTTGATAAGATAAGCAAGCGAAATTGGTAGCGTGAGCTGCCGCTTTGCAGGCTGAGCCTCATTAAAGTCAAGCGAAAGTAGAGAGTCATCCGAAGCATAATCACACTCGTATTTATATAATGCCAATCAATTATCAAGATTAAATCAGATAAAAAGCAGTGAAATCCTGCTCAAATACCCCCCATTTTTAGATGCATATACCAGATCCCAAATTGCCCACAGAGCTCTATTTTCTCTTGAATACGAGTTGATGTATGTTGAAGGTTGACAAAGGAGCAAATGTAGCATTGCATGTCTTGTGGTACCATCTTTATCTTTTTGATATATGCTTGGACCGGTCACAAATGATGATGATTTGAAATTACGTTCATGAAATGTGTTCGTAATCCTTCCTCTTTTCATTCCTTTCATACAACAAAATCCGCATGGTATGAGCCTTCACCCTGACTACAAATAACACTGTACTAATGCTCTAATTCAGTTTAATAATTTTGACGACGATGATGCCTTTGGCGTGCCTTTCTTTGGGGGTTTACGTCCAAATCTCGGCGGTGGCGGCGGCTTTATGAATCCCAATAGAGGTTTCTCAGAGACCTACCGTTGTTTTCCTACAGCCATGATGCAGCAAGGCAGTGACAGAGAGAATGTCAATTACGGTGGCAAGAGTAAGTGTGCAGCGGTGTCCTTTGATAGCATGGATGTCTTATTGTGTATGTATACATCTAGTCATCTTACCCCAATCTGCATTGGAGAAACTTTGTAAGTGGCGACGAATTGAATTCACTTCAAACAACCAGCGGCTAACGATAAATCAATAGCACAACTCAACATCTCATACCCTATGTTGTTTAGATTGACCAACAATGCTGAACAGAAACACAGCCATGCAGGTGTGCTTGAATTCACTGCTGAAGAAGGACGAGTCTACTTACCACAATGGGTATATATACGCAAGTTATTGCTGGCGAACAGATGGATTCATATTTCTACGCTTAGATGATGGAGACATTAGACAAAGAACCCGGAAGCCTTATTGAAGTAAAGAATGTGACATTACCATTGGGCACTATGGTCAAACTGCAAGCACAATCAACCGACTTTCTAGAAATCACCGACCACCGTGCTGTGTATGTACATATGCCATGCGTAGGATAGATCTTGTACTGATACCATGCATAGACTGGAAAAGGCGATGCGTAACTTTTCAACATTGACAGTGGGCGATATAGTGCAAATCAGCTACAACGACAAAGTGTACGAGATTAAAGTATTGGAAGTCAAACCACACTTTGAGGATCATCAGGGTATTTCCGTTGTAGAAACCGATTTACAAGTGGAATTTGCAGCACCTGTCGGCTATACAGAGCCCAGCAGCCAAAAACCAGCACAAGCAGCAGTAAATATTGGGTGGAATGTCTGGATGAAATGTATACATGTCTAATGCTTCTGTATAGAAGAGTCATATGGTCATTGATGCACCCAAGCCTGTCAAAACTGGATTTGCAGCATTTGAAGGAGGGGGACAAAGTCTTCGCGGCAAGAATAAAGGGTAGGTGATGGGAGGATTGAACTCGGCGCTGGCGACCCTATTGACATTGGATTCAGTAGCACATTAGCAGATGGCTCAAATACAATGGAAACAGACACTGTCAACGAGAATGATGATGGACCTCTCAATCTACCATTTGGCCAGCTTTACTTTGGATTCCCTATTGTGCCTCCACCATCTGAAGACGACGATAAAAAGGTGGAAAAGAGCAAATTTGCAGGTTCAGGTCAGACATTGAGAGCAAAGAAAAAGTAAATGGAAAGCATAATAAAACGAGGACATGTGTCTGTCTAGCTTTTCATCTGTAAAATTAAAGTTGCATGATAGTTGGGATATGAGACTTTTCAGTTGATCAGGGGCGTAACATTCATGCAAGAGAGAGAGAGAGAGAGAGAGAGATGGATCCATGCTCAAAAAGTTAAATTAAACGCTGCTGTTCTGAATGGCATGTATGCCTATAGACGGATTGAAAGCCTTGCGCAACAAACAAGAGGGTAACGTGGTATTGCAACAACCACGTTATTTTGCTCAACTGGGATTCAATAAAGCCGATTTGGTGGGAGAGATGGACCAAATGATACGATATCCTCTTTTTTTCTATTATCTTTCTATTATCGTTTGATATGACAAACTACCAGCAACGCATCAGCGACTTACTTGAGTGCTGCCAAAATGAATGGGTCACTCTGGAGGCGCTTGCCAGAGAGCCCAATGCGACATCCTCCATCCATTATGCCAGCAAGGATCTGCGGGAAGGCATTAAAAAGCTGGTGCAATTACAGGACAATCTCGACGACATAGGCACCATTGTAGCCAACAATTCAGAATGGAATAAGAAGGCAGACATACTCATGGAAGATGTGCGCAAGAAGCTGCAATTTGCATCCAAACGTAAGCATGTCAATCTGAGTGTGTATGTTTACGCTAGATGTGAATTAACGTTTGTTGTTGTTGATAGTTACAGCCAACGTAAAACCACAAACAAGTCAGTCCTCACCGTTGCGGCTATCCACCTCCCAGAGCTTTAAATCAACTACATTCACCCACAATACAACTATTAATACGCATAACAACACCAATGATACACCTAATAGCATATCCGATATCAAGGAAGAAGACGAGGAGGAGGAAGAGGAGGGCGAGGAGCAGTTTTTAGACGCTTCAGAAGAATTACCCGAACAGGTAGCTTCACCCGTAGATTTCTCAGTAGAGCCAACGTCCAGCAGCGATTTCATCAAGCCCAGCAGGTCCTCTTCTTCATCATCGTTATCAAAGACACAAGAAAGCAAGCCAGCATTTGGCCGTCGATCGATTCTTGTAAGCCTGTGGTCATGCTTCGCATTCACTGCTCAATGACACTGACAGCAATTGTAGGCAGACGAGGATATGAAAGTGGTGAACAAGGAAAAGAAAATGAGTATATTCCCCTTACTGAAGGGACTCAAGACATCGCAATCGACACCAATTAATGGAGCACAAGCACAGATTAACTTTTTCAAGAACGATAATGTGGAACCAGATGCCAAGCATTTCATTTTTGCAACAGATGCCATTGTGGATCATCCTTTGAGAATTGGCGTAGGATACGGCAGCTACATTTGCTACAGTTGCACCATACTGAGTGATAAGGTACACATAGCGTCATGGAGCATGAGAGAGGAGGAATAACAGACACTGATATGGTTGTTAGGGAGCTCCCATCACAGTGCGAAAGAGATACTCAGATTTTGTTGAATTGCGAGAAGAACTCGTCAAGCAATATCCCACCTTAAAAAGAAGTATACCTAAGCTACCGCCCAAGAAGGTGGTAGGTAAATTCACACCAGCATTCGTGGAGCAGAGACGAAGAGACCTTGAGTACTTTTTCAAATACGTTGTATTACATCCTACATTAGGTGCAAGTCCAATTGTTAGACATTGGATAGCACCTTGAAATAAAAGACAGACAGTGCGTGTAGTTACTTGTGTGTTGTATCAGTATGCTATTGTAAATTTTTTCTTTTCCTCTCCCTCTTCTTTTCTTCCCCCCCCCCTCTTCCTTCTTTGTTTCAACCCTATTCATTTCCCTGCTTTGTTCGTCATGAGCCACACGCCTATGGATCTCGACTCTTCGTTAGACGATCTTATTAAGAAGAGAAAGTCATCTGGTTCTGATAGAAGCAGATCCAGAAAGCACAGCAACAACAAATCCAAGAAACAGCAGCAGCAACATCAAATGTCATCTCGACCCGCTCTCCAAACCAGCAAGGCCAAAGTATCCAAACCTACACCACCACGTAGCAATTCTGGCATCAACGCACGATTAGTAAGTAGACGCACACTGCAAACATTACGCGTATGTAAACTGATCATCTGTATCTTAGTCCACCTCCAGTGGAAACTCCCCTTCAGGCCCTCTATTCACAGCCAAAAACACACCACCTGCAAAACGAACCACACCCAAAGCTGATCCTTCTCAAATTATCATTACAAAGGCTATACCTACCTCAAATGCTATTTCAAACAGAATTGGAAGTGGTGCTGGAAACGATAAAAAGATGAAAAGCGTCATTGCTAGCCGTTTGGGATCTCAGCCTAGACAACAACAACAACAGCAACCACAGATACAATCCCAAATACTTCGTCCACTACCAGCAACACAACAACAACAGCTCTACATGCCGTCTTCCAGCATACAATCTTCTAGAGATCCCATACAAATCAGAGGGATGTATCAACCAGAGTATGTCGAGCCAGGGCAAGGAATCTCTATTCGTGGCAGATCAAACACAGCTACAGCAAGACCTGGCATATCCATCAGAGGTGAATCTGGACCTACGACCGTTTTGATGACTGGACTCGATGCCTATGCTAATAGTGATGATGTTAGGGTAAGTCATTATGCTTATGCACACCTGTCAGAGCCACTCATCTCTCTTTTTTTTTCAGCTTGCTGTGGAAGATTTCGGTAATGTCTTGAGCTGTGAGGTATTAAGGGATCGTCAAGGTCGTTCTTTTGGAGAAGCTGAAATCGAGTTTAGCTCAAAGGACGCAGCATTGGACTGTATTGCGGCACTGGATAATAAATTGGCAGATGGTAAGTTTTGGCAGGCATAGTTTTGTGTATAAATGGTGGTGATTAACACGGTAGAACAAGGCCGCATTTTGCGCATCATTTTAAGAGAACCAAAGAAACCACAAACTTATGCTCAAAAGCAACTTCGATCCATGGTTCAACCTTCGTATGCGTAAGTAGTAGATCTTGTGCATGTCATGTTTCTATTCTCACTTTCGCAATGAATAGCGTGTCGGGCAAAATGTATTCAGATCAGTTAACACCACGATACGACATTTATCGTCAATAGAAGGCTAAATGCAGCGCCCACCATTTTTTTTTTATATATATACACGCACTCACAATCAAATGCACACACACTCACCCACAACCCATTCAACAAACAACGAATATAAAACAAGAATAAATGTATACATCAATCAATTCAATATCTACGCTAGTAAGGAACCTCACCAAAAATATCGATAAAATTATATTCACCACATGTAGAGTATATTGAACACAAGTAATAAAGCCTTTGAAATGTCATTTTGAAATGGGTGCAATGGATTGAAGCGAAAATGTGAAAAACTGAATGTTTAAAAACAAGAGGCAGAGAGAGAGAGAGAGAGAAAGAGAAGAAAAGGGAACAACGCAATAAAATTAGAAGGATTGTGAGCCAAAGAACGTTTGTGCTTGCTCAAATAAATCTTGGTATCAGTTCCAGAGCTGAAGTACTTAGTAAAGGATCCTAAGTTGAACGAGATCGTATCCATACGGCAGCTTGACGTTATCAATACATTGCAATATCTTGTTCTAATGATTAGCTTAGGTCCATGATCATGCTAAGTGAGCTGCATTTAAAGAAATTCATACCTTGAGGAAGTATTTGGGAAGATTGATGTGGTTAACAAGAGTCTGCGTTCATGGTGAGCATCCTCAAGTGTATATCGCCAACAGGGCTCTACGATGTTCAGCACCAGCTATTATCGACCTTTACAAATAATTGCTCCAAAAATAGTTGCCCAGTTACAAATCTTGCGTTCGAATGGAGGAACCCGTCTTTGTCTACTAGTTCCATCGCATCTCTCCCTAATTCTTGGATGAATTTCGATTTTTCTAACTTACAACATTATTTAGCAATGATCATAGACAAGTCATCATCATTGACTTACAATTTGGCTACTATCTTATCAAACAAAAACACTGCTTCAGTCGTGCACATGACATATGGTGTATCTAAAGGGTCTGGCATAGAGGCATGTCATGCACACGGCTCAGGACCATTAAGCAGCGGTTTCACGATTGATGATGATGACATGAGAAGATACAACCTTGCTTTTGTGCTGTGCAAGATAGGATCCCATCTGCCAAGTCCAATGATGGCCAATCTGTCTTCTTGGATCTCTGCCATCATGTTAAGCGCATCACAAGCTGCAAGAATAGCTGTTCTTCAATCAAAACTAATTGCGAAAGTGCATGAATTGGACAAAGAGCTGGATAAGGTGGGTGAAATGGGTGTCATGACACATATACTGATTGACATTTTGACATTGTGTTTGTGATTCAGGTACGTACGGAATGCATCGACGCTAATACAAGAGCGCGAGCATGATATTGATAGGTACATGAATCCAACGTTTGATTTTTGTATCACCACTCTACCTAAAGACAAACTTGACACTGATAATATCAAACATTTTTTATAAGCTACAAATAATAATCTTTTTATTCTCTGTGCTTAACAACGGATAACTCATGCCACAAAGCGTTTTGAGCGCTTGGAATAGCGCCACACGCCTTCTCTTGGCCACGCTTTACTTTCTAATACTTTATCTCAATCTTTTTTGGGTCATTGCAAATTCATGAAAATCCTCATTTTTGCATGAGTACTAGCAAGGGAGAATTCTTGAAAATCAAACAATCGCGTTTTTCACTCCAAAAGTGAAGACTTTTCCTATGATACATATTAGATCAAATTGATCGTAAAGACGAAATGCAACATTGGAAACTCTTTCTATAAGATCTTCGTATGCTAAATTTTGACATATTCTCAGAAAACCCATTTTCACATCTTTGAAGATTGTTCATTATTTTCAATGTGAAAGCTGAATATAACCAGCACCATTCGATGCGTCTTCATTGACTCTTTATAAATGCATTAGAAAGTAAAGTGTAACAATGACAATTTTCATAGTCAAGTTTAGCAGAAACGTTTAAAGAATGTGAAATCAAGTCGAATTTGAACACGAAAATACCCACTGCACAATTTCAAATTAAATTGCCGCAGTTACGGCTGTTACGGTACAAGACTGAGACTAAATCTACTGGTCGTGACGTCGGATAGGAGGCCCTCTCATTTTTTCATAGCACCGTTTTTTATCCTTTTTACAAAACGCGTTTATCATCAAACCACATATTTGTTTTGGAACCCTTTTGATTCAAAATAACATTCTAGCTTCTGATAACACGGCTTTGTATTGTTAAAAGTACTTGATATAGCTTCTTTAAAGTGGAATCTAGTAAGTACCATTCGATAACGAGCACTGAAAGGCGTAGAGTTAACACTAATAATTGAGCTTGTTTATTAGGTTTAAATAATTTTTTGCTTGTTTGAGTGAATACTGCTGCCAATACTTTTCTGCCATCTCTGCTGCCTGCTTTTTTGGTCTTTGTCTGGTCTCTTCTGGTGGCGTTCGTACTTTGGTTTGTCTATGGTGCTGGTGTTGCTACTACTGCTACTGCTAATATGGTCTTTTCTGGTCTACAGTGTTTGGTGCATGCTCGTTCTCTGGTGTCGCTCGTTTTTTGGTTTGTCTATGGTGCTGGTGTTGCTACTACTGTTGCTATTATGGTCTTTCATGGTCTACTGTGTTCGGTGCATGCTCGTTCTCTGGTCTATATTCGGTGATTACGTATCCTCTGGTCTATCTACGGTGATGGCAAGTTGTAAGTATCTTCTTTCTTCTGGTCGCAATGATATAAAACTTCTTTGAACGCTTATATTATTGCTTCCTTTCTCATGATAATGCATTCATGATGTTTGTTTTGTTGCGTTTTTCTTCTTTTGTTGGTTGTGTTGCTTTACAACCGACTGTTACAATGCATGTTGCTCATATATGCATTTTTGTTGCAACAACATCGAGCTGTTTTGAACGTCTCTGATGTTGTATTTGTTACACTTTTCTTTTACTCACTTTGTGTGAGTATCCCTTTTTTTGCCTACGTATTGCTATACTCCTATAGTAGTATGTTCTTTTCTTTACCTTCTTTTCTTTTATTATGTTTCTTTTGAAGCATATCTTTTTTACGTTGTGTGGATGTGCCTATCCCTGAAGCTCAACAGGACTCTATCCGAGGCTAGGAGGTAGATAGGCTGCCTTCACTTGGTTATCACTACTTACTTTAGTGATGATTGAGGGTCTCAATGCCAGAATTTAAAGCTAGGTGATGTAAGTAAGGCATGCTCTAGCGCCTGGGGGAAGTTTGATGATAGCAGCAGCTATATTGCTATTATAGCGGCGCTTAAAATTTTGCCTCACCTCAAACCAGGGGGAAACCCTCGCAAATTTTTTTTTAGGTTAGCGGAGTTTTCAAGCAATTTAATTGGCTCAGAGGTTCAGGGACCGAAGGATTCTAGCTAGTTGATCTCCTATTGAGCTGTCATCTATAATGAGTTTATATTTGTAATAAAAGGGTAGCAAAATAGATGCAATTTAAAGCCTTCTTTATTTAACAGTGCAATGAAATCAGGTTTAAGGATTTCACAAAAAAAATATAGCAATAATAAAAATACAATAGAAATCAACTGTATTTTATTTTTGTATAAAATGAACTGAAGATCCTGTGTGGAATTTGAGGCTTTATAGACTAAAATTCACGGAAAAAAAAGAATAAAAAAAAACAGTAAAGTCAACTTGATAAAGGTATTTTTTATTATCAAACTGACAGGTGTAAAGTAAACAACTGAAGTATCTCCACTACTGGCCAGGTAGATGATCCTTCTTATTATATACTATAACAATAGATAAAAGTTCTATTAATTAGATTGACAAATAAGTCAACTCAGATCAACTAATGTCTAATCATGCTAAAAGACAACTCCAGCAAGCTAATCATGATTTAGCTTTGCCTGGATGAATAATTAGACTCTCATCCGAAGTACCCTCCTGATCTATCCTTTCTATAAGGATACTTAATATCGATCTAATAGCATGTATCCGATAGGTACAGTCTACTTAGTCTATATTAATGGTACATATCTGAGTGTATATTGCTAAGCATACATCTTTAGCATGTATCTGGATATATGGCATGTCTATAACATATCGTATGCATGTCTATAGTACGTCTCATATATAGTACAAGTCTGTAGTACATAAAGTATCTGTAGCTAGTATCACGGATATAAGCATGTGTTTTATAGCGTAGATCATAAAGTACACATCTGAAGCAACAAGCTCATATTGCATTAATCTTGGTGCCTATCCAGATATGGTAAACATCCGTAGTCAATGTCGGAATACAAGTATAATTAATAAGTCTATAGCGCCATCCATGTCCGTGGTGCCATCTATAGCCTATATCTTATATAGTATGAATCTTATAGTACTAGCGTATCTGAAGTCCATATCTTCTTATAGTATAAATCGATATCGCACATCTAATCCAATGTACATACAGTTTATATCTAAATCTGGTAACTGGATGAACTGTTGGAATGCAGATCATAGTGGATGTATTCCACAGTTATGTCAAAATACAATATAAAATTGAATCTGCCAAAGAATTACACTTTTATTGAGAATGCATCTCAAGGATGCATTTATATACTTTTCATTATGCTAGAGTTTATAGCATAATGATGAATTATAATACAAACAGGTTTACTATCTACCCAACAATTGATTTGTAAATCATGATTAGCATGATTTACCCAAAGGACCTAAGAATAGCCTAAAGCCTTTAATGTGAGACCTTGCTATGACAATTGATATAACAGTAAAACTAGACCTAAAGTCTATTCACAATATTGGACACTCATAATTCAGGAGAAATGGCGGTGTAATATAGTAGCCATCCAAACGCAACTTGATAGAAAACCGAAATTCATCAATTACTCATTCAAACTCATGCTATTTGAATCTACCAATAAAGCACTCACACGTGCATCAAAATACCATTTAGACATGTTACTAAAGTAAGGATGCACTCTTGTCTCGCACATCGTGTAAATGAATCACTCTTGATCACAGTGTATTCAATCACATTCATGATGGTTGCAATAACGGATGTTATCTTTGTCCGAATAAAATAAAATCAACAACAAACGTACTCAAATACGACAACTATGCCCTGATGTCGTAGTTGCACAATACCCCTTACACCTCAGGCTCTCAAATTTACATTGAATCATGCTATAAAGATAGCTCATCCAAGCCTATCATCAAAATTACTCAAATCGATTTTTATGGCCAGTACTCTTGCATTGGTTATCAATTTAAATCAGACACTAACAACATTTGCTAGCTATCGTCGCAATAGCAGCACTTATTGCTCTTTATCATTACTAATCCTACAAGCTAGTTGCAAATGTATAAATACTCTGCTTTTTTTTTTTACTCAATTCCAGGATTTTCAGTAGTTCAATTTTATACACAATTATTAGCAACCCCTAAAGTGAGTATATAATAGTTGTTCTAATACGAGGTCTCTAGCATTAACCTAAAGTTTGAAAGACTATTCCCCCTTTTGTCAACAAAATGCATTACACACCTTTTGTAGTGAAATTAGATTAAATGAATTTCACAAAAAATAAAGCAAAAATAAAATACACTAGAAATCAACTGTATTTTATTTGTAATCATATAAAGGGGGTTTCAGTTACTACATTATTGGTTGTCAAAAAACATTTAAACCAGGAAACTGTAAAAACGAAACCAAGATAAAAAAGGACAGTGTTTGGGCACTATTCTTTGATCCACAACTACCAACTAGACTTCGTCTCTCCATTAATAAAGCTTGCTCTTCTGTTTCTACTCTACAAAATGAAATCTCGTTTGGTCATCTACAATGCTTCCTTATAAAAGTTAGCTTTTCAGCCGCAAAATTGGAGCTTTCAGTGATCATAAAAGCTCGTATTTCATTAAATGACACTGCGAAAGCAACTATGCGGCGTTCAAGTCTATAAAATAAATATAGATCATGGTATGACTAAAAGTAATGCATAAATATGATTTTATATGCGCCACTGTAGCAAACGCTAGCCTTGAGCAATCTTTGTTCGCTTTTTGGTAGGAGCTGACCTATTGGGTACTATAGATATATGAGAACCGATGCTACATATCCCAGTAAGAACTCAAACAATAGGTAACTGTTAGGTCTACGAAATGAATATTTCTCCCGGTACTTGGCACTGATTTGGTATAGATGCTTCCTTTGGAGCCTCTTGAAAAAAACGAAAAACTAGTTTTTTTTTTAGTGGGAGAACTATTGAAGGTAGTATCATTCAATGCTCATTTTAGCTCTATGAAGACTTACTATGAACTAAGAGTAATGATTACTATTAAACAGAACACGTTTGAACGATTCGAAAGGTATCAGTAGTATGCATCATATTGGTTTCAAAGTAGTAGGACCTCACGGATCTGATGTGAGCCGAGTTACATTCGACAGACACGATGTGCAGCCATGCGCATCGCCGTTGACTATTTACAGTTTGCACCTGTGCATTGTATGCGCAATAATGCTGCCTCGCTACATTGCTGAATATAACTGTAATCTATGTCAAGTCTGTTTACAATTTCGAGAGATTTGCCGAATTTCGCTTGACCCTGAAGACTATGTTCTTGTGAAATAACTGATTTCAAGCAAAATTATCTAATAAATGGCTCATACGATGAGACAACTTCAGGCATTTCTTTTATAGTTATATCAGTTTTTGAAAACGGGACGTTGATGTCATTAGCAACAATATCAAAAGCATTGGTTATTGAAATAAATAGGAATTAAACGATAAAATATGGTTTATACAGGGTGGAATTAAATAAAGAAGAAAATCAGTATGTAGTTACTGCTTTAGCATCTTTGTTGGTATCGTATACTTGCTTGTATGTAGTTGAGTGTATAAGAGTGCTTGAATTATTTACATTGGTATTATTTACTGCTATTTAAAACGAACTCATGGCTGAATCGGCTCTGTCGCGGAATGAGTGCCCTCCCGTTGCTTGTTCATACAAGATATTCTCCATGAATTCGCCTTGTTCTTTCAGAGTCTAAGAAAAAGAAAGGCATCAGCATACAGAGATCATACGACGAGATTAATTCAACTTACATCACGAGCCAACAACGAGTTGGTCAGCATAGTCTCTCTTCGTTCCAATTGCTTCTTTAACTGCTGAATGATTTCATCTTGCTCTTGACACTTCTTCTTTTCCATATCCAGATGTCTATCACGGTCCTCCAGTTCTTGTCTGAGCTCCTGATTCAGTTTGGATAAAAGAATGTGTTTGTCTGCTGCTCTGTCATTGTGCTCTGATTTCTTATTTTGGTCCAGCAGCGAATTGAGCAATGCGTTCTTTTTGGTAGAAGATATCAGCTTTTGTTTCAATAATCGTACTTGTTCTGTTTGTTTGGCCAGCTGCTCAGTGGCTTTTCGTTGCTCTCGCTTTGTGTCTTTCATCTTGGCCTCGAGTGTTTGTTGATACTCGTTGTCTTGTGGCGTGCTGTGATTCTGCTGTAGCTGCTCCTCTAGTTCCCGCACTCTGTCTTGTAGTTCTTCCATTTCCTCACGCAACAACTCCTTCTCTCGCTGCATTGTGTCCGTTTTCTGCTCAAAATTGCCTTCCAATGTTGCCATGCGCACTTCTCTGTCTCGAATAGTGACAATTAGCTCATTGTACTGTTTCTCCAGCAACTCTTCGCATTCCCGCTTTGACTCCTCCAATTCCAGTAGCACGCTTTTAATTTCTTGATCTTTCTTTTTGATTTCGTCTTGTGTTTTGGATACATGGTCTTCAAACGCTTCAATGTCGTTGTCGTGCGACTCGTTAACTGATTTGAGTTCGTTTTTGAGCATGTTGATTTCCTCCTCTAATTGTAGAATGCGCTCGTCTGCCTCTTGCGTGTCCCTTCCTCGCTCGTTCTCCTTGTTTTCCAAATGCGACAGCAATTTCACGACTTCTGCTTCCAAGGCCTCAATCTCTTGCTCGCGGTCCTGTATTTCGTTGGCCAGCTCGTCATTTTCGTCCTCCAGTCGACGGAAATTGTCAATCAAAGTGCCCATGTTTTCATTGTTCACCCTTAAATCTTCGTTTTCCTCCAACAGCTGATCACACTCGATTGCCTTATTTCGTAATTGTTGTTTTGTTTCATGTAAATTATGGTTATATTGATCCAATTCCAATTTTAGACTATGGATTTGCTTCTTTTTTTCTTGTAAATCTAAGGCCATGGCGTCACCTCTCTCCTTCTCCAACTGCAATTCGTTTTCCAATTGTCTGTTGAGCTTTGTGTTTTTTGCAATCACAGCATCTCTCTCTGATAACATGGACTTTATCAAGTGATCGTCGGTTTGGTTGCTGTGGTTGTTGTTATAGCGACTGGATTGCTGGATAATTCTTTGTTGTTCCTCAATCTTTAGTTTGGCTTGTCTGTATTTGCGCGATAGCTCTTGGTAATCTTCATTGCTGCTGCTACTGGTACTGTTGTTGGAAGACGAGATATCTGTAGTAGAGCTGGTGTTTCTGGATCGAATGGTGGATCGTAATCTCACATTTTCTGATGTCACTTCTGCCAACAAGCGGCTTAAATTGTCGTTTTCATCATGGCATTGGTCTGCATCTGATTTGACTTTTTCAAATTCCTCTCTCTCTTGCTCTGTCATACCATGCTGCTTTGTACATGGTTGATTCTTCAATATGTCGAGGCCCTGATTCAGCTCCAGTATAATGTTCTTGTACTTTTTCAACTCTTGCGTGAGCTTTTGGATTGTCACTTTGAGGCTGACATTCTATGGCAAAACTATTTGAGCACAACTGGTTGTGTGTGGTGCTTTCGTATCTTGTTGCATACCTCTTTCAAAGCCTGATCAATGCTATCACTGGACATATCGTTTAGCCTTTGCTCGTAAAAGTACAGGCTAAGTCTCAAATCGAAATTCTCCTTTTTCAAACCGTCCATTGTCTATATCTATTGTTAGCATTTGGTACACACAACCAAAGAAGAAGGTCTTTACTTGCATTTTCCTGATGCTTCAATGCCAAGGAACCATTTCGAAGGTAGTCTTTTGGCTTTAGTGTTGGAGATTTAGCAGCCTGTTGTCGTTCCACTGCAGGCTTTTTGCTGCTGATGGACAGTGGAGAAGTCATCAAGGGCCGCGATGTATGAACATCATCGATGAGTGAGACGTTTGTTGTGGACATTTCATCATCAAAACGATTCATTGTGAACTGTATTGAAGAAGAAAGAAAAAAAATGGAGAAAAAGAGGGCACACTGAGTGTTAAACATCTGATTTTTATTTTATAAATTCGGGTTAAGGAGTAAAAAAAAAATAATGATACAACTTAAAATGAGATGACGAGGGCCACAGCTCTTTGAGGAATTCTATCCTTCTCGCTGGAATTAGCAGGTACTGAAATGGTAAACAGCAATTCAGCTCTATCGGAATTGAGATACACGGGCAATTCAACCAGATTTTGAACTTGTTGCTGCTGATTCTCCTTCTTGATCCAGCGAACAGCGATAAGCGGCAATTTACTGGTAGGCTCTGATGTCAGTTGAATTTCATTATCCTGCCATTTACCACCTTCCATCTTCATGCCACGAATACGATAGCCTTGTGTCTGCTTTGTATCTCCAATATCGACATCCAATACGAGTTCTTCCAAAGACCATTTGAATCGCTGTGCTGTTGCTTGTCTTGTGGCTGTAATGTAGGCTTCAGGAGTAAACAGACTGCCAATAGCAATCTCGACCTGATCAAATGAGGACTCCTGGGAGAGGGATTCCACTTGCTCCAAACGCAGCTTGAGATCAGCGAGCCAGGCGTTCAATGAAATGCTCTTGGGTACCTTGTATCGCTTCCAGTGGTCAGGAATCAGACCCTTGTTCAGCCAGCTCATCAATTGACGCAGATGGTTGGTTTGCTTGAGCTCGCCAACGCACACCTTTTGCAGTTGAGTGAGATCTTCACGAATGACGCCGAGCAATTTACGAGCAATTTGGTTCTCGCGCTCAAAGAATCTGAACAGAGGATCCATGATACCAGAGCTATCGCGTTGCATGGCCTTGATGTGAGAAGGCAGCAATGTCAACCAGTTGGTGATGGATGCACTCAAGGCACGCATCCAAGCAGGTTGAGCATTGTTGGTTGCCTGCTTGTTACTCGATGCACCGCTAGCACCAGCAGAAGCGTCTTGTGTATAGGCAGTCTCATCGTCATCGCTCAAACTCTTCATCTTGCGCACCTTGGACAGCATGTTGTTACCCTTCAACGTCAGCAAGACACGCTCAGCATTGCCAGGAAGACCAAGCCAGGTGGGAGGTTCACGGTCAGGCAATTTGCCCACCCATTCAGTGAATTGCTCCATCTTGGTACCGTCAGGCACGACAATCGATTTGTCATTTTCACCGTTGCCCTTGACCAGCTCGAAATCAATATCATAACATTCAGGCGTGAAGAGTGTGTTGACAAAGGAGTCCAGGAGACGTTGGTCGTACTCGTTATCAATGCGATTACCGTAAATAGATTGCTTCAGCAGTGAACGGATTGCATCCCAAGGGATCTTTTCAGGCGAGATATTGGCTCTGCCACCAGAAGCAGTGTCTAACCACTTATCAATGGTATTGAAAGCACAATCTTGATCAGAGTCGTTGAATTCATACACCTTGGTCCAGCCCAATGGCACATAGCGAAGACGTTCTTGAACAATAGCATGCAACCATGCTAGCATAAAGTAGAGACGAGCGCGTTCAGAGGGACCACGGCTCAAGCGAGAGGGAGGAATGCTGCCGAGGGACTCTTGGAGATTGGCCTTGATTCCTGGAGGAGGCTCAAACATTAAGATACGAGACATTCTCAACAGATTGACAGGCACCTTGGGGTTGGTTTCCATGGTTAGGAAGAGTCTGAAGCTGCGATGAGGTTTCATGCTGTGCAGTTTCTTTTCCAGTTGGCCCAGCCATGAGGGAGCAAGATGCACATTCTTGAGCATGACCCAGTTACCTGTCTTAATGGCAGTAGAGATGGCTTGATCAGCCAGAGCAAAGCCTTCAGCAGAACCCATGGCAACCGATGTGCAGCGCATGTTGGTTTCCGAGACCAAATTGTCAACACGGTAACTAGCATCGTAACCAGGTACAGAGCAAAGAGCTAAAGGTGTAGAACTGCCCACTTCATCATTGACGACTTGTTGCAAGTTCAGCTCACCCGCGTTCATAAAATCAGCATCAAAGATTTCAGTAGCGAAAATAGAGGTAGCAGGTAAGAGACGATCAGATCTGAAGCACTTGATAACCAACATTTTACGAAGAGAATCCAGTGAACCTAAATTAAAAGAATGAGAATGCTTCCATGTATATTCCACCAGCAAACTTACGGTTACTACCAGCACCTTCCCAGCACAAGGGAACCACAGTTTCAGGCTGATTGTGCTCCACAAACACTCTCCAGTCATTTTCATTAGCAATGATATGATCAATCATCTTGTTGAAGCAAGTCAGCGTAGAAAACTCCTTGATACGTTGTGCCGTTTCATCAGAAATAAAGTCGGGCAATCCCAAGCTAGCTGCAGTCAGGGTAGAACCCACCACAGCATCACCACCACTCAGTAGGAAATCATATTCAGTTTCGTCCATGTTCTCTTGCGAACCACGAATACGGATTTGACACAATAAGACTGCATACATGGTATGATCTTCATGCACCAGAGTACGAGAAGCACGCTTGTAGGCGGCAGAGAACAGGTCGCGAGAGAGAATCTCCAAACGCTCCGTAGGATCAGTGATGCCCTTCAAGTTGGGATTGGCATGAATGACATATTCAAAGATTTCGTAAAAGAAATCAAGCGAGAATTGGTAAAAATGGTTGACCAGATTGAGCTGCTCCATGGCAAAGAAGATGGAACTACAGGCATGTGCCAAAGGTGTGTAGATGGCAGTTGTCTGTTCGACTTCCTGCATGACAGTGTTGGTCTCATCCACCTTGCGTGTAATATCTGCTGCTTCCTTCTTGAGAGTCTCCAAAGTGTCAATCACCTTGTCATCATCCAGAATGTTACCCTTGGATTCATTCAAAGCCTGAAGCAATGCTTTTTCCAAATGACGCAGCTTGAGCTGGAATTCACCTTGCAACTTGATCAAATCGGTTCGCTTTTGATCCACATCGGGTCGCTCAGCCTTCAGCACCTTGTTCAAACATTGACTCTGCAAACTACCTCTTGTCACAGTAAAGTTGACAAATGTCACACGAGAACAAATATCAGGCACAAAGTTGACTGAAGGATCACGCGTAGACAGGAACAGTGTAAAGGCAGGAGAGAAATCAATGTCCTGGTTGCCCAGGCGAATCAGCACACGACCACCAGTACGACGCAGCTCCTTGTTGAGCACAGGATTCAAGATGGGGTCCAGATGCTCGACGTCTTGAATCAGAATGGGGTTACCGAAACGCAAGGCACTTTCGAGGTTTTTGATGAAACTGTCATCTAGGAAACTGGTGACAGTGATCTTGCGGTCCTTGTACTCGTTGATCAAAAAGTTGGTTGCTTGGCCAGAGGGATCAATGATCAGAGGATATCTGTCAAAGCGCTTCAGCATAATGGCATTTTCAATACAGAGTTGATCAGCAGGGAGCGAGTTGGCTTGCCATGAGAGACGTTCATCAGCAGTAGACAAATACTCTGTGAGAGACACTTCGTGCTTAAATTGAATGTTGGCAGCCAACAGATGGTCCATCCACTTTTGCATCAGAATATCACGGTACTGTTGATCAAAGTAACCACCATACGCCATAAAGGCAGCAGCCAGCAACACATCACCGACAATTGTACCCATTTGGCTCTCAAATGCTTGACTAGCAGACTCCCAACGCGTCTTTTCAGAGGACAGGGAACTAAGCAATGTGATACTACGATCCACCTTGAACTTGACACGGTCCATTTCCGACTTGATCAGTTGTGTTTCACCCACCAATGCAGCATACTCGCCCTTGTAGCGACCAATACTGGTCTCTAAATCAGCAATCATTTGCTCAATTTCTACAGCTTGATTCTTGGTGTCTTCAGAGCTTTGTTGCAACTGGTTCAGTTCTTCACGCAGAGGACCCACGCGATCCAGGATTTCTGAAAAGTTGCACTGAGCAGACACCCACTTGAAAAGAGGACCACATGCCTTGGAGGCACGGTTGACGATATCGTACTCGAAATTGGGGTTATTGAGGAAGTTTTGGCGCATGTAGTTTCTCAGTTGCTTGGTGATTTGCAATTCCGTGTTGTAATTGACAATGCTTGAAATGAAATCATCACGACGAATGATACTCTGTACAGTCTTCCAGCTGTCAATCTTGTGGCCCAACATGGTACACACAGACTCCATAGTAAGCTTGACGGCTTCAGGAGGGTTACTCATGGAACGCACTTCAGTCAAATGCTGTCTCTTGATGCTTCTGACACTCTGTTCAGCTTCCTTGACAGCAGGTTCAGCGTTGGCTAAATCATTATCGACCACTTGACGACGGGCTTCGATTTCCTATGGAAGAGTTAGATGAGTATGCTGCATTGTGGTGCATCTGAAATGCTATACTTACTCTATTTTGAATCTTCAGGTTCTTTTTGATTTCAAGCGAATCGGCCTTCTTTTGCTCTGTGATCTTTTCATCGGCCAACATTTGTTTGATCTTTTCATTTGCTTGTGCTTCTTTCAGCTCCAATTGATTCTTCTTGATGGCAAGACTCTTTCTCAATTCTTCAACCTTGATGACAGTATCCTTGAGCTTCTCCAAACCCACGTTCAAATGGCGTTGCTGCTCTTCCAAATCTTCGCGCTTTTCATTGTACAAACGGACATAATGAGAGATAAAGTCGAGGAAATGGCGAGGTGTAGCATAGTTATGACGCCCTTGACGCTTGCTGAGCTTGGCATTGATCTCATACAGTGATTGGTGCACATACACAAGGGCATTGACAACGGCTTCACGATGACTAGGTGGAATAGGCAGGTTACGGTAGGCAATAGGAAAGTTGATAGCAGGGGCAAAGTTGGGTACATCCAGATCCAATGTCTTAGTAAACTCCATACCCACTTGATAGAAGGCTTGATCGGGCCAGTCACCAAACCAGTCGAGAACACAACGATTGAACAGGGCAGGTGATGTAGCAGCACGCGATGCAAGGCCACCTTCAGGAGGATTCATAGTAAACACAACATGGAGATTTCGCATGACTTGTTGGTTGAACCACTTGTACAGTTCTTCGTTGGAATCCAGCATCAGACCATCACGTTGAGCACCTTCCTTACAGGCTGTCATCAAAGAGGCGTATTCATCACCTTCAAACAAACCAGGCACTTCAGCATTAGCAAGCAGTGTGTTCATGCGTTCCAGGAAACCGGAATCTAACACATTAGACTCATCCATGATGAAGCAAATCTTCTCGCCCTTGCAACCAGCACGGCGAAGCACAATACGGAGATCATCATCAAAGTCGGCACCGGTGTACTTGTTGTGCACCTTGATCTGGAATACACTCAAGCCATTCATCCAAGCGACAAAGCGAGACAAGGTGGTCTTACCAGAGCCACTGACACCAATCAACAGTAAATGGCCTTGAGGTTGTCTAAAGACACGATCAATACGAAGCACATGTTCCAGCACATCGTTGAACAGGACAAGAGCCACATCCAATTCTTCTTCGTAAAACACCTTGAGACGCGCCTTGGCAAAGTCTCTCAATTGTTCACGCTTGACAGGGATGTAGTGCTTGGACAACCAGTTGGAGAAGAGAATAGGTCGCTCAAGAGCCTCTTCCTGGTTCAATGCAGGGAAGTGTTTCATGGCAATAGAGTCAATCATATCGTCGGTCCACTTGCGTTCTTCTTCATTAACTAAACGATCCTGGAACAGACGCAACGCTTCATGAGCCCAGATACGCACCAAACCTTCTACAGTCAGTGTCTCTAGCGGCTTGATGGCTTCATAGATACCACGCACCCAACGAGTCAGTTCACGAGGAGAATAAATGTAGTGTGCTTGAATATCAGGCGTAAATCGCTTTTGAGATGCTAAATACAGATCCACCATAGCAGCAGTCAGGGGTTCAGAGTAACCACGCAAATTAGGCACCACCTTGAGCATAGCACGCGTAAATGTACCATAGATTTGCATCAGAGACAACTGACCAGCATAATCCACCATGACCAAAGGAGCATGACGCAAGAAACGATGAGAGAGAGGCACACGACCAGGATCTGTAGGAGGATTACAAGCACCCACAAATTGAATGCGCTCCAAGGTCACCCACGCTTTGTCTGAGGTTCTCCAGAAACCATTGTACTCGACCAGCTGTCTGAGGAAAGAGATGACTCTTTGGGTAAAGTACTTGTCAGTAGCAGGCAAATTGATCTCATCACAGAACACAACCAGCCAGCGGCCAATCATGGTAGGTGACAGAATGACACCATTAGGTGTCTTTCTGTACTCACAGTGCTGTTCAAATGTCTTGAGGATCAATTCAGGCGTAGTAGCACTGGAGAAATTGAGACCCACTACCTCCATGTCAGGCAGCTTACGAAGCGCACTGAACAAGGTCATGGTCTTACCAGAGCCAGGAGGACCACAAAGAATCAAGGGCTTGTGCTCGGATAGCCAAGAGTACAGTACTTCTTCGTGACGAATGGTGTCTACCGTGGGGATGATCATGTCAGCATCAGATACCTTATGTGTCTCAATTTCCACCACAGGCACCTTGGACTCCCAGGGAACCCATTGACCGGTGTTGACTGCAATATCGTAATCAATAATGCTGGCATCATTAGCGAGAGGAGGCAATTCGTAGGTAGTGACACCACGGACATAATCACCCAGCACAGCACGAAGCTCCAGCTTGGCATCACCAGAGAAACTCCAAATGATGGAGTAGATGACACGCTTTGTAATGTAGCCTTCCAAATGATCCCCTGACATGGGAAAGTCAGGGTGCTGAGCATTGTATTCAAGCACATTGCGCACCGTCTTGTTGAGCAATGAAAAGAAGGTGGATAACACACGCATGCGAGTGAAATCCATAATGTGCTCCAAAGTGGAAGCATAGTCCAAGCACTTGGCTACCAGACAGCTTTCATCCGAGAGATCAGGGGCCATGATGGCAGCAATGGCGCGTTGGGTAGAGAGATTGAGAGAGACAGTGGTGCCGTCTTCTGTAGTGGTAGCAGCATTGGCGTCAGCGACACGATGCGAAGAGGTAGGTCCTTCTTCCTCCACTTCATCCATTGGTACATTGCGCAGGGTTTCCAAGTAGTTGGAAAAGATCATGGGGAGCGTAATGATGTCTTCACTAAACCAGACCATACCACAACGAGAGACAGTAGCCAGTGTAGCGTATTGCAATGTCTCTACTTCAAACATGATACGCACATTGGGAGGCAGGTTGAGGCGCTCACCATTAGGCAATGTCAACAGACGGTTATCATCCAGCACGGAATTCAAGTTTTCAACCCATTCAGGATCCACATCACCATCAAAGATGATCCAATGTCTTTTTTGGCTCTCACCACGCACATTGTCCACAATTTTACGCAAGATGTGAGTAAACAAACCATCGGTCCATTCACGCGTAGTCGAATCCAAGGTACCGTACAAGGCGTCTTTGGGGATGGCCTTGGGATCAATGTTGTAAGCAACACCTTCTACGCCTTCCACACGCTCCAGTGCAGTCAGCAATGTCTTCCAGGCAGTGGACTTACCAGCACCAGAGGGGCCCACCATCATCAAACCGTGATGGATGTTCTGGATTTGGTACAATTGAATGACTTTATCCATCCATGCGTCTCCAGGCACATAGCGACGTTCTTGACACACCTTGCGCAACTCTTCCTTGAGACGGTCCAGATTGACAGGAGCATAATGGACACCAGGGAATACATCAGCAAGCAAACTGGTCAGCAGAGGAATATCGTCTGCTACCAACTTGGGTTCGACTGTTTCACGAATACTGGAAATCAACAGCTGCTGTTCAGGCACAGGCTCAGAGATGGTGGTGTATTCGGTCTTGTCTGCTTTGCCGCTTTCAATATCTTGACGGAGCAAGGCCAAACGATCACGTTTCAAGTTACCAGCACTGACCAACACACTCTTGAGCGCACGCAGACCGAAATCATAATGAGATTGAGGAGACAATTGCTCTGCACACAAGTTAAAGAGGGGAACCACCTTAGAAGCCAGGATTTCAGCGGTACGGAAACCTTGCGAGTAGAGCATGACTTGAGCAATCAACTCACGATCAGGCTTGGTCATGGCCATGCTTCTAAACAGCTTCTTCAAGTTGTCAGGTAGATTGGAACGGCCAGCATAGCCAGGATTCATGGTAATAAAGATACCGGTATCTGTATTCACGCGCACATTGCGACCCACCAATTCGATCTCATGGTTGGGGTTTGTGGTGGCTTCCTTGAGACCCAATTGAATGGTTTGCACTTGCTGCGATACAGCAGACAAGATGCGTTCTTCCAGACGATTGAACTCATCGAAACAGCCCCAAGCACCAACTTGACACAAACCAATAAAGATACGACCCATAGCTTGGAAATCAAATGTCTCATCACAACAGAACACCAGCACAAAGCGACCCAGTTGAACACCTAACGCCTTGACAGATTCTGTCTTACCAGTACCTGCAGGACCAAAGGGAGAGCCACCGAGACGTTGCTCCAATGCTTGAGTCAAGGTCAAGTAACAGCGATCTGTCAACGGCGTTTGGACAAGACGATCTACAACACCAAGGTACTCGTAACCGTAAAAGAATTGGGCATTAGCCATGTTGATAGTCAAGCGTTCAATGGGGTTCTCCACAGCGTGATTAAAGTAATAGCGCATTTGGTAGAGCCAGTTAAAGTCTTTGGGTGAGGCAATGTTGTCGGTGGCCAGTTGACGCGTAACATCACGTTGATGGACCAGCTCTGTGACAAGGTGTTCACATTTTCTACGCTTGATCACTTCCAGATCCAACAAGACAGCATCAGCTAAAATATTGAGGTTTCTTTCTACAAGCTCAACAGAGCGCAACAGAGGTGATTGGTCTCCAGCAGCAGAGGATTCACTGATGGTGGTCAATGCCTTGTCGACGGATTGCGTCCAGATGATTTGAGCAGCCAAGACAACCAGCTGGGCAGGATAACGGTCAATCCAAGCCATAAAATCAGTGGAACTCATCTCTTCCGCATTGTAGATGGCTTCTAGTTCTGTCACAGCATCGTTCAACAGCAAGGCTAGAGAGACACGCATCTCATTCTCCAGAATCGTCAGCCAGTCATTGATCTTGGGATTGTCTTTGATGGAGACAGGCGTCTTGAAGACCACCTCTTCACCTTCCTTGGAGGCCATACCCGTGATGGCTGTGTGATCCTCGTCGAGCAAGATGGTAGCAATACCAGCAAACATCTTTTTGAAATGCTTTTGAATACGCAAAATGTCCTTACTGTTACCAATAATTTCAAGCAAATCTTCATCACCCACAAAGTAGAAACGAGGGAAGGAGGAACGTTCACGTTCAAGGTACTCTCCAAGTGCCTTTTGGATTTTGCTCAACAGTTCAGCAAGACGTTCCAGCGACTTTTGAATGTTGGGAATGTTCAAGACATCCATAACAAAGGGCGACTTGTAGACCTTTTTCATGACGGTCAAGAACTCAGTGTTGATACTGGAGAATCGCGATGTCTCTACAGGAAGCAGGTGTTTGATATCCACACTGCCACTAAAGATACCCTCCAAATAGACCCATTGACGCTGCACATCGATCCAGACATCAAACAAGACATGCACACGGTTCAGTTTGTCCTCCCAAGCAGCGGCATCTTCCTCAAAGACCTTGTAGTAAGGCGACAGTTTCATGGCAGTCAGCGAATTGATGTGCTCGCTAGACTTGTTGAACAAATCATCCCAGCCACGGATCAAACGACAACGGTTTTGATAGTTGACTAGGTCCAAGACGTAGCCCGTCCAAGTCTCCTTGATCTGCTTCAAAAACTCTTCCAATGCCATTTCACCTTGTGCTTGCAAGATGACATCCTTGATCACAGCTTCGTTGCGCTTGAGATCAAGATCCCACAAATGGCCAATCGTCATTTCAGATAAGGTGAATCGGCCTTCCACACGCAGTGATTTGAAAATTTGGCGCCAATGACGTTCGCGAAGGGCTTCCGATTTCAAATCACCCACCAGAGGATTGACGCGCAACAGTTGACGCAGCGTGTCTTGCATGAATTCATAAGCAGCGTATTGTCTCATGCGGTTAGGCATCTCCTTGGTGGAATTGACCAGTTCATCAATATGTGAGCGCACTTTACGAGGCACAACAGAAGACCAAGGCGTATCACGAATCTCATAGACAGATTGCCATACACGGGCCAGTGCTGTCCATACCGACTTGAGGTCACGCAGTTCTTCAAGCACAGGATCCAAGCGATCTTCTGATGTTTGCTCCAAATCCAGAGCTTCCTTGGCACGACACACCATGTCGTATTCCTCCTTGAGACGCGTAACACGGCCCTCAAAGATGGAGAGCGTGTTGGTAGCAATGTCAGGCTTGATTTCACCTTGTACAGGTTTGCTCTTTTCCCATTCAGCACAAATGTCTCTGATCTTTTGCTCAACCACCTTGTCCTCAGCGACAATCTTCATCTGCAAACCAGCAATTTGCTCCTGAATAGCATTGTTCTTTCTGCTCAGAATCTCATTAAAGGCGCTCCATTCACCATCCACTTGATCCACGTAGACCCAGTCGTTGGGAAACTGGAAACGTTGGCGCTCCAAAGTCTTTTGGCCCTGTCGGAAAAGATCCACATCCTGGCTCCATTTGGCTACCTTGCGCTTCAGGTCTTGCACAAAGGTGATGAATGTCACGGCCTCACCCGTCGAGTTGCTTTCAATGGATTGCTGCTCCAATTCGTAACGAGCCTTGGAGACGTTGGTATGGAAATCCTTCATAGAGGAGCCAAGAAGGGAACCAAACTTGTTGAGAATTTCACGCTGCCATTGATCGTACTTTTGGTTGACCTTGCTTTGCACTTGCTCGTAGTCAATGACAAGCGGGCCAAAGGATTGCTCCGTCTCCGAGTTATCGAATGTGGATCTGGCCTTCTTGATCTCGAGCAAGATTTGCTGCCATTTACCAAGATCGTCTTCTAGGATAGAAAAGACGTGGCTTGATTCCAGATCCCACAAAGATTGGTATTGCAGCCAAATGTTGACATAGTCAGATACTTGACGAATCTTGTCCTCCACAATCTGATACGCATGCTCCAGTGAGTTATCTCCCATGCGTGTCAATAAGCTGGCATAGGTCTTTTCAATAGAAGGATTGTCCTTGACGCTCAAACCGCCTTCATAGCGAGAACTTTGAATACGAGGCAAATGACAGACGACAGCAAGCCAGTCGTGCAGTTGGAACCACCAACTGGTACGTGCTTGTTCAATAGGAGGATCCAGGTACATGAGTTGATTACGGATACGAATCTCATGGACAATGGTTTGAAGGGCAGGCTTGACATCAGGCGACTTTTGTTGGTTAGCCAAAGCGGCATTTTCTTCAGTGGCAGCTACAATACTATCACGGCCAGCCTTTCTCTTGCGTCTACTCTTGGAAGCACTGGCTTCAGGCACAATGACATCCTCTGTAGTGACACCCATAAAAGCGCTGGTCCATGATTTGATGGCTTGCTGGAGACGAGAGATCAAGACAGTTTCAATACGCTTGTCCAATCCAGCGACCCATTGATCCAAGTTGGAGTAGTTTTCCAAGTTTAAGCGATCAATCAGCTTTTGTACACGACTGAGGTCATCTTCAAAGCGCTCTGCTTGGTAAGGACAGGTCTTCATCTCGTCAATGCCCTTTTGAATTTCATCGTAATAGCCAATCAACGAATCGACCTTGTCTTGGAAGATGGAGACCACATTGGCGAATTCACGCACAAACATGACATGTCTGTTTTCACGCGCATCCAAGGGTGTACCTGTCATGAAGGACAGAGGACGATGGTGTGCATCATACGTGTTGACAAAGTAGTCCCAACGTAAGTTGATACCCTTGGTGATCATGTTGTGTACCTCATGGCGGCTCTCAGCAACCAATGTAGAGATTTCTGGGTTGCGGTTGACCTTGTGCACTGTCTGAGAAAAGGTACGTACAGTTTCCATGAGACTGACGGCAAAAGGGTATACACGTTTGGCATCCTTGGCTACGTTGGAAATGGTGTGAGGCACCTGAAAGTTGAGCCAGAGCAGGTTGCGCACTTCCTTGAACAAGGTGATGATTTGACCATCAAAGTTGACACCGAGCTGAAGAGCGTTCTTTTGCACACGGTTGCGAGTGATTTCAAAGATACGGCCAGAGACAGACAAATCACGCTTGGTGATTTCTTGTAGCCAGTTTTCATAGATGAGACGTGTATCCAGCTTTTTGCGAAAACTGCTACTCTCAATTTGGAGCTTTTGACCTTCTGCATAGAGCTCCCAGCCTTTACCAAGCACATCCTCCACACGCTTCATGTACAATGACAATTGGCGATCAATTTGACGAGCCCAGATGATGGCACCCGAGATGGGAGGCAAATCACGCAACTGTGCCATGTGGTAAGCTTCTGAATTTCGGTACTGCATCTTGAATTTATCGTGCAATTTGTTAATGTCCTCCTTGACACTGTCAATCAGCTGTGTTTGGTATTCTTGGATAGCACCACGAATCTTGGGACGCACAAACAAGGCATTGAACTTACTGAACACACGGAACATCTCGTTCGCACTCTTGGCTGTGCCCAGTCTGTCACGCAAGCGAGCAATAATTTGGTTCTCGACACGAGAGACACGCTCATTGTAGGCCGTTTCAGCCTGGACCCAAATCTCGGTGCCCTCGGGAGAGACATCCAGCACGTCAATGTTTTTGACACTCTCGTACGCCAGCTTCACTTCCTCTACAGCATTGATATCGCTGATGCTGACGCTTTCTTCTTCTTCCATGACGCTCTTGACTTGACCATCTACCACTACAGTAGCCTTCTTGGCACGAGGACTCGTCATAACACGCACGATGGTTTGGTGAAGTTGCTCATGTTGTTTGCGGAAAGCACGTACAAAGGTCACTCTTTCTTGCAGCTTGGCGTGAGCAGGGTTGATCTTGATAGGTAAGAATTTCTCTGATCGTTTACGTGTGACATCTCGAGCGACATTGGTGAACTCCTTGATCAAGTCATCCCAGGTATGGAACACAGACTCGGCGCCAGCAGTGGTGCGTTCGAAATCATCGTACTCCATGTACATCATACGACGACTGCCCAACACCTTGAGCAACTGATCGTTCAAATCCCTGGAAATAGCTTCCACCAAAGGCAGAGCACGACGAATAGGGTAGGGACTATTGAGGTAGGTTAGCTGCTGTTGCCTGTCAAGATGGACTGCATCAAGTACTTACGATAACTTGAGTTTCTTGTTCAAATGGCCAAAAATCATATGCAAAGACTCTCTAATCTTGTCCAAATCAGTAGCAGACAAGAGCTCATTCAAAGGAAAATCCTTCATCAACTGATTGTACTTGTGAACGAGTTCCATGCCCTCCTTCAATCCAGTGTCAGCAATAAAACTCACAGTAGCATGGAAACGCTTGGCGTGCTTGAGGATATCAAGTGTCAAGGCTATTGGCGAGGCATGTTAGTGTTATGCAAAATTGAATGTAGAGACCCAAATGCAAAAGAGTCATAGAAACTCATTGCAAACGGAACCCTCATTCACCTCCTTTTTGAACTCAAACTTACTAATCTGATCACTCTTCAATTGCTCGTCAATCTTCTCCAATGCTCTCTCCATGCTCAGCCAAAAGTTGATTTCTTGAATAGCAGTTCCACTGGCAGGATCTCGAGACATCTTGGTCACTTTTTGAATTTCCTTGATCCAGCCATTCACATCACTTTGCAATCTATTGAGGAAGGACGAATCTGAAAAGAGTGTAGGATCGACAGCTTCAACAGTAATGCGCTTATTTTGCTCACGACACTATGATCAGACATGAGTATATAATGTTCTCTGCTCTGGAAATAGCAACATGTACCTTATCAACTGCCTTTTGAACCACAGGGTGAATGTTGAGTGAAATCTCGGGAATCTCCACATTTTGTTGCAAATGAAGCAAACTCAACTCGAGTTCAGCCATTTTCTTTTTGGCCATAGGAACGCCCATCTTGTTGTCCTCGTTCTTGCTCTTTGATGAACTGGCCTCGTTTGATTTTCCATGTCTGGCGTTTACATAAGCGTTGAAGTAGGGGCTCACAGCTAAATGAATGTAAGAGTGCAAGAATTCATAAGCACTGGTTTGACCGGGTTCGCCCGAGTTGGGAGCACCAGGTAGATTAATAAATTGAAGCTGATTCTGAAGAGGTCTTGATTGATCCAATGTAGGTAATCGTTTGATAACAGCTAAGGAGCCAACATGAGTTGGGAGATAGGTGATTTCATGCGACACAGTGTAAGCAAATGATTGTGGTGATGTGGCGTCGTCTATCAAAAGAGATTACGCGGTTAGATGTGTCCTCAGATACCGCATCACATAAATGTATTACCTTCGTCTTTGCCACCTTCCTTTTCTTTTAGAATAAATACAACAGGTGTTTGTGGATCGTTGGCAAATCGCTTCAATTTTTCCGCAGTATCAGGGTAAGCAAAAAGAGTGTTTTCCAGATCACTGATTTCAGCATCCAAGACCAGAGGCAACAACTGTTCAAAGTAATCTTGCAGCTTGCGATGATCAAAGGTTAGCAGTGCTTCTTCAGCAGCAGAAGCGCCTGGAGACACTATGGATGAGGAGGAATGAAGAGATGTATCCTCGTCAAGCATGTTTGTTTATAAATGAGGTTTTTTTGAGTTTTTGTGATATATAGATGTGTGTGTATGTGTGTAGAAATGGTATATATATAAAATGGATGTACTTGTTCCTTGTACTTTTGTATCTTTTGTCTTTTGATTTACGCGTAAAATTACAAGAATCAAGGGCAAAATGACAAGATGGTATAGTGCCCTTTTGTTTGAAAAAAGATAAAGTGAACAAGTAAGAAAGAAAGAAAGAAGAAAAAAAAGGTACAAACAAATTGAGCGAGGGGCAAGCAGTACAAGTAAATTAGACATCTCTTACATGATTGGAAACTGGAGTTGAACGATAATTAAGCATTTATCATGTCTGGGAGCAGCAACAAGTAGGCTTCAGGTGTAGACAGAAGGCAAAATATTGTTGTGGAGCTTAGATGCGACCCATGACATGTCTTGGTGTGTAAAATGAATGGATCTGTATAGCCACAACTATCTTACATAATGTCTGTCGTTTCGCAACAAGAAGCCAGTATCTTTCTTTCTCAAAAACGCGCTCGTTGCCTTGTCTGTTAATTCAAATGTGTCTCTACGGATACCTGACATCTCATCATTACCTGATCGAAACACTATTGACCTCAGCCTAGCTTGCAACATTTGTAAATTTAAAAATAGGAGTTGTTTGTTATCCATGTTTTTTAACATTCTAAATGTTGAGCATAGTAAGACGGATTACGTTTCCGTTGTGTGTCTATATGGTTAATTATGAGATCAAATTCATTTTGTACTACTACAAGTGAAAAAAAAAAGGTACCAGGTTTGATTGGCCTAATTATTGAATGTTTCAACATGTAAGAAAATCAAACAAAAGGAGCATTTGATGGTCGGTCCTTATTGATATGTTGCAACTCTTTATTTGATCTGTTTGGCTAAATCGAGAATATCTGAGATTACATGTTACATGCCAAATGTTAAAGCAGGAAATTGTCTTTCTGGCTGTTCCAACTCGAAGAAACGTCAACTACGAATGGGTGCTAATCATGCACATTTTGCTGAATCAGGAACTAACTCTACTAATCTATGTTTGCTTAGGAGCAAAGTATGGCCCCGTGGCTTTTTATTTTAATCGTCAGCAGATGTCGTCTGTATACAGCAACAAATAGATGATGGTTTGGTCCATGCAAAATGCTGTAGAACAAGATATTCTTATCATTGCCCTAGTCGAGCAAGGTGTTGCCTCCCAAGCACCTGTGTTTTTCATCATTTCATTCACATACGTTTGAGGCTAAGTTGAGCTGAAACGGGAATCTTTTGCTCTGTCCTACCTGGTACATTTTGCTTTTTGTATGAATGACCCATTCTAAATGCCTTTTTCGATCCTTGAGTTACATCTCATTTTGGGTTTAATAACAATTGGCCCGCGCGCCTAAATTCTCATAAAAACCGTGCGTTTCTCTGTCTCTCTCTTTCTTCTTCTTCTTCTTCTTCTTCTTTCATCTTTCATTCATACATCACCTCAAATCATGAATCAGCAATTCACTGCTAATAGCAGCCAAACTCAGAGCCGTCTTGCAAATCCAACAACGTACCATATGCAGCAAATGAGATATAAAGACTCGTCTACAATGGGCATTGATCCATCACATATGCTTGATAATGCGCATCTGATGTTTACCCATCAGCAGCATCAAAACCAACAGCAGCAAGATTCTCCAAATCTGTCTGATCTGGATTACTCTGAGCTAGCCAATTCACCCAATAACCATGGCGATTACCAGCCTCGGCCCACATCCTCGTTGTACCGTCAAAGCGGAAGTGATAGCTACATGTTTGATGAAACAACTATCAAACAGCAGCAAAATCATCATCAACATCAGCAGCAGCAAACAAATTTTGGCGGGTATGCCGTACAAATGAAACGATCTACAACCGAGATAGATGCCTCAGCCATTGGTGGTTTAGCTGGATATGGTCCACATCATAATAATTACTATCCAATTTCTACATTTGATCACGATAATGGTAATAATGAAGGTCGGTTGACTAAACAAGTAGCTGGTAGTGCTCCTTCCAACATGGGCTTTCATGGCTATTCCTCTTTTGCTGGCTCAGATGACATGATCTCCGTAGCAACATCACAGCAATCTTCCAACGTGATTCCTCCGAGTAACACTGATATGATGGATGATCCTAATTACAATCCAGAAGACTACTCCACCCAAGCAAAGTAAACACTCTTCTCTGTTACCTTTGTACCTATTTTCGCTTTATTTATTTGTTTGTATTTCTGTTAGTATGCAAGCTATTATGGAAAAGAGACGTAGAAGAAGAGAATCTCACAATGCAGGTAAGGATTTACAACAAGAACATGATTGTCATGTTACTTACTGCTAAATTTTTCACAGTCGAAAGAAGAAGACGAGACAATATCAATGATAGAATCCAAGAATTAGGAACACTGCTACCTGATGCCCTTGACGATGGTGTAAATCGAATGAACAAAGGTACCATACTGCGCAAAAGTGTTGAGCAAATAAGGAAACTACAAAATGATGTAGTTCAGTATCAACAGAGAATAAGAGATTTGGAAATGATTCTACAACAAGTAAGACATTCTCATGGTGGTAATGGTGGTAGTGCTTTGATGATGAATGGCAATATTCATATGCCTTGATTCATTTTATATTATTTATACTGTATATTTCTTTTTCAACATTTACTTCAAATCTGTATACATCTATCATTCTATAGTCCCCTTACACGTCTTTTCTTCTTCATACATTATATACATACATGCATCTTGTAATAGTAGTAGAATACTATATTGTATGAATTCTTAATATCAATTCCCAAATAAATTCAATACCACTTCTGATTTAATACCCAAACATATTGGTAAAACATCTTGCAGAGTGTTTCATCCCAACAAATAAGGTAGCAAATATTTACTTTGTATAGGCGGCATCTATCCGAAAAAGCTTCCCTAATATCAATCTACATTCGTAATTCCAGTGCATTTGATTTTTGCATAGTTTTCATACAATTCATATTCATGTATTACTGCGGTTTCGGTTATTTGCAGCATAGCGACTGATCCAAAATCAGGTTTCCAGATCAGATGTCTACCTCTATTGTTAGAAACACTATTTTAGTCGATACCTGATAAAGTGAAGCGTACAAGGTAGGTGATTTATAATCAACAAAAAAATGTCAAGGAATGGCTATTCCAAATTCGCTATTTGATTGCGAAAGCACAGGCATCCTCAGCAGTGCCGGCAATAGCTAGACTATATGTTTGCAGGCCGTGATGCTTTCTTCAAAATGAGTGATGGTGAAATCACATTTCTCTCTCAAGAATGGACAGACCATGCCTTGTTAACCAAGACATACACTACCGGCATGACTAACTGTGGTAAAGGTGTTTGGCGGGCCAACCCCTTTCTTGCGAAGAACCCTATCTACGTCAACAAATTAAACACTGCTATCTCTAACCACGTTGAAGCCAAATTAGATTCTAACCTATCTGCTCAAGAAAAATGGGACCTGATTAAGAAGAAAACTAAGCAAGTTACTCAAAGCTTCAGCCGCGCTCACTGTTCATGGAGGAAAGCTAAAATCAAGAAGCTACAGAGTGAGAGGAACAATTTGCTACGTAGGTACCGGGATGACTCCGTCTGTCTTAATCTTTTGCTTTCTCTTGTCGAAAAGGAGCTATCCAAACTCCAACAAGAGATAGTTGACGTCCAACGACTGAGAGCAGGACAGAGATGGCACGAGAAGAGTGGAAAGTCTCCAGGTTACATCAAGCAAACATTAGCGGAAAAGGCATCCAAGCGAACAATCTCTAGCCTAAAGCATCCTACTTCCGGGGAACAATGCTGGGAAACTAGTACTAAACTTGATGCTGCCAAAATCTTTTACCAAGACCTATACACCGAGGAAGAAACTGATCTCAATTGTGTGGAAAGAATGCTACAATATATCGACAAAACAATTCCAGCTGAGGACTCACAGGACATCATTGAAGACATACCTTACGAAAATATCATTCAAGGATCTCGAAGAACGCCAAATGGTAGTAGCCCGGGCCTGGATGTTATATGTTACGAAATTTTGCACCTTCTAGTTATCAACCCAAGCTGTGAAGCAATTATCCTGCAAGTGTTCAGCGATGCTTTATCACTAGGCAAATTCCCAAAATCCTGGCAGGAATTATGTATTGTGCTGCCACCAATGAAAGGGGATATGACTGACCTTGGCAACTACCGTCCAATAACCCTAATAGCCTCTGATTGCAAAGTGCTTACCAGACTACTTAACTCACGAGTTAAAGATGTAGCAAGTGACCTTATAGGCCCCCACCAAAGTGGTTTCCTGAGAGGTAGATACATTGGAGACCATGGGATGTCATTGAAAGTGATTGTAGACAATGCACGTGAAGCAAGATGGAACAATTCTGAAGAATTTGTCGAATGTGCTGGGATTATGCTGGACAACGCCAAAGCGTACGATAAGGTACATCCCCAGTATATATTCAAGGTCCTAGTGAAGTTTGGTTTTCCAAAACAGTTTGTCCAATGCATCTGCAAGTTATTCTTCGACAACTCAATTTACGTGAATGTCAATGGCTTTTTAACAGATCCTATCAAGCAAAGACGCGGCATCAGACAAGGAGACAGTATATCATCAATGCTGTTCAACTTGGCTATTGAACCATTTCTGCTATCTGTGACCAAAAGTACAACTATCTCGGGGTATAGTCTCCAGCACGTCAAGCCTATAAGCAAGAGAACAAACAGTTGGGTGGCTCCTCCTCCATTGAAAGTACTCGCATATGCGGATGATGTCCTGACTTTCGTCAAGTCTCGGGCAGAACTTCTTGATCTGTAAGAAAGATGGAGAACTTACAACAAGGCCTCGAGCTCCAAGATCAACTACGACAAGTCCGTGGCCTTCCCTCTTCATGGTGGAAGAATGACAAGCCAAACTGGTGGCCTAATTCAAGATCATGCAACAAACAATCTCAAAATCAAATGGTATGATTCTACGTCTACAGAATTTATAAAATACCTAGGTTATCCAATTTGGCTCTGCAATCAACAGAGAGACGTATACATTGCTAAACTGCTGGGTGATATTATTACTGCTGTTGAAAGGTTTGCAGCACGGCAAGTCTCACTGCACGGCAGAGCGAATATTGCCAACACTATGATATTGTCCAAACTATGGCATGTCATTCGGATCGTTTCCCTGCCCAAAGACACAATCAAGAAGATAACCTCAATCATTTATCAGTTTGTAATGTCTGGCTTGTATCCACCTCTAAAGGGCAACTCTCTCTTCCTACCAAGGTATCAAGGCGGTTTAGGACTGATTGATATAATGGCGCAACAAAAGGTTCTGCAATTCAAATATCTGAACGCTTTGCTAACAGAAAACAGCAACAACATACCTGGTCTCACTTATAGGTTACTAGTGGATTATTTGAAGATGTCTCACGACTCACCATCGCACATAGTCCCTATACTGTTCAAAACGGCTAGATACAAAAACCAGTTAAGAGGCTTTCACCCTTATTACATGATGTTCGAGGCAATAGATACTTGTATGAAGCACTCTCCACTCTCACTCGCTTGGTCTGTCAAACCAAATATCATGACACTCTTGTCATTGCCAGTGCTGGAAATTCTTGATTTTGACAATGAGGAAGTAGCTATGGGATATACAAGCAGAGACTCGATCAGGGAGAGCAAAGTTCACGACTTCTTCCACATCGATCAGGAAACAAGTACTCTGCAGCTAAAGTCAAGAAGTGAATGCAAGCGATCAAACATCAGGAACCAGATAGAAAGAGGTCTTCTTTGTGGGAACATCAAATTGAAATCCTTTGCGGATACAAGAAACAGGGAGGCTCATCTAGATCTACAGCCTTTCGTTGCTATGCTTAATTACCAAGACCACCCAATGCTTCGATTGACGAACAAAGACTTGAGATCAATTATGCTGGACATATACAACCTTGATGTTGGACGAAAGTTCAATCATACCATCAGCAAAGTCCATTGGAAACACTTCTATCATCAAAACATGCACCACTCTGTGAGAAATGTCTGGTATAGAATGATCCATAAGCAATGCCCAAGTAAATCATCTCTTTTCGTTCGACGCCTGAGGAACGTCGAAGATGACAAATGTACCCTCTGTAATGATACTGAAGATGCCAAACATCTCATGGTTAGCTGCCCCCCACAAAAACGACATTTGGTCCAACATCTTTGAACAATTCCTGGGATATCCCAAAGCTGCTAATCCACAGCAAGTATACCAATCCGTAGTCAATTTGAACCTGAAGCAATACTTCATCTACAACTTAGACATCAAGATTACAATCTTCGACCTGTTTGCTGCCACCATTCGTATGATATGGAGATTCCACCTCCTACTAACATTCGAAGGAGTGCCTTTTGATACCAACAATGTCACCAACAAAATCCGTGCTGAAGTGATGAGATTGTCAGATCTCAAGCATTAATATTAGTAGTAGTTTCAATAGATTTATATATGGAAAGTCACTTTTTTACATACACTTGTCCATCATTTGATGTTCTTATTATATTCGTATATTTACTAATAGATAAGCAACATCCATACAAAAAAAAATCATCAAAAATCAAACGATCGCGTTTTTCGCCTTCATAATGAAGACTTTTGTTATGGTATATACTAATTCAAAATGTTTCTATCGATCTAACGTAGCCCATAAAATTATTTTTGTGGGACCCTGATATGTAAAAATTCGACTCTTTGGCCAGAAACCTCTTTTCATATGTTCGTAAATTGCTCAATAAGTTTATTCAAAACATTTACATTACTTGGTACCATTGGATGCGCCTTAAAAAGTGCTCCAAGAAAGCTTGAATAAGCATGGAATGATCATCAGGTTTTATACAATCGAATTCAACAAAATAGTTCAATCAAGTCGAAAATCATCGAAATTTCGCCAATCTGGAACAAACTATTAGTCTGAATTAAAATGAGTTCTGACTGGTAGCGCTGCAAGCGGGCAAACTCAACGCCCTTTTAACCATGAAGTCAATAACAGATGCTTTTGAAGCATATGGAAGAAGTCGATGAATCACATAATACTATCGTTAGTCAAACTATTTTCTTTGGTAATCTTCTATCTAATAATGAAAGTTCACCAATATACTTTTAAGATCAACTTCTTTCCTTTTAAGGCTTTGAGAGTGTCTAGAGACTATAAGTTTATTTTGTTTTGATATGTGAATATTCTTGGACAAGAAGTATCAAGATTACTATTACGTGGTAGGTTTATTGCAATCAATGTGTAAGGAGTAGTAATGACAGATATTTTTACTATTGTTCAATACCTGTTAGAAATGAAGGTTGTTTACATAGTATATTAATTGCGCTAATTTTTCAATCATGCGGATTGAAACATATGTAATGTGAGTCACCATAACTACCATTCAAAGCAGAAGATTTCCACCCTGCACCAAATTACTTGGCTAATACGGCTTTAACATGAATCTTTGGACGGCTTTCCTGGCTTAAGTTTGTAAAACACACGATTCTGAGCAAAATCATGAAGAGAGCGTACATTTGTGACTTAAACCTCTCATGTCATGATAAATCTCGAGTAAAGTTATTGAATGGTCTTTGTTTTATCTAAATATGATGCATCTTTACGCGATATGACCAAAACTTTCCTTGTACGAATCATCGACTTTTGGTCAAAGTTCGCCTGTGATAACAAGGCAAAAATTTGAATGACAATTTTTTTGAGATACAAAAATGTTGATATATTATGATACAATCATGCTACAGCTTTGAATCAGAGATCATTCGGTAGGATCTTGTTGATCTACACTCTGGTAACCACTACAAGTAGTGTTTTGATAACAGAAACCTGGTAATAATCCGTCAGAAACAACCAAAAAACCACAAAAATAATATTTTATCAGAAATCAGTTTATAAAGCTTGGATCAATGAACTAGAGACTAGTATCATTAGATTAACTTTTAAAAGCTACCTTGCATTTTATTTAGCTAGAAAGCAGTGTCATTACTAGGAGAATTGCTTGATTTCGAGCTCGAACAATCTCAGAAAAACATGGACCCTCATTTTCTGGTAGTATAAAGGCTGAGCTATTCATATTCTGAAATACCTGTAGTGAAGTCAGATTTAAAGGATTTCGCAATAAAGTAATAATAAACTACAATAGAAATAACTGTATTTTACTTTTGCGTAAAATGAACTGAAGATCCTGTAAATGAGTAAAAAAAAGAAGAGTATTTATACATTTGAAACTAGCTTATATGATTAGTGATGATAGAGTGCAATAGGTGCTGCTATTGCGATATCTTGCAAACGCTGTTGGTGTTTGATTCAAAGTAGTAATCGATGCAAGAGCACTCGTCAGAAGGGTCAATTTGATAACCTTGATGGGCTTGGATGGGCTGTCGTCATAGTATGCTATAATTTAACCTTGACAGTTTAAAGTGTGGTGTTTGTTATTGAAGTGTGGAACCCTTTATCTGGAATATTATGCAACTACTATGGCATCAGGGCATAGTTGTCATATTTGAATATGCTTGTTATTACTGAATTGATTTTATTTTGATAAAGATAACATCACTTATTACGACCATCATAGGTGTGATTAAATACACTGTGAGCAGGAGTGATTCATTCAAAGGATGAGTGATATAGGAATGCATCTTTACTTTTTTACTATGTTCATCAAGTGGTAGTTGATGTACATTTGAGCGCTTTATTAATAGATTCAAATAGCATGAACTTCAATGAGTGATATTTGATGAATTCCGGTTTTCAACCAACTGGCGTTTGTGTGGCTATTTCATTACAATAATGACTCAGCGTGTCAGGTATCAGCCATTTCTCCTGAATTATGAGTGTCCAACATTGTGAATAGACTTTAAGTCTTATTTTACTGCTAGATATGGTATCTTTGTCGTGGACGACCATCAAATATATTTTGCTAGCCTGATGAGCATCTAAATCAATTCGAGCAAGTTACTAACTTCAAACTTGCATAATATTATTGACGCTCAAGTGTCAAGGTCACTGTTATTATCGCGCATTTCAAAAATCAAGATCTGAGTCTTAGAATTGGAATAACAGCGCCTATTACTTGAAAATTGAGTTCTGTAAAATGCAGAACATCTGGGCCACCAGACAAAAACGCAATTTACTGACTCTTCTGGCAACGCAACCCACTGCACCTTATTTTCGGCCAAATTCTGTCCAAATCTAGCCATTTTCATGCACGAATAACTCATGCCACAAAGCTTTTTGAGCGCTTGGAATAGCACCACAAGCCTCCTCTTGGCCACGCTTTACTTCTTGATGCTTTATCTCAATTTTTTTTCGGTCGTTGCAAATTCATGAAAATCATCATTTTTCCATGAGTATATGCAAGAGAAGACTCTTGAAAATCAAATGATCGCGTTTTTCACGTCAAAAGTGAAGACTTTTTCTATAATACATATTAGATCAAATTGATCGTAAAAATAAAACGCAACACTGGAAACTCTTTCTATGAGACTTTAATATGCTAAATTTTAACATAATTACAGAAAACCTATTTTCATATTTCTGCAAATTGCTCATTATTCTCGGTCTATAAGCTAGATGTAATTAACACCATTCGATGCGGCTTCTTTATTTCTCTAGAGATGTGTTAGAAAGTTGGGTGTGATAACGATAGTTTTCATAGTCAAATTTAGCAAAAACGTTTAAATGATGTGAGATCAAGTCAATTTTGAACACGAAAATATCACTGCACAATTTCAAATTAAATTGCCGCAATTACGGCTGCTACGGTACAAGACTGGGACTAAATCTACTGGTTATGACGTCGGATAGGGTGCTCTCTCATTTTTCCATACCCTCGTTTTTACTCTTTTTGCAAAACGCGTTTTAGCATCAAGCCATGGTGATTTTGGACACCGTTTGATTGATAATAACACTCTAGCATCCGATACCTCTTGTTAAGCACAAAGAATAAAAGGATTATTATTTGTAGCTTATAAAAAATGTTCAATATTATAAAAACAAGAAAAGACTTATTTGAATAAGATCAGACACAAAAACTAATGATTTATTGATGAAGACAAGAGTTATTCTATTTATACTAAGTTCTGAATGCCAAAGTAGCAATTTATCTTGTACAACGCTTATCACATCTGGTGAACCTCAGTATTTAGATAGCTGAGATGCACTTCACTTATCATAGCTTGTCCATGTTGTTGCACAACACAGACATATCTACCCATCAAGAATACCTTAATCTTTATAGACAGTTGTAGCCCTTCTGGCACAACATTGCCCCCCCAGATTCAGGTACTTCTTGTGGACATTTCGTAATCCCAGATTACAAAACATCATGACAATATAGCACATAAAGCACTTTCCAATAAATAATTACCAAATGACACTGCATCCGAGATCAGTCAGTAAAAACCTTGTGTAAAAACCTTTCATAGGACAAAAATGTAAGGAAAAGACTTGATCCCATCATGCTAGTAGCCATTTAAGACCTGTTTGATCTACCACTCTGACCTTTAGATCTTCAGTCTAACGCTCTCCCAGCTGAGCTATACCCGCAGATGCTTTCACAAACTCATCAAGCCAATTGCGAAGATCGCCGGGAAGACAAGGAGGAAGCAAACGATACCAGTGTTCATCAAGATCAAGCGTGCAACTGCTCAACTTATCGGAAAACCGGCGACAACACTCCTCAATGTTGGCAAAAACTTCCTTTTTTTCATCTTTGACACGTCCAAACCATTGGAACAAAGGAAGATCATCAGGTACAGTTGAACTATTAGCCGCACCTTGACTAACCACTGTTACTTGGGAAGGACTCTGGTTAGGTGTGACCATAGAGAGAGCTTTCTCTATAGCCTCCAAGTTAGAGCACTTCTTTGACAGGGCAGCCTTCAAAGCGTCGACCTCTTCGTCCGACTTGTCCCCACTGTTCGCAACTTCAGCGATCAACCCATGAACCTCCTGACGAAGTCGCTCTACAGCTCCTCCGTACGAAAGCTCGCTTCCAACAGCTTGAACATCTGAACTCTTGTTCTGTTCTGCAGGAGACACAGTAGAATCATTCATAGTCATATTTTTGGTTTAAATTAGATAGGTAGGTTAAAATCTGGAAGATTCTGATTTACACGATCTTAAAAAATGTTAAGCACAAAGAATAAAAGGATTATTATTTGTAGCTTATAAAAAATGTTCAATATTATAAAAACAAGAAAAGACTTATTTGAATAAGATCAGACACAAAAACTAATGATTTATTGATGAAGACAAGAGTTATTCTATTTATACTAAGTTCTGAATGCCAAAGTAGCAATTTATCTTGTACAACGCTTATCACATCTGGTGAACCTCAGTATTTAGATAGCTGAGATGCACTTCACTTATCATAGCTTGTCCATGTTGTTGCACAACACAGACATATCTACCCATCAAGAATACCTTAATCTTTATAGACAGTTGTAGCCCTTCTGGCACAACACCTCTGTCTTGTACTGTTGGATGAACTTGATAATGCTTCTTTGGAATGGAATACAGTAGGTACCATTCGATAACGAGCACTGGAAGGCGTAGGACTAACACTAATAATTAAGCTTGTTTATTAGGTTTAAATAATTTCTTGCTTGTTTGAATGAATACTGCTGCCAATACTTCTCTGCCATCTCTTCTGTCTGCTTCTTTGGTCTTTGCCTGGTCTCTTCTGGTGGCGTTCGTACTTTGGTTTGTCTATGGTGCTGGTGTTGCTACTACTGCTACTGCTAATATGGTCTTTTCTAGTCTACAGTGTTTGGTGCATCATGCTCGTTCTCTGGTGTCGCTCGTTCTTTGGTTTGTCTATGGTGCTGGTGTTGCTACTACTGCTACTGCTAATATGGTCTTTTCTGGTCTACAGTGTTTGGTGCATGCTCGTTCTCTGGTGTCGCTCGTTCTTTGGTTTGTTTATGGTGCTGGTGTTGCTACTACTGTTGCTATTATGGTCTTTCATGGTCTACTGTGTTCGGTGTATGCTGGTTCTCTGGTCTATATTCGGTGATTGCGTATCCTCTGGTCTATCTATGGTGATGGCAAGTGGTAAGTATCTTCTTTCTTCTGATCGCAATGATATAAAACTTCTTTGAACGTTTGTATTATTGCTTCTTTTCTCATGATAATGCATTCATGATGTTTGCTTTGTTGCGTTTTTCTTCTTCTTTTGTTGGTCGTGTTGCTTTACATCCGACTATTACCATGCATGTTGCTCATGTATGCATTTTTGTTGCAACAACAACGAGCTGTTTTGAACGTCTCTGATGTTGTACTTGTTATACTTTTCTTTTGAGTACTCACTTTGTGTGAGTATCCCTTTTTTTGCCTACGTACTGCTATACTCCTATAGTAGTATGTTCTTTTCTGTACTTTCTTTTCTTTTATTATGTTTCTTTGAAGCATACCTTTTTGTTTACGTTGTGTGGATGTGCTTATCCCTGAAGCTCAACAAGACTCTATCCAAGGCTAGGAGGTAGATAGGCTGCCTTCACTTGGTTATCACTACTTACTTTAGTGATGATTGAGGGTCTCAATGCCAGAATTTAAAGCTAGGTGATGTAAGTAAGGCATGCTCTAGCGCCTGGGGGAAGTTTGATGATAGCAGCGGCTATATTGCTATTATAGCGGCGCTTAAAATTTTGCCTCACATCAAAACAGGGGGAAACCCTCGCAAATTTTTTTTTAGGTCAGCGGAGTTTTCAAGCGATTTGATTGGCTCAGGGGTTGAAACGACGAAGGGTTACAACTAGTTGATGTCCTATTTATTTGACCTTTATCGTGATTTTATGTTTCTAATAAAATGATTCAGAAATAGACACAATTTATACCTTTCTCTATTCTAAATTTAAATAAGATGTAATCATTTAATTTAGCATTCTTTGAACAGATTTATGGGTGGGATGTCTTATATATTTATGAGGTGGAGAAAGTTATATAGGCAGAGCAGTACGCTAGATACTAGTTTTTTGCATTACCAGAAGCCATGCGTAATAGTTGTCGTGTATCATTAGTTTCCAACACGTTTTGATCTCATATATTGCTATTGTTTATGATATAGATTGTGCCTGAGGGGCAAATGAATCATACAACGTATGATACGTGATAAGGATTGAGCATAATCTTATGAGAAAATGCGTAGAATTCTGAGATCTCTCGATTTATACATAGCCAGATGACACATCTGTTTAGGATATAGATCAACTCTGAGAGGCAAATATATTATACGTTGTATGATACATGAGAAGACTTGAGAACGAGTAGAGATGCGTAATAAATTGAGAGTTCTTTATTCAAGCAGCACAAAGGAACATGGGTGATGCCATCAAATGGCTAATCTATATTCTGGTTCCTAGAGTGTGGTAACCTATGATCTTTCGTCCCTGAAAGTGGGTTTCAATTCTCTCCTAGATCATCTCTGTTGCCTGTCCCTGGCTGGTGGTCTATGTGCTTTTATGCAGCACATCCTCCTCATTAACTGGTTCAAGGCTTATACAATTATCCCGCTTCAAGATCAAGGTCCTATTGCTGCGGTACTGTCAAACAAACTATAAATACCTTCAAAATTTACTCTATTTTTAATTCTCATTCAATCTCGGAATAACTTAATAAATATACTCGGTTATAATGGTATTTCCTCTGTCTATATTTCGTTATTCTAAGCAGGTCTCCATCAAAGTTCAGCGTAGGTCAGGAAACCAATCGAAGAGTCGAAATGTTCATCGTAACGTAATAAATTTATGGTCTCGACACACTTTCAAAATCTCGAAAATAAAAAAGGTACCCTAATTAACAAGTATTTTGATAGACTGGCGTTATTAAATATAGAATGAAGAAAAAATAGCATGGATAACGATAGTGCTATGTAACTTGCCACTTACTTTCCATTCGCTTCAAAAGCATCTATTACTCTATCGCCTTCATGTTGAAAAGGGCATTGCGTTTGCCGGCTGGCCCCACCAGCCAAAAATTAATTCAAACCCAGACTATTTGTCTGTTTCAGATTGGTCAAACCCCGATGATTTTCAACTCGATTGAGTTATTTTAGCAGATTCGATTATAAAAAATATGTTGATCATCTTATGCGCCTTTAAGCTTTCTTCGAGTGCATTTCAAGGCGCATCCAATGGTACCAAGTAAGGTGAATGTTTTGAATAAACTTATTGAGCAATTTAAGAAAGCATGAAAAAAGGTTTCTGGCCAAAATCTTGAAACTTTACATATCAAAGTCCCATAAAGATGATTTCAGGGTTTACTTTAGATCGATAGAAACATTTTGAATTAATATGTACCATAGTAAAAGCCTTCATTTTCAAGGTCAAAAACGCGATCGTTTGATTTTCGATGAAAACCATGAGGGGTACCTCATGCTTTTTGGTCGATTTTTGGCCATGTTTTTTTTGATCCCCAAAAAGTTGAGCAAAAGTGTCAGAAAGTAACTGCCAAATGAAAGGAACTGTTTGGTGCTATTCTGACGAGCTAAAACAGTCTTGAGCGCAGCTCAAATGCACTCAGATTTTGCTGTATTAAGAAAACTATGGAGTAGAAAGGGGAGATACCAGTATGCTGCTTATCCGTATATGAAGTGGCTACGTGTATATGGATGTAGAACATCACATAAGAATCAGATACACAGATAATATGAAGGGTTCTCAAGTGAAAGTAGAGAGTTAGAATAAAAGTAGCAGTATTTTGATAAGATACGCAAGGGCAAACGATAGCGCGAGCTGCCGCTGCGCAGGCTGGTTCTCACCGAAGCGAAAGTAGAGAGCCATGCGAAGCATAAATACACTCGTATTATATAGCAAGTATCATTCAAGAAAACCATTTTAGACTATAAATAACATATATGATAATTTAGGACCTAAAACAGTTTCAAGAGTTACATTTTTAGTTTGAATATAATTCAAGTAACCAGCATTTCAATTATGAATAAAAAAAACAACATTGTATTAATGCCTTATGTATGATATATTATCGTATCGAAATAGTAGATATAAATGTTTCTCCAAGGTTTAAGGATCTGAAAATAATAACACCAACCTCGTCCGTTCCTAGCACATCTGTCTTGCTCTACTACAAGGCTACTGTACACCATTACAGTACTACTCTTGATAGTCTATATACAGTTTGTCTCTCAATAGAGCCAGTTTTATGTATGTTTTGGAGGCTTTCAGAGGAGACAAAGTAATAAGTTTGTACCAACATACCTGTAGCAACATTAGCCTTTTGTTTTGACACCATTAATGTGAACTGTAGGCGCCCAAAATAGCTGTATTCGCGCTTTTCTCGATTCAAGTGCACATTTGGCAACTGTGATAATGATTCAACAAAACCTACACATCTGCACCAGAGCATGAATCAATGTTGGTGAAGACAATTTGAGTGAGGCAGCCATCCTATTCATGTCCTGGCATTCTTAGTGACAAACACAGGATCATATTAGACTGTTTCTCAATGGTTCTAAAATCCAACTTGCGAGTGCCTTTTCTGTGTCCCGAATTGAATGTATTATGTGTTTAAATGTCTCTTTGTTTAAAGGTATCAAAAAATCACAGACAGAGAGTATATTACAGTTATTATAAATATGTAAACTATGAAATGAAAGATGAATGATGGGATGGACTAGATGACGAGATAGAGCTTATGCCCATATTGTAGGACATATGCAAGCCTATTTTTGGAATCGGAACTGGATTGTGATTGACCCAAATTGCAGAAAATCATGGATAGGTGTTTAAATTTATCAAGTTCCCCTGAAATGATCCTTAAAATAACCAATGTGTGATTATTATTTTCTCAGAATTCTGAGGCTACAGGTGGATTTTAGACTCATTACTTTGTTTATGATCCCAGGCAAGTAACATGATCTTACATAATGCTTAGGTACATATACTGTTTCTTGCTTGATAAGATCTAATATATATACTGTAAAACATTCAAAAAAAGTAGACAAGCCAATCATATCCTTTTAAAATTTAATAGTATTAAAAGCCAGAACAAACGAGGGCATAACCACCGGCGAAGCCGGCAATGGGGAGGGGGTTTGGGGGAGGGGGCTTAGCCCCTCCACCAAGAATATAAGGCACCAAAAAAAAAATTTGATACATTGCTTTTTGTTATTATACGTACGTAATAATATGCCTCCTACTATTCAAACAAGACACTGCACGACCTGTAGAGCTGCTCTTCCAGTAGACTATGCTTATCGGAAATGTGATTCATGTCGAGTAAGTAAAATGGCTTTTAACGCCTAATAAAACCCTGAGACGCAATGGTTTATTTTGTTTGTACTCAAATTCAGGAACGAGCGCGAAATTACGCCAGGCAAAGAAGATTGGCGAATCGAAGAACACCAAGAGCACCTGCAGCGTTTGTATCAGAACTTGGAAGAGTACAACGTTCAGATTTGGGCAGAATGGACAACCAATGTGATGGATGTGGAGCTTTGCATTGGGCCGCAGAGAGGGCTGTTCAACAGCGAGTAAACGACAACTGCTTTCATGCTTGCTGCAAAAAAGGTAGAGCTGTCTTGCCCCTTTTGCAAGAGCCTCCCGAGCCTTTAAATAGCTTGATCAACGGAAGCCATCCTCGATCCTCTCATTTTTTGCAGCACATGCGACAATACAACACTTTGTTCGCATTTACATCATTTGGCACCGATGCTACGCCTGAGCAGCTCCAAAGGGATAGAGAGAATGAGATGAGAGGCGGCATCACGCCGGTTCGTGTTCATGGGGAACTCTATCACTTGCAAGCACCACTAAATTTGAGCAATGTGCCAAAGTATAGCCAGCTGTACGTTTACGACCCAGAGTATGCCGCTGCGATTCGCTGTGCAGACCCCAGAAATCAAGGATTGGACGACACGATCATTGAGCAACTGAGTGAAATGATTGCTGATCCTGTAGTTTGTGGCAATCCATTTGTAAGCATCTACAAACATGCTCACGAAATCCTGAAAGAAGAAGAGGAGAGGCAAGCTCAAGATGGTGTTAGCGAGAATGCTCACATCAGGCTCAGTCCTCAGATGCAAATGGAATTGGTTGTTGGCCAGGACAGACGCACTCAAAATCTGCCAACTGTCAACGAGATTGCTGCCATCATTCCAAACGAGTGTTCTGACAGGAGTTTCAGAGATATTTTGATCACATATCGTAGCAATTCCTCGGCCAGGGCTCAAGGCCAGTTTAAGCGTATCAATGAGACGCATGCTGCATATATGCCTCTTCATTATGCTTTGCTTTTTCCTAGAGGTGAATATGGGTGGAATTGGGGCCAAAGACTGCAATCGTCAGCGCAAACTGCTGATGCCATGATTATTGAGAGCGAAGAAGATGAGACACCAGCAGAGCAACAACAACAACAACAAGTGTCAGATAGCCGACTTACCCAGGGCGTGTTCTACAGATTTCGATTGCATGTTAGAAACAACGAGTCAAAGATCATTTTTTTGTCAAGACGTCTATTTCAACAATATGTGATTGATGCCTGGGCAATCTGTGAGCAAACAAAACTGAACTGGATCAAAGTCAATCAGACGAATCTTCGCGCTGATGTGTATAAAGGACTTGCTGATGCTACCTCTGCTGCTGACTCAGACCTCGAACAGGTGGGAAAGACGTTCATCTTGCCCAGTAGCTTCACTGGTGGACCGCGATTCATGATGCAGCTATATCAAAATGCAATGGCTATCTCTAGATTCTTTGGTAAGCCAACGTTATTCATCACATTTACTGCCAACCCAAACTGGAGGGAGATCCAAGATGAATTGTTGCCAGGCCAAACAGCCGCTGATCGCCCCGACTTGGTTGCTCGAGTATTCAACCTTAAGCACCGAGAGCTGCTTAAAGACTTGAAAGACAGAAAGGTCTTTGGCTGTTATAAAGGCATTGTAAGGACTATTGAGTATCAAAAGCGTGGTCTCCCTCACGGTCATATGCTATTGTTTTTGGATGCAGAAACAGATAGATTTGATACGCCAGAGAGGATTGATCAGATCATTTGCGCTGAGATCCCAAATGTTGAAGAAGAACCTGAATTGCATGCAATCATCACTCGCAATATGATGCATGGCCCATGTGGCGAGCTAAACTCAAAGTCTCCGTGTATGGTACAAGATGCTTTTGGCAATGATGTATGCTCAAAGAAATTTCCCAAAAACTACCAGCCAGTAACGGTGACCAGTGCTGATGGTTATCCTACTTATAGAAGAAGAAGAGATGGTCGTTCTCATCAGGTGCGCGTCAAGGACAAGTTGGGTGTCTACCGCGATTTCCACATGACGAATGAGTGGGTGGTGCCATACAACCCTTATTTGTCAAAAAAATACAATGCCCATGTAAATGTCGAAGTATGTGGTAGCGTCCAGGCAATCAAGTACATCAACAAGTATATTTACAAAGGCTCTGATCAGACAACGCTCAAAACTACAGCCACCACCACAGCCACTGAAACAGCAAATGCCACTACCACAGCAACAACTCAGAATAACGAAGTAGCCAAGTATCTAAATGGCCGTTATATTAGTCCTGTTGAAGCTGCATGGAGGTTGTTTGAATTCCCAATGCATGAGGAAAGCCCATCTGTTACTCCACTTGCTGTGCATCTTGAAAACGAGCAACCTGTTTATTTTGATCCCCAATGGCCACAGGAGAAAATTGACAAAGTATTGAGAGAGAGTCGCTCTACTTTGATGGCTTACTTTCATTACAACCATGCAAATCACGGCAAACCCGGTTTTCGACCGTTGCTTTATCAAGAGTTCCCTGAACATATGACTTGGCAGCAGAATGCAAAAAAGTGGAAGCCTAGGTCTTCGAGTAGAATGTCAATTGGGCGCATGTATTACTGCAATCCTGCTGCCGGCGAGAGGTATTATCTGCGTCTGCTGCTCACAGTTGTCAGAGGAGCCATGTCGTTTTCTCATCTGAGAACTGTCAATAATCACGAGTACGCCACCTTTCGCGAGGCCTGTATGATGCTGCATTTGATCGAAGATGATGGAGAATGGACCAGAGCCTTTGAAGAAGCTGCTACCTTTGCCTCTGGCTACGCAATGCGTTCAATGTTTGTCTCTGCGCTCATGTTCAACTCATTGGTATCGCCTGTTCAGATTTGGGATCAATTCTGTGAAAGTTTCTGTGATGATCTTGAGCATGCAATCGTGCAAAAAGGGTATTCGCTGCTGCTCAGCGTGCAACCTGACGCTGAATTTTACCATGGAACGCGAAGTCTTGATTACGGCTTATATCTGTTGCAAACATCTCTTGGTGCACAAGACAGATCTCTAGGTCAGTTCAATTTGCCTTTGCCTCTCTTCAACTGGAATGGCTTGATAAGCAGAATGACTGGCATACAGCGCAATTCATTGATACTCAATGAAATGTCATATCTCCAAGATCAAGAAGCCTTTTCGTACCAGCAAAAGTACGCTCAAATGAACGCTACCCAGAAGCACGTATTTGATACCATCACCTCCTCCATCAACAGCAACACCAATAGCTCACATTTCTTTTTGCAAGGTCCAGCTGGCACTGGCAAAACCTTCATTTACAATACTCTTTGTCACTTTTATAGAAGCCAAGGAAAAATTGTTCTCTGTGTTGCCTCCTCTGGCATTGCTGCTTTGCTACTTCCTGGTGGGCGTACGTCGCACTCTCGCTTTGCCATTCCACTCAACATCCACGAGCAGTCTGTGTGTGCAATCAAGAAAAACGATGATCTTGCTGATCTCATTCGAGAGACATCATTGATAATTTGGGATGAAGTGCCAATGCAGCATCGATATTGCTTTGAAGCTTTTGATCGAACACTTCGTGATATTTGTAGTCGTGGTGATGAAGTTACCTTTGGTGGTATTCCTGTTGTTCTTGGCGGTGATTTTGCTCAAATTCCACCTGTTGTTAGGCAAGGTGGCCGTCCTGAAATCGTCAATGCCTCACTGAAATCGTCAAGATTATGGCCCAAATTACAAAAGCTGAGCCTGACTGAGAATATGAGACTTGCCAACTCCAATGACACAGATAGGCAATTTGCAGATTGGATAGGAAAAATGTCGTATGAACCATCCATGATTGGCAGCATTGCTTTGCCCTCTTTTTTGAGGCAGATGACTGATCTTGATCAGTTCATTGAAGATATCTATCCTCAGCATGTTCTGCAGTGTCCTCTGCAAAATAGTGATTTCTTCAAGGAAAGAGCTATTCTCTGTTCAAAGAACGTCAACGTTGATGCTATTAACAGCAAGGTGATGGAGAACGTGATTGGGGAAAAGGTCACTCTGTACTCTGCTGACACAGCTCAGTCTGATCTGACCAACACGGAGACCCAAGCCTATCCCTCAGAGTATTTGCAAACCCTTTCGCCTTCAGGGCTGCCGCCAGCAGTTTTGGAGTTGAAAGTAGGTCTTCCTGTAATGCTCTTGAGAAACCTCAACCCTGAAAGAGGTTTGTGCAATGGTACAAGGCTGATCATTCAGCAAATTGGACAGTATGTCCTCAAGGTGAAAATCCTCGGAGGGTCAGGTGCAGTAGAGTTGATTCCTCGCTTTACATTATCAACATTGCCTGGTACATTACCATTTATTTTGACTAGGAAACAGTTCCCTGTAAAAGTGTCTTTTGCGATGACAATCAACAAGTCTCAGGGGCAATCCCTTAGAAAAGTCGCTGTAGACCTCAGGAGTCCTGTTTTCACACATGGCCAACTCTATGTTGCCATCTCGAGAGCAACATCTGCAAATGGTATGACAATTCTACTGCCAGAAAATGCGACTCGGACAGAGAATGTTGTCTACCCAGAAGTATTATATAATATAAATGCTGTATAAAAAAAGTTGGTCTGTAACTCCCAACTCCTGTCGTCTCAATCAAGTTTCAAGTCTATTTTTTGTTTTAAAATCTTCGAATCGAATATAATCATTGTTTAAAACCTACTTGATATACCAAATTTTTATTATCTCTGATTTGAAATGTCTTCGGCCAGAGCCCGCAGGGCGACGCCGTCATCGAGCGTAGCGAGATAGATCGGCTAGTACACTTTAATACAAAAAAAAAAAAAAAAAAGTTTCTTGCTTGATTTGTGCTGGCAAAAGAATTGTTATGCATGATATGCTCCGCACTAATTTTAGCCCATCTCTTTTTTTTCTAGGATAATGAATACAGCCATTCATTTAGCTGTGAAGCCTTTAATTGCTTCTGTGTACCTCCCTAAATCCACCAAACTGTGCGCCGCATCAGCACCATATATTCAAGATTGCAATATATATAAGAGTTGGAGCAATGGCTACCTGATGTATACTAAAGAAAAGCTGGACTACAATTACGTTAATTAGCCTTTTAGTGAGACAATAATAAAGATGGTGCTACAATCATTGATAACATGGAAAATAAGGATCAGGAAGTGCTGCACATCTGACTTTAGTAATCGCTTGCCATAAGGCTTTGCAATTTGCATCTTCTTCCTTAAATCTATCTTTTTCATTTCCTGTAAATATACCAACATCTGTAGACAACATTAAACGGATCCAGCTTGAGCCCGTACGCATACATTTACATCAAAAGTTTTCTTGCATACAGGACAGCATACATTGTTCACACAACATCTATACAAATACTTACAGCATAAAGATAACAAATTAGCAATAATGATGAATGTCAGCAATAGTATCGCATATCTCAAGAGAAACAACAATAGACGTTGCATGCACCTATGCTTGATCATGATGTTTATAGCGACTACCTTGATTTACTTGATCCAATCTCAGTCTACATTGGTGAGAGACATTGGCTATTACACTCGACCGCTCTGGGACAAGAACCCCAATACATTCAAAACTATTCCACACTACTATGCCGAGAATGTGCCTATGGAGACGCTGTGCCAGCTCCATGGCTGGCAATTGAAACCAAAAGAAAAGCTCGCCAAAAATAAAGTGTATGATGCCATTATCTTTAGCGTGGAACTGGACTTGCTCGAGATACGCATCAAGGAACTATGGAATGTTGTCGACACATTTGTGATTCTAGAGTCAAATGCAACATTTACTGGAGTCACCAAAAATTTGACATTCAACGAACACAAGAAACGCTTCCAGTTTGCAGCCTCAAAAATACATCATGTTATTATCGATCAGTACGCATTGCCAGCTGGAGAGGGGCCATTTTACAACGAGGGTAAGATGCGTGAGTCTATGGATCAAGCGCTGGTGGATGCAGGTGCCAAAACCAATGATTTGATCATCATGTCAGATGTGGATGAGCTACCAAGGGCTCAGACTATAGAAATCATCTCCAGCTGCGAAGGAGTTCCTGAAAAGTTACATTTACAACTGCGGAATTACATGTATTCATTCGAGTTTTTCGTGGACAGCAGTTCCTGGAGGGCTCATGTTGTAAAATACACTGCAGGACACACATTTTACACACACGGACAGATTACCGAGGATTTGCTATCTGATGCAGGTAATCAGAGAACGGAGACAAACAAATGCCTGCCATCATGCTTATTAATCCTTTTTCTAGGATGGCATTGCTCATTCTGCTTCCGGACCATACAAGAATTCCAATTCAAAATGAAGAGCTACTCTCATTCAGATCGAGTGAGTAATGGCGGTTTACTATCAACGGACAGAATACAAAAGACCATATGTGATGGCACTGACATTTTTGACATGCCGCCTGAATCCTACAGCTATAAGGACATGGTAACCAAGTTTCGCATTGATAGCTCCCAGTCAGGCGTGGGATTGCCATCTTCACTACTAAAGGATTCACAGCGCTTCAAATTTTTGCTGCCTGGAGGATGTATAAGAGGGGCGAGCGACACCTGATCATTTTGATTAAGAGAGAATGCATAGTTGATCATGGGCCAAGCTCATATTCTGGTGCCAATAGCTTCATCGTCTCATATCCATTTTAATAAACCCCTTTCATATTCGTTATTGGTCTGGCCTATTACTCTGATCTATTTTTGTTTAGGATATGGATTGAATCTGCAGTGATGTGTTGTGTTCTTTATAACGCAACCAAGGATAGCTAAGCGGTAAGCGTCATGGCAGTAACATTAAAGTTGGCTGAGAGATCAGTGGTACTATATGTATGGCTAAGGGATATTCGAGTTGTATTGAGTTATAAAGGGAGGAAATCTAAACGTTTCGTTCCTGATTCTTTCGAATGTTCTGATCTCTAGAAGCTCTTGCTCATCAAACTTCCCTTTATTGATTCAAAATGCTTATATCTATTTATTGTTCCTTTTCGCAGATCCAAACAAGAGCTATCAAAGGTTTGTTATTAGGAGTGAGATATTGCAGTGCAATTGGAACAAGGTGAAGGATGATTGATACCTGAGAACGTTTCAGTCAAGAGCAAATCACTGGCTGAATGGTCACAAGAATTACTGGCAACGATTTTGGGTTGATGGGTGTACCTCTGCGCATGGTTTGAGAGGGTCAGTGGTATCATTGGCTAAAGTGATCTACCCCTGATCGATCGACACCCGTCTCATGCTCTGATGTGTTTGGGCAAGTTCGGGGAAGTAGGGCATGAATTGTAAGTATATCTCTTCCTCGTAGATGTTGTTTACCATGGCTGGAGAGAGACGCATTATACTGTGCACAGTGTATCAGTGATCCAATGCCTGAATGCTCCCTGCAACATCCATCGAATTGCTTGATAATGGATCCAGCTAAAGACAAACCCTGAAGATTCCATCATGGCCACTACAAAGCAGCAAGACGCTCAAGCATCTACACCTCGCATAGGACGCTCATATGACCAATTGACTGAAGACACATTCCGTGAAAGCAGCCTCTCCATCTATCGCAAACCGTTGGAGAATTTTTGTTTAGACGGTAGTGGCTCCATCACCGAATACAAGGCAATCCTGAGCATGAAGAGTTTCCCTAACGGTGTCGTAAAAGATTGTTAGATTCTGGTTGAAACAGAGATGCGTAAACATGATCATTAACTCCCGACAAGTCCAGTATGGTTATGCACAAAACTTCCTTCTTGGAAGAACAGAAAGAAAAACCAATCTGGTGTTGTTTTGCTTGTTGGTTAGTTTGCTGCGGTTATCACGAAAGAGCAGGAAAACGATAATGCCAATGTGCGTGAAGATGACGGTAATGCGGATGGAGAGGATGCCAGTGCGGGTGATGATGGTGATGATGGTGACAATGTGGGTGAAACACAGGAGGAAGACCAACTGGTGCAGGTCAAAATACAAAACTGTGTCGAAAATGTTGAAAGGTGTCATCAAAGAACATTTTGATTACCAATTGTTACTCCAGAGAATGCAAGGCCTGCAAGACTCTTGCAACAAAGCAATTTATGGGTCATCTCAGTGCAATGACATACTGGCGGACATGATTGTTACAAGCGGTTGCCACACTGGTGCTCGCCCATGATGCTCTGATCACGCCAGCAACGACTTGGAAGGCCGAGGAATTCGTCAAGATGAGCATTGCTTAATAGGATTCTCTAGCCTGGCATCTACTAATGGTTTTCCCTTGCCCCGTTTCCAACGAGTCAAAACAAACAAGGCTGCTATTCAATTATCAGTGATGAAACGGCCCTCATGCATTTTATTGCAGGCACAGATTGTCTCCTTTTTTTTTTTCTCGCCTGCCAGAACCATGGTGAGAAGGGGATTCCCACTCAAAGTGGCGGATGATAGTTGATACTACAATACAAACAAAATGTCACAACTTGAGTAACCTTGTTGGTTTAAAACCCTCAAATCTTCCCCTTTTTTGTGTGTATTTCTATTTTCCTTTTCTCTTTCCTCTCTTCTTTTCCTTTTCTTCCTGTTTTGATCTGTAGAAAATAATGTCTGGAAACAACATCAAAGTTGTTTGTCGTTTCCGTCCTCAAAATTCACTCGAAAACAGAGAGGGCGGTGTTCCTATTATCTCCATCGATGATGAAGGAACCAACGTTCAGCTCAAGGTGGGTTACTGATTATGAAATCAAATGAAATTCAGGCACCAACATGGCAGCAACATTTCATAGGGTGAAGCTACTAGCAATTTTGCATTTGACAAGGTGTTTGGTATGAACACGCCTCAGAAGGATGTGTTCGAGTACTCTATCAAGAGCATCGTTGATGGTAAAATGAAAAAAAAAAATCTCGTTGTGTGACATTATTGTTGAACCATTGCAAAATAGATGTTACTGCAGGCTACAATGGTACTGTATTCGCCTATGGTCAAACGGGTTCTGGTAAAACATTCACCATGATGGTAGGCAATCCCACGGTCTTGATGCCTATCTGATCTTTCGCTAACACTCCTCATGCAGGGTGCTGATATTGACGACGAGAACACAAAGGGTATCATTCCTCGCATCATTGAACAGATCTTTACAAGTATCAATGATGCGCCGAGTAATATTGAATTTACTGTCAAAGTGTCTTATATGGAAATTTACATGGAGAAAGTCAGAGATTTGTTTAACCGTAAATAGCTCGTTTGGCCTTGCAATGGCACTGAATACTTACATGTTCATCTGTATAGCATCATCCGATAATTTAGCCATCCACGAAGATAAAACGCGTGGTGTTTACGTCAAAGATTTGTATGAAATATACGTTGCCAATACGGATGAAGTGTATCAAGCAATGAAGAATGGAAGTAGTAATCGTGTGGTTGCTTACACAAGTATGTAGACGGAATGACAATGTAGGCATTGCGTTGTTTCTAACGCACATGTAGACATGAACGCTGAGAGTTCTCGATCTCACTCTATTGTGGTCATCACCATCACACAAAAGAACTTGGACACAGGTGCTGCAAAGAGCGGCAAGCTCTACTTGGTCGATTTGGCTGGTTCAGAAAAAGTAAGTTACTAACGTACGCATCTTACAAGTGAGCAAATGTTAAGCTCACCATGGCACATGTAGGTTGGTAAAACTGGAGCTTCTGGTCAGACATTGGAGGAAGCCAAAAAGATCAACAAATCACTCACTGCGCTTGGCATGGTCATCAACTCTCTCACCGATGGAAAATCAAGCCACATTCCCTACCGTGATTCAAAGCTAACTCGTATCTTGCAAGAATCGCTCGGTGGTAACTCTCGCACTACGCTGATCATCAACTGTTCTCCCTCGTCATACAATGAAGCCGAAACCATCTCTACGCTGCGATTTGGTATGAGAGCTAAATCCATCAAGAATAAGGCGAAAGTTAATGCCGATCTGTCACCTGCCGAACTCAAAGCACTGCTCAAAAAGGTCAAATCAGAAACAATCACATTCCAGGCATACATTGCAGCACTTGAAGGCGAAGTTACAGTATGGCGTGGTGGCAACACCTTACCCGAGGACAAGTGGGTGTCTATGGACAAGATCAACAAGGGTGACTATTCTGCCCTGCCTCCTGCTTCTAACTTTAGAGCATCCTCCGTTGCAGAAGACGCTTCTCGTCCTACTACTCCATCTGTTGTTCTGGAAAAAGACGAGCGTGAAGAGCTGCTGAAGCGTGAAAATGAGCTAATGGATCAAATTGCTGAAAAGGAGACGGAGCTCGCTAACCGTGAAAAACTGCTGGAATCCTTGAAGGAAGAAATGGGATACTATAAAGAGCAAGAAGCTATTGTCACTAAAGAGAATCAACAAATGACATCGGAACTGAGCGAACTCAGACTGCAGCTTCAAAAGATCTCGTACGAGAGCAAGGAGAATGCCATCAACGTGGACTCGCTCAAGGAAGCAAATCAAGAGCTGATTGCCGAGCTGGAAGAGCTCAAGAAGAACCTTCAAGAGGTCCGTCTTGCCCACAAGGACAGCAGTGATAACGAGAAGGAGAAGAAGAAGGCGCAAAAATTGGCCCAGATTATGTTCAAATTGGATCCATCTGTAGGTTTATTTGTTTATTTGTGTGCACATGTATGTAATGTATCATGTTGTATAACACTGTTTCTCGGTTGTTTAGAGTGAGATTAACGAAAAAGAACGTCAAATTCGTGATTCGCTGCACAAGATTGAGAATGAAGGCCATGGCGCTCTCAGCCTGGAAGAGCTGGTTGCTCTTCGTCGTGATCTGGCAGAGTCCAAAATCTTGTTGGATCAGCACAGCAAGACGATCACTGACATTTCGTACGAAAAGGAAGTGCTCGAGAAGAAGAAGCTGGAGCTGGATGCCAAGTTTGGTCATCTGGAGCAGGAATACGAGGAGCTTCTTGATAAGACAATTGCTGAGGAAGAAGTGGCTGCACAAAAGAATGCAGACATGGAAGAAACCATCTCTACATTGAAGGTATGTACAGCTGTATACATCATGTAATGTACGGTGCTTCCAACAGACGACCTCTCTTTACTTTATAGAGCAAATTAGAGGCACAATATGCAACCAAGAAGGAGATGCAACAGAAGGAAATTGAAGATCTCCAGCAAGAAATCGCTGAAAAGAATGAGAATCTACACAAACTCACTGGCTCTCTGTCGGCTCTCAAGGACGCCAACGATCAACTTCAGAGTGCCCTTTCAGATCAGCCTACTCAAGCCCAAAACGGCGACTTGTCAGAGCGTGAAAAGGAGCTGGAACGTATGCGCAAGAGCATGGCTAAGGAATTGGCCGACTTTGAGACCATGAAGAAGGTGCTGATGAGAGATCTCCAAACGCGTTGCGAAAAGGTCGTTGAACTCGAGATGTCTTTGGATGAGACCCGCGAGCAATACAACAATGTCTTGAGAGCAAGCAACAACAAGGCTCAGCAAAAGAAGATGGCATTCTTGGAGCGTAATTTGGAGCAACTCACCAATGTGCAAAAGCAGGTAAGAGACAACCACATGTCATCCGTATGCACTCTGGCCATTTGATAATTGACGCTCTCTGGTTTTATTATAGCTTGTTGAGCAAAATTCGTCATTGAAGAAGGAAGTTGCTCTTGCAGAGCGCAAGCTGATTGCTCGTAATGAGCGTATTCAAAGCCTGGAGACTCTCTTGCAAGACGCCCAAGAGAAACTGATCAATCAAAACCAGAAATTCGAAGCACAACTCCAAGCTGTCCGTGAGCGTCTTGAACAAGCTCGCTCTCAAAAATCTCAAAATTCCATGGCATTGAACTTTGGTCGTGTCGCTAAACCTCTTCGTGGTGGTGGAGCTGTTGTTGAGAATGGTGAAAACTCGCCTACTTCACCCACTGAGAAGCGTGATAAGCGTAACTCTTGGATTCCTGGCTTTATGGGATCCAGATAGATTATATAACTATTTTCCCCTTTTTGTATGTCCTTTACCCCTCCTATCGACCCTTTTTACCATACGTATACACAATGCTCATATACCAAACAAATATGCTCCTAGTTCGCCTCTCTTCAACCCAAGGGAGGGAAACAAGTGTCAACGCTACTGCCTTGAATTCCCAACTATTCTACATAAATTCAATTTTATATGTAATTTCTTGTTTTATTCAATATCAACTGCAAGGTATAATCTCACTTGCTATTATCCTCCAGGGATTCCTGTACAATGTCATGCAAACGATCAACCAATTCAGGCCATCCAGCCAGAGCCTCCATGACGCTGTTTAACCAAGCAATGTCATCAGGCTGCTGTCTGCGAGTAGTGCAAATGAGTCGAGCCAGATTGTTGCCATCCTCATCCTCTTCATCCATCTCGGAGCAGGTCTGAAAGCGAGGTTCATCCAATTCAGTCACTGGACTAGGTGGCATAGCATCTTCCAGGATAGAGTTGCGTCTTACGGTAGCTGTGAGGCGACGCGAGGATGGTGCGATGGACAGCAAGTGCTGTGCTTTGCGAAAGTAACTAGCATGAGTCTGCGGTAATCTTGTTTGGAAATCAGGGTCTTCTCGCAGCTTGATCAAATCCATATCACAGTAATTGCGCGAGCTACGACCCCTGCCTGTTGGGGTTGAAGAGCCTGCTCCAATGTCTTTGATTCTGTCATTTGTGTTTCTCAGATGGTTTGTATCTAGGCCCTCTTCTTGCTCGTCATCCTCGCTATCCAGCAAGTCCCCTAGATGATCGCTTTCTTGGCCTGATTCCTGAGCTTCGACTTCAATGTTGGCTTCGTCAACTTCGTCAATTTTGGATTCAACAAAGGTAGGATGAGGCTCAGATTGAATTGAATGATACGATGAGCGACGTCTTCTTCCGCCATTGAAACCACCAGCGGGCGCGTTTTGTTGTTGGTATTGATGATAGAACTGATCCTCAGTGGCAAACATCTCTTCAGTGACCTTTGGTGCATCTTCAAAAAAAATGCTATCTTGGTCATTGTAATCCGGAGCAGCCCCTAGACTCATGCTTGATAGTCTTCGGCTTCTACGGCGTCCGCCTCCGCCTCCGCCGTTATGGTTGCTGCCTATTGTGTTGATTGAACCAGTGCTTTGAGAGGAAGTCAGTTTGCGTGGTGGTACAAATGATGTCGGTAATGTACTGGTTGTGTAATCTAGTGTAGAGACTGATACTTCATCGTCTTCATAGCCAACGCTTTCCTTGAATTTGGTCAGAAACACAGGATTGTAAGCCAAGAATTGACTGATTTGATTCATCCACGGGCGGTCAGGCAGCTTATCACGAGGTTTATACACAACATCTTGAAAGCGCTGCCAGGCATCTTTACCTTGGGTTTCTGTAATATAGTGCTCAAGAGCTTCATAGAATTGAGCGTTGCAAACAGCCAAACCTCTCATTTCGCTGGGTCTGTCCAGGAGAGCAACAAGAATATCAGAACTGACGGGCTGACCATCAATGTCAATACTACCAGCGGATGAAATGCTGCAATTTCTCAAGTCAGATGCCAAATCTTGGCCCAAGTGTTGCTGTTGATCTTGTTGCTCTTCTTCTTCTTCATTGATGGTGTTGCTTGAATTCAAAAGATTGTGAGTGCTTACATCGATAAAAGCAGAAGACATGATGAAATGTAGATTCCTTTGTGAATAAAGAGTGGGAAGAAAATAGAGTAATATGAGAGAAAAAAGGAAAGGTGACTTTTTGGAATAAAATCACCCTAGTTGTGTTGATATTAAACCTGTTTCCAAAATGGAAAGAAAAACGAGAGCGTTGGGCGTCAAGGTTTGTTTATGCGAATAGCATGATTGGACATTTCATTTTGGATATTCTCACATGGTGCTTTTAAAGAGTGGGAAGGGGCATTGTGTTCTCAGCACGATAAGGCAGTGTCAAGATGGATAATGGCATTAGCCAATCCATGTGCAACTCGATTTTGTATATGCATTTGCAATCATTCTTTTGTGCTTCCCATGAAATTCAGTTTTACCCAGATTTTCAGTATTGAGTTTCGAATGGCGAAATGCTGAACGCTTATATTGCTGCTTCCATGATGTCTTGCATCCAAGTGTTCTGTTACACTGTTGGTTTTCAAGCTCATCTATAAATTCCAACGTACAAATAGCATGAAAAAAGTGCCGTCGTGATCAATTAGAGGTATACACAAGCATGCTCCCAAAATCCTGAGCAAAGAAGAGGATCTATATGTCTGAAACTATCAACGATGTTGCAGCCATCATTTTCAATGACTATTCTTGATACAAATTTTAGAAATGTCCTCATCACATACCAAAATGGCTTTTCAACCAATGGCAATAGCCTCTTTGAAACGAATCGATGAAACCCATACTGCCTACATGATATATTGAAATGCTGCAAATCATAATCAGGAAGTTGTGATTACATATATTTTGGTGATGAGCTAGGCTGACTGGTGTTGTCAGATATGAAATTTTCCAAAAAAAGCAAAGAAAGTATTCAGTTTGAGCGACTGTCCTTTTAAATTCATGATCTTCATTGATTTAGCACCCTAATAATCATCATCGTCATCATCAGAAACGCATTTGGGTCAGCCAGCAGCAGCGCCGCCGCCGCCGCCAAAATTGCTTCAAACTCAGCTTATTTTTCTCTGTTCAAGATTCGCCAGATTTTGTCTTTTTTCGACTTCTTTAATGTATTTTTCGAGACTCGACTATACAAGCTGTAATGAACAGCCCGTACTTCCTAATACATTCTTGGAGTGCTTTTTAAGGCGCTTCCAATGATGCCAAGTAAAATAGATGTTTTGACTGAACTTATTGAGCAATTTCAGAAAATATGAAATGAGGTTTTGGGCAAAAATGTATAGATTTTACATATGAAAGATTCCCAAACAAAGTTCCAGGGGGTAGCATTGGATTTAGAGAAACATTTTGAGTTAATATCATAACATAGTAAATGTTCAGTCCTTAGACACTTTACAACCCTAATATCGAACCTGAGTTTCAAGGCATCTGTCAGGCCTGGCTCATATGAGAATAATGATTTTACAATCAATCAACAAAAACCACTGTTAGTTCTACCCTCTTTCCTCTGCTCAATGCTGTCAATGTTTTATTTGAACGACGTCTCAGAGCCTCAGAGATTTCACTACTTACTGCAGACATCTTACGCAGCCCATGAATCGTCAATGTCCAGATTAACGTTATTAAATATAGAATGCAAGACGATGTCATTATGAACGATATAAAATGCAATAAAATATCATTATAAACGATAGCTTTATGGCCTGCCACCTACTTTTTCATACGCTTCAAGAGCATTTACTACTGTATTGCAGTATGAAAAGGGCATTGAGTTTGCCAGCTGGCCCCACAAGCCAAAATTAATTCAAATCCAGAATCATAGTTTGCTCCAGATTGGACAAATCATAATAATTTTGGACCCAATTAAGCTATTTTTGCAGATTCGACTAAGTAAAATATGATGATCACCCCATGCTTCCTTAGGCCGGGCGTTTTGCCGTAGCATTTTCGTCCCTCCTTCTTCCTCGCCTTCGCGTAGTCGGTTGCCACTCAACAGCATCCGCTTTTTTAAAAAACTACGCAAAAACCTACCCTCTTCCTCCTCCTCTCTTTCTCCTCTCCAACCTCCTCAATGGCGCTCATTCTGGACACTCGCAATTCCCCTTGCTGCTCGCACGGTCTGGTATCGGGCTATATATGAAAAAATCCCCACCAGAGCCCTCCTACATCTACGCGTTCCTGACAATCACCCTTCTCACCTCTGTACAATCTGCCCTGCCTCTCCCACGGAGGATATCACACATGCTCTGTTCTCCTGTCCTCCCAAGTTGCTGGTCTGGCGATACATGTATCACACCTATCTTTCTGCTTCTCCATCAATCTCTGATGTTGATCTGATTCATTTCTTACAACAAACTTTACTCTGTTCTTCCCCTCTTCTTGATCGTGATCCCTCTCTCTCGTTCAATGAACTCTCTATTCCTCAACTATTCGCAACTACTCTTTTGACAATTTGGCAAGCGCATTGGCGCTGGATCTTCGACCGAACCCCGTTCATCGCTGACACCGTTCAACTTCGCCTTGCTCGCTCTCTTGCTCGTTTGGATGCCGAGTTAAATCTTGATTCGTAAGTATTCAGTTTTACCTTTTCGTTCATTCTTCTGTCACCTTTTTTTTTTTTCCAACCCATTTTCCATCCGATCCTTTGTCTCTATATCCAGTCTTTTCTATCCCTCAGCACGACATTTAAAGGACTTTAAATAAAAACTGGAGCTCGTCTCCCCTACAAAAAAAAAAAAAAAAAAAAAAAAATGCTTCCTTAGGCTAAGGACTTTAAATAAAAACTGGAGCTCGTCTCCCCTACAAAAAAAAAAAAAAAAAAAAATGCTTCCTTAGGCTTTCCTGGAGTATTTTTCAAGGTGCATCCAATGGTACCAAGTAAAATAGATGATTTGAATAAACGTATCAAATGATTCATGAAAATATGAAAAGAGGTTTCTGGCCAAAATGTCGAAATTTTACATATCAAAGTCCCACAAAGATGATTTCAGAGGTTGCTTTGGATCGATAGAAACATTTTGATTCAAGATATACCATAGTAAAAGTCTTCATTTTCAAGGTCAAAAATGCGATCGTTTGATTTTCGATGAAAACCATGAGGGGTACATCATGCTTTTTGATCGATTTTTGGCAATGTTTTTCGGATCCCCAAAAAGTTGAGCAAACGTGCCAGGAAGTTGCTGCTACTCGAGTACAATCGTTTAACGCTATTCCGGTGGCTCAGAAAAGCCTACATGTCAAGATCTTAAGGCTTGAAAGCTGTTAGTTTTAGTTGTGTCCATACGTTTGCTTGTAGTTTTATATACAAAATTGCTGGCTAGATTTGCTCTGTACTTTAGTCTACATCTTTAAACCTCATTGAGAAAAGTGGTTTTACTACTGTGAGCGAGGGGAACCCTATTTAATTATTACTTGTGCATTAAACAGCAGATGAAGAAAGCGTCAATTTGCATGCTGGTCACTTGAAACCATTTGGAAGAGCATTGTCCCGCATACAATGCCCATATTGCTTGATATTCATCCATACAAACATATCCATTTCCACTGGCAAGCTGTATCTGTTCAAGTGGCGTCATTCCAATGATACCAGGGCATGCTGGGTGCTCTCATTATATGGTTCAATGTCTGGTTTATTGCACAAACTTTGCACAGATGATCTGAATTCTCAGCCAGTATGGCAGCTTTCAAGCCATTGACAAGAGATATATAGAACCATAAGGGAGGGCTATCAAGACATTTGAAAAGTGACAATAGATCAATCCCTGGCTTGATAACGGTTCTAGTGATTCATCTCAATTTTCCAACAAAACTTTTACTATGTCTTGCTTTGCGTGAATAGCATTTGTGTACATCAGTGCCTGTTAAAGCACTACGATATCAGCATTATCGTTAGCGATGTGCTGCTTATCCTAATTAAGAAAATGGAATATACTATGCTGTAAGTGAAGCGATCGAAGTGGACCATTATGATATAGGCTTCAATGCTGGCGTGTTCTAGTAACATAATCAAACTTTTCCCTGGATCTGTGCAATGTTACAATTATTTGAAATTCAAGCAAATGCGTAGTCATCTGTCACATTGCTCACATGGCGCTTTTCATTATTGATCCAGCAAGAAGACCAGATCAGATTAGATCAAATCGAAATGCTTTTGTATATATATAAAAAACAATGATAGCATTATTCTACGTGATAGCATCATGAATGAGGTAGCGACGCATTTCATCTTATAGGAGAGAATGTCTGCGCCCTTGTGAAGGCAGTTTCATTCTCACATTTTTCTCCTTCTGTCCATTCTCAGCGTTCTTACATTTCCTTATTTATCAATTGTATTACAAGGGAAAAGCATATAAAACAGCCCCTTTGATCCTATGGATCCCTCTTTCTTCACAATGGCAATTGTATATGAAGCTGTACCTAACAAGGCACCATTACTAGAGGCTCTGCCTGAAGAAATCATCACCCTTATCCTCTCACAATCCTCAATTGATATCAAGGCATTAAGGACATGTATGTCGGTATCCTCAAAATTGCGTCGAATCAGTCTCTATATCCTAGAATATTATCGATTACCAGCCACCCAATTGTCCCTGACGATAGATCAAGAAGGCAAGAGCAAAATGACCACTCGATTTGGATTTAGCCATTTCTGCCCAGTGTCTTTGACCACATTATACACATCCTATCAACCCATGGCAAGACGCTATTATACAGACAAAGCCTATCCAGTCGTCCGCTCAATGGCAATAGACTATGCTAGCTGTGATATTCAATCTTCCTCAGTATCAATCGCGTCATCCACATCAGGTACTTTGGTTGGCAGCTGCTCGTCCTCCTCATCGTCATCATCAATATCCGTTGCTAAGCAACCATGCTACACAAACACGCCTTCTGATTTAGCTTCTGTGTATTACCATGGTAACGCAAAAAAGCTTTCTGCACAGAAAGAAGGCCTTCATATTCTTCAAGTATCACCACATTTAGCCAACCAGAGATTGTCATGGAAATTGGCTTACAGAATCACGGATAAGCGTAAACCTGAATACTATATGTCGCTGATCAGCATCTCTATTGGATTCAAGCATCTGATGAAATTGGACGCTCTAAATCAGGGTGTGGACGTCAATGCGACGACGAGAAAATTACCTTTAAAAAGCATGAATAAAATGAAAAATTGGGTCAATCGACTCGTTTGACATTTGTATTGCCTACAGATTTTCCAAGATACATGCTCGTCCTTTTGATCCAATGCTCTTCATGACAGCAACAATGAGACAAAAGCTACAATGCTATCAATGCTATCGGAAGCATGCATGCTTAATGCACAAGCAGTGCTGTAGCCATTGTCGTAAAATCTTCTTGACTTGGACAACCATTGATATATGCTTGCAGCCTTGGTGAAATTTCTAAGCAGGCGGTATTGTCGCAACGCTGGTGAGGGGAATGAGAGGCATACACTCCCCAGTAGTCTTCAACTGCACCGCAGTTGCCTAAAGAAGCGCCAAGGAGAGCGTCATTGTTACCACAAACGCAACCAGTAACCAAAACTCAAAGTTTTTGAAGTTGGACTTGGCCTTGTCGAAATTAATAATACTCAATTTTGGAACACCATCGGCTTAGCTCTTCAACGAAAAAATGCAGGAAAAAGCAAAGATAAATGGGCATGATTAAACAGTTCACAGATAAAATAGTGTGCTGACGCTGCGGCATAATCATTCTGACAAACGAATCACACAAAATGAAGAGAATACGAAACCTCCTTATGATGGCAAGCTGTGTTTTTATTCTCGCCATGATGACAAGATGATATATAAGAGAGACACTGGTTGCAGGAGCTTTTAAGGCGCTCGCTTTGGTTGAAAGAACAGTGATCTCTTTTGCTTTCGATCTTCCTCACTCAATCGTTTTGGCTGTGATTTTCGCTTTTTCGTGGATGACGAGGGTGATGCTGCAATGGAAGAAGGCGAGGATAAGGATCGACTCTGCTGTAACCGCTGTCTTTCTTCATTCATGAGATCCATGGCAAAATGGTAATCAGAATGCTCCTCAACAGAAGCAATCAAGACATATTGATTGCACTTGTCGCAAAGATATGTTTCACCTTGTTGTTGTTGTTCCTGAGCATTGTATCTGGAGAATAACCCACCTTGTGTCTTGCTGCTGCTACTACTCTTACTGCTCTCCGTATCTGATGCTTGCTTTAATAATTGTTCCTCTATTCCATTGGCGTTGTGTGCACTTGCATCCTTCGATTTGGTAAAGAATTGATTGATGGTATGCGATTTGACTGATTCATCAAAGGATAAATTTGACGCCATCAAATCAAGACCAATACAAGGATATCCGTCTTCCATTGAATTGTAAACGCTGGCAAACTTCTTGGCAAGGATTTCTATAGCAACAAGATAAATATTTCTACTTGCGAAATAGCCATTGGTGCTTACCATGCGTTTTCATGTCATCTCGGTACAAGGTTCCTAGTCCTTTTGATCGGTAAGAGGGATGACTCACTGTAGCATACCTTAGCTACCGTCATAAAAAGATGAGAATCCAATCCACACCAAATGAACAAGATACATTACAGTGATCGCTCTCGGCCAGCTACCATATTCCTCATAATGTTGTATGATACGACGATGTAATTCAGCAGCCAGGATGGTAAACCACTTTTGAAGATCCTCTTGTTGTGCCACTGGTTTAGTAAATGTCTTGGCTGCCATGAGCGATTTAGGAGCCTTGCTAGGAAGAACTGAGGACATGTTACGTATCTAGTCTCGCTATTGCTTAGCAGATGTTACCTTCTTCATGATCAATGCCGCGACATATGTTATACAAAAATACGCCTGTGGATTCTCCAAATCTCTGTTGCAACGACTCCATCGAATGGCCCCTACCATGCTACAGTGTAAGCACAGGTGCATAATCCACACATGCTTTCCTTTTCATACCAAAGCTCACTTGCATTCTGTATGCTCAAATCCTCCACCACTTCATTACCCAGTTTTCCACCCAAATTCCTTATCTTGTTGAACGGTGTCTCACACATGAAATCAAGTCTAGCTGATTCTCGTAATATAGTCTGGTCATGCAGCTTATCAGCACGATGCTAGAATGAATAATGTAATGATTTTACCTGCTTGTTGGGCTTATTCTTGCTGGAGCATAATTTGGCTACAACCTTGTAATGTGCAATACCTATTTCAAGAATTAGATCGATTCTACCCTCACACTTGGAAAATCCATACCGGCAGAACAAAAGTATTTCAATTTATCATACACTTCCTGTCTGATTTCTGCCGCTAATTCAGCACCTAATGACAATTGTAAATCTCGCCATGTTGTAGGATTCCAATGCGCTTCCTCTGGCGAATCCGCATCGAAATTTAATCGTCTCTGTTCTTCCTCTCTGGACTCGATGACACAGCCGAGCTTATCCCAATTTACATAAACACCACACTCCTCATCCTGTAGTCTGTCCAACAATTCCGGCATTTTGTTGATATATCTTTCAATTAAACGCTGATTAACCTTCTCCGTCACATCCATAAAGCCTTCATCTGTGCCAATCTTTTGTATTTTGTCGCAATTCTTGTGAAAGATCTTGAATATATCTCTGGATGCATTTCGATAAGCATCCAAGGATACTTTGTGGGTACTTCGATCTGGATTATCATAGTATTTAGGTTCTGTGTCGTGTTCAGCAAAAGTTGCTACATGCAGCAGTTGGATCTCTGGACACAACTTTCTGGCCTCTGTCACGTTGGTCATTTTCTTGATGCCCTTCTCTCTGGCAGCATAGTTTACTGAAGGATTGTTGAGTGATGTGTGCTTTTATGATGGGTTACAGTGAGAATAATACCTGCAATTAAGCCATGCCATTGTTGAACTGCGGCTGGTGTATCAAACGGAATGCCTCGTCTTACTTGCTCTAATTACAGTATTTAGCTTGTTGCGTAGCACACCAGTCGATGGCTTTACATTATTACCAACTTGACAGTAGAAGCAATCTGTGAAATGTTAGTTGCGCTCCCATGGCATTAGCAATGAAGAAAGATAAAATACCCAGATCAATGTGAAGTATGCAGCGAGAGTTCTTTAATGAGGCTGGCAACGAGCTCATCTTCTGATTATATGCAAGAGTATGAAAGTGAAAGAGAGAAGCAAATTGTTTAATCAAAAAAGGCTTTTATGTGACTTTTGGCAGCGCATTTCTAGACATGATTCATGAACAAAGCAATCGTTTTATTATTGATTTAGAGAATGGAAGGTATTTTGACTAATGATGAATGATTTGAGAGAAGCAAAGCGTGCTAGAGGGGATTTAGCAGTTGCAAGTATCACCACATTTACATTCTAAGAGCCAAAAAAAATTAGTATTACAAAAACAGAGAGACGCGTTTAAATACGGGCAGTACCTTTGCCAGAAGCTACATACAACATGTGGGTCAGTGGGACTAGTCTTAAATTTCAGATTTATTCAACCTACCTTTACAGGCACAAGTATCCTTGTGTTCTTGCTTGGCCTTGCAGTTTTCACAAGCACAGTCGGCACCACATTTGCATTCGCCAGCATTGGCACAACTAGCAATGGTGTGTCACTTGTTTTGTTTCACCATGTACACTTTGCAATGTTACTTACGAGCAGGTATTATCTTTCTTACAGGGACAGGCCATTTTGAATTATCTTTAGTATTGTTGAGAATAAAGAAAAGAGAAAAGCATCCATCACACTACCCTGCTCTTTTATACACATGCCATTTCAATATCAGCCTTTGTGTGAGAAGAGATGTATTGAACATCATCTGTCAAAATGAGTACCTTGAAGGTACCACATGATGACTCTTTGGTTCATGTCCTTCACTCATTCTTGCGTCAACTCATCGCGTAATATTATTCCATATCTAGTCTAATTGTTCATTCCTTAACCTGTGTAGTTGCAATTCATGTATTGTTCATGTATTTTGGCTTCCACACATGTAAACACTGCACAGTTTGCTTTTGTTTGAGTGGACCGTTCAGAATCAAGCACAATTTGCTTTTGTTTTAGTGGAATGTTCGGAATCAAGCACAACTTGCTCACTAATCAAAATCCGCTAGCTAATGAGGCAAGTTGTCTTTTATGCAAAACCGGCTCCAGACGTTGAAACAGTTTATTGGAACCATACTAATCATTCTGCAATGTACCTTGGGATAGTTAGCATGGGAAAATTCTCTTAAGACTGATTCACAGTTGGCGAAATCTATCGTTTTAACCAAGCTTCAGGAATGACAATGACATGAGCGAACCGTGTTAGAACCTCTGATGCTGTTGCAATTGATCCAACAGGCATAATTCTGTTTGGGAACAAATGAGCTTGATTGCCTTCTAGTCTTTATATCACTATTGTTGGGTTTTTCATGCAAATCATGCCTGCCTAGTCATGTCTGAGGTACTTTAACCAATTGTCAGAAAACTAAAAGGCACTCTTTCAGATAGTAGAGAACGTATTTATGAAATAGACATTAACAGGTATCTTGGCGTTGGATTTAAGGCTAGGTTACCACCAAAGCTCCAAATGTAATAGCTGTTTAAAGTAAAATCACTGCTTAAATTTGACGTTTTTGAAGGCCAAATTTATGGTGTTTTTGGCCGATCCAAGTGCTCAGAGTGGTACCAAACGAATCCCCCCGAGTTTTCAGTTGCTTCCTGATACCTTTTCTTGAAAAAAATAATCTACAAAAAATTGTCGATTTTTAACGATTTTTCATGAGGGTATACAACGGATCAAGGATATGATTCACTGTAACTCGATTTTTGACCCCAAAAAAAGCAGCTTTTCATATGATATACATTAGTACAAAATGTTCAGAAAGAGTCTTAATATCATATAAAAGCTACTTTTTAGGAGATTCTTATGCAGAGTATCGACTTCTGGTCCAAAAACATGATTTTCTTTAGACGCTATTTACTCAAAACTCTAATTCTGTTTTTTTGCTAAAAGTTATACTATTAGATGCAACGTTTTGCATACTACAAACTTTATTAAATTTACTTTGTACAAAAACTGTTACATCAAGAGAAACTGACCATTTTCTGCTAAAAAGGTCCAAATTTCCATCCTGAGCATTAGTTGGGGACAAAGAAAAAAAAAGGCGGAGTTTGAAATGTTTGTGTGCTATGTTTGGTAATGAGCAGATGCCCTGCAAATGCCTTTTGTGGATGCTCTGTAAAGAAATATTTAAAAAGACTGTAGTAGGTGCTCTATTCAGTATCTTTTGATAGGCATCACCAACCTAAACTCTAAACTGCTGACTAAATGTTTAAAAGCGGCTTTTCCGATTCTATTATACAAAAAAAAAAAAAAAGGGTTGTTAACATTAGCGCATTCAACGCTAGTTCTACATGGCTGATACTTGGCTTAGTAGGTTTGGCGCTAGTAAAACGATACGTTCAAGTTACAACCAAAATGTGTATTCCATCGTACAAGATCATGGAAAGCAAATGTGTAAGCAAATGTGTAAGCAAATGTGTAAGCACCCCCTTAAATTTGGGGCGAAGCTTAAATTCGATGTTGCAAAAACACAAATCATGATTTAGTATACCGTATGGACTTGCGCAACGTATCACACACAGTGGGATCGTACATTACAGGCACAAAATGGCAGCCCATACGAATCAAGGGCACTATATTTAGGTAGCCCTGGTCGAACGTTTTGGCTCTGTAGTACCTGGATGCTGCTGCTTTCTTTTATGATGAAGCTATAAAGACAGTTCAGGACATATTCATCAAATGTTGGTGAGCTAACCATTTTTAAAGCTTCAATCCGTAAATGCTGAACTTGGAGTAACAATAAACCCAAGAATAACAGTTTCATCCGCCCTCGTCATATTGTTATTCTCTTTTGATAAATAAACACAGCGAGTTATTTATAACTCGGAGCGCTACCAACACGTATATCTCTTAGCGCTGTGTGCTCGTCAACATTAATGTACGATACAAAACAATCCTGTTTAAACTAGCATCCTATCAAGAGAACTAGGCTGTTATATAAATTATTTAATTTGATACATGGAACTGACACGTTTAGATCTCTCATAATCTGGGTTTGGAGCATGATTGGAAGGTGCGGTTGCATAATCAATACAATGTCTGGGAAACACGCCCTTGGTATAACCCTTGGACACATTGATGCCTTGACACCAACCATCGTCGTATTCCACAATGAGCTCTATGTGGTCTCCTGTCTCGATCTCTAATTCATCGCTTAGAGTAGGTATATAAGTAGCAATGACATAAAATGTGCCTAATGATTGTGGTGTAGTAGATGATATATTGGCAGCTGCTGCCGTAGTCGTTGCAGTGGTAGCGGTAGTTGTGGCAGCTGCAGCAGTAGTGATGGGCTGTTGTATGGCAGCATTGTTGCTAGGTGAAATAGCAGCAACCTCGTAGTTATCAAATGTTGATTGCTGTTTCTGATACGTGGATTGTTGCTGTTGAGGAGGAAAGTTGTTGTTATATGAAGAGTCGTTACCAAAGCCCATGGTAAATGGATCAGGTTTTGACGATAAGTGAGCTCGTGTATTTTGACGTGATATCTTTCGCTTGCGAACGATTAGAAATGCAGCAGCACCCAAAACTACAACTACTACTGCTGCAATAATACCACCTATGATACCACCTGAGGATGAACCGCCACTTGTGGATGGTTGTGAAGAGGATGATGCTGAAGGCAAGAAAGTGGTGATGCTACTGGATCCAGTTGGCAATGCAGATGTTCCACTGCCTATTATAGATGTTGGATGTGTTTCTGAACTCTTTGTAGTGGAGGTTGATTTGTGATCACTGGCTGTTTCCTTGGCAGTGGATGCTGATTTATGAGTGTTACTTGTAGCCTCTGCTTTCGTTGTCGTTTTTGATTCTGCTGTGGGTTTCGACTGTACCTTCGTAGTAGATGCCGCCTCTTTTTTAGTGGTATCTAAAGAAGGTCATCATCTGTTACTAACCCATGTTTCATGAATTGTTTATTTTATGTTTTTTTTTTTTTTTTTTTTTTTTTTTACTTTCAACTTTTGTTGATTCTTCAGCTCTTTTCACATTATCAGGCACCCATAATGCGTTTGCTGTGGCAAATGAAGCAGCCAAAACGGAGGCAATCAACTGGCTACTACTGATCGACATGGAGAAAGGAATGGAATGAAGTATATGGAAAAAGAGAAAGCAAATGATAATAATTCAAGGCGAATAATTCTCGAGAATATAAATTGTGCTGTTGGAGATACACAAGTGTCGCACCAAGACAATAAAACAATGTACCACAACCACGATCAACCTTAGTACGGATGGTACATATAGAGCATAGATCTACATGAGTGTAGTCGTAGAATACTCCTTTTAGTTGATGGTATACACATTCATCGTTTCCAGCGGTATAACAATGGGCTATTGTTTCATGATGGTTTCGTATATTTGTTTCAAGGAGAAGGCTATTTTTCTGTTTGGCCAAGCAAAAACCAAAGCTTGTTGGATAACATGGATACTGTCAACATGACAAATCATCTTTTGCTAAACTGGGCAGCGCGATGCTATGGAGGCTCTGCTGCAAATAGTCTTGTCTGCATGTTCAAATAATGCGATACGACACCAAGTGCCTGCATATTTGGCGGCTTTTGATCGCAGCCAAGAAACAATGATAAACATGCCAATGCAACCAAATGAACGCAATGAAACATGCACAGTATAAGATGATGATCAGTAAAGTAAATAGCTTATTTTTCAACATCCAACACATTGCAAGGGTTGTTGATCTCGATGGACTATTGGCCAAGAATCATTTATTATACAAATAAAGGTAAAATATTCGAAAAATGGAATTCTTTGCAACTCTATCATCTTGTTTCGCGGGCATCCTAATGGTTAAGCTTTTTTTTCAGTGTACGTGCAAATCAAAGCAGTATAATTTCAGATTAATATAAGCATTTGAACCGGAGAAGCAGCCCATCGACTGTGGATTTCAAGGAATTGTTGACAGATTATGGATTGCTAGCTTGTAGTGTCAATGTGTAACTCTAACTTTAAATTTATGCAATTGAAAGAAACTCTAATTTGGACCGACTTGTAGCACGAAAACATGGGTACTTTAGGATGTTTGTTATATATGAAATAAATAATGAACTTTTTTGTTTAATAGAATAGAATAATAACTTTTTTTTTTGGAGTTGGGCTAAGTATAAGAAAAAGAGAAAGACTAAATAATAAATGAGATTTTTGGAGGCAAAGTATTTACAAGGGTAACCCAGAAAAGTATACAGATGGGATAGTAAAAGAGAGAGAGAGAGAGAGAGAGAGAGAGAGAGAGAGAGCGATAGGATGTACAAGTAGATGAGAGGGAAAGGATAAGAATGTTTAGAATAATGAGCCAGAGACAACAGAGCTGAGGACGCTGCTGGCAGAGGAGGATGCAGGAGATGCAGGAGTGGAGGCAGAGAACAAAGACGAGCCAAATGAAGCCAATGTTTGATTCAAAGCAGCCATATGAGAGTGTTCAATGTGGTACTTGAGACCATTCAAGTTTTTGTAACGCTTGCCGCATTCGCCAATGGTACATTGGTAGGGCTTGGAGGCAATGCTGTCGTTGTCTTCATCAAGAAGGTTGCAATGACCGTGTTGGTTGTGGTATTTAAGACCATTGGGGTTCTTGTAAGCCTTATCACAGCCAGAGACAGGGCATTTGTAAGGTTTATCAGCATTAGCATCTAAAATAATGAAATTAGTGACCAAGCGCTAACTAAATGGATCAAATAAATAACTTACTTGTGTTGGCAGAAGCTAACAATGCACCAGCTTGGGCGAGGAAATCCTCATCAGTCATCATAGGTGTGGGAAGGTCACCACCATGAAAGGAAGAAGCCAAAGCTAATTTTTTAGCTGCAGACTGAGTTAAAAGGTCCAAAGCAGAAGGGCTGTAGGATCTCTTTTTGCCGCTTGATTTCTTAACAGGTTCTTCATCTTCGACAACAGCGGTAGTGGCAGCAATTGAGCGAGGTGAGGCAGGCAATGATGACTGAGATGATGTGGATGATGATGCAGAGGATGACGAAGAGGTAGCATTGTAGAGATCAGAGAGATAAGCAGCGGCTCTCTTTTTGATAGTATCCAAGTTGGACAAGTTCCACTCGCTGTCATCTAATAATGGGCTATTGGGAGCAGTAGTAGAATCAGAAGTAGGAAGAGAGGCAAATGACAGAGAAGGTGACCAAGAGTTCTCTGATTCATCATCGAATAAGCTGTTCTCGTCGTCCTCCAAGCGAACATGGCACTCTTCATAATGTTGCAGGAGATCGTGGAGATCATTCAAGATGAGGCCACAGCAAGCAAAATCACGACAGAAAGAGGCCTCCAAATCCTTTGATTCAAAGGCATCCTTGATGTCGTTTTGGGGTACACAAAGCTGAAAATCATAGGTACTAGGAGAGAATGATCGCGTTAGTGTCAAATCACAAATCAATTGGACCCAATTCATCACTAGTACTCACTCAAAGTTGATGTCCTGCTTGGGTACAGTGATAGTGCTCATGCGACGGATGGAATTGTATTCAACAGGAACAGGCATCTTTGCGATATGAAGAGTGTATATATAAAATGCAAAAAGGAAAAGGGAAAAAAAAAAAAAGAGAGATAATAGCCAGAGGAAGTTGAGGATTTGATCAAGCCCTTTTTATATTTGGAATGGGAGTGTTGATTAAGAATCCCGCCTACTTCAACCTGTGCAACCAGCGTTGGAAAGAGGCGCTATAAAAACTTGTTAGTTCAATGAACGATTTGAGACAAAAGATTCTTAGTCCGTTTCTTATTATGATTGGGATGTGTATTGGTGATTCAAATGAAAATCAAACCCATCATTTCAAAAGGCATTGTGCAAGAGAGAAAGAGGGCAAGTTTCATGACATTTCGTTCCTCTGTACTCGCCCTCTCCACTGACAACAAAGCGTTTCCCCCCCCATAGATGAAGCCATGTCGAACCACTTTTTCCAACATCTTGTTCTAATTAGAACAAACAATCTTTAGAGTTTATGATGCCTAGTACTATTTTATGTAATTCTCATTATACCTTCCTTCTTCAGCCCGTTGTTTTCAGTGCTGTATGCTGTGCGATTATGTGTGTGTAATGTGTACCGCCCTACAACACCCCCTTGTTTTTCGTTCCCTCTCGTATGTTTGATGTACACAAGCATACAATAACATTCTTCTATTTCATTTGTGCTTTTCGGTGATGTCCGATTAGCATTGTGAGATGTACAGTATAAACTACCATGATTTAAATGACATCATGTATCGTAAAATGACAAGAAGCTAGCCTACTCTTTTACATTGACTTTACTCACAAGTGTCGATTATATACGACATAAGTTCCAACATGATTACATATAACCGAACTTCCGAGCTATTGCACTCTGAGTTACACATACTGTATAGAATAGTAACCTTGTACAGATCGTACTAAATATCAAAATGTGACATTTGTATCTCTTTGGACACACACACACACACACACACACACACACACACACACACACACACATGAACTTCATGCTCTCTCTCCTTTGAGCATAAGCTCGTCTGCTCGATAACAAACATCATTTAAGGGATCGGCAACACCAAATCGAGGATTGTAGTCCATGTCATGTTGTGAAGTGAGTTGGCGCCACTTTTTTTTTTTTTGCTCTACAGACCATTGCCACTGCTTGAGCAAAGACATGATTGAGTATATTTTAGACATCTTTCTATAGGCGATTCATTTTCTCTCCCTATTATATTCGCTGATTTACCCTCGGCTGACTGTGCGTGGTTGCTGCTATATATTCCAGAATGGAGGGTTGTACTCTTGGGCCTTATAGTATAAATATCATGTAAAATACATGTACAAACAAATAAACAATTTATACACACACGCAATCATAATCTCAAAATGTTGGAGAGAGAATAGTAACCACTGCTTGAGTCGCTGGAGCCTCTTGCTTTGCTGAGCTGAAATGGCCAGAAGGATTATCAACTATATCTATCGCTATGAGATGTTATGGCATTCGAAAAGGTTGTTTATACACTATCAATGCGTGTGAGATGCCTTATTTAGTTTACATCGCCGACTCATGAAACTTTATATACAAGAGATGAGCAAAAGTGCAATAATATATGTACTGTAATGCGGTGGATTTATATGTGCGTGTAATGTGTGCATTTGTGTATTTGTTGTTATTATCATCTGCTGATTGGATGTACTCACATGAGGTTTATTTTCATATCAATTGTCATCAGTGTCAAATCAATTGATTTGATGTGACGGCAAGTGTGTATAGTTGTCTACTGTGTTCAGCTCTATACCAACTGCGGTAACATTTCACTTGCGCCCATCCTTCACCCCCAACTTCTCCACTCTTGTCTCATTTTCGGACGCGGCAATACTATGTCAAATGCTAGAGAAATACTGCGAGATCGTTATTTGCAATTGTGGTTACATGTCGTTCAAGATACGCCTTATGCCACGATACATTTACATGGCAACACAACTGTAAATGCTAAACTATGTTCAACAGACAGCGAAAATAACAGATTTAGGGTCGATGAGTTGAAAGCACCGCTTGGCACGTACAACCGAGCCATTATACGAGGCAGCGATATTGATTTGATTGAATGGACCACTCACAAGGATTCCGTTACAAGCTAAATCAAGAAGGAAAAGACTGTACGGAGCCTTGCCAATCTATTATCCAGACCCTGAACGGGAGCAAGGAAATCCCATCTATAGATTATTAATAAACAAAATGGATTTCTGGTATATACCAATCTCTAATGATACACTTGATCAACGAAATGTTCTTTATAGGGCAGTTATAATTAGACTATGCCATGCATCCTGTTGAATTTATAATTGTTGATTGCCTTTTAGTTGGATTCGTGTATTCTGGTCATACACTACAACTCCCGGAGTAGATATTCGGTTCATGAACTCAAATTTTAAATCGGCTATAGCATCACTCTCTAAACTAGTGAAAGAGTGTAAGCTAACCAAACAAAAGAGGATGATAAGAATTAAGCTATGATGTACATGAAACATCTTGCTCAAGCCATCAATCAGTCATGAAGTGATTCTCGTGACGAAATTCTTTCATATATGAAATAAACCAAGTGAAATGATCGTGGAAAAAACCAAGAAAACTGATTGTTACATTGTCCCTCGGTTTCGTCTGAATTTGTAGTGGTAGATTAATTAAAGGAATATACTCCAGTTGCAATTGAGCAAATTATCTATACTGTCAACACGTTGATTGGAGGATTAAAAGAACAAGTTTCACAGAATTTCAAGAGTTTCGGTATTTCATTGCAAGGTCCCTTATACATTTGAAGTAGAATGCACTATAATAGCTTTAGAGTGGCTCAAAGAGCTTCGTGCAGGAATGGCATCTATGCCAAACGTCATATGCAGTGTGAGCAGTAGCTTGCAGTCTATCGACACTAAAACCTACAAGGCGTACATTTCTTTAGGAAATGAAATATGAAATGGTGATTTAAATCTGGCTTCAAACGCCCTTCTAAAACTAAATAGGCAAAGGTTATGTTACAACGAGATATCATTTGTTGATTGAAAAGAAATCACCGAGAGTTGAAATAAGCATTAATGCTATCTGGCACTAGAGCAAATTCAGCCTGATGTTACATCTGGTATTTCGATATCTAAAGCAGCACACACAGAGCTAAGCAGCTGCGGCAAAAGGATATAGTAATGCTTGGCAGGACCGTGATACAGCAGATACTGGATGTGCTCTGATATGCAAAGTGATATACTCATCCACAAATTGGGTCGGTGAACGATCTACAAACAAACAGATGTCTAACGAGGTTTCACCTTCTATAAGAGGTTTAAATGGAATACAAGTACATCATTCTGTCAAGCAACCTTCATCGACACAAATGGCGCATTCTCAGCTTGAATGAAGGATTTAAGTCTGATAACGACAAGCGATTTGGAGCCTTGCCAGTGCTTTATGGATAGACGTTGCAGAATGGATAAAATGTAGGCCGTAGTATGTGTTTATCTAATGGTCCCGACATACAAATTACAAACCAAGATTTTTGTGTCCTGATAAAAATTCCAACCCGGCAATAAGGCACTTACTAAAGTGCAATCTTAATTAGCTTTGCACCTTGTTTTGGAATTGTAAAGCTCTAAAATTAAAGACATTATCAAGATTTTAGCTGATGTTTTGCATGCAACGCATGTGATGTGGCACATCAGGTTTGGCAAATGAAAAGCTTTGTTCAATGTCTTTGCTTTCTGATACTTTGTGCATTTTCTGTTCGCCTCATGTCAATGGCCCAAAATTAGGGGTGTGATTTTAACGTTTGGCTTGTGGTTACGTACGTCAATTGCAAAACTGTATAAGAATAAATACAGATATCGAACGAGAAATGTTTTACATGCTAGTGGTCGTAAAGGATCATCCGAACATTAGTTTCTAAAAAAAAATCCTGCGATTGACTCTTGAAAATGGCCTTGCTAGTGTCTCTCAACGATATATATATATATATATATATATACGATTCCTTCTACGGATAGAATGCGCCTTGTCCTAAATTCCTCCTTTCAGTTTTGTCGAGAGCAAATGATCCTAAAGAATTAAAATATACTGTAAAGCTGCTTGATGCATTGTGTCCAGCCTAGACATTGTCTCGATTTTACTATTGCGCTTACGTTTGTATAAAGAGGCATCATTCCTCCCTCATGCATTTGGGACCTCACACGGTCTGTATTGAGAAGATTTATCCACGGGCTTGTAAAGTCAAAAGGAAATACATTATTTTCTTTATAGAAAGAAGTGCTTATACTTCGGATGGCTCTCTACCTTCGCTTTGCTTCGGTGAGAACAAACCTGCGCAGCGGCAGCTCGTGCTATCGATTGCCCTTGCATACCTTATCAAAATACTACTACTTTTATTTCGAACTTCTACTTGCATATGAGAACCCTTCATATTATCTGTGTATCTGATTCTTATGTAATGCTCTATATCCATATACATGTAACTACTTCATATACGGGTAAGCAGCATACTGGCATCTCCCCTTTCTATTCCTTAGTGTGCCTAATACAGCACAATCTAAGTGCATTTGAGCCGTGTTTTCTCGTGTTAGAAGCCGTTTTAGACTTCTAGAATAGCACCAAACAGTCTGTCTCTCATCTAGGAGTTACTTCCTGACACCTTTGCTCAACTTTTTGAGGACCCAAAAAACATGGCCGAAATTCGATCAAAAAGCATGAGGTAACCCTCATGGTTTTCATTGAAAATCAAATGACCGCGTTTTTTACCTTGATAACGAACACTTTTGTTATGGTACATATTAACTCAAAATGTTTCTATCAATCTAACGTAACTCCTGAAATCATCTTTGTGGGACTTTAATATGTAGAATCTATACATTTTTGCCCAAGGCCTCATTTCAGATTTTCTGAAGTTACTCAATATGTTTATTCAAAACATTTACCTTACTTGGTACCATTGGAAGCGCCTTGAAAAGTACTCCAAGAAAGATTAAGGAAGCATAAGATAATCATCATATTTTACATAGTCGAATCTGGCAAAATAGTTCAATCGAGTCGTAAACCGTCAAAATTTGGCCAATCTGGAACAAACTGTGAATCTGGGGTTTAATTAATTTTGACTAATGGGACCAGCTGGTAAACTCAATGCCCTTTTAGTCATGAAGGCAATACAGTAATAGATGCTTTTGAAGCGTATGGAAAGTAGGTGGCAAATTACATAGCACTACCGTTAGCCAAGCTATTTTTCTTGCATTCTATATTAAATAATGCCAGTCTATCAAAATACTTGTTAGATCAACTTCTTTCCTTTTTGAGGCTTTGAAAGTGTTTGGGGATCATAAATATATTACGTTACGATGAGCATTTCAACCTTTTTGTTGGTTTCCACCAAAACGAAGCGTAGGTTAGGAAACAAACTTACGTTCATGTGTCTCGCGCTGCTGTAGGCCTTTGGTTAATATCACAAAATTAATAATAATAGCTAAAATATTAGAAGAAACTTGTTTGCTGATTGATAGTGATTTAATCATAAAATCTCTAATGATCATATAATGCGAGCCATGTCTGACAAATGCCTGGCAACTCAGTTTCAATATTACGGTTGTGAAAGTGCCTATGGACTATAACTTTGTTATGTTATGTTCCTATCTACAGCAACATTTACTAAACTAGCAATCGAAATGTAGATTGAAAATATCGACAGTTATGACGGCCACACGCATGATAGCGGTAAGCCAAATAGTATATATTAATAGGTAGGATACTAATACTCTAATTCTCTAATACGCTGTTATAAATGAGCTGAATACAATGGTGTATACATCATATAGTATATCAAATTCTATAAAAAAATCGTCGTCATGGCCAATTACAGAGATATAAAATGTGAAGCATTGAGCACTGGATAAGGCTCAAAAAACCTTTGCTCGTACTTACAAGCATGCTTATGAGATCCTGAGTGAAGAAGAAGAAAGGCAAGCCTGAAATCATAGCACCAAACATTTTCGCATTTGACTCAACCTTCAATTGAAATTGAGGCTCATTGTTATGGAAGATAGGCGCACTCAGGATTTGTCAACTGTCAACGAGATTGCAGCCATCATTCCTAATAACTATTCTGATACAAATTTTAGAAATGTCCTCATCCTATACAAAAATAGCTTCAGCCAGTGGCAACAGTCTCTTTGAGACGATTCGATGAAATCTATACTGCCTACATTCTATATTGAAATGCTGCAAATCATGATTAGGAAGTTGGGATTACATATATTTTGGCGGTGAGCTAGGCTGACTGGTGTTGTCAGATACGAAATTTTCTAACAAAAGCAAAGAAAGTATTCAGTTTGAGCGACTGTCCTTTTAAATTCATGATCTTCATTGATTTAGCACCCTAATAATCATCATCGTCATCATCAGAAACGCATTTGGGTCAGCCAGCAGCAGCGCCGCCGCCGCCGCCAAAATTGCTTCAAACTCAGCTTATTTTTCTCTGTTCAAGATTCGCCAGATTTTGTCTTTTTTCGACTTCTTTAATATATTTTTCGAGACTCGACTATACAAGCTGTGATGAACAGCCCGTACATCCTAATACATTCTTGGAGTGCTTTTTAAGGCGCTTCCAATGATGCCAAGTAAAATAGATGTTTTGACTGAACTTATTGAGCAATTTCAGAAAATATGAAACGAGATTTTGGGCAAAAATGTATAAATTTTGCACATGAAAGATTCCCAAACAAAGTTCCAGGGGTAGCATTGAATTTAGAGAAACATTTTGAGTTAATATCATAACATAGGAAAAGTGTTTGTTATCAAGGTAAAAAGCGCGATCGTTTGATTTTTGTTGAAAACCATGAGGGGTGCCTCATGGTTTTGAGTTGATTTTTGGCCATGTTTTTTGAGTCCTCAAAGAGTTGAGCAAAGGTGTCAGACAGTAAGTGCTAGACGAAAGCAATTGTTTGGAGCTATTCTGAGTGTCTAAACCAGCTTCTAACACGAGTAATTACTGCTCAAATGCATCTATATTTTGCTGTGTTTTGCATACTTTTCAGTATCAAGAGGCAACATTAATATTCTGTAAGCCAAAATCATACAAGATACATGCTGAAGATGTCGATTTTGGTCCCGGCCAATTTACGAGGCGAAAGATCACTTTCGAAGACAAGAAAACAATAGAAAAAGGAAGGAAGGCTCAAAAGATCGAGCAGCATTTGTCAAAATCCAGTGCTTTCAGATCCAAAAAGGTGGAGGATGTCATGTCAAATCTTGGTGCACACAAAAGCAATGGTCAAGCATTTGCGGGCGCTGTATCACTCAAAGAGCTAGGCCACTCCCTTTAATAAGGTTGATCATACTGACATGCGTTTCCATTCTCGGTTTGCTTTGCGTGAAAGATCCTTTTACGCTGGTGGTTGTCCCCAAACGTCTCTTACAATGGTCATTGGAGATACGGATCTTTGTTTCGACTCTCGTTTAAAAGATCATATGAAGCATAGTGGAAAATGGAGACCTCACTTACATTCATCTGATGCCACTGTGCATACTGCCAACGAACACAAGACATCCCAGATATATATGTAATGCTTTGGTCTCACCTCTCATCCCACACAAACCATCAAAGCAAAGGATGGTAAGACCAAGACAATGTACATTCATGGTGTGTTCCTGTGCTTAACTCCAGCCTGCGAATCCGTTCTCAAATACAGAGTCATTCAAGGTAGAGACAAGACATCTGCTTTGGCCATCGCTGTCTCTAAATTTTCCATTCACTTATTCAAGCAGCCATTGCCTGTATTCAATCCAAAGCTCAGTTAATCCAACACTGGCATTACTTCCAAGACCACCTCTTTCTGCAACAGATACAAGAGAAAGGACGGCAGCGGTGCTGCATTATGAAACACCTGAGTCTTTCAAAGTAGCGTACCCAATCCGGCTCATAGTAGAAGGACTGATTTACTAATTTGCCATTATACTCGCAAGATTCAAGTTTTCTTTCTCGAACTGCTCCAAATCTTTAACTGCCCTCACCTACTATCAGTAGTGACTTTGATATAATTGCAGCTTGATATCCGCTTTGATGCTCGAGAAGTCTTTGAAAATGCCCTTAAATACCGCATAAGACCCCATAAAAAGATATTTCATAGTAATAACATTGGACACTAGTTGATGACTGTGTAGGCTGTTACAGCTCGCACGTTCACGCATAATAAAGGTCGGATACGACCAAAATAGTATTATAAAATCACGGGTGCAGGTGTGCCAACACAAAAGTCATCCTCATAGGCCAGAGCAACCTGCTCTCTTTAAATATCAACCCCTGAAGCACATATTAGAATGCTTAATATTAGTATTCCGCATGTTTCTTAGCAATTACTAGTCTTGTGAGTGGTTCTTGGTAGCGGGAATAGCTTTGATACAGGAGTTTATCAATTGGTTTAGATATCAATGTACATGGAAACCTTTCAACATCCAGAATCTGAAATGTTGGCAACCTTTCTTCAATAAATCTCACAGCCCCATCACTATTCCCTGCGAAAATTGGGATACATTTATGATTTCAGTTTGATGGAGAGCCGTGCTACTGTGTTCTTCATCCTTGACTGCGAAGCCTTCTAGTGTTACACTTTCTGTACCACTAAAGAGCAGGGAAGTGCAACAGTGGCTTGTCTTTCAATCTAGAATCTATGAATCATAGATCTTATAGTATAGCCCACTTGCTCCATGATTCTTTACAGCCAAAACACCTCGCTAGCATGTAAACATGGACGGATTTGCTCCGAGAAAAAAAAAGAAATTGACATGCCAGATGATATGTAATTTTCGCAGATATTAGCATCTGTTGCTCCATAAATCATAGACTCATAGATGGATCTAAATTATAGCGGATCCTTAATGTTTGTGCAAAATTTTCTTGTTCGAAAAAGTATAAAAAGGGGGCCAAAATTGACTTCATGAACTTTTCAGCATCCTTGGCTGACAATTCCCGTATTACACTTTTCTTTCATAACCTTATAAATAAAAACTTTCTTTTCTTTTTTTTTTTTATAATCAACTACAACTGCATTTTGTGTTCCCAAATCAAAACGCACGTGCCCTCTTAATATCCTTCAAATCAAGTTCCATTTTGTCATTTCTTTCTGTTGCATAGACCAACTAAGTAATATATCATGATGATTGACATGTAATGAAAACAGGACATGACATACTAATCTTCCATTTCAGTTTTCCAAATTATAAATTAATCAAACACAAAAAAAAATGTCATCAAACATTCCTTCTGTAACTTCTGCTCCCATTAACTCTATTCTCGGTGCTCACATCACAGCTCCTGCTGCTAATGCCACACCTATTAGTCGTTCTCCTCGTTCTCCTACTGCTCCTCATCGCCCTGCTGCTGCATTGGAGGATCCCAAGGATGTAACCACTGCTGCTTTTGTTTTAAAGGATGGAACTAGTTTCCAGGGTATTTCCTTCGGTTCTGAATCAAAGAGTATTTCCGGTGAATGTGTCTTCCAAACAGGTAAGGATTTGGTAAATTGTGGGGGGAGGAGAGTGGGCGATCAGGTTGCGCACGGGGAGTGAAATCTGTTTTTCGTTCCTGCATCGTTGTCGTACCTGTGTGGTGCTGTTTTGGCGGTGCTGTTTTGGTGGTGCTGTTTTGGCGGTACTGTTTTGGCGGTACTGTTTTGGCGGTGCTGTTTTAGCGGTGTTGTTTTAGCGGTGCTGTTTTGGGTTCGGGATGTGTGTGTGTGTCTGTGTGTTTTGTCATTTGGGTTCTGACATCCTATTGTTACCGTTGTAGGTATGGTTGGTTATCCTGAATCCTTGACCGATCCTTCTTACAGAGGTCAGATCTTGGTTGTCACCTTCCCTTTGGTTGGTAACTATGGTGTCCCTTCTCGTACTGAAATGGATGAGCTGTTGAAGGATCTCCCCAAGAGATTTGAGTCTAATCAAATCCACATTGCTGGTTTGATTGTCGGTAGTTACTCTCCTGACTACTCTCACTATCTCGCCGAGTCCTCTCTTTCCACTTGGTTGAAGGAGAATGATGTCCCTGCCCTCTACGGTATCGATACTCGTGCTATGACCAAGAAGATCAGAGATCAAGGTGTCACTTTGGCCAAGATTTTGTTCCCCAAGAAGTCTAACGGTCTCGAGAATGCTGCCTCTGCTCTCGGTCTCTCCAACACTCAAGATGAGCCTGTCTCTGAAGATGAACGCTGGATGAAGTCTTATGAGAATGTTGATTGGGTTGATCCTAACGAACGCAATTTGGTCGCCGAAGTCTCTATCAAGGAAGCCAAGGTTTACTACCCCGATCCTGCTAATGCCATCAAGACTCCTTCCGGTCGTACTATGCGTGTCATTGCTGTTGATATCGGTATGAAGTACAACCAAATCCGTTGTTTCGTCTACCGCGGTGTTGAACTCAAGGTGGTCCCTTGGGATTATGATTTCAATGCTGAGCCCGTTGATTCCTATGATGGTCTCTTCCTTTCTAACGGTCCTGGTGATCCCACTACTATTAGCGTTACTGTTGATAGAGTTCGCGAATATATCAAGAACATCAAGAAGCCCATCTTTGGTATCTGTTTGGGTCACCAAGTCATGGCTCTTGCTGCTGGTGCTCAAACCCTCAAGATGAAGTATGGTAACCGTGGCCACAACATTCCCTGTACCAACATGATCTCTGGTCGTTGTTACATTACGTCTCAAAACCACGGTTATGCTGTTGATGCCGCTACTCTTCCCGAGAACTTTGAAGAACTCTTTGTTAACGCCAACGATGGCTCCAACGAAGGTTTGATTCACAAGAGCTTACCCATCTTCTCTGTCCAATTCCATCCTGAATCTACTCCTGGTCCTCGTGATACTGAGTTCTTGTTCGATGTCTTTATCAACAACATTAAGGAATGTCTTGAAAAGAACACTTTGGCCCCTGTTCAAATGCCCGGTGGTACCAAGGCTGAAAACATCAAGAAGAATCCTCGTGTCAGCGTCAACAAGGTTCTCGTTTTGGGTTCTGGTGGTCTGTCTATTGGTCAAGCTGGTGAATTTGATTACTCTGGTTCTCAAGCCATCAAGGCCTTGAAAGAAGAAGGCATCTACACCATTTTGATCAACCCCAACATTGCTACTATTCAAACTTCCAAGGGTTTGGCTGATAAGGTCTATTTCTTGCCTGTTACTCCTGAGTTTGTCCGCAAGGTCATTGAATTTGAGAAGCCTGATGGTATCTACGTTACTTTTGGTGGTCAAACTGCTTTGAGTGTTGGTATTGCTCTGAAGGACGAGTTTGAAGGTCTTGGTGTTAAGGTTCTCGGTACTCAAATTGATACTGTTATTACCACTGAAGATCGTGATTTGTTTGCTCAAGCCTTGTATGAGATCAATGAAAAGTGTGCTCAATCTTCCTCTGCCGTCACTGTCGAAGAAGCTTGTGCTGCTGCCAAGGAAATCGGCTACCCCGTCATTTGTCGTGCTGCCTATGCTTTGGGTGGTCTTGGCTCTGGTTTCGCTGATAACGAGAAGGAGTTGATTGCTCTCTGTAACAAGGCTTTTGCTACCTCTCCTCAAGTGTTGGTCGAAAAGTCCATGAAGGGCTGGAAGGAAATCGAGTACGAAGTTGTTCGTGATTGTCAAGATAACTGTATCACTGTCTGTAACATGGAGAACTTTGATCCTCTCGGTATCCACACTGGTGATTCCATTGTCGTTGCTCCCTCCCAAACTCTTTCTGATGAAGACTACAACATGCTTCGTACTACTGCTGTCAATGTCATCCGTCATTTGGGTGTTGTTGGTGAGTGTAACATTCAATATGCCTTGAACCCCTTCTCCAAGGAATACTGTATCATTGAAGTCAATGCTCGTCTCTCTCGTTCATCTGCTCTTGCTTCCAAGGCTACTGGCTATCCTCTTGCCTTTGTTGCTGCCAAACTTGGTTTGGGTATCCCCTTGAACGAAGTTTCCAACAGTGTCACCAAGGTCACTTGTGCTTGTTTTGAACCTTCTCTTGATTACGTTGTTGTCAAGATTCCTCGTTGGGATCTCAAGAAGTTCAACCGTGTCAGCACTGCTCTTTCTTCCTCTATGAAGTCTGTTGGTGAAGTCATGGCTATCGGTCGTACCTTTGAAGAAACCATGCAAAAGGCCATTCGTGCCATTGACTACAATCTTGTTGGTTTCAACTCTGTAAGTTGTGATATAAACTATAATTAGGGGATTGTAAACTTACTAAATGATTTCTTTAGTCTGACCTTATCAAGGATGAAGATCTCGATTATGAGCTCACCAACCCCTCTGACCAACGTCTCTTTGCTATTGCCAATGCTATGGAAAAGGGTTACACTGTTGACCGTATCTGGGAATTGACCAAGATTGACAAGTGGTTCTTGAACAAGTTGATGCGCATCCACAATCTCGGTGAACGTCTCACTGGCTTCACCAAGGCCAACCTTCCTGGTAACTTGATCCGCTCTGCCAAGCAACTCGGTTTCTCTGATCGTCAAATTGCCAACAAGATCAACAGCAATGAATTAGCTGTTCGCAGACTTCGTCAAGAATTCGGTGTTACACCTTTTGTCAAGCAAATCGATACTGTTGCTGCTGAATTCCCTGCCTTCACCAACTACTTGTACATGACCTACAATGCTACCGAACACGATATCTCTTTCGAGGACAATGGTATCATGGTCTTGGGTTCTGGTGTCTACCGTATCGGTTCTTCTGTTGAATTCGATTGGTGTGCTGTTCGCTCTATTCGTACTCTTCGCGCCAAGGGCATCAAGACTGTCATGGTCAACTACAACCCCGAAACTGTCTCTACTGATTACGATGAAGCTGATCGTCTCTACTTTGAAAACATCAACTTGGAGCGTGTGCTTGATATCTACGAGATTGAAAAGTCCTCTGGTGTCATGATGTCCATGGGTGGTCAAACTCCCAACAACATTGCTTTGCCCCTGTACCGTCAAAACGTCAAGGTGCTTGGTACCTCTCCTGAAATGATTGATAACGCTGAAAACCGTTACAAGTTCTCTCGTATGTGTGATAACATTGGTGTTGATCAACCTCTCTGGAAGGAATTGACCAGCTACGAGGAAGCTGAAGTCTTCTGTGCCAAGGTCGGTTATCCTGTCCTCGTCAGACCTTCTTATGTTCTTTCTGGTGCTGCCATGAACGTTGTTTCCTCTAAGGATGATCTCGAGTCGTATCTCAAGGAAGCCGCTGCTGTCTCTCGTGATTACCCTGTTGTTATCTCCAAGTACATTGAAGATGCCAAGGAAATTGAAATGGATGCTGTTGCCTTGGATGGTAAGATGATCATGCACGTTGTTTCTGAGCACGTTGAAAACGCTGGTGTCCACTCTGGTGATGCTACTTTGATCTTGCCTCCTCAAGATTTGGACCCTGAAACCGTTCGCAAGATTGAGGCTGCTACTGCCAAGATTGGTCGTGCTTTGAACATCACTGGCCCCTTCAACATTCAATTCATTGCCAAGGACAATGAGATCAAGGTTATTGAATGTAACGTTCGTGCTGCTCGTTCCTTCCCCTTCGTCTCTAAGGTTCTTGGTGTTGATTTGGTTGAGATGGCTACCATTGCCATGTTGGGTCTCCCTGTTGAGCCCTATCCCAAGGTCAATATTCCCAAGGACTATGTTGGTATTAAGGTGCCTCAATTCTCCTTCAGTCGTTTGTCTGGTGCTGATCCTATTTTGGGTGTCGAGATGGCTTCCACTGGTGAAGTTGCCTGTTTCGGCAAAGACAAGTACCAAGCTTACCTCAAGGCTTTGTTGGCCACCGGCTTCAGTTTGCCCAAGAAGAACATCTTGTTCTCTATTGGTTCCTACAAGGAGAAGCTCGAGATGTTGCCCTCTGTCAAGAAGTTGCATGAGCTTGGTTACAATCTTTTCGCTACCACTGGTACTGCTGACTTCATCTCTGAGCACAACATTCCTGTTAAGCATCTTGACTCCTTGGATGGTGATGTTGATGACAAGCTCAAGGCTGAATACTCTCTTCAACAGCACTTGTCCAACAACTTGATTGACATGTACATCAACTTGCCTTCCAGAAACCGCTTCCGTCGTCCTGCTTCTTACATGTCCAAGGGTTACCGCTCTCGTCGTATGGCTGTGGATTACTCCATTCCTCTTTTGACTAACGTCAAGTGTGCCAAACTCTTTGTGGAGGCTCTTGCCCGCAAGAAGGACTTTGAGATTCACGGTGTCGATTTCAAGAGCAGTAGCAACACTGCTACTCTCCCTGGCCTCTTCAACATCAATGCCTACTTGCATTCTGCTGAGGATCTTGCTCAAGTCACTGAAGCCTCTCTCAAGTCTGGTTTGACCACTGTCTCTGCCGTCTGTGCTGATGTCAAGGATCAATCTTCTCTTGAAACCATTAGTGCTGTTGCTCACAAGAAGGCCAATGTTGACTACTTGCTCAACATCACTGCTACTGCTGATAACGCTGACAAGCTTGACACTATGGCCTCTTCTGCTGCTGCTGTTTACATCAACACTGATAAGATTGGTAGTGGCAACGTCTCTGTCTTTGACTCTGTCTTTGAGTCATGGCCTAGCGATCAAGTCATGATCACTGAAGCCAAGGGTACTGATCTTGCCTCCATCTTGTTGTTGGCCTCTATCCACGGTCGTGCTATCCACGTCTCCAATGTCACTAGCAAGGACGATTTGGCTTTGATTGGTATGTCCAAGAACAAGAACCTCAAGGTCACCTGTGATGTCTCCATCTACTCTCTCTTCCTCAACAACGCTGAGGTCGACTCCAAGACTTTGCCCTCTGCTGCTGATCAAGAAGGTTTGTGGAACAAGTTGAGCGTCATTGACTGTTTCTCTCTTGGCTCTACTCCTGCCAAGTTGGATGGCTCTGCTGTTGCTGGTATCGCTGAGGCCTTGCCTTTGCTCTTGACCGCTGTTGCTGATGGCCGCTTGTCTATCCAAGACATCATTGAGCGTATGAACGAAAACCCCAGACGCATCTTTGGCCTTTCTGCTCAACCTGATACCTATGTCGATGTTGAATTGGACCGTCCCAAAACCTGGAAGTCTGGTGTTCTCTCTGGCAAGAAGACTCAAGGTCTTGTCAGTCGTGTTGTCATCAATGGCGCTACTGTCTTTATGGATGGTATTGTCAGAGTTGAGGGTACTTTGGGCCGTGATCTCTCCGTTCAAGCCAAGGCTGCTTCTGCTGATAGTGATGTCGTTGTTGCTCCCAAGAAGAAGACTGAATCCACTCCTGCTTCTATTGCTCACATCACTGATGTTCCTGAGACTGCTCCCGAAAGAAAGTCAATTCAACCCTTCGATCCCATCAAGTTGGCCGGTGCCAGTGATCAACAATTGGTTCCTTTCACCTTGCCCAGCTATGAAATCTCTGCCTCTCTTGCTCGTGTTGTAAGCAGATCTCCCTTCTACCGCAAGCACATCCTCCGTTCCAAGCAATTCGACCGTAGCGATCTTCACTTGTTGTTTGGTGTTGCCCATGAGATGCGTAACCTCGTTGAGCTCTATGGCTCCATCAGCTTGTTGCAAGGCCGTGTCATGAGCACCATGTTCTTTGAACCCTCTACTCGTACTTCTTGCTCATTCGAAGCTGCCATGTACCGTTTGGGTGGTAAGGTTGTCTCTGTCACCGCCGCTACTTCTTCTGTTCAAAAGGGTGAATCACTCGCTGATACTGTTCGCACTCTCGGCTGCTACTCTGACCTCATTGTCCTCCGTCATCCTCAACCTGGAAGTGCTCAAATTGCTGCCAAGTACTCCAAGGTACCTATTATCAACGCTGGTGATGGTATTGGTGAACATCCCACTCAAGCTTTCTTGGATGTCTTTACTATTCGTGAAGAACTCGGTACTGTGAATGGCTTGACTGTTACCATGGTGGGTGATTTGAAGAACGGTCGTACTGTCCACTCCTTGGTCAAGATCTTGGCCTACTACCAGGTCACAATCAATTATGTATGCCCTGACAGTTTGTCTATGCCCAAGGATGTCATGGAGGAAGTCGCTGCTGCTGGTATCAAGCAAAACTTCTACTCCACTCTTGATGAAGTGATTGGTAACACTGATGTCTTGTACATGACTCGTGTTCAAAAAGAACGTTTCAGCTCTGAAGAAGAGTATGTTCGTGTCAAGGATGCCTTCATTCTGAACAACGATGTCTTGAGCAAGGCCAAGTCCCAAATGATTGTCTTGCATCCTCTTCCTCGTGTCAATGAAATTGAACCTGAAGTTGATTTCGATCAAAGAGCTGCCTATTTCCGTCAAATGAGATATGGTCTCTACGTTAGAATGGCCTTGTTGGCTCTTGTCATGGGTACTCTTCGCGGTTAAATTTACCTTTCCATTCATAGACATTATATAAATAGCTTATCCATCTTTATAAATATAACATATACATAGTAAATAAATAAAAAAGTTTTGTTCCATTGAAAAGAAAAGAAAAGGTGTTGTTTCAAATTGGCATTTGCATGAAATATATAAATGACAACTCCCATGACATCATGTTCCTGGATCTGGAAATGCACATTGCAAAGTCTTTGATAAAGACCACCTAGAAATCTGAGCTATAGAGCCATGAACCACCCATATTTGAGCTAATTTATAGTGAAGTTTTTTCTAGATGCATTCTATCTATTGCGTCTGAAATGTCCAGGCTGCCTTACAGCCGTCGTCGCCTCACTGATAAGCTGTATCATTGTGCTATGTTATTGCGATACAACAGTGCCACTCAACCTAATATCTCCAGCTGAATGTTTGAATGTAACAGCATGCTCTAAATTTAGATTATTGCATACAATGTCTTTACGCTTTTGTACCGTATTAAGAATGCGCCTACTGACAAGCAAATGTATAAAACACAGCTAAATTCGTCAACTTTCAAGTCTTATTATCCTGACATGTAGACCTTTCTGAGCCACCGGAATGACGCCAAATAGTCTCTCTCGTCTAGAAGTTACTTCCTGACACCTTTGCTCAACTTTTTGAGGACCCAAAAAACATTGCCAAAAATCGATCAAAAAAGCATGAGGTACCCCTCATGGTTTTCATCGAAAATTAAACGATCGCGTGTTTCGCCTTGAAAATGAAGGCTTTTACTATGGTACATGTTAACTCAAAATGTTTCTATCGATCTAACGTAGCTCCTGAAATCATCTTTGTGGGACCTTGATATGTAAAATTTATACATTTTTGCCCAAAACCTCATTTCATATTTTCTGAAATTGCTCAATAAGTTCATTCAAAACATCCATTTTACTTGACACCATTGGAAGCGCCTTGAAAAGTACTCCAAGCACGTATTAAGAAGTAGGGACTGATCATCACAGTTTATATAGTCGAATCTCGCAAAATACATTAAAGAAGTCGAAAAAAAAACAGAATCTGGCAAATCTTGGGCAAAGGAAATTACCTGAATTTGAATCGATTTTGGCGGTGGCATTGCTGCTGGCTAACCCAAATGCGTTTCTATATCTGATGATGATAGTGATGATGATAATGATGATGACAATGACGATTGAGATGCTGATTAGCTTGAGTACTTTGTTTGCTTTTGTTGGAAAATTTCGTATCTGACAACACCAGTCAGCCTAGCTCACCGCCAAAATATATGTAATCCCAACTTCCTAATCATGATTTGCAGCATTTCAATATAGAATGTAGGCAGTATAGATTTCATCGAATCGTCTCAAAGAGACTATTGCCACTGGCTGAAGCTATTTTGGTATGTGGCGAGGACATCTCTAAAATTTGCATCAGAATAATCATTGGGAATGAGGGCTGCAACCTCGTTGACAGTTGGCAGATTCGCAGTGCGCCTGTCTTCACCAGCGATTAGCTCCAATCTCACCTGAGGATTGAGTTGAGCATTCTAGTTGCTGTAATTTTAGGCTCGTCGTTCTTTCTCTTCACTCATGCAAGCAAATGTTTTTTGAGCATTGTCCAGTGCTCAATGTTTTAAATTATACATGCCTCTGGCGATGTTTTTTATAGTATTTGAATATATTACATGACTAGCTAATGAATCTCGCTACGCTCGATGACGGCGTTGCCCTGTTGGCTCTTTCCGAAGACATCCCAAATCAGAGATAATATAAATCTGACATATCAAGTAGATTTTAAGCAATCAAATAATAGTAAAAAAAAGGAGGGTTACATCAGAGTTAGGAGGGGGAGGTATCCATTCACTAGCGTTGCCCTTGAGATGGCGACATAAAGCTAGTTATGCGTAAATACAGGATTAATGTAATATCTACAACGACTTTTTTGAGATATTGTCAGTGCAAACGACATCTTTATAGGGAAAAATTCCCAGGAAAAAAAAGTACTCAAACCAAACAACTGTCATTTCAAATACATGATCATCATCTAATCAGCATCCCAATCGTCATTGTCATCATCACTATCATCATCAGATATAGAAACGCATTTGGGTTAGCCAGCAGCAATGCCACCGCCAAAATCGATTCAAATTCAGGTAATTTCCTTTGCCCAAGATTTGCCAGATTCTGTTTTTTTTCGACTTCTTTAATGTATTTTGCGAGATTCGACTATATAAACTGTGATGATCAGTCCCTACTTCTTAATACGTGCTTGGAGTACTTTTCAAGGCGCTTCCAATGGTGTCAAGTAAAATGGATGTTTTGAATGAACTTATTGAGCAATTTCAGAAAATATGAAATGAGGTTTTGGGCAAAAATGTATAAATTTTACATATCAAGGTCCCACAAAGATGATTTCAGGAGCTACGTTAGATCGATAGAAACATTTTGAGTTAACATGTACCATAGTAAAAGCCTTCATTTTCAAGGCGAAACACGCGATCGTTTAATTTTCGATGAAAACCATGAGGGGTACCTCATGCTTTTTTGATCGATTTTTGGCAATGTTTTTTGGGTCCTCAAAAAGTTGAGCAAAGGTGTCAGGAAGTAACTTCTAGACGAGAGAGTCTGTTTGGTGCTATTCTAGAAGCCTAAAACGGCTTCTAACACGAGAAAACACGGCTCAAATGCATCCAGATTTGGCTATATCTTGCATATTCTTGGCTATTCAGACGCAGCGCAACTATTCTGTATATTCATTTATGAGCTGTTCCCATTGGGACAGGTGTACAGCATTGCAGAAGAATCAAATCCAGAGATAAACGTTGTTTACGAAGGGTTCCTACATAATAATGAATGGCTAAACAGTAAAATTCTGGCACATACTGGCAGGATTTTTTGGTGGTCGCGACTGATCTGACACAAGCTAAAATACAAACACATCTTCAAAGATTGAATCAGCTACATACAGTATTAAATGACCATGATGAGATTTTATTTGGATTTTATTTTGGTATCAAGCAGTCAGAATATTGCATGCTAAGCATAACTGCAGCCTATTTATTAAGGTGTTAGTTCTAATCTACATGAAAATTTAATCCACTGTGCTTGTAAATCATGCAGCAATCCAACTTGATCTACAGCGATTTATCATGAAAGCCAACAATATACAATTTAAATGATAGGATAATAATATTTTGCTCCCTTTCTTTTCCTTCTTGATCACTGTTTTTTTTTAGGATGGTAGAAGTGGACATTCATTGCAATGTTATTCGCTGTCGAAAGCCGCTCTCTGTGGAATCGCAAGTAAGGTGTGAGGCACAAACACTACTAAAGATGCTCATCTGTTGTTGTCTACTACATTGTAGGCCTGCGTTACATCATGCTCTCGTAATGTATAGTAGTATTTCAATAATGACCATCGTGTATTCACTGTAATATAGACATATTCTGTGTTGATTGCGCAAACGATCTATTCTCTAAAGCACTCTCATGTCCAGCATGCAACACAAGTCTATCAGAGGGGTAACTGCACATCTTGTGTCGAGTAACTACAGACTCACAAAGCAGCTAGCGAGGATATCATCTTGATACAACTGAATCCGACAGAAGAGTATAAATCGGTAGTAGCACTGTACAATCTCTTGAAATGACACCCCTCTGACAATCCCATCTAGTCTGTGTTGGCTGGACTCAAGCCTGAAATTATTCTAGACATTTGCATGAGAGCAGTTGCATTCTACGAGTATCAGACATCACAGGAGATTGCGTTCAGGGCAATGATACAGAAAAACATTCAAGAGAAATACAAAGTGCTTAAGGATCAGTTTGATATCGCTACAAGAGACTTGAACCATATTATAAAAGGTATGAGCATGGAATCAATATCAACGTACATGGCTGCCGACTTTAATCATGACATTGCTTATTGGCAGTGGAGAAGGAGAAGATTACGAGTATGTTGCCTCTATCTGATGAAGGTTTACATACTATGCTAACATCAATTCATAGCCATAGCAAAGGATTTCGAGTTGGAAAGGTTAAAGTGTCAACAGATGACAGCCAAGTTCGATGAAAAGAGCAAGCAATTTCAAAAGCTTCAAGTAAACGTGTGAAGACCATCATGAATTGGAACTAACTTGCTGCAAATTAATTTACAGACTATGTACGAGAAGCTCAAAAGAAAGAGCATCAATCCCAATTTACAGGATGCTATATCATCCCCACGACAACAACAGCCCCCACCTTGTGTCGCTCCACCAGCTCCACCTGGCATGCCACATCGTCCATTAGGGCCTGGAGCAACTCACTTGTATCAAACAAACAGCTTTGCTAGGCCATCTGGCCCTCCATACAATAACAGTGGCCCAACGGATGAGGATCTAATGTCTAGACTTGGGAGAGCCTCAAACATTACTGCTGGAAGATCTGTCTTTGTGCTACCTCAATCGCCAGCAGTACAGAGCCATCATAGTCGCCTTCGTCATGACCATCACAGACCTTCCAGGATTCCATCGCCATTGACTGCTCCTGATAACTCTATGCTTTCTTACCGACATCATCTGTCAAGACGAGATAGCTTGGATCGTGAAAGCCAGATGCCACCGACTGCCACTTCTGCGGCTGAGTTTTACCACCAACGACAGCCACCACCACAACATGAGCAACAATTACTACCCTATCAACACAAGCATCGTCGCAAGGGCTCTCCTGCATCGCAATACTATCATAAATTTGTGGAAAAATCTCGACACAAGTAATTAAGGGATATACAATGTACGTATGAATAAAGAAAGGTTTTAAAACGGTTATTACTGAGCTTTATTGAGACAAAAGAGAGATGATATATTACATGTGATATAAAGCGCAGACAAAAATTTATGGCTTGATAACCACCTTTAAGCCAGTTCCAGCCAAAAAGACCTCCCAGCCCTTGTGGAATTCGCTCAATGAGAATGAATGAGACACCAACTGACTCCAATCAATCTTGCTTTCAGCCAAAATCTTGACAGCACGATCAATGCCGTAAGGGTTGGTGTAGGTGGATGTGATGGTCAGCTCTTTTCTATAAATGTCGAATGGAGAAATAGGCACACGGTCCTCGACTTTGGCTACACCCACCCAAACCACAGTAGCACCTGCTTTGGCAAAGTTGACAGCATCTAAACATGTGTTGGGTCTACCTACACACTCAAAGACGACATCGTATCCCTCGCCCAGAGTGCCATCCACAGGAGCCAGCTCGCCGGGAGCAAAAGCCTCAGTGGCGCCAAACACTTGTACAGCCTTTTGCCGTCTCATCTCGCTTGGTTCTATCACGGTAACTCTACCGCCGCTGGTGGAAGCCAAGGCAATAGCCATCAAGCCAATGGGACCAGCACCAATCACCAAAACAGAATCGCCCGTCTTGATATTACCCTGATCGACAGCATGTACTACACAAGAGAGAGGCTCTGCCAATGAAGCAACCTCGGGTGTTACATGCTTGGGTACAGGCACAGCAGCGCGAGCAGGCACAGAGACGTATTGGGACATGCCGCCGTCTATGGTAACGCCAATGCAGAACAAATTGGGACACAAGTGGTACTTTTGGTTACGACAAAAGGTACATTGGTTGCATGGCATGTTGGGGTCAATGGAGACCAAATCGCCTACTTTGGCTAGGGCCTGAGTTTCTGGATGGATCTCTTGTACGTAACCACAGAACTCATGGCCAATAACTACCTTTTTAGCAGCATGAGGCGTCTCACCACGACTAATGTGCAAATCAGTACCTAATGCGAGCTTTGTATCAATAACAGTGCCGCATTCCCTTTCTCATTAAACTTACCACAAATACCAGAAGCAGCTACCTTGATCAACAACTCGCCAGGTTTGACAACAGGCAATTCTTTGCTCATCAAATCAATAGCGCCGACTGTTTGCCAGCTGGCCACGGTCATTTCTTTTGTAGATGTACACATGTTGTTGTAGTATTGAAATTTCAAACGCGAGAAAATGAAATAAAACGAGAGAAATAGGTCTATCCCGATAAAAGCTTAAATAGGTGTGGTGTTTAGTGCTTGCATTAGCTCCATTGAGTTCCCACCAGGTTGACCTGCCAAAACGGCCAATCGGGTAATTTGAATGGATTTGGTAGTACACACATCATTTTGAAACAAATACATCTCGATTTGTCGTTTGTAGTGCTCATCTCTGTACATGAACGCTTTTTCAAATTATGCGTGGGTATAATGGTATAGCGTAATTCATCGGGCTTAATTGCCGTCTTTAGCATCCAAGAGATGTTGGGTGCGTGCTATTATTTACTTGAAATGTAGACAACATCTTGTCGGCCAAGAGGCTGTTGGCCAGTACGCATTCAACAGCACAGAGAAGCAGCCATCAATCTGCCTGTTAAAAAGTCTTCTGCTGAAAAACCTCATTGTCTGCAACGCCATGCCATCTACCATTGACCCCACCTATTGATGAATATGGATGTTGTACAGTACCACGGGCAGAAAACTTGCGAGATTGAAACTCTTGACGAATCGGGATTATTGTATTCATCTGGGAGAATCTTGTTTTTCTGTCATGCAAGATGGAGACTCCCAGCGGAAGGTACCATTACTTCTCACCTGTTACTTCGACATCCATCAGTCCATCAGTGAATATATGCACATTATAAGTTGTGGGAAATTACGCACCGAGATGAAGGTGTCATCGATAAGAACGTCGTACAGATTTCAGTACTGATAGACCTCAAATGATCCCTCGTATAGTTGAGATCTACGTACCAGGAGATGACATGAACTATAAGATCATGAAACGTACACACACACACTAAAGCAAAAGAGCTCACTGTGGGAAAGCACATTAGTATACAGCACAGCTTGCACCAGAACAAGATGAATTTAATCACCTACATTGGATAATATCGTCATTTTAACGCTCATGTCATGCAAGGCAGTATAAAAAGGTTAGCATTCAATACTGCAAAGACACACATCTTTATTACTCTTTTTATATATCTTAAACTAGACATGAAGAGACTATTGAAAGGAAATGCCTTGTTGTATTCCGTAGCATGCTTTGCTTCCATGGGCCAATTTCTGTTTGGTTGTAAGTAAAGGCCAACCCATGCTGATGATCTGTTCTCATTACTCATATGTATACCGCAATAGATGACCAAGGTGTTCTTTCAGGTATCCTGGTCAATGAACGATGGCTGAATTTATTTGGCCATCCCAATGCAACCATGCAAGGTCTCGTGGTGGCCATCTTTGAGCTGGGTGCCTGGTTTACAGCTTACCCAACCAGCTGGTTTATGGATCGTATTGGCCGTAGATGGACAATCATGGTGGGCGCTTTGATATTTATTGTGGGCGGCGTGCTGCAGACGGCATCCAGTACAATGATCCAGCTACTGTTTGGTCGACTCATTGCTGGTTTTGGTATTGGTTTTCTGAGTACAGTGCTGCCTGTGTACACTGCAGAGTTGAGTAGAGCTCACAACGTAAGTTGGAGGCTGCCATTTATACGAGATGATGCAAGGTCTCATAGCTATTGTACATGTATATATAGAGAGGCAAAGTCACTGTGTTTGGTATGAGTATCAACATGCTGGGCTATACAGCTTCCGAGTTCATCGATTATGGTTTTACGTATGTGGATAGCGAATGGTCCTTCCGTGGTCCTCTCTTATTGCAAGTGGTATTTGCATTGATATTGGCTGTGGGTACACTCGTGTTGCCTGAATCGCCGAGATACTTGATTGCAAAACACAATGACAAGCTTGCTATCAAGACGCTCTCTGATTTGCATGGTAAAGACCAAGATCATCCATTGGTGAATGCTGAATACGATGAGATCAAGACTGCCCTGGATATCGAAGAGAAGCTAGGCCAGCCTACCTGGAAGGAGATGTTTACCATTTACCGCAAGAGATCCATGATTGGTATTGCAGTGCAAGCTCTGGGTCAGATGTCTGGTATCAATATCGTTACGGTACGTTGTACATAGATTCATGCTGGTAATGAGCAAGACGTATATAACTGACAACATTGTGTAGTACTATGCTCCTAAAATGTATGAAGCAGTGTTGGGTCCTGGCAATCAAACCATCTTGTTTGCTGGTTTCACTGCCTTGGTCTACTTTTTCGGTGCCATCATTGCAGCATTCCTGGTCGATCGTGTCGGCCGCCGCCCCTTGTTCATGGCTGGTTCCTGTGCTATGGTTGTCTGGCTTACATTGATGGCTGTATTCAACAAGGTGGCCCTTGGATTGACATCTGCTATTCTAGTGATTGTGTTCACCATGATCTATGTGGGCACATTTGGTATGACTTGGGCTTGCGTCGACTGGCTGTGTAAGTTTTGATTTATACAGACTCTCATTTGCAATGGCTGACATCAAGTGTATATTGATAGATCCTGCCGAGATATTTCCCTTCCGCACAAGAGCCAAAGGCATGTCCCTGGCTGTTTCATCCAACTGGGTATGAGTGTACATTCAGTTTAGTACCAGATGTGGCAGTAACTAATCAATTGCATTCTAGTTGTCCAATTTTGCTGTTGGTTTGTGGACACCTCCATTACTAGAGGCTATTGGCTGGGCTACCTATCTGTTTTACGCAGCTTGGAATCTGGTGGCTCTATTCGTTGTATGGAAATGGTTTGTGGAAACCAAAGGCAAGAGCTTGGAAGAGATTGACGCCATCTTCAATGATGGCGCGGGTGCTATTGAGATTGATGACTTGGCGGAAGAAAAGAAGGCCGGAAATGGTAGAGTGCAACAAGAGAGATCTATACTTGATGCAAATGAATTTGATGATCAGGATCAAATAAAGCCTGATCAACACCACAAGGAAAATGTGTAAATAGCTAATAAAATTAATCAATACCACATGCAAACCTGTTCTCTCCTCACCATCATAAGCAATGTGGCGGACAGTTTCAAAGTATAAATAACAAACCCTGGGTCCTTTCATTTTATCTTAATAGAAAAAGCGTTGTTCTAGACGCTTGTTACAGCCACTTCCAAAGAGTATGTCCAAGCTCATTAGGGCTGATGTATGAAATTGACTCATGAAACCCGCTACTAGGTATTGCTCAATGGATGGTTACAAGAAGGTAGTTTGCTACATCGGGCCCCTCTTTTGCGGTTCATTCAGTCACCGTTGTCGTAGCTGAATGAACCATAACACTGTGTTGCCAGCAAGAGCAAACGGAGGAGGCGGAAGCTACAAATGGTCATGCCTCACTAAAAAAAAAAAAAAAAAAAAAAAAAAAAAGGATCTCCAGAAGAGTGCTTTACTACTGTACCCTTCGATTGCCGTCGTTGGGTGGCAAAAGCAGACGCAACAAATAGTTATCGTGTGCGCAAGCAGCTTTTACTCTTTGGGAACAAGGCCATCTGGCACTATTTATTACCAATAAACAACATTTTACAAAATCTCTTTACAGTAGTTCATTGAGATGACATTTATTGCAGGCTGAAATCACTGAGCAGATAATGAGGCAGCTAAAGATTCGACTGTATAAAGTAGCATGAGTTTTTCATTCACTCTTGATCATTTGCAGCAGTACTTACACCATGGAAATCCTCCTTTTTTGCCCAGGATTGTTAAACTGATGGATATAAACTCATTTGCTCGCGTAAAATCCTTCTCTATGGCACTCATCCTCGCATCAAATTCCAGTAGATCCTCTTCCAGGGTCATAGTGGTCGCCTGCATATAGTGCTCAAACATCAACATCATTTGCTCTGCCATGTCAAATATGCTAATGATGGATTTCTTGATGGCGCTGGCCTAATGTATCATGTTAGTTGTTTTATATAGAAGGCTGAGCTGCTGGCGTACCTTTTCATTTAATAAACATCGATCTACAATGCGACGCACATACGAGTTGTGCAAGGCTGTGATTTCGTCAGCGTCTCTGGATATGGATAGCTTGTCCCTAAAGTTGATTGTCTCTGCGTGAAGGATCTATGTATATGATCAGCATGGCTTCCATCGCTCATCCCTAGCAGACTTACAGTTGTCATCATGTAGCGCCAGAATGCATTGATAAACCAAAGAATTCGCATTCGAATAGAATAGAATCGCATAGCTCTGGCATCACTCTTTTCCATCTTGAATCTACCCCTGAACAAGGTCTTTTTCTCCATCACATATTTAGCTCTTTTCAAACGAAACAGGAATTTTTGTATCTTTGAATAGCTTGGTAAATGTTCTTGTTGTATAAAGTTGTTGAGAGGCCATGATATCTATGCTGGTTAGCCATTGATTTGGAGTCTGCTCCCAGAATATAATTACCTTGACATTAAACTGAATCGTCTCTAGGTAGGACGCTTGTGTAGTTGATTTACTCGTAGCAGGGCCGTGGTTGGATGCTAGATCGATATACACAGTTTCATCATAGCCACTCACCTTGGATGACTCGGCAAAGGTTCTGTTCAGTGTGCGTGAATCACACCAAGCTTCTTTATTGTCCATTTGAGCATAGAGAGCCTCGCAGAAGGAGTGCATCAAGTCGTTTTCCAGCATGAGGTAGATAGATGCAAGTGATTCGAGCTGCTGTGTTAGCCCACACCCTTGATGCAGTACGTTATTAAGAGTATCCGCTGCCTTGTTGTACGGTTGTTCAACGTAAGCTTCTGAGCAGTTGATGATGTCTTGATCCAAGAGAGACCCCATATCATTGGCCTGTTGTTGCTCCTGTTGTGGTTGTGGTTGTGGTTGTGGTTGTGGCTGCTGATATCGTCGTGCTGAGCTTGCATTCATTGGAAAGAGGGCAGATGTGACAAGATCGAAATCAAATGTGCTAGTGGTTGTCTTTGGTGTGTTCATTTTGACAGGTTTGATAAACGCTGGTTTGACGCAAACGTGTTCCTGCATCAAGCTCTGGAAAGAACGCTGCACTGGATTCATGTGCTGATTGTGTTTCTCTATTTGTCTCAGCAAATTTACTGCCTTTCCAGTAAAGAAGATGCGATTCATAAAAGATGGATCAAACAGAGGGCAGGGGAAGCAAGTGTACTCTCGAGTTGCGACAGATTCAATAGAAGACCCCTCCACCCAAAAGTTGGAGTCTTGCATTGAAACATCATCCCTTCTTGACACAAAGAACTCATGTGCTTTATCACACTGCAACGACCCATAAAATACCCAATCATCCATGATGTCGCCATAGGGCACTAACGTCTTTTGCAGCACATACAGAAGGGTGTCGCACATGGCCTGCTGTCCAGACGATTGCGCCACAAGAGCACGGTCATACAACGAGGCAATCAAATAGGTAGATATGGATCGAGCATTGCCTTGTGAGTATGGAGCATCTACTGCGATATCATAGATAGCCTTGAAGCTCTGTAAAGACGAGTCCAGTGTATCTCGAAGCTGCAGCAATGAGATGGACTGGCTCGCATTACTTGTGATGATACTCGAGTTTAGCTCCATAACCGAGAGTGTGCTGTCGAAATCCATCAAGGACTGAAATAGCGTGGCTGTAAACGCTTGGTTGGTCTGTCCATACTGGATGTCGTGGATGGTTTTGTTGCACAACTGTCGAAGCTCTGCTATCATGTTTCCGTACTGACAAAACTCTTGTAGCAAATGGCTCAAAGCATGCTGACTGAGGTGTTGTAGGATGTATTGCCGATTGAGCTAGCACATGGCGTTAGTGGACATGATCCGAACGATACGCATCGCCCAACTTACCACAAATTGATCCTCCTGATACACATACACTACACTGCGGAATCCTCGAAGCAATGACAATACCTCTCGTGCCATGTTCGCCTCTGATATCGTTTTTAGCTGGTCTCTCTCTGCCTCGCTGTAAACGATCCTTTCCAACGCACTGCTCATTTGACATGGCTTTTGTAGTAGATTGACATGTGTGGTGTCTTGTCGAGGCAAGCGATACTCATTTCGCCAATACTGTTGTGACACTAGATGACTCAATCCCTCCTGATCCTCTCTTTTGTCCAACTTGATCTTGCTGGTGAAATCAAACTTGAAATTGCTCAAATCACCGAAAGGTGCTCTCTTTTGTGATGTGGTTGTTGCTACTGCTACGTTGTCTTGATTTAGCTCATAATCATCGTCGTCGTCATCGTCTTCTTCTTCTTCTCCTGAATCCTCCTCTTCCTCAGGCCATGTCTGCCAATGATCCCCTTCCAATGGCGAGTCGTCAATCACATCTTGCCAAGTCAAGATTTTCTCTGTGGTATGTTTGATGGAGGGTATATAGCTGTAATCTTGATTTGATGAGGACGAAAGGGATAATAATAGCTGCAGTGCGTCGTATTTGAGTATGGATTGCTATCATGCAAAATGTTAGCGCTTATTCTCGGCCATCTCAATTGACTCGTACGTTGGTGTCTTGTTCCCCTAGCGGTCTGCTTGATTTCAGGAACTCTTTTCTGTGTGTTAAAAGTGCTTTGGATAGTTCATGATGGCCTTTGATGCTGAATTTCTCTGCTAGACTATAGCATTGGTCAGTTATAGTGTGCCTCATAGTATTGATCTCGTACCCATTCAATCTGTTGGTCACTTCCTGTTCACTGGTGCTTGTGCATTTATCGTAGCGCAAGGTGTAATCTGCTTTCTTCACTGCTGCCTTCCATTCTGATGAACTCGGCTAAGATGCATGGTTACTCTCTAAATCTGGCTATCGGATGTGTAGTTGATCTTACTTGTAAGCTAGTCAGCTTGGACACAAGTTGTTCCAACAAGCCACTGCGATCCATGAGAGGTTATGTTATGTAAGAAAGAACAATGGTTTAACAAAGTTGCCTCTTGCTGCTTTTTATAAAATATTCGATTGTGACAGTCCAGAGAAATACAGAGCATTCTGCCGCATTGTTTGATGATGGATGCCTCTACACATGTCACTATCATGCGAATACGGATCCCTTTTTGCTATCCAAGCATCCAGTTTCCTCCTTTCACCATCCTCCAGTAGACATAATGACAAACGTTCTTTTTTTTTCATATATTTTATTAGATTGCATTACTATTCATCGTATCTATCCAGCATTCAAAGGTGATTTGACTGTGTGTTTTTCGCAGTGCTTCATAGGGAAGGTCTATAGTATATATTCTTTTTCGGTATGGGTAATTGTGTGAGTTGGTGGGCGTGTCAATGATCAGCTGTTGAGTAAGAAGGAGATGAAGAGCGTATAATAGAAATGTACAAGTGAAGATGTTGGTTTAAAGTTTACGACCCACAACGGTATAACCTCTGGGAGGTTTTGCTGCCTTCAACTCTTCAGTAGTAGGGATATGGTCAACCACTTGAACTTGGACAAGCTCCTTGAGCTTGAGAATAAGACCTGCATTACTAGCATTGACAGGCTTGTATGAAGTTTGGTGAAGACGGACAAGACCTAATGTTTTTGAGGCTGCACGAACATCTTGAGGAAGACCGATAGCTGATCTCTTTAATGTAATCTTGTAGTAGTCTGCTGCTGTCTTTGCGCTAGAGGTGAATAATCGACGTTGCATCATGTTGATTCTTAGAGTAATGAAAGAGAAAGATGTACTGTTGTTGAAAATGGCACCCTTGGACTTTTTTTAGAATCGAGTTGTGAGGGGTGGCTTGCGGAAATAGGGGAAGGGTTCGGGATGTCCATAATGTGAGTGGCTCTCGTTTCGAAAGACGTTGATTTGTCGAGATTGTTGCACCTTCCTCATCCATATTTTTACAGATAGTCGAAGCAACATCACTTAGTTCACCAACAGCCTAATATACAAAGGATGGACGATATCTTTTTTGATGCTCATTTCGTCTAAAAATTCAAGCCAGAGTGTATTTCTTTCTTCTTTCTCAACTCAAGATCAGAGTAAAGAAAAAGCTATTACTGGCCTGCCATTACTGGCCTGCCATTACTGGCCTGCCATATTCTGCTTTCTAATGTGTATCAAAACACGTATACGGTATTGGCCAATGTGCTGTCAATTTCCAATGGCAGTGGCGGTCTTGCACTTCTTGCTAGCGCTTGAAAACCATATCCTGTATTGTGTGCACTCTGGGCCATCGTGCGAAGGCTTCTCATAAACAGTGTCAAGGCCAAATCAACATCAAAAGGCATTAAAGCGGGTAGGGATTGTCAAGTAGTGTATATCAGAGGAGGAACATAGACTGACAACATTGAATATTTTATCGAGGATTGGAGAGGAAAAGTTAAACCTATCAACAAACCACATCTACAAGAGTAAGGAATTAAGTGAATGTTTGTAGGAAGAGGTAGATGTGTCTAAATGCTCAATGTAGTATAGCCTCTTACATTATAGCGTATTTCGTTTCATCAGCCTGAAGGAAGAGTTGCGCGCCATGCTGTGCTTGGATGTTATCATGGACAAGAGAAGCAGGTATATGCAGCAGAACGCAAGCAAGTCAATCATGTCGCTTACTTGTCTCAAGGTTTTGATGAAAAAGAAAAAGACTATCATTAAGAATAGCAACGGCATAAAAAACAACTGAGAGGTTGAAAAGAGGAACCGTTTACTGTAAAATAACAATACATATGAAAGATATCTTGTTACACATCGTTGAATGCAGCTTCTTCTTTGAAACAAAATACAACCTCTAATCATCATAGTATCTTTAATATATTACTTTTGTTTCTAGATGGAGCACATCCAGTTTCCAGTAGGTACCCCTCCCCTCCGAGAATCGTCCAGAAAATGATTTCTTTTTGCAATGTAACAAATAACGGTAGATCAAATACTACATGTCAAGAGTTTTTCTCTTCAATTGAGAAATAGTACCAGTCCATGTAGTAGATACTAGAGCAGTTTATTGCATATTCAAAGTAATGCATAACTCGTATGCTCTGCCATATTTATGGTATTTGCGACATATAAAATGGCTATACAATGTCATTCTTTCAGATAGCATAGATGGACAAAACGAATGGGTGTTTTGCTCAATGCAATGACTTTTCTCTTGCGAAGAATTTGGTTAGGAAGAGTATCGCTCATACTACTTTGTATTCGCACCTCGAATGGGAATTGCTACTATTTACTACCTATTATCCACAAAAGCCTTGAGATCCATGTTTTATCGTAATATACAACATTTGCTCTCATTTCGTAACGATGCTTCTCTATAGAACTCACGCAGGACCTAACATTTCACATAAATGGCCATTTACTGAATATGCCAAAAATTCAACTACTCTCTTGCTGTATCACATTAGCTCAAAAATTTGGTGGTACTTCCGTAAGAGCAGATGCACAAAAGAATCAGTGGATTCAAAACCGGTGCATTTAATGCATTGGTGCAAACTGCGCATGGTCAATGGCCATAAGCATGAACGTCAATGTATAGCAGTATAACCGTGCGCTATATCCTTTATATACAGCCCTATATTATTTAACTTGCGGTCGTAAAACTTGTGCCATGCAGCATTCAATAGAGATGAGCATGGCATGAGTAAGCTTGGATCCATCATTGATAATGAAAAGAAAGACCTTTTCAAGCGGATACAGCATAATACAATAGAAATATTTAACGCGTAATTTTTTGCGTGCTTTATAAAGTACAGCGATGATTTCCTTCACCTCCTTTATAAGATTTTCATCTAGATCAATAAAATCATCTGTTCTTCTAACATAGTAATAGCTCCATTTTATCCTGCTTAGGACGCGTTTGTGGTAGTGCCAGACATCACCATTTTAACCTCTAGGTTGTTCGTTATGCATTTCTTCCCATCTCCCAAATCAAACCCTCTCATACTGATATAAGCCTTTGAGGGCGATGTCAATGAGTAATGACGGAACACTAAAATAGAATTTATACATTAATAGCAAAAAGGTACGCTTTTGTATGTTTGGATGACAGTTTAAGTATATTCAAGCGGTCAATTGTTAAACCAAAAGTCAGGTATCCTAATATAATTTTCTAATCACATGGCGGCGCAAAATTAGCAGAATGTAATATGTTATACGGTACATACAGATCGATATTTTACGATAAATATCAAGCTCTTTTAATGATTACATTTGCACTTGGTAATCAAGGTATACGTATTGTTGATGGAAAGAAAGATTGTAATATACTCTCCGAATAGCTATGATGAGAGTCGAACTTAAAGGGTTCTTTAGGAATGTTCGTACTAGATTGGCGCTAGTAGCTAGACTCCAGATAACAAGAAGAAAAAAATGGATGATGTTCATTAAGATGCGGCTCCAAATACTATATATACATGCATTGTTCTTGGTAATTGCTGTTGTTATTCTCTTATCTAACTTAATTTAGATTCGAATGTCAGTGCCCTGATCGAAATGTAAACCCAAATTGAATTTCTTTTAACTTAATATCCAATCTCATGTACCGCGTTTCTGAGCCGATTCCATTGTTTAAAGTAGCAATGCCCCAACTCTGTTGTTGTAATTCCGCTTGTATATTGTATCGATTCCACATCAATTGGTTTGCACCTATTCTTAGTCAAAGTCCAGAGTTAAGTCCACAATTCAACATGGTAATCCTCGACTGTCAGTACGCAATCTCATCCAGATCCATGACTAATTTATCGATTCAACAATGTCAGTTCCAAATATTGATTAGATCTTCGGCTAAACTTGATAAGAAGCACCACGAGTAAACGGATACGTAACAACAACCCAAATAGAGATGACACCAATTGAGTCAGTCCCCAATATTAATTGGCAATACACCAGATAGATAACATCAAACAGAATAACAGTAAATACTTATATTATCAACGCACCACCAAGAGTTAAAACACAATAACATAGCAATAAATGCATGTATCAATGCCCCAGAGTATTACACTAACAAAAGGCCCTTTCAAGTGAATCATAGCAGATAACATATAAATTCACGCCTTGAATCCACCACGTTCGCACATTTTCTTATATAGAAAGTTGTCCTTTTTACGAAAGAAAAAAAATGAAATTATGTTAGGTAAACAAAGTAAAAATAAACAATCAAAATAATGTCAGGGTTGAAGGGTATTCTGACAGTGATTTAGATCTGCAGGATATCATTGACAGACTAAACACAAACAAGAATAAGAAGCGCAGGTTTAAACCTAGAGCGCCAGCTACCAGGAACATTAAACAGCGATTAACCTGGATAGCGCACAACATTACACAAACTATATTGGATAAAATCAATGTTCAAATCTAATATTAATAAAGCACCTTTTTATCCATTCAACTAAAAGAAGGCTATAACATCTTCCTGCACACTCTCTATATCTACTTCCATTTATATCTCGATCAGATCTCAGATTGCATATACTATCTCTACGTATTAGCATCTGACAATTGGTAGCAACTTCTGTTATTTTTTAAATCCTTTTTTTCTATTTGTCGCCTATAACAGATAGTAAACAAAAGTCGATCATCAAGGCACGCCGGCTAAGTATTCATTAAAGGGAAAGATCGAAACATCTATATTAGATCTTTGCATTTACTGAATCATAATAGTCAACCCTCTTTACTACAGTTGTTCATAGTTCCTCTCTGTGAACACTACCTACCCCATCTCGTTCGCTGTTGATTCCTATTCCACGAACTCGGAGATCCCAAATAATAATCCAACTATCAAAACAAACACACAAATCTCGAGTCAACACTCTCTCTGGTCTCTCTCACCACATTTTATTAAAACAACATGGCTGAAGACAATCAACAACAACAAATACCACCCAACTATGTTCAATTCATGGAACAAAACCAACACATGCTCACCAACATGATGACTGCCTTCATTCAGGCACAAAATCAAGCACCTGCTGTCAAGTTGCCAACACCACCTACATACAGTGGCACTCGCAATGCAAGTGAAATTGATGCCTGGATTCGTTTGATTGACAAACAAAAGCTGCACAACAGCTGGAATGAAGAACGCACCTACAATTTTGCCTCTTCTTTGCTATCTGGACGTGCTGCCACTATTGTTGCCCATTATGAAGATCCCGACAGTAATCTTACCACACCTACAACGTGGATGGAGCTGAAGGACATTTTGATTAGCAATTTCCGTCCCACCAACGATCAAGATTTGGCCCGTGATGTTTTGGTCACCATTCGCCAAACCAGTTCAATTCGGGATTATGTGGATCGTTTTATGGATGCTGTCATTCCCATCAAGGATATTAGTGAACGTGAGCAATGTGATCGTTTCATGAGAGGTTTAAAGGACAAGGAATTGATTGCCAAAATTCGCGCCATGCCTATTGAATCACGTACGTTGGAGAAGCTGTTCTCTGATGCTCTGGCTCATGAATTCGCCCACCATCCGGAGATCAGTGCTGGTGTTCAGACAAACACTAGATACAATAACAACAACGGTGATGTACAGCCTATGGACCTAGATGCCATCATGCATCGTAACAACGACAACAACAGTAACAGCTACAGCAACAACAACAACAGAAACAGAAATAACAACAGGAGAAACAACAATAATCGCGGCCGTAATAGGTATGATCCCAGCCTCACATGTTTTCACTGCAAGAAAGTTGGACATACCA